AATGTTTTCACTGGTTCAAAACAATCATCACCAATTTCAATTGATTCCAAATTATACAACAATGAAACATCCCAATCAACCAATACACAATTGTCATTCAGTTTCAAATGTTTTATTCCAATATTCAATGGCTTGCTTCCATTTCCTTCATATTTTACAAAATCACTTTCAATTCCATTATACCATTCACATTCAATCATAAGTCTTTCTCTGCGATCATACACTTTTCCAATTCCAAATTGCTTATCATCACACCAATATCCTTCATATTCAATCACTCCATTATTATGATAGCTCGCTCCATATCCAAATCGTTTCCAATTGATCATTATGCCCTTGTACACCAAGAATCCATCATCATCATACATTTCACCATATCCAAATGGAACTCCACTTTTACCTTCGTTTTCCTTTTCTTTCAATATCAATCCTTCAAATCGACTTCCATGATCCAAATCCACGATTCCTTCTTCTACTTCTATGGTTTCATCTTCATTATATGAAATAGCACCAATTTGATGATTGCCGAGCACTTTCAACACTTTCTGCTCATTGAGGACAAATCCTTCATTCATGAATACACCATTATTGAATTTCAATACTACATATTCTCTGTTACTCAATATGAGTGAAATCCAGTCATCTACTTTCATTTCATTATTCAGGTATGTCTGCACGTTTTGAATGACGGATCTGTCAATCTGAAAATCGTTAAGAGCAAGATTGACAAAACGAGCGACTCTTTGCATCAAAAAAGAAATAAGGAAAGTACTAAAAACACTCGTATAATTTATGATGATTTTTCACATTGTTTATATTCTCTTGATGGAGTCGGACTGGTTAGATTACTTGGAATCACCTTATCTTGCATTTGTGTTTTCATCGCATTTCGAGTACTTTTTACTTTATAAAAACAACATTACAATAGGTGCTAATTCTGTTTTTCACATCAATATACTAAATGAATGACCTCGTTTGTTTTAAAGTTACAAGTGGTTTTAATAGCATATTATTACTAGATTTTTGTATATAATCTTACATGCGTAATTAATCGAGTACCCTAAAAGTAGTAATGGGTGATGATGGTATATATCTAGTTCTTTGAAAATTCACAATATAAGCTAGCTCTAACCATTGCTGCTCAGGTAATAATTCGTAAAGCGTTTTTCCTATTTACTATACATTTGAAAAGAACATGGACTTTATTTTGGTTTTTGTTTTAGCTAGTATATTCCAATCTAACGAAGATTATTAACATAATTCACAATAGAACAATAGAGAAGTTGGTATAGATGCTTTTTTCTCTATAATATGTGGTTAAAAGTACTGTGATTGTTTCTTAGAATCAAAGGACCACTATTTGAAAGATAACAAGGGTTTGTTTCTTATATTCTTTTAGATCCATTTACCTCCTTCACTGCATTATTATCGTTTGCCATTCTAGAATGTCCAGTGTCTATAAAGAGTTCTGTTCTCACCAAATTTCAAAGACTTTGTTTATTAGCGAAAACACCACATATACTTTGGCATTGTTTACAGAATAATATATCAATTTACATCTATTCACACTCCTTCCACCTATAATGAACATATGGCTCAATAAATTTCTTTATACAACGCAACACACTCCTTTCTCTGTTCATTCCATTGATATAACAACACCATAATGCAAATAAACAAAAAGAAGAGAACAATCAGCTTTAGCATCGTTGATGCTAATTGAGAAGCTTTAGTAGGTAATGCAATCACATAGATTACCAACTCAATTAACATAATCAGGCCTATCCACTTTATCAAGGTTTTTAGGATATCATAACCTGTTAGTTCTTTCCAATTCACTTTGACCGATTCTCCATCCTGCTGGTGTTTCTTTTCTGACGCTAATCTCTTCTGACTCTGCCCTGCATCTAAGATTCGCATATCAGGAATGTATTCAAGCTCCGATTTCTTCAGATATTTACCACAATACACCAATTCGTGGTTCACGTACGACTTCATGATATCTCCTTCGAATTCGTGTAGAATTTCAACTTCTTTCCCATGCTCCCATCTACTGATTTTCGTAGCGCAGCCATTCGAGTAGAAATAGCAAATGCCATGATTTATTCCGGCTTCGTCCTTCTGGCAAATGGAAACCAAATTTCCGCACTCATCTCTCTCATTCCAATAGTCTGGACGGTCCGTTCTATTCGTAATGTGAAAGTCTCGACGACCATTCCTATAGAATCCATCATAAAGAACTGTTCCATCCTTATCATACTCTAATCCTACTCCACTTCGATAACCCTGCACCAAATTTCCCACAAAATATTGCTCTCCCGATTTATAATAGAGAGTACATCTCCCATTTGCCTCTCCTTGTACAAAAAAAAGGTCGGCCATCACTTTTCCATCTTGGGAATAAATATGTCCTTCTCCATCAAGATTATCGTTTTCCGTGTTCGAAAGAATGTAACACCCTAAATGAGGTTTCCCAATCTGACAAACCGCCTTGTTGTTAATTATATTCTTCTGGGTAATTGGGAACTCGCGGGAAATGCAATTATTCCATAAACTAACATCCTCAACGGCATTTCTATTAACCACACTCGTACTTTCTTGATTAGACACTTGTACGTCAATTCTGACTTGAGACCCTTTGGACAGCATGATACTCAAAACAAATCTGCGATTAGTGACCGATAAAAACGAATCTCTCTAAATCAGCAAAAAGTTGCTTATTTTGGAATGGGGAAAATTTCCTATATTTTAACTTTCTTTTTTTCTTATATAATTTGAAATCATTGAAGCGAACTTTGAATGAAATGGTTGGATCAAAATACAAGACCATCGTATCTAGGTATGTAGGTTGACAGTAATTTCTTGTTGTGGAAATTGTACTTTGTCGTTTTACTCAGTATACTATTTTTTATTACTAAAGTAGTGCTATTACCTCTGACTATTCCTTATTCATTCTACTTTTCCTTTTTGAATTCGGCTTATGTAGCGTGCATAGATGTTTTATATATAAATATGTCATCTTGGACCTTGCCATCTATTGTATTTTATTGCTTTTTTGATTGTATCCTGTTTAAGCCCATTTCTGTTGTTTACCTCGAATCGAAGGAGTATTTTCTGCTATAGTACCTTTAGAATAGTTATATCATAATGGTATTGCCTATCTGAACTGTTTTGTATACATCAAGTTACCAGTTTGCAATTCTTTGCCCTGGAGTTTTCATATATTTATTATTACATTAGTGGTAGATTAGAATGAAATGATTTGTATCTGTTCACTCCATATCCCACATTACTTCGATTGAGTGTTCAATAACTGTTACAATTACTAGCATTACTATGATATTGCCATAACCCTAAACCTATTCACAATCTACTACTACTACTACTACTACTACTACTACTACCACTACTACGATTGTTATTATTATAAAGGATGATATGTATGTAATAATAAGGAATGCACTAGCTCCGATAAAAATACACACGAAAAGCAATGCACTATTCCTATTCAAGCATAAATCAATCAACTAGTATGTGAAAAAGAACCCACGCAGTCCCTCTCTTCCCATCCCCTCTGCATCGACCCCATCGCTGCTTTCTCCCCTCCATCACACCTCCCTCTCCTCCTGATTCCAACAAACAATCCCAACTAATCAAATCTTGCTGCATGAACATCCACGTCGCATTCCTCCTCGTAAACCATCCGCAATAGAACGGGCTTTTCTTCACGCTCTCCGTCTACCAATCAGCTTCCTCCTTCTCTCTCACCTCCATCAAAACCGTCCACGAAAACCGAAGGCCTGAGTCGTACACCACATTGGACGACGCGAGCCGGTCCACATTTTGATTAGATTGCAAAGGAAGCAGCGCGCAAACGATTCGCTGAGCGTCCCAAGGAGCCTGGGAAACCCATTGGACATGATGGGGGGCATAGCGAAAGGAAAGGATGTTGTCTTGCCGTTTGAGATCCTTTACGACGAGCTGATCGTCTAGACGATGAAAAAGAGGGAAGGGGGACGTACAAGAGAGATAAAATGCATCGGAGGTGTGGTAGCGAACGACGAACGGATCGTACAGAAGGCCGGAAATCTTGCAGAAAACACGCTGCTCCACGTCTGGGATGTATTTGATCATGAAGTCATGAGTCTCTCGCTTCTTCGATCGGATGTAGTACCGCGTTTGCTTGCTCTCCGGAAATTCCATTTCGGAGGGATCGATCGTCGACAGATTGGCCACGCACACGATTTTGGCGACGGAGGAGAATTCCATCGAAAGAGAAATAGAATCTTCCTGGGTCCTATTAAAATCGCTCAGTGAATATATAAAGGGCTCTGTTACTACATATCAAAGCACATGTGTTCTAATTTTACGTGGAGGATAGGTTCCGTTATATGTGTCCGTAATTCTACCATAAAGAATTGTGAAGATATTTCCGCCACGACCATCACAGGGAGAGATGAAGTTCAATACCTATGATTCACACATTGAGAGTAGATTGGAACAGCGATAAGTACAATACAGAAGCAAAAGAATATAAAACTAGAATACTTGTTTGACTTTTCGTTTAGTTTATGGTAACGTGTTTGCCGAAAGTAGTTCTACTCATTAGCCAAGCAAAACACAACTACGAAAAACATATTCAAAATTCTGATTCTTTAACTTATCCGTACTTTCTATTCCACCAGTATAAAGCCAATCCTTGTATTTCAAGGACGCAAATCAAAATATTTTTCGGAGTTGAGTTACTTAAACGATTACCGCGATTATCAATCCAATTCATTATCTCAATTATCTTCTCCCAATTATGTCAGATATTGAGCTCCAGTCAGAGGACGACGGCTATTTAAATGGAAGCCATGATAGTGAGGGGAATGAGGAGATTCATTCCAAAGTTGAAGGAAACGATCAGGAGAGTGTAAATAGTGAGATAAGCGAGGAGAATGAAGACGATGAAATGGAAGAAGGCAGTGATGAGGACGAAAGTGACTCTGAGCGAGGATTAAAGCGCCGGGGAGGAGAAAACAGCATTCAAAGCAAGCGCCAAGCATTCCTCGGCGACCTTGTCGACAGTGAAGCTCATGAAGACAGTAGTGATTCGGAAGACGCTGAGAACGACAAAAGTTTGGATGAAGTACACTTTTTGTGTATTACCATAATCATTTTTAGCTCAAAAAGGAAGAGGAGAAGTATCGTCAGCTTTACTCTCTTCGGAGAGCGAATCCCTACGAGGAAGCGATCCAAAACATCGAAAGTCGGATTGAGCCGTACTTTTTATCTCTCCTTTCCCCTCTCACTCCTCAGCGACGAATATATAGTCTCCCGCCGTCGCAAAGTGATCGAAGAAGAGCCTCTGCACCCCAAGGAGCCCTCGATCGACGAAGACCTCCTTCAGAAGCAGCGCGAGCTTCAGCAAGCGGCCATCAACGAATACAACGAAGTGCGAACGGTGCCCACGATCCAAGACCCCAAGATCTACTCCGTCTCCGTGCGCGTACGCCTCGTCTTCTTTTCTCTCCGATAGCGTGGCTCGGAGATGCTCGCCGTGCTCTCCCTCACCAACAAATACCTCTACTACGAAGAGCGTGTCTACGAAGGCCGCAGCTCCGTGAACGAGACGTACATCTTCTCCACCTTCTGGCTGGGCGAAGAAGGCCTCATCTACATCGAAGCCTTCGACGAGACCATGGTTCGCAAGGTCGTTAGCGGCATGAACGTCTTCCTCTCCGCGCGGCGCAACGCTTTCCAGCTCATCCCGATCACCGAGCGCACCAAACTCATCGACAATCCGCGTCCCAACAAGCCCATCCCGCTCAACGCTTTCGTCCGCGTCGGTAAAGGACTTTACCGCGGGGATCTGGGACAAGTAGTGCGCCGAATGGACGACACGGAGCAGGTCGTGCTGAAATTGGTCCCGCGGATTGACATGAGCGAGTTCGAAGGAGGCTCGTACTCCGCGGCGTCCGTGCGGCCCGAGGCGAAGCTGTTCGACCCGAGCCGGTTCCCTGAGGGGCGTGTGTCACGTCGGAACATCGCGAAGTTCGGTAGTGGAGGCGGAGGCGTGGGACGTAGGCGGGCTGTTCTTCGAGTATAAGGGGAATTACTACCGCGACGGGCTGCTGTTTAAGGAGTTCGCGATGAAGGACGTGAAGAAGGAGGACGTGAACGCGACGGAGGAGGAAATGAAGTGGTTCGCGGGGCAGCACGCGGCGGATCCGGCGGATTTGTTCAATCAGGAGAGCGATGGAGGAGAGAGCGAAGAGGGCGGAGAAGGAGAAGGAGAAGGGGAGGAGGAGAAGGAGAGCGCGAAGCAGACGAAGAACATGAAGTATTTCTTTAAGAACGACCACGTGCGGATTATCAGCGGGGAGCTGAAGAATTTGGATGGGATTATCGAAGAGGCGGATTTGAATCGGCACCAAGTGCACATTCGAGTGAGCGTAGGGGACGATTTCGAGACGCTGGTGCTGAACGAGTCGGAGATTGTGAAGGTGTTCAAGATGGGAGATCACGTGAAAGTGCTGGATGGAGTGTATGCCGGGGAGACGGGAACCGTGCTGATTGCGGATGATGGGTCGACGGGGTACTGCGTGGTGCTGAGCGATTCCGGCGATCGGCAGATGCGCGTGTTCGTGAACTTTTTGACGCTGAGCGTGGAGATCAGTCAGGGATTGACGAGCGTGGAGGGATTCAATCTGTACGATCTGGTGGCCGTAAGTGGAAATGAAATGAAATGAATGAATGAAATGAATGAAATGAATAAATTGAATGAATTGAATAAATTGAATTGAATGAATGGATGAATGAATTTTGATCGGGTTTTGAATGAAAAGAACGATCCAATTCATTCATTCATTCATTCATCTGCTCTTTCACTCATCCCTTGTTTCTCCGTTTCCCCTTCTCACCCTCCCTAGATCCCGGGCGCCAAGGTCGGCATCATCGTCCAGCTGTCTCCTCAGCAAATCACCGTTTTGGACCAGCAAGGCAAGCTCCGTTCCTTCAACCTCTACCTCATCCGCTCCAAGAAGAACAACGTCTCGCGCAACTCCACGCTCCTGGACGCGCAGCAAAGCCAGGTGCAAGAGAACGACGCGGTCTGGATCATCGAGGGCGACTACAAAGGCAAATCGGGCACCGTCAAGCGCATCTGGCGCAACTTCGTCTACGTCAAATGCCCCGCCATCGCCGAGGCCAACGGCGTCGTCCTCGTCCGCAACCGCCAGATCGTTCTCGACGCCGAGCACCAGCCCAAGAAGCGCACCGACTCCAAGGACACGGTGGAATCTCTGCAGGTTCGGCCGGGGATGGTGCACTGGGCCTCCACCAAACGCGGAAGCCGCGACAAGCGCGACACGCTCAAGGACGGGGTCAACGTCATCGTCAAGGAGGGTCGCTTCAAAGGACTCCGCGGTTATGTTTTTGATAGTAATGGTACGGGAGTTTCCACGTTTCCACGATTAGAGACGGATGTGAAGATCATGTTCCACTCGCGTCCGCAGCCGGTTTCCGTGCCGCGGAGCATCGTAATGCTCGCAGATTCGATGAACGGAGATAACGCCGAGATGGCGATGCCCGCGCATGCCATGCCCCCGCCCCCCTCCTATGCGCAGCCCACCGCCTGGAACATTTCCTACCCCCAGGGCGATGCAGAACCGCGGGGAGGAATGGGTTCGATGGAACCGCGGGGAGCGATGGGAGCGATGGGAGCGATGGAGCGGAGAGAGCCGTGGCGCGTGAAGGGAGTGCTGGTTCGCGTGAATGACGGACGGAGCGGCGTGCTGATGCGATGCGGAGAGGGAGGAAGCGATGATGTGATGTTGGATGATCATCGAGAGGTGCAAGTGCCGAAGGAAAGTTTAAGGCCGGTTATGGCGTTTGCGACGGATCAGGAAGTGCTGGTGATCGATGATCCGGACAACGTGCAGAGGGCGGTGATGGTGAAAATGGACGGGGATGATTTGGTGGTGCGGATAGACGGGTTCGATAAGATGGTGAAGACGGCCGTGGTCGTCGATCCGAAAGTGTACGAGGAACATCATTAACCACGCATTGTTTGTTTCACTCCGTATTCTTTTCTTTTCATTTTTCCGAGATGGGGTCGATGCGTCTTATGTTGCTACCATGCAGTATGGATTTGGCCATTTTACGAATCTAGTCCTATTTCTCGTGATCTCTTGCACTTGCGAGCAAACGAGCGATGTACTGTTTGGAAGAGCGTGCTTACGACTTAGACCCCTGTGGAACGCCGGTTTACCCATCTTAAAACGAAATCTGTGGAAAGTATGGAATTCGAAAGCAGCTTTCCCAATTAGGGATCTACCGTCCTGTACAGAGCGATCAGCACGACGATACCATGGTTTGGAAGAAGTCTACTGAAGCTAAACGACTCCAAGACACGGAAAATGAACTGGAGTCTGGTACAAACAGAAAGGACTCTGAGCAAGCAACCAACGGTAATGCTTTTCCTTTTCCTACGGAACTTCCACTTTCTTCAAAGCACCGAAGCTCTTCGGATTCTGCAAATTTTGTGATGTTAAATTACTCTGCTCTTTCCCTTACACCCATATCCGTTGTAGTACAAGTCAATGTAAGTTCGCCCTCTCTTGTGTGGTGCGGCGCTCTAGCCCCGGGAAAGCAATTCATCCCGGAAGATATCAAAGCCTCCCACGCCGGTATCTTAATACAAAGCATGGATTGTTTAAGAAGCTTCACTCTAGATTCCTCCATAATCACGGTAAACGCCTTGCGCCCAAACACGCTGTACAATCTTTATTGCTATGGTGAATCTGATTACGGATCCATGGCTGAATCCCCTTTAACTTCGATGAAACGAATTAATACGCCGTCTACTATCTTCCAAATTAAAAACGAAAAGATCTGGAACATGATGCTCTCCTTCGTTTTAGAAAGCAACATTCTTCTAGACGCCACTTGCGTTCTCTTTGACGACCAATGTAATTAAAAAATAGTGAGGTTGATCCAAAGCGAGGGAAATTAAATCGGTGCGCACCAATTCTGTGGTATCGCAAACGGTTCATTTTGAAGCAATCGATTCGTCACGGCGCTACTTTGTTCAATGTGCGATTATCTCCAATGGACAAGGTAGATTCTTGGTGAGAGTTGTAACTTGTGCAGAGATCGCAAAGACGGATATCACTTCCTTTAGCAATGTTCCAAAGCGTGTTTCCTTTTTTTACATCGCGGTAAAAGCGATCATTATCATTTTGCTCTGTCTCATCACCGCTCTTCTCATGTCTCTCACGTATTTCCATCGTCGTCATACCACTCTGTCGATTTCCACGTTTGTTTTCATGTAGATATGACAATGATGAGTCGGAGAAAGTCGCTTTGCTGCGCAGAAAACCCAGATTTCCGCCCACGCCACGTACGTTCTGCCAGGATTTCGAAGCGGGGGAAAGAGTGAAAGGCAGCAAGGAGCTTCTTCGGTATCATCAAAACGATACGAAGGAGGAAAAGAGCGATGAGAAGAATGAAGGGAATGGGATGGAGTAGTAGTATTGTTTTATTTTTAATAGTTTTATTGTGCATTTTGGATTTGTTTTTTCTCAAGAAATACGATGGATCTTGTTGTGGGGAGGGAGTTGAGAGTTGATGTGTTTGTTGTGCAAAGGTAAGAGAAATTGAGTTTTGTGGGATGTGGATTGTTGGATATAGGGATATACATTGAATGTAGGCGAATAGATAGCCCTGATTTGTGCAAGGATTCGGTAGGATCGCACAGGAGTTCAAAATTAGGATTATCATTGTATGTATTTTATAGTTCCATGATTAAACTACACTTTTCATTCACTGTAGAGTCCCTTCACTTCATTGCCATTGCTTCATTACCCTTTTCACTCAAACAATGCAATAAATACAAACAAAATCCAAATTGAAATCATGCTTATGGCCCCACTCGCGCAACGGAGCCATCGAAGTCAGCAACAAGATACGTCGAATCAAATCAATCTCCATGACCTTCGCCTACTTCACAGCAACCCCCCAACTCTACAATAGCCAACCGGAAGCAGTCATCCCTATACTCCACGGCCTGGAGGAAGTGCTTCTTGGCCTGCTTGTACATGAATTTGAGCTACGTGGGACATTGAATTCATTTCTACTTCGCGCAGATCGTGGCTTTCGTTGTAAACCCACGGACGCTTCGTGGACCTTCTCCGATTCACCCTGGCCCCGGGAACCCTGGGTCTCTGTTTTCCTCTCCTTCCGACTACCGTTGTTTCTTTCTTTTCTGTTTCTGTTTCTGTTTCTGTTTCTGTTTCTGTTTCTGTTTCTGTTTCTGTTTCTGTTTCTGTTTCTTTCTGTTTTTCTTTCTGTTTTTTCTGTTTTTTCTTCTCTGCTTTTTCTCTTTCTTTTTCTTTCGCTTCTTCCTCCGCTTTGGCTCGTTCTTTTGCTTTCAAATACCGATTCTTCGCATACATATAATCCGTATACAAAACCGACAGCTACATCCCATCCCGCCCCATCCTCTTCTCTACCATTTTCTTCGTATTCGCTTCGTTCTCTCCTTCCTGGATCATCATCTCCACGTCGATCGCGATTCCGCTCGAATACGACGTCGCGAACCACGAGATTTGCTCGAAGCAATCGCACAAAAACTCCACTTTCCCGCGGTTCGTCGACAAATCCCTATCCCTCATATCGTGGAAACGTGGAAACCAGCTCCCCGCGGTTCGATTCAACAAGAAATCGAACACTTCGCGAATCCGAATGAATCGTGTGCGGTTCCAGAAGGCGGCGGTGTCGATGTCGGGAATGGCTGGGCGGTAGTAAATTAATTCGTTGGTTGGTATTTCCATGAAGAGTTTGATGCTTTCGAAGACTTTGAGACCCAGATTGCCGTAGAGAGGGAACTAGGGGAAAGAGCGGAAGAGTGGAAGGAACGTAAATCGTGCTGGAAAGAGTGGAAGACTTGGTTTGGTAGGTGAACGTGACCGAGCGGTCCTCATCATTCACCGTGAGATCGTCTCTCCTTATATAGTTGAGAGGAATGACTGGAATGTCGAGCTGATTTATCTAAAGGTGAGAAAAGAAGAAATAGCAAACCAAAGAACAAGAGAAGCCGCAATTGTCAATAAGCCAAGCACAGACGGCTGTTGATCTGGAAATTAATTGGATTGACGTGTTTGATACTTTATGTATAGAGCAGAACTCAACAAGCCGAGAACGATTTGATTTCGGATTTCCTCTATCATTCACATTGTTGTGGACTGACTATACGCATGGTGTGCTCTTCTTTGAATGTTATGATCCTCATCTTATTCTTTGTTTCTTCGACTCCACTACATGCTCAATTCATTATACAGTCCATTCTATATCTAAAAATATAAAAAAATATGCCGACACTCTTCGGATTCGTCAGAAGATAGCTGCAGCAGCTTCCTGGCTGCCGCCATCTTTCTCTTTCTCTCCTCATCTAATTTTAGTTTGATACTAGAACATAGAATCACACCACTACACCACACCTTTGGAATGTTCTCCCTTTCCTCTATGAATATTAAATTGAAATTGTGTACTACCAAATTACCGTCACGAAGAGTAATTTTTCTTACCTTGGGTTGATCCATACTTTTTTATGGTTACTCGATGTGCTGCATTGTGTTATCGGATACAATATACGTTTATCAACAGCTGGCGGACCAACTATGCTTCGTGAATCAATCCTTTGGTAAGTGATATAGAATCAAAGACCTACAGAGAGTTCGTGCGAATGATTCGAGTATGCATTATTCCTATTCTCCTACTCATCCAAACACTCTATGCTACTTCTAGGGTGCGTGGGTCTCTCAAATTCATCACGCAAGATACGATGACAGCAACCATGACATCGAAACACGATTATGATGTGTATGATAATCCTGTGGATGTGGTGGTGACATTTTCTCAAGAAACGGAATCGCTTGAAGCAGAGCACTGTATCGTATTCCTTGATTCTTGGTTTACCTTACCGGTGTAGATTGTAAATGGAGCTGTTCATTCGATTACCAAGCAATCGTCGACATCGTTTTGCATTTCAATAGTTCCAGCAATGCCCGGCTTTTTCTCTGTAACCTTGTCCAAATCCGTTACCTCCGTCTCTGGCGATACACTCATCAATCCACCCATCCTGGAGTTCAACTATTTAGGGTGCGAAATCACATCGAAGCGAGTCACCACAACCACCACATCCTCCATAACAGTCACAATCATGACTAGCAAGCCATCCTATCTTTATGGATTGATTTCATCCACTCCCATGCAGTCTGCGCCGTCTGCTTCCACCATCATCTCCCAAGCACAAGCATCTTCTGAGCAGCTTTCCACTTCCCATCTTCTCCAGTTTACCGATCTGGAAGAAGACACCAAATACACAATATATTTGGCAGGAAAGGAAGAACTGGGAACGCTTCTCGCAATCGATGAGCATCTCACGGCCCAGACAAGGTCTTCCGCTGAGCCCGATGAAGAGGACTGGGATGCTAAATCAGATGGCACGATATGTAAGAGTGGATGGGCAATTTCGAAGGATACGAACACGCTGGAATTGCTTCCCTGCTCGTATAATGGATATTGCCAGCAGTCCAAATGCATGTAGCAATGAAAAGGGGTTTGCATTGTAGATGTGCACAGAATTATGAAGGAGAGGCTTGCGAGTCCATTGTTCAAGATCCATTGGACCGAACAAACAAAACGCATCAACTGACGCATGTTAAAATGATGTTATGGGGAGAATTTGATGAATCGTCGCGACTGGAAGCATACTGGAAATTGTCCTTACGAGAAAGCAATAGTCTTTGTTCGCGGAATAATCGATAGTTGTAAGTGATCGACTCTCCTTATCGCCTTCCCTTGTTCAAATTCGTCACTGGAAGTATCCAGAAACAACAACTCTGTCTTCATTAAGCCGATTCATAGGTCTTTCTGATGAGAAGGAAAAGACGATCGCTATCCATGTAATGGTTTGCGGAACGTGTGATCTAGATGACCGTTGTTACAGGGCAAGATATGCTCGTTCTGGTGACAAAACGATTGAATGAGATGATTGCAGAGAATGACATCAAAGAAGGAATGAAGGGAAAGCGACTGACCATCACAAAGGCAGAGGTGACAGCCACCTTCACGCAGGAAAATTCGGATTTGTGGAGTTGTTATGACGAAGAACACAATGATGATGAAACGGATACAGATTGTGGAGGAAGCTGTGCAAACAAGTGTGTGCTTTTGGAAAAGTGTGGAACGGATGCAGACTGTGTGGAAGGTTTGTATTGCACAAGAAATAAGTGTATTGACCGCAGTAAGCCTGGGTTGGTTGTGTCTGAAGGTTTCTAGATTGGAAGCAAGTGTTCATTGTGGCTGTGTGCATCGTTGGTCTCATTGTTGTGATTGTGGTTGTTGTGATTTTTGGTGGAATGATTTACCAAAAAGTATTTATAGAGAATTTATTGTTTTACTGTAGATAGCCAAAGCTTCTCGTCGTAAATGGTTTGTTTGTTTCAAAAAACAAGGGAAACAGAAACAACAGTGTTGTTGTTTAAAGGTTTATGCGACATGAGACGATTGGCATTGGCCACCTGGGTTTGTTGTCTTTGTTGTTCACAGATCTATACACATTACTGAAAGAAAAGTATAAAAAAACATGCATGATTTGTGTAGTAGCTTGATGGATGTGTTCTAATCTATAACATTTTGAGCCATTTCGGTATTTCTAGAAAGAATCTATCAGGCGAATCAAACCTGAAGATGCGATTTGATGTGTTCGGACTGTAAGTTACTGCGGAATTTGATGAGGTGAGGAAGGAGAACACGAGGCGAAGTTTCTGCACATGAGTCAACTTGCCTTGTCTCACTTTTCAGTGCCAAATCAAAAATGGTAGACCGAATACAACTTTTGATGAGGTCTTCCTTCTGTTTTGACAACGTTGCCATGTCAACAGGAGGGTTATGATATCCAATTCCCGAGAGAATTGTCCACACATTTTGTGATATCAGTTGGTTGTTCATTTCATACACATTTTGACGGATTTTTCAAAACAGTCAAGTCAAGTCAAGAATCTTCCAAGGAATATTCTCAGATTAGGGGCCAAAGGGCAGAAATAGGTACCTCTCTCTCCATAAAGGCCCGAACATCGAGAGCATTTAGGGTCGGCGCTGTTTCCATTATTCTTTTGAAGGTAGGTAGTGTGCTTGATTTGGTTCACCGGATTCGTATCTATGGTCCCTCTTTTCGTGGGGTGATCAGTCCTCAAGGTCCGAAGATTGATCCGTCTTTCTCTTTATCCGTTGGAGAGACCGTTGTTTCTTCACTTAAAGACCAAAGATATAACGTGCTCGTAGGTTTCTCTCAGTTATCGCGCCTCCTTCTGGTTCTCTGTGATCTGCAAGGTTTTTCGGGGTCTGTAAGGGTTTCTGATCGATGGAGTGTTTTTGGTGGTCAGGTTCGTTCAGTTCCTTCCCTGCAGACCTCTAAATGTGCAAAATCCTTGTAGTTGCTGGACCGAAGATATTGTAGTTTCACAAACACAGAATACATTGTACTGTTTGTTAGCATACGAAGCTTCTGACATAAACGTGGCTCTAACGATCCTTTTATTAAACCTTCTTCCAATCAGCGCCACTGCAGCGGACGCAGCTTGCTGAATATTTGGATACTCCACAATCACGTTCCCCACTCCCGGACTTTCGCCTCGCGGAATCGCCACCGACAGTACTTGTCCAAAGCGCGAGCATTCCGTCTCAATATCGGCCTTAATATCGAGATAGTCCTCCGGATTCTCCAAATCCTCCTTCGTCACCATGTTCTTCAACACAAGAATGCGCGATGGCGGCGACTTCTGAATCTGCCCTCCCGTGTTGATTCCAGCCTGCTTCAGCAGCTTCGCAGCGGTCTCCCTGGCCTTGTCGCTCTCTTCGAGGAACGGAACCTTCAAGTTGGGGAGATCCATGGTGGCCTGCTCAATGATCGCCGGATCGAGCTTCACCATCTCTTCTCCCTGCATAATCGGCATGGGCTTCTGCTGCTTGACCGCCACAGGCCGTACGACGATGGATTGGTCGCACACCTTAATTCCATTAATGTTCTTGCACACGAGCGGAACGACCTCCGGCGACGCGTACACCACATACCCGAACCCGCGCGACTCGTTCGTCTGCGGGTCCCGCGAGATCGTAATCGACTTCACCTCGCCGAACGACGCAAAGATCGGCTTGATCTGCTCCTCGTCCACTCCCGCGGGGATTTCTCCCACGAACACCTTGCAATTGGCCTCGTTGTCGCCCTGCGCCATCGCGTCCGCGATCGCTCGCGCGCCTAGCTTGGGCGTGAACCCGATCTTGTCCAGCTGGAGCCGCGGAGGCCGGCCGGAAGGCATGGGGACGTCGGCCGGGTTGAAGGTCGGCGGACGCACCACGCCGATGCTGATGCCCTCGTAGGGCAGGCCGTCGAGAGCAAGGCAGGCTGTGGCCAGCTCGGGCGTGGCGAACTCCACGATGGCGTAGCCTTGGTCTTTGTAGGCGATCAGCGAGGTGATGGGGGGCTGGGGGACCGGCTGGTCCACACACTTGAGGATCACGTCCACGAGGAAGTCTTTGAGCTTCTGGGGGGGAGAGGGAGAGGGAGAGAGATACCATGTCTTGATATTCGGTGGGGAGATTTGTGATGAAGAGACGCAGAATTGATTTGGATTCGGCCGTTTTGGCGTTCAGAGTGTTGGCTAAAACGCCGATTGTGCCGGTTGCGGTCAGCAGAGCTTCCGGAATGCCCTCGGGCTTTTGATCGAATAATCCTTTCTTCTTGTTTGTGCTGAAAGATTACGCAGAGATTCAAAAGACGCACCCACTACGGTCGCCGTGCGAACGACTCGGAGACCTCGAATGGCGTCGACTATGACGGTCGGAAGATCGTCTGCTGTCATAGCTATGCGATCGGTGACGATGGCTACGACTCGAGCGGTGGCTGTCTCTTGAACGCGATCTGCTGTTACGTCCCATTATCTAGATGTCACTCTCACTTGGATAAAAACTCACAATTGAGTTTCACGAATTCAAATCAGAAAACACCCAATATTGACGATTTCTGATTAGTTCGCAGAATTCTGCCGAATTTCTGGATTCCTAAAAATCAGAGGGATATATTGAACTTGAAATGGGTTCAAGGAATATTGATCTCAAGAAATATTCAATTTTACAATTGCTGGTCACTTTCGTCCTATTGGCTGTTGCTGCTGTACTACAATTTTGTCCAACAAGGAAAACGGAGTTTTTGGAGGGGGATCTGTCGATTTCGCACACGTGTGGCAATTCCGTGAGGTAATTTTTGTGGAAGGTTGTTGAGGTGAAGTATTGTGATGATTATCCTCTATTATGCTATCAGCGCTCTCCTTCTCATGGTCCTACTTTGCTTGTTTATTGATCGACCCCAGTTGTTGAGGGTACGAAGTGTTTGAAGTGTATTATTTGTTTTAGGTGTTGGTTCATTTCATCTTAACTTGTTCGCGCGTTTTAGGCGTTGATCTAGTGCTCGTGAACATTCTAAAAGTGTTCACTGGGAGACCGCGTCCATGCTTTTTCGATCTCTGTGGTTACCCATCGACCGATCATATCTATGGTCAGTTCGGTCAAATTGGGGATGTTTACAAGTGTTCTCACTCTGTATGCTTGTTCATTGATTCCCATTATAGTACTATGCGGTTAATGACGCGTTCCGCTCGTTTCCGTCCGGTCACTCGATGCTTTCCGCTTCTGTTTTTGCCTTGTATTATGTGTTCCTAAACGTCATTACGGCCGAAAACAAGCGGTGGAACCCACGAATTCTCTCTGTTGGCCGATGCAGGACTGATTGACCGTAGATGGTGACGATGATTTTGAAAGTTGTTTTCTTCCTTTTGTCCAGCTTGCTGAGTGCCACGCGCATTGTAAGGTTTGAAAACGATGGGTTGAAGTGTAGTTTGACTATCGACACTTTGCATCGGATGTGGTTTGTGGGTTTTTGCTTGGAATCGTCGCTACCTTCTTTGCAGAGAGGAGTTTGTACTGGAGCGATGATTTGTCGTATGAGGAAGCGGATTTATCCGAGAAGGAAGGCTTAATTGGCAATACAGAAGTGTAGTGTGGGCAGGAGTGGAGTTCTTTATGGATTGTACCATCATTTATTTTATCACTTTAATTCTTACCAATAAAATCGTTTGTTTGTTGGAACCAGGGCAAATTTGTTTTGTGGGTTGTTTCTTTGTGTTTGTAGTTACAATATATATATAATATATAATATATATATGATAAATCATTATGTCTTTGGATAATTCTATGGAGTTTGGTCCGCCAAGTATATGCGAAATGGATATATACCAAACATATACAATGAACACATATCATAATCAACTTTCCATTATTACCAAAAAAAGCATACATAAATATATAAGCTCGCACCTACCAAACAGAATTCATTTAAAGGCGGGAAGGGGACCAGCCAGAGTTCAACTTAACAAAGAGGTTAAGCACCAAACTGAGGCCGTTCCATACCCTTACAAAAATTGGATCGTAATCTACGATGCCTCCATTATCAGTGGAAGCGTTAGTTTCCTTACTCATTAGTTTGAGGCCGATTTTGCTTTGGGGTCTTCAGGCTCTTCCAGAATTAAGTGAATTTTTGATTATGGGTTTGGGGAGGACTCGTTTTTTTTTCAATTGTTTGTCAACAAACCATTCTACGCTCATTAAACGTAATGATTCACAAAAGAACAAAAGGGCAAAAGGGCAAAAGGGCAATCAATCGAGTCAAATAGTAAAAGTGATGATCCAATGAAAAACGAAAGCTTGCATTTTAAAATAACTTAATTCGTCTTTCGAGACTTGAGAATACGAGCAAGCTTTTCCATAGTAGACTGCTGCTTCTTTAGGTCGCGGGAGAACTCAACATAAAAGGTTAGGTATAAAGAGCTGAGGAACTGAAGGTTTTGCTTCATCTCCGAAATCTCTCTCCTTAGCTTATCCACATCGCACAAATTCTAGGAAACAAACCAAAAGGCTCACTTACTTCGCCATGAATAAGACTCAACTCGACAGAAGCCTTCGCGACATAGGAATCAAAGATACTTTTCATTTTCTGTTCCAGATCCAATAAATACTGTCTCTCTTCTTCGATTTGACGAACCTTGCAGTAGTACTCCTCTGTAGCGGCTTGATATCCGCAGTTGTAATAATAATCAGATAACACGGAAGGAGAGGCAGAAGAAATAGGCGAACCTTTCGGCGGCAAATATCGAACCTTGTCATTTTTCTTATTCTTATGCATGGCGATTCACACATACCACATGGAGCGACTGCACACCCATTCTTGAAGGTTCCTTGGAAGAACAACCATCTTGCGAAACTATAGGAACTGTATCCCCTGTGCTGTTTGTGCAGGCTGTTTCCGATGCTGATATAGATGTATTTGGTGGAACAGTGTCATTTACCTCATGCTCAGCAGATACACACTCCACCTACAAAGAGATATGAGTACAAGCCGGAAAACATCTCCAATCTGGAGGGATGTGAAGAATGGGTAACAGACAAAGAAAACAGTTACCATTGGATTCACTGGGAATCATTACGAGATGGATCGATAAAGTGAAGAAAGGTTGTTGTTTTATACCAAGTGGTTGTCAATTTGTCAGTTCCGTTGATTCATAAGATATGGCCGTTCCACAAGTGTGCGATCATTCTTCCGGTTGCAAGGCCAATAAAACGTGGTGGCTTTGCTAAAATCGGAAAAACTTACGATCCCCAAACGATCTATAGTAGGATTCACACGAGCCACTAGGCAAGGTTTCGAGCCCTCAGTCGCAATACCCAAGATCGAAGCTTCTAGAAGGTGAAGTGATAACGCAATGGCTGATTCAATGAGTGGAATAAAGCAGCTCGCCAATGGATTTTATTCTGCCGATTGCACAAATCGAACCCTCACTTATCATCATATTTTTATATTAATCTTAAGATCAATGAGTGGTGCTCTTTCTTTCCTTCATCCTGGTGTCCTTACTGGAGACGAAACCATGGAACTGTTCAGATATGCTCAGAAGAACGGATTTGCTATTCCTGCCGTGAACTGCACAAACACTGATACCATCAACGCTTGCCTGGAGGCTGCTGCTGCTATCAACAGCCCCATCATCATCCAGTTCTCGAATGGAGGTGCTGCCTTCATTTGCGGAAAGAGTGTGAAGAGCGACAAGCCTCAGGGTCAGGCCGTGCTCGGATCCATTGCCGGAGCCAAGTATGTCCACTCTGTGGCTGCTGCTTACGGAGTGCCCGTTGTGCTGCACACTGACCACTGCGCCAAGAAGCTGCTTCCTTGGCTGGATGGCTGCCTTGATGCCGATGAGGAGTACTTCAAGGAGACCGGCAAGGCTCTGTACTCTTCTCACATGATCGATCTGTCCATCGAGACCCTCGACGACAACCTTGCTCTGACCTCCAAGTATCTGGAGCGTTGCAACAAGGTGGGCGTGCTTCTGGAGATGGAGATCGGTGTGACCGGAGGAGAGGAGGACGGAGTCGACAACAGCGGTGTTGAGAACTCTCGCCTGTACTCTCAGCCCGAGGAGATCCTGAAGGTGTACACCACCCTCGGAAAGATCACTCCTCGCTTCACCGTGGCTGCTGCCTTCGGAAACGTCCACGGAGTGTACGCTCCTGGTAACGTGAAGCTGCACCCTGAGATCCTTCACAACGCTCAGAAGTACGTGAAGGAGCAGCTGAAGCTGGAGGACAACAAGCCCGTGATGTTCGTGTTCCACGGAGGCAGCGGTTCTCTCCCTGAGGAGATCGACTGCGCTGTGGCCGCCGGAGTCGTGAAGATGAACGTGGATACCGATACCCAGTGGGCCTTCTGGAACGGAATCCGCAACTACTACCTCAAGAACGAGGACTACCTCCAGAAGCAGGTCGGTACCTCGACTGATCCCACTCATCCCAACAAGAAGTTCTACGATCCTCGTGTGTGGATGAGAGAGGGAGAGAAGAGCATGGTGGAGCGTATTAAGGAATCGTACAAGTGCCTCCATGGTGAGAACCGTAACTAAACGGAGTCACAAATTGTAGTTATTTATTATTTTGTTCTTTATGTTTGTTCGTAAACATTTATTTGAGAATGTAGGAGATTGAGTTATTCTTGCCTATGGGGTACAGATCAAGCTGGTAGCCTTCGACATTGACGGTACTCTCACCGACACCATGGCGCATTTGTACGAGACCGATGATTTCCTTCAGCAGTATGCCATAGAGAAGTATCCTCAGGTAAAAGCCGAGGAGCTCGATCAGTATCTGTAGCCTCTCGAATCTTGACTGCTAGAGTCACTCAGAAGAATATGGAATTCATCCGGAATCACCCAGAAGTCAAGATAACGGTGGGCGAAATACGGAGAGTGTTTTACCAGGACATTGGAAAGAAATATAAGTAAGAACGATCGAGCACTCTGAAACCAAGCTGTCCGGAATCATTCGCTGATGATCTGTATGATACCTGGCAAAAGAAGCGGAATGAGGTAGCAACCATGGAATTCTGTGAATGTAGTACAAAGTTTATCCATGTGTCGAGCCTCTTTTCAGGCAAGTGAAGCAGCATGGCTGTCTGCTAGTGGTCATCACGGACGGCACTGCTGATTTTACCAATATTCCGTACCTGAACCAGTACGTAGATCTGTTTGTCAGTCCCCAGACATGCAACGTGACCAAAGTCAACGGAGAGGCGTATTCTGCGGTAATGAAGGCCTATCCGTCAATTCCTGCCTCCTCCTGTGTGATGATCGGAGATAATCCGATTAGTGATATTCTGAGAGCGCGAGAGAAGGGATGGAAAACCATCTACATTGCGCCTTCTTCCGATGAGTCCGCTGCGGACTGGACGGTTCCCTCTGTGAGCGAACTATTATCGAATTCATTTGTTTGAGAAAACACACAAAAACGCTAAATGTACTCCGCAATCAACGCATCCACATCTGCAAAGTCCGTATCAACTATACACTTCTCAATCACTTTCACTACGATAAAGGACTCAACGTCATGCTGCCTATAAGGAGGGATATGCAATGTAGGATTCTCTAGAGCAGCGGCTACACGCTCCTTGTCATTGATTTGCCGGTTGAGCGATTCTTCCGTGTTGTGTGTTCCGGGCGATATGTATACTCTGGATTTCAGGCGACGGGGAAGACAGCGGTCCAGTTTCACTCGAATACACAACCCAATCACAGCAGCCTGACTAGACCGTTATTTGCATGCTCCAGGTGTACGTGCAGTTTGGAATAGTGGGGGTGAAATATACAATTACTCTGTTTTCCTCGTTGTCGACAGAGATGTTAGCCAACTACAGAAAAAACGAAATGAACGGAGAACTTGAATCACGTTGAGTTGTTCCAAATTCATAGGATACTCGGGGTCCTTGATCGTACGAAGATAGTCTAGGCCATAAGTTTCGAAGTAGAAGCATTTACTAAACACTTCGAGTGCATCAATCTCCTCCTTTTCTGCGTGCGAGGGGTCATGTAGCTTCGACCTTCTAGTAATCTACCTTTTGACCTTCAACTCCCATCATAATACACTCGCTATTTTGTAAATGATCGGACTTGTGTTTTGAAATATAGAGAGGTCGTCCATTCTTTATTTGAGTGTTTTTGAAAGAACCGATTTTACTTTTTCCAGTTGATTTGGTCGGATGGGACAAGAAATATCTCTTTCTGAGAATTTCAATCGCACAAGAGAAGGTTATCACACTCCTCCTTGGTATGATTCTTTTGGATGCTATTTTTATATTTGTAGGTTCGTGTTCAGTCATGATATCGTTCCGCAAGACGTTCGAGTTGCTATTTCTTTTATTTCGAATCAGAAGCTGAATGTTCCGACTAGTTACGCAATAAAAAAGTGCATTCTGTCGTTCTGTCATCAATCCTAGCCCGGAAGAGAAGGATCCATTCTCTGCGCTTTATTTGTATATTTACCACCGAATAGGTATTGTTTGTCCAGAGCTGATTCGCGTTGGTATACTGGCTTTGTGGTTATGGGTAGGTTAATCTCGAAGTGGACGAGGATGCATCGATTTCATTTTTATCTTATAAAGCAAGTGGAGTCAAAATTGGAAACGTAACTAAGGTTGAGAATTTTAAGCATGCAGTCTCTTTTTACTCTTATTTTTGACACAATTCTGCAGTCTCTTTCCCAAATCAATTCCAGTGTGGTAATCCTTAACATCGAAATATTCATATAGGAGCTTCACTGTCAAGCTTGCCACATCGTTCGACACATGAGTGACAATTGCATATCAGCGTCTGTCTTTCTGGAGATCGTGAACACTGTCATCTCCGCTGTGGTCCTCTTCGCAGAGTACGAAATGGGTTGCGTTTGGAAATTAGTATCAACATGGAAGACCCAGGAATCATCGCGATTCGTCGGGTTTTTTCGTTTTTATACGAGATTTACTTCGAATTGAATTGCTCTGCGTGCAACTCGGATAACGTGACGCTGACACAAGTGATGCTGAAGAATGGTTTGGAGAGAAGCGGAGAATCGAACATAGATGAGAACTTGATTGAGTGGATTCCGGGGTTGTTGGGTTCGGGCGTTTGTTGTGTCGATCAATTGACGCTCTGGCTGATTGATATTGTGAATATATCCCTTGTTTGGTTGTTTGTTTCTTTGGTGAGTGGGTTGGTTGTTGATTGTTCACTTTGTTCACTTTGTTCACTCTATTGGTTGCCTTCATTCAACGTGCTGAGTCACATGAAATGCAAAAATCGGCTGCAGTTGAACATTAGCGACGTGGTCTCGTTCGCGATGAACTACGCTGTGATCGGATTGGAGCGAGAAGAGGGACTTTTCAAATCGAATCCATATCCTTTTTTTATACTCAACACCACGAACCCATTAAACTCATTAAAACATTTCATAAACACGGTATCCTTCACTTCCAGATCGTATCCTCATCGAGAAAAACACTTACAACAACACCAAGAATTGCGACTCAAAATCCGAGCGATTCAGCAGCAAATCCCAACCACCGATCCAACCATCGTCGCAATGCGAGTCCATTCCCAACGCCTCCCTTCAGAAATAGCTTCAAAACGTGCTCTCCGAATGGCTCACCGTCCACGTCTTCCACTCCGATAAGTTCATGGCGAAGTGCTGCTTCCCGTCGAGTGGTTTGAAACAAGGCAGAATCTGCAAAGCGTGCGCCTCCTCGATGATCGAAGAACCCATCGACGTGTTGTATTTGAAGAAGTATTCGAACTGGAATGAAGAGAAAACGGTTTGGCGTGTTTAAGGCAACAAACATTGCATCAACTAGAGTCATCGATGGTGTTGTCCTCGTCGACTTGAATGGCTTCCGCGATTTCTTTCAGCAACTCGCTGTTTTCGGCTCGGATCCGCGAGTTCTCGATCTGAAGCTGCGATATCACGTTCTAGACATGAGGGAATCCAAATTGCGAATCGAACATTGCGCTCTAGGATGATCTCGTTTAAGTGGTATATCTGCTCCTGTAACTGTTCCTTGTTTCGGATCTCGTTCTAGGGAATACGAGGAAATCACACAAAGCTTACCTCGAGTGAAGCATAGTCTTCCGAGAGGATTTGAAGTATATCGTTCAACTGATCGCGCTCAATCTAGGTCATAGCTTGATCAAGCAAATACCAGATAATTCTGACGCTCGTCCTTTAAAATAGCCACCTCGTTTTCTTTCAGCTACGATCAATTACGAAAACAAGAAGCGTACTTCGAGATCTCTTTGCATTTTCTGTAGTTGCATCTGTGTTGTAGTGTTTTCTGCGTTTATCACGGCGATATCGTCCAAGTTCGTTGAACTCTACACTCAGAACTCGCAAACCAGATTTACAAACACAGAAGAAGATTTACTAATCGCTAAGAGTTTTCTACGTAACAGATCCACAAGCAATCTCATACTGATGTTCTGCCTCCACCATCGGCCTCACTACACTCATCCCCTCTTGCAGAGTGGCCAAGAGTCCATAGATCCGATCGATCTGCTGCTCCATAAGAAAAAACTTTCCAATCCTTGGGATTCCACAACAAACACGTCAAATCTCATCCTCATAATCCTCTTCCTCCTCGACGACCGGCGCGTCCTCTCCATCCCACGGCTGCACCTCCACGAAGGCGGGCAGTTCGGGCAGCGGCTTGGTGCGCACGGATCCAATCTGCAATCCCTTCACAAACACGTTCAGATTATGCTCCGTGAACGCTCCGGTCTGCACAGCATACCGTCCCTTATTCCCACTAATCTACTCCTCACTGCTCTCTCTCTCTCCTACAGCCACAACAGCTGGATAGCCGAATCCGAGGTTCAGTTTCTGCTCCAGATCGTACTGCGAGCCGCCCACCACCCAGCCGTATTCGAACAATCCGGCCACCTGCGCGTCCGCCACCGCCTTCACCGTCGCGATCAGCGCCTCGCGCTGCGTCTTGGTCGAGTCGCGGATGTCGGGCACGAAGAGAAGCATGCAGGTCGCTTCCATGCACGCCTTATTGAACTGCTCCTGCGTCGTGATCTCCTTCACTTCCACCGGCTTCGGCGCTTTCGCCGCTTTGGGGGGCTCCGTTTGCTCCTGACGGGGCTCGTCCTTCGCCTGCTGGCGAGGCTTCGGCATCTCGGCCTTCCCGGAGAGACGGGCGGACACGAGACTCTTCGCAGCCTGCAATTACGAGGCAATCAAGAAAACGTACGGAAAAGGCAGCTTTGCAGAAGGACTTGGCGTCACGCTGGTTCTGGTAGTCAGTAGGAGCGTTGTTCAAGGGATTGAAAATCTTGATGGTAGGAAAACCCTGAATCTGGTAACGAGAAGCCAGACTCTGCTCCACAGTACAGTCCACAGCACCTGAGAGTAAAAATGAGAATACGAATACATACCAAAGTGAACAATGCCAGTCATTGCACCGGCAGCCTTAATCCACTCGTCCTTCATCGCCTTGCAGTGTCCGCACCAACTAGAAATCATCACAGCACGCAAGAACGCACGGAGCGAAAAACTCCACCATCCACACATCTCCACTATTCAAAACAAGTTCTTTAAAATTCTTCTCCGTGAGAATTGTTACAGGCCCATCTTCAGTATAAAAAGCAAAGGTAGTACTAAATGGAATCGCCTCTCGCTACCCAAACCTAAGAAGAATCAAGCAGGCAATAAAAACGGCTCTCATCATACAATTCTTTGATATTATTCAATTGAATACCGAAACTTCTAGAATTGATGGGAGTTTCACTCATCTTTTAACATGATTTTCCTGTGCAATGCAAATGGCATTTCGATCCAAATCGATAGAATCGGATCAGCAGAAACGTTGGAGTACAACAAACACACTTATGTCCATTCTCGCGTTGGTGGGCCAACAAAGTGCGTAGGAATTCGTGAACCTTTGCCTCGAGGCACCAAATAAGCGTCCCATGCTCGTCTACATATCAGATAAGCAGTTTGCATCGACCGAACTGAAATGAGCTTGTTTATATCTCTTTGTGCGCCAAAATAGTAAGAATCGTCGTCTTCTTCCTCTTCCTTCTCCTCAAATACCCTACATGTCATCACTCCCAAACCCCCTACATTTCCTTCTTCCTTTTGATTACAGCCTTCTCGTTGTACGTTGCTGTTTCTTTGCGTGCTCTTAACAAGAGAGGCGGATCCTCAGAAGGTTGAGACCCGGGCTTATAGCCTTGGCTTTTCAGCTTCGAAAGACGTAAGCAATAAAGAGAATCGATAGAACACACCAGTTGCTGAATCTCGTTCCTTTTTCGTAGTAACTCCTGGATTCTTGATTCTTTCTCATATATTTTGTTTCGTAACTCCTCTTCCTCCTTTTCTTGTTCAATCAGTTGCTCGCGCTCAGCTTTCCACTTGTCAATTTGTCTGAAATGATAGGATTCATTTCATAACACCTACTTATTTCGTTGATTTAGCATAGTTCGATAGAATGCGCCCTTTACTCGAAAAAGTCTTCTTCTCTTCAATTTCCATCGTCTCTTTCGCTCCACTTGCAGGAGTTTATTCACAATTGCAGTCTTCTTTGAAGGAGTGTTCACAAATTGGGTGAGTTGTTCGATGGACGATTTCAACTCTTCACACTGGACTATATCTACAATCTCTTCGCCGGATTCCAGCTTTTTCAGCGATGCTTCACAAATCTCTTTCAAACGCCTTGCTGCCACAATGGACTGTGAGAGTGTCTTCCTTATCACAGTAGACGACGGAACTCCCGCTGTACTCTCCATGATAAAAAAGAGTATTTCAATGGTTGCAAAGCAATACGATGTTTGGATTTTGCAAGGTATGATGAGTGTCACTACCATTTTCCATTCCTTTTGGCCTGTTAGAATAGGGAACCGTCCCCTTTTCAAATGTAAACAAAGTGGAAGAACGTTGTGAAATTCGTTCTATCTCTCTGATTCCATACTAGAATAGCGTAGCCATCTTGTTTTGGGCGGCTGCGACGTAAAAACAAAAGGATAAATAGTGCTCGATCGAATTCGCAGGTGGTCGTTTTTCCTACCGGCCTGACAGGGTAATTTATACTACAGGGTAGATATATATTATTTTTCATCATAATCTATATTACCCCTGGTCGTATACGCCTTGTATTGAAGGCGTTTGCTGTAGCAAGATATCTCACTGCAAATCAACGTTTAAGCGTAATGTTTGCTTCGAGTCTATTACGTTCAGAAAATCGGAGCCAATGTTTCCTCGATTATTAGAGGTCACAAATCAGTTAAAGAAGTAGCAAAAAGTGTGATCCCGTTTTCTAGGTACTCTCTAGGTTCTGCTAGTTTGTGTATGTTAATATTTAGTGGATCGAATGTCGTCTGTAAAGCCGAAGGAAATAAACTATTTTTACTACTTGTCCATGGCACTTCTTGGTTATGGTTCCTATGAGTATCATCGTCACTGCAACCTTGTTCCAATTACGAATCGAAAACACTTTGTTGTAAGTCTTGAAAAAACTTCGTGTAACACTCAGTATCTATCTCGTGAATTTGAATTATCCTATCAACAAGAAATGATTGCTTATATCCGTTCCTTTTATACTACCGAAGAAGATGACGAGACAGTTTGTACCATTTTAGATGAGAGTGATAGCCGCGTCTTGCATGTAAAAAACCTTGTTAAAAGTATTGCAGAAGCTTGTATCTATTTTTCTCCCGAGTGTGAATCCTACATGAATCATCTCGAAGTCCTCGTGGTGGACGACGACGACGATTTGAACGCCTACGTGACGATGGGCTCTGTCTTAGTGGTCAGCAGTGGTCTTCTTCACTACTACGAAGATCTCCAATCGCGAGGCAAGATCGCGAATAGCGACGAAGTACTTTGCTTTCTCTTTATTTTTCTCTAACGCACAGTGCATTTCCTGTATATTAGCCCATGAACTCGCGCACATGCTCTCACGGTAGGTTTCCCCGTTTCCCCTTTAGCACGCAGCCACCCCGTGGAATCGATGCTCCGCTGGACGTCGCTGGCGTACCACGTGTACATCACGATGGTGCCGGATTTGGTGGTGATGCCGTGCATCAAGAGCGTCTTCGACCGCTGGGTGAGTCGCGAGCAGGAGCACGAGGCGGACTTCCAGGCGCTCTACTTGCTGAAACGCGCAGGCGTGGAGCCGAGGAAGCTGCTGGAGACACTGGCGTTGCTGCCGGAAGGGACGCAGTACCGAGATGTTCTCTCTAAAACGAGGGAACTCGTGGATAATCATCCGAGCGTGCCGAAGCGGATCGAGTATTTGAAGAGCCAGATGGAAGGGTTTGAAGAGGATTTTAAGGAACGATATCAGGTGAAGGAGAGGCCTGTAGAACAGCGGTCGTCCTTCACGAAGGTTTTGCTGTCTTTTGCTGGACTGTGCTAGAGAGTAGTAAATGTATAGTAGCTTGAATCGCAATGAAGCGTGTTTGTTGGATTGAAAATGAGATTCTCTTTTATTTAAAAGGGGGGAGAAGGAGGAAAAAGACCATATCTTGTTTGTTTCTCTGTTTGGCTTCACCATGGAGACTTTTGAACCTCTTTGTTCCTCGTTCCAGTGGATAATAGATAGGATATCTGAGTTTCTAGGAAAACGATCCGGGAAGTCGATTACGGCGATTCGTTTATCAAAATCAAAGCAGGGTCTCTCTATGGTCTTCCCATTGTTATTGAAAGCCCTAAAACTGTAATTTATTGGTGTTTTCGTCCAGTCTACTATGATATTGATTTCCAAATCACCAGGGAGTCAAAAAACAATCAACTAGATGATATCCTCCCACTAGCTCACTATCCGGGAAATACTGCATCGGAAGGTAAACAAATTGCGGAAGAGCCGGGTGTATACTATCTTGTGTGGGATAACCGCATGTCTTGGCTCCGAGAGAAGACTGTTGTCTACTCGGTGAAATTAGTGCTTCCTGATAATGGAATGAAGGATAAAATTGAATGTGCTTCGTACTAGCTTTTAAATTTAATCATAATTCTAGAGCTATCACTCACAAGCAAAGTCAGCTTGTTTCTAGCTGTGATAACTGGACGCGTGTTGTAGAAGACGCAGAGAATGAACTCTTCGCAATCAAAGCATTCTACGCTCAGCGAAACGCAAAGAAGGAATCGCTTGCAGTGAGTAAAGGAAAGATGGCTCTGATCTTCAGCACGAAATCCTCGAAATCGAGAAGGACCAAGCGGCTTGTGAGGAGGAAATCGCGTTGCTGAAGCAAAAGATCAAAGCAGAGCGCGAGTACATTCAGGGTGGACTCAAGGAAGTGGATTGAAGGGTAGAGATTAAAGCGATGTCTGGCTTTTTGGTGGAGGATCAGCGCATATTTTCCATGTTGGATAGTGTGGATATAATGAAATTGTGGGGTTTGACGTGTTTAGTAAGGAGTAGAGCGAATGTGAATCGCTATCTGAATCGATTGATTCATCAGGATTCAGTTTGGCAGAGATTGTTCCGCGAAGATAACTCGCGAAATTTGACGATTGTGTTGCAGAATGAATGGCTACGTGAGGAGTGGAAGAAAGTCTATCCCGATATGCCCATTCCCAATTCAAGTGTTTGTTAGAATACTGAACGAACGAGTGAATGAATCGATGAATAAGTGAATGGATCATCCAGTTAATGAATCGATGAATAAGTGAATGGATCATCCAGTGAATGAATCGATGAATGGACTCCATCAATCATTCAGTCAAGGAATAGAGAATAAAGAGTAGAGAGTAGCAGAAAGAGAACTAAATACAATTGATTGTGAAGCAGTACGATCATTCAATTAATCAAAAAACCAAGAGCAAACCAACCATTTCTGAATCATTGAATGAATCAACGTTCCAAACAACAAACACCCAGCAATAAAACAGACTACAAAACCACCGTCTCTTCCTTTCCATTCATTCTACACCGCTCCTTCAACATATCATTAAACTTCGGATTCACGCAGCTCCGCACCAGCACATCATAGCTCCAATTCACCTTCGTCAGCGACTGCGCCATAAACTCGCTCCCATTAAACTCGAAATTCTCCCCCACTTCCTTCTCCGCCGATCGCTTCGGGTTATAGAAAAAGCAGAACTTCAGCTTCCAGCCGATCCGCACTACGCCTCACCCCCAATCGAAAGGCCTACCATGCGGAGTTCGAAGCGTCGGCGAGTAAACCGACGGAATACTGAACGAATACGGATACTTCAGCACGTTCTGGCAGTTCACCGTGATCGAGTTGATGAGCTCCGACTTCACCAATCGGTCCTTCAGCAGCGCAGAATACTCCTCGTAATACAGCGAGATCGACATCTGACTCTCACTTTCTTTCACGCATTCATTTACCTGCTCGCATCGAAGATCCGTCTCCTGAAAATCCGCTTGCAGCTGCAGCGAATCGCCCAGAACCGCGGGAGTCGTGTTGATCATCACATTACACACCACCCGTCCGTTTTGTGTAATTCCAAAAATCCCGTATTCGGGGGACGGCGTCCATTGGTCGATCGTGGATTCCACCGCGGGATCCGCGTTCAAATAGTCCTGGAACGACGTGTAATAGCGACGACGCGACCAGAGATCGTCGCGAATCGATTGGTTCACGTTGATGTGGTACAAGTTGGTGAACTCTGAGGGTCAGAAAGGGGGAAATGGGGAACCCAGAGGAAGAGAGCCGGCGGGTTCCGCGGGATTTTCGCTTTCAGTGATGGTGATGGAGTCGTGAGTGCGATATTCCTGGGAGTGAGGAGTGGGGAAGGATGGAGAACGTCGGTAATGTCGAGCGAATAGGATCCTGTTTCGATGGGCTGCGTGGAGAAGAAGAGAGGATAGATGTCCGTGCCATTGTAGTCGGGGAGGGCAGAAACCTGGACAGGAACAGAAATGAAGCGAGGAGAGGATTTTCCATCCGAAAACGAGAGAGAAAGAAGATGACTACACGATGAATCCCTTGAGAGATATAAAAAAATACAAATATCGAACGCAGCTGGTACGGAGAGACGGGAAAATATCCTTTGGAAGTGTGAGCTGAATAAAATCTGAACAACAGCAAAAAACGAGAGATTTACATGTTTTGGGGGATTTCAGCATAATGTCGCTCTCAATAATCAGCAGACTTGTTTGATAAAGACACTCTGTAGTGTCATTCACAAACTTCATAATATTTCCATAGGCTATAGTATTTCGGGAGTTGCTTCCGGATTTTAAATCGGAAGGGAGTGAAGCGAGATTTGGAGTCACGCCAACATGTCCATGAAGCTGCAAACTAAGATATTTGAATTGATCATTACTTGGGCGGTCATATATGATATATATTCTCCCTCTTCCGAGTCTTTCGTGGGCTCAATGCTAACCATCGCACTGATAGTCGCTCCAGGGAAATACGACTTTCGTGAAAGACGCACCGTTATAGAAAGCCAATTATCCTCCAAACTCATCAACAAAAAATAAACTTTGAAGGTCTATCGCTTCAACAAATCGACTCATTGTGATGTATATTGATATAGGAATAAAAAGAGCGTAAGCAAGGAAGCATGAGGGAGATGAAAGGTACAGAATATCGTTTTGGGTCTTATTCGATTCTAAATAGGCTTCCTATCATTATTAGATAGTATTATGAAATACCCATAACTTTTGCCAATTCACAAAACTCTTTAGCGAGAGGTAATACACCATGGCTGACGATTTTATTATGACGATTCCCGATGAAGGAGAGGTATGAGATGGACAGATTGTCTATTATCGCCTAGGAGGAGAACATGGTCTTTAAAGAAGAGTCTTCCTCGGAAAGCGAGAACGAAGTAGACAACACTGAAAATGGTTGAGTTTAAGGTGCAAGAAACAAAGGGAAAGGACTTCACCAAGGGTTTTGTGTTTGATGCGGATAATTCGGGGGATGAAAGTGAACAAGAGGACGTCCACGTCGGTATGGCATCGTTAATTTGGCGTAATCTCCAGAACGTAAACTTGGTAACGACAAGAACTCGAAAATTCGCAAACTCGACGAACGTATTCGCAAGAAGCGAGAAGAGTATTTAAATCGTCGTAAAGTTGTGACGTTTCCCTTTTCTAACAAACAGCAAGAAGGAAGCAAGGACAAGGATGAATCTGGCGATGAAGATGAAGATGCAGAGGAAGAAATCAATGGAAAGACCGGAGAGGAAGAGGACAAGGGGGATGATGTGATCCGCAGCGTTCAGAGCGTGAAAGGAAAACCTTCCAAGCTTCCATCCAATGAAGAGTTTTGGGCCGAGGAGTCTCAACCATCATCATCATCATCTTCATCTTCATCATCGGCAACCCTTGCTCGTTCGTTCAACCAGCTGCGTCTCTCGCGCCCTCTCCTCCGAGCCGTCAACGAAATGGGCTTCACGACACCGACTCCGATCCAAGTACAACATCATCCCCGCATGCACGCTAGGCTCGCTGCATCCCTCTCGCTCTCGCTGGCAAAGACATCTGCGCAGCAGCCAAGACCGGTAGTGGCAAGACCGCCGCATATCTGCTCCCGATCCTCGAGCGATTGCTGTAAACGCGCGACCTTGTTATAATCTAGTTATAAAAACAACGCGCAGAACTTGATTCGCGTGCTCATCGTCGCTCCCACGCGCGAACTGGCCCAGCAAGTGCACACCATCGCCACGAAGCTCACCAAGGTACCACCCGTCCGGGCGTTTCATGTAGTACACATCGATCACATGCTGCTTGGTGGTGGGCGGGTTGCCGCTGCAGGCGCAGGCCGTGGACCTGCAGAGGCGTCCGGACATCGTGGTGTGCACGCCGGGGCGCATGATCGACCACGTGCATAACTCGATGAGCGTGGACCTGGACGACGTGGAAGTGGTGATTTTAGACGAAGCCGACCGCCTGCTGGAGCTGGGATTCACCGAGGAGCTGCACGAGCTGCTTCGGCTGTGCCCGGTGAAGCGGCAGACGCTGCTGTTCTCCGCGACGATGACGGACGACGTGTCGGATTTGATCAGTCTGTCGCTGCAGAAGCCGGTGCGCGTGTTCGTGGATCCGGTGAATCAAGTCGTCGATCGCTTGGTGCAGGTGGGAGGACCGGCTGGAGAGTCATGGGTAGGAGTTCATCCGCGTGAAGGACGAGTCGCTCCGCACGGCGATGCTGCTCTCGATCATCACGCGTCACTTCAAGACCGAGACGATCATCTTCGCCGAGCGGAAGGCCGAGGCGCATCTTCTCCACATCATTCTCGGCCTCCTGGGCCTCAAATCCGCGGAGCTCCACGGAAACCTCAACCAGACGCAGCGTCTCCGCGCACTGGATCGCTTCTCGAAGAAGGAAGTGGACTTTTTGATCGCGACGGACGTCGCAGCGCGCGGGTTGGACATCAAAGTCGCGGCTTGGATGTGGACTCAGGGGTAGGGCGTGCAGACGGTCATCAATCTGCACATGCCGAAGGAGGAGGCGACGTATATTCACCGCGTGGGTCGTACGGCGCGTGCTGGACACGCGGGACGCGCGGTGACGTTCGTGGAGGAGGATCGGCGCTTGCTGATGAAGAAGCTGGTGAAGCAAGCCGTGGAGGCCAAGCAGCAGATTAAAACGCGGTCTGTGAATAAGGAGGTGGGAGAGAGAGGGCAGAGAGTGATGGGTAGTCGGTGGCGAAGTTTGCCGCGCAGTTGGAGGATTTGAAGAAGGAAATCGACGAGATTTTGGAGGAAGAGAAAGTGGAGAAGGAGATTGAGAGAGCGACGATGGAGGCGACGCGGGCGGATAATCTCATTAAGCACGGAAACGAAATTAAGGCGAGAAAGAAGCGAACCTGGTTCCAATCGGAGAAGGAAAAGAAAACGACGCGAATGAAGGATCTTGCTTCAAAGAAGGCTAAGAATAATATGTGATTTAGTTTCGATGGTTTGGTTGAAAACAGCCCAAAAACCCAGATTCGGAAGGAAATGACACAGAAAAACGCATAAGAGTACAAAGCAAATAGAAAAGAAAGCACAGTAGAGATGTACTGATAGGATACATGCGGCTAGACTATGAGGAATGACTACACACAGAAACCTACAGCATCTGTTGCCGCCAAGGAATAACCGTAGAAAAGCACTCCGGAACTAGAATAGCCACAAGTAAATAGACTACACGTCAAAGACAAGGTCAAATTTTGACACAAAATAAAACTTGATCCTCGATACACAAGGTAGCTTAAGGTGACCTTTCTATTCATCAATTTTGCGCCTAAAATGAGAGAACAAGGAATAGTGAAGCGGTGCTAGAATAGCGAAAAAACCGCGAGTTCTGCAAGGAATTGTCAAATACGACTAGCAAATAAGGTATCAGAGTCGGGCTTGCCGTTTTGTTATGGACAGTTCTGAGGAAATTGATTCTTCAGAAGAAAAAGTGTCTTCAGTCAAAATAAGGATTAGTTCGTCCTTAAGGAAACCAAAGCAGTTTTCAGTACATTCGTTCGAACAAAATGGTGATCAAATGGAGTCTAACCGTTCTTCTGCTGATGTCGTTCAGAAGAAGGGTAAAAAGGAAAAGAAAATGATGGTTGTCTATCTGCCTGTGGACATTCCTTCAGGGAGAAGTCGGAGCAGGAGAACTCAAGAGGGAGAGCATTTTCAAGAGGACAGCGATGCCAGCAGCCGATTACCACAAAAAGAGGATCAGGAATTGTGTTCAACGTTTGAAGATTCTGAAAGCGCTCCGCATGGAGAATTGAGTACCTCCAAGTATATGTCTAGTCATTCTCGTATGCGGTCGAACCCAAACCTGACTGTTTATATGTCGAAAAAGGAAAATCGTCCTGATCCTGAAGGAGTTTTTCCCAGACGCAAGCACTCCTTTTCGAGTAAATCACAAGCAACGCCGACTGGGGACTGCATTCACAAGACCTGGTCTTCGCTGACCGAGCCCGCTCCCCCTATCAAAATTCTGTCAATGGATTCCCCCACAAATCCCAAGCGAACGAGCATGAATTCTCTTGATATTTGTCTGGCCACTCCGCTCCAATACTCCCGCCATCGCTCCCAGCCAAAGCCTCCCGCCACCGCCCCCAAGCGGATCTCCTCTCCTATTTATCGCAAATCCAAGCACCACTTCTTTCCTTATACCTCGCAGTCTTCCGCAGAAGAAAACCGCGAGACCTCGGTGACGCCCACCGAGCCCGCGACGCCTCCCAACCCGTATCAAAGCGTCCTCAGCTTCTCTTTCAACGTGAGCGACACCGATCTGGACCTTTCTGGCAACACCAAAGTGATCCGGATGGACGTAACACCCACGCGGCGAGTCAAAAGCGTTCACTCGATTTCGCCCAAAGCGGACGAGGGAATGCTGATCGATGTGAGCGATACGGCGCATAAGGGATCGACGATCAACGTGAAGGACGATTTTGAAAGCTTGGATCTGTCGAATCTAACGCCCTGCACCACGACGACGCTTCCCACTCCAGCTATCGAGAATGACCGCGAGGCGCAGGACACGCTGATCAGGCTGATCGACAACAGCAATATTCAGCACGAATGGGACGGAGAAGAGCTGGTGGGCAGCAACGACGACGAAGAGAACATGATTTTCTACAACTCCGATCCTTGCAGGAGCGAAAAGGAGGAACTCACGGATGATGCGCTCGAAAATGGGGAAACCGTGGAAACCCCGAAAACAGTCCCGACGGGGAGGAGGAGTAGTAGTCGTAGCAGGAGTCGTAGTAGTAGTCCGGACGATCTTCTCATAGCCCAAAACGCAAGCGATGCAAACGATGCGAGCGATGCAAACGATGCGAGCGATGCGAGCGATGCAAACGGGGAAATGGGGGATTCGGAGTGGGGGATTTCTTCCTCGAAGTGCAGCCGAGCGGCCACGCGCGAGCCGTCGCCGGCGCCTCTCGAGAAGCCGGGCACGCCGGTGCCGTCTGTGTCGTTTCTCCACTCGGTGGACCCGCTGTCGTTCTCGCTGAGCGATTACTTCCTGCAGTCTCCCGAGGACCAGGCGAACGCTGCGAGGTACCGAAAGCAGCGCGAGCTGGAGGAGCAGCAGAGAATCGCGCGAAGGAAGGAGTGGGAGCGGATTCGGCTGGAGCCGGTCATGGAAGAGATGGAAAGTTCGGCCCTTGAAAAAGGAGAAACTGGAGAAACCGGAGATGCGGGGAGGGATGGAAGAGAGGAAGAAGAGGAAGAAGTGCTGCGGAAGTTCGAAGAGGATTTTTCAAAGCGAATGAAGAAGAAAGAGGAAGAAGAGGACCAGAAGCGAGCGGAGCTGAGGAAGACCGCTGCGATGGTTGGGATTGGAAGGGAGAATGACGTGTAGTGGTGCGAGCAGTGGAAGAGCGAGACACGACAGCAGCGAGAGCGCGAGCGTCGCTGTGAGGAAGGCGTGGAACAAACCAAGGCGTTCGATGACAGCTGCCGACTGTTAGAGTTTCGATTCAAGTTTGGAGATTGCGCAGATTTGCTGCTACCTTTTGTGTATACGTTTGATCATCTATTTGGTCCATGCTTGTTTTCGATTGGCTGGGTGTTGACTTGTAGAAAGGCATCTGACGATCTTTTTCACCCACAGACAGTGTTTCTTAACTACATGAAGAGCAGAAAGTCAAAGGGGTTACTCTATTCTCGAGCTATGGCCATTGGCACACCGCAAGCAGACATGGACAAGTGGATTTGTGACGAAGTGGTGTCATCTCCATTTTTGTTAGCTTTATTTAGGTCTTTTTCTTTCTATTATCAATGTTCTTTAAACTATACTATGGAAAAAGTAATGTGTAAACTTCCTCGTTCTAGGTAACAGTACTGTACTATTTTTGAAATTGTTTGTTTAATGTATTTGTTGCATGTTTGTTGTTTACGATTTGCTCACATCCAACGTATCATCTAGATCCAACAAAAAGAAATGATGACTATCTATATAATACGAACAATTTATAATACCATATTGTCATTATAAGTTTAATATTGATATCACACAGTTTCATTTTGGAGGAATTGAAAATAATCTCCTAACAGCAATACCAATCATACTAGTTTAATATCAAAGTGATTAGGTACTCGAACCTATTGAAAAGGGTAGGTGCGACGAAACTCTTCTGGTGAGTAGGAATGCCAAATTGTTGTTGTTCACGAATGCCATAAAATAAGTTGATTACATATGTCAGTGAAAAAACTAGTATCGGAATACTCACGATTCTTTCCTGATACCTCACAATTGAAACAGAAAAGAAAAGATCAGAAAAGAAAACTCCGAAGCGGGGAATCGAACCCCGGTCGTCCGCGTGACAGGCGGAAATACTAAACCACTATACTACTTCGGATCTGTTAGATACTATTATTGTTAACAATTATATTACATGATCCATGATTAAAATATCTTGCTGTCCTATTATTTTCCTTTGCTCTAATGGGATATCGAATGACCGATTTGTAATAAATACAAATATGGATATAGTGGACATGATTCTATATTGAAATGAATTCTGTGTGTGTCTGTAGACGAAATGGTTTTTGGGAAAGTTAATTGCGTAATATAGACTAGTTATATCTAGCTATACACCATATAAATTTGGAGTATTCTCATGAGGTGATGTTAGCGAAGATAGGATATATCATAAAATAAGTACCTTTTTATTACTATGGGTTGTTGCTGCTCCACACCAAATCAAGAGCATAGTCCTGAGGTTTGCTCGCACTCGCATTCATTTTGTAGTTTTTACAGGCTCCTGTTGTATATAACTTTTATTTTAATGCAGATAATGCAAAATGCCTGGAAGCTGCTGAATCGATCTTTGAAAGGACAAGAACGGACTGTAGTCATACTCCGGTTATTGTTAGTTCTCCATCTTCTGTTTGTTTAGAATTCTAATAATGATTCAAGGTAACCTAGTTCACAGGAATATATCCAACCAGTTACTGCGATTATGCAATAATGTATAAAATAGTATTCACCTTACAAATGAAGCACAGTACACAAACCCATACTACTTTACTACACAGCTAGAGTTACTCTTTTTTCTAAATAGTATTAGTCACATTTCAACAGTTAAAAATGAGATTAATAGTCCGCAAGAACCTGAAATGTTACAAAATGTGGGAAAATTACATAAGCCATTTTTTCTGAAGAGCGATAGTATTTCGCTTATATCCTCATATTCTCTAAGGTCGTATCGGAAAGTATTGAATTAAAAATAACCAAATGAACTTTTCGAGGAAGGATGGGATCTTTACTGAAAGTTATCATCAATTACATAGAGATGATAAATCGGATGATACTGCGAATAATGGAGCATATAAAGAGCAAAAAACTGAGGAAAATGATTACGTTTGCGATCCAACGGAATATACTCCTTCAAAAAGGAGCAATAGTATATACAACCATTATTTAGAAGAAAAGCAAGAAGAGGAAGGGGAAATAGTAAATGGTTCTGGTTCTGGTTCTGGTTCTGGTTCTGGTTCTGGTTCTGGTTCTGGTTCTGGTTCTGGTTCTGGTTCTGGTTCTGATTCTGATTCTGAGAAAATTAACATTGTTGAGGTAGATAATCAAGAAAATGGAGAAGGGGTGAATATTATAAGGCCAAACATAATAGAAGTCAGACATTATACCGAACCTAATATAACACCAGTTGAAAATAATACGGAACCCAATATTATAGAAGTCAGGCATTATATAGAACCTAATATAACACCAGTTGAAAATAATACGGAACCCAATATTATAGAAGTTTTGTATTATACAGAACCTAATATAACACCAGTTGAAAATAATACGGAACCCAATATTATTGAAGTGAGATTGTTTGAGAATCCTTTTATGGAAGTGGATAATACTTTATTAGTATTTAATTCTGGGACCTTTAATGCATTAATGTGCAGATACCCAAGTAATTGTAACAGTTATGAATTTGATCAGTTGCAAGAGTTGAAACTCGGAGATGATTGTTTTGAATCAGTACAAACATTCCAAATCGATGGATTGAATCAATTGAAAACTATCAAAATCGGAAAGAATTCATTTACTCAGGCAAAGAACAGTACTGGACGTAATAGATCGAAATCATTCCACATATTGAATTGCAAATCATTGGAATCCATTCAAATCGGTGAATATAGTTTCAGTGATTTTGGTGACTTTGAATTGGAGAATTGTCCACAATTACAATCCATTCAAATTGGTACAATTGGAAGTGATTCATTCAATTTCTATTATAGTTCATGTGAGATTCGAGGTATTGGTATGATATTGAATATTTGAATGATGCATAGATCTTCCAAATCTACAATCCATTACATTAGGTGATCATGCATTTGGAAATGGTGCTGAATACTGTCTGTATAATCTCAATTCATTAGAGGCAGTCGAAATCGGCGATGAATGTTTTGAATCAGTACAAACATTCCAAATCGATGGATTGAATCAATTGAAAACTATCAAAATCGGAAAGAATTCATTTACTCAGGCAAAGAACGGTACCGGAAGTAATAGATCGAAATCATTCCAAGTATTGAATTGTGAATCATTGGAATCCATTCAAATCGGTGAATATAGTTTCAGTGATTTTGGTGACTTTGAATTGGAGAATCTACCACAATTACAATCCATTCAAATTGGTACAATTGGAAGTAGGTCATGCAATTTCTATTATAGTTCATGTGAGATTCGAGGTATTGGTATGATATTGAATATTTGAATGATGCATAGATCTTCCAAATCTACAATCCATTACATTAGGTGATCATACATTCTATTATTCCTTCTCAACAATAATAGAAAGTATTGAATGAATTTGAATGAAATGATTGATATAGATCTTCCATCATTACAATCCATTCAACTTGGTGATTGGGCACTTGAAGGAAGAATGAATGATGATTCTTGTTCATTGACACTTCGAAGTAATAATGAATTGATTGGTTATGATTTGCTTTGTAGATCTTCCAAATCTAACATCAATAACTTCTGTAGATCGTAGTTTCCGTAATCCTCGTGTAGTGACATTGGAAAGTATTTCTGAATATTGAATATTGATAGTATTTAGATATTCCAAAACTACGATATGTCGATCTACCTGATTCATTCGAGGTAGTTCGATCGAAATCAATTTCGAGTATAGTTTGATTGATTTGATTTGATTCATAGATGTTTCTTCGATTCTCGCTGATCTTGTCTAAAACAGGAGAAGGTAAATTTTCAAGATTAGCATTTATTTCGCTTGTTTGTTGTACTACCACCTGCACAATAGACATGTACCGCTCATTTTGTTTAAGGAGGTGGATAACGAGTTTCCAGTTCTCCAGTTTATATGATCTTTCATTTCTCATTCCCCTATTTCTCAAGCTTCTTCTCTCCAAAAGAAAAGACAACATTGACAGAAATAACATCTACACAAATATCTCAAGATGTTTATTAATGTGTGAAAAGAGATATAATCGTGACAAAAAGTATATCCCTCACAAAAATAGATATCACAAACATTTTATCCATAAGTATCTCGTTTTTTACTTTCTTCTTGCGTATGGATAGATAATCTTACAGCCCTTCTCAACACCAATTATCTAATCATCCACCTAAAAATAGATCCCTTCACTTTACAAAAATATTCTCTGTATATCCGGATCCTCATTATTACTTTGGTGCTGATAACTGGATTCCATGCTTACTTCAGGCAACTTGAAACGGGGACTAAGTCCAGACACAAAGAGTTTAGTATTGTTGGTACAGTCGTTCAATTTCATAGCAGGCTGGACTTCGTCTTTATTCTCTGGGGGTATGCGCTCGGGTATTTCAGAGGGTTTAACCTCGGATATTTCAGAGGGTTTAACCTCGGGTATTTCTGGGGGCATGTGCTCGGGTATTTCAGAGGGTTTAACCTCGGATATTTCTGGACTAGTTAAGCAGTGTTTATTCTCCAGAAACTCGATCTTATTGGGGAATTTGGAACGAAATTCATCAAGTTCTACCTCCTCCGTTTTAGCATCTGGATGTGCCTTGGCAAAATGCGTCTCTCTCTCTTTGTATTTCCCTTCGATCCATTTGATTTCTGATATTGTTTTAATCCCCGTTTCAAATCTCCTTTCGTCATAACCGGAGTAAAAGATTACTTCACCTTCTTCAGTTTTAAAGTCTTCCTTTAAATACCGACACACAAGTAGCCACTCCCTGCCACCTTCATCCTTGACAATCGCCCATTTGTAGCAGTCCCTTTCAATCTTTTGCTCCGATCTACCTTTTTTATATTGTATGACCTCCTTCTTATTCTCGATTCGACATAAGGTCATTTTTCCGTTTTCGGTTTTGCAGCAAGTAACCATATCATTATTGTTCAGAAAACAACCTTCGTAAATAACACCCCCAATTTGTAGTTTGCCATATCCATAAAACTGAACATCTTCATAACACACGAGTTTACCTTCATACTGTATTTGATTCTTCTTTGCAATAATCTCGGTATTAAAACGAGGAGCATTATCCTTACCCTTAGGATTCTTTCTTATTATAGTCCAATCATTACTTTCCTGACAAATAGCACCAGCGATCATGCCCTTAGAAATATTGCAGCTTTGGGCAAGAATATTCCCACCCCTTTTAACTGTTATATAATTTTTAACCTCATAGCGAAGCTTATCGATTTCTAGATCAAATTGAAGCCCAGCAATACCATTTTGGAATAGAATACCATTCACAAAAAAACCCTTTTGGCCCTTATATTCTCCATATCCATGAGGGACAAAAGGAAGCAGAGAGTTGCCTACCGTAATTTCTTCCAATAATGCCTTTTTCTCAGGACTCTCTATTGAAATTACTCTCGTGTCGTAGTTAAACTCAAGCATTCGAGAATAATTCATTACCCGAGAAAAAACATCCTCTTCTACAGGTTCCTTCTTAAGGATTTCCAAAATCTGCTTTTTCCAGTACAGCTCTAGTGAGTTCCGAGTAAACATTCTACCTTTATAAACCTCCAGTCCATTAACTTTAAGGACCCCTCTCAAAGAACAGCCGTCTAAAGATTCTTTAATCCCCTCCACAGTAAACTCAGGATCCTTCTTCCATGTAAGTTTATAATGGTACTGGTTCTGTTCCATCTGCACTATTTCCTCGTAAAAATCTTTCTTCCGTATAGAGTAATCATGCAGATCTTTCAAAGCGTATTTAGAGCTCGAAGAAAAAAATTCCGCATCAACATCTTTGATTCGAAATATTATATCTCCACTTGCCATAGTGTTAAATTGCCGTGCTTTGCGTTAAAACTTTCGAACCTTAACGTGAAAAATGAAAAACAGTTTATTGTATTGGGAATCAAGGATTACTGTGAAACGCTTTGAGTGGAACATGGCGCACAGTTTGTGTTTTTTGTAGCCTCCTTATTTTTAACTTCAAAGATATCAAAGTACTAGTGACTTGTACTACTCAGCTGACTAATAACTCTGAATGTCATCGGTTGTACATAGTATGATTGTTTTTGTTTAGTGTGTTGTTTTGAAATATCATACAAAGAAGTGAATCAAAACTCGAAGTTGTCTCTCTCTCTCTCTCTCTCTCTCTATATATATATATATATATATATATATATATTTGTTATTACCATCTAGTATGGAGATTTCCATACGTATACTATACAACTCATAATTATCATACTCACCACCATTATATATATTTCATTATTATTATTATTATTACAAACATGAATACTCAGAATCGCTTATTTCTTCCATATCTTCGTCGGACTCGCTGAAATCATCCAGCCAATGAATATGGAACGCGTTTGTCTTCAAAAAGCTATCGACTTCACTTTGAGCCATCAAGTTTTCGCTTGATGAAAGCACCTCAACGAAGCGTCGAACCGACTCCTCGCGCTGGTTCTTCGTCTTGAAAAGCTTCATCCGATTGCTGGTCAGATGCAGGTTACGAATATCTTCCTTGTTGCATTTCGACTTGAGCTGCTTAAAAAGTTCACTACACATCAAAAACAACGACAAAGCCTACTCTAACGCTCCATAGCGAATATAGACATTCCACCGAGCGGGATTCTCTCCTTGCGACACGACTTCCAGCTTGTACTTCGTGATCTTCTTCTTCACTCCCGTCTCATTGACTTCTTCTCGCTTTTTGTCCACCAACCGCGCGCTCTTCACCTTCAGGACTCGCAGATCCGGGGCCTTCCGACCACCCTTCGTCTCCGTGTCGCGTTCTTCACTGCTGGATGCCTCGGAGTGGATTTCGGGAAGCATGCGACGCACACTCTCTGCGATTGCGTCCTTGGTCATGAAATCCACGTTGGTGCAGTAGTGCTCAATCTCGGACGCGAGCTTCTCGGACTCGAAGAGAAGCTCCACCTGCTTCAGCTTCAATTCTCCATCTACCTTGGAAGTCACCGTATTCACCATGGCACTCAGATTCTTCATCACCTCGTTCTTCTGCTTCGAGTTCTTCGGAATCAACTCCAGCTCCTGCCCATGGCGGTGGATCTCCAAGTTGCTGAAAGGAGAAACGCCCAGGATCTTCGCACTCGGAGACATCAGCACCAGTTCGTGCGTTGTGAGAAGAACAATGTTCGACCCATTGTCGACTGCACAATGGATCACATAGCGCTCGTTGGGTTGCAGCTCGATTCCCGTGCCGCGATTTGCCTTCACGAGCAGAGCGTTTCCGCTGCTTAAGTGCTGGTTATACGGCTCCAGCACGTCATCCAGCGGGATGTACCGCGGAGCACGCAGCGGCTCCACGACCTTCTCTTTGTGCGCGATGTCCTTCACCGTATTCACCACGTTCGTCACGCTGTCGATCGCTCCCGTTGCAGTCTTGGCCGCAGCGCCGATCAGACCCTTGCCTAAGCCAGCCGCAGCGCCCAGCACTCCCTTCTCCTTAAATCCGGCACCCGTTTCGGTGAAGATTCCGGTCGCGCCCGACCATATGCCGTGAACGAGGTTCGATTTTCCGGCGGCACGGTCGGCCTGGTACTCCTCGCTGAAGGCCAACGCCGCCAAACCGTCGCTCGCAGCTCCCGTAATCTTGGTGACCGAGTTCAGAATACCGTAGGACGTCATCGACAGCAATTTCGTCGTGCCCTTACCTAAACCTCCCACGAAATCGCGCGGTCCCTTCATCAGACCTTGAATGGGCTCCGTAAAGAAGGCAGTGATTCCGTCACTCACGTCACCAACCAATTCCACAGGATTTCCGATCATGTTCAAGGAACCAATGATCTTGTAGGACTGCTTCACCACTTCCGCACCATAGAAACCCACCACCTTCATGATAAAGGCGTAGATGTCCGCATAGTAGTTGCTCAGATAGAACGAACGCAGGTTAATCGGAGTGTTCTCCATGTTGCCCAGCAAGTTCACGATCGTGTTCAAGAACGCGATCAACGGCATCAAGCGGGGGTCCTGAGGCAGCAAGGCGGAGGACAGAGGAGCGGAGGGGTCATTGCGATACGAGAACTTCATATTAATTGGCTGAAGAATGAAGTATTCCGCAAGAATGTAGGACTTGCCGACCTTACCAGAGACCACGTTGGCCGGAATGAAGGCGTGGCACTCGTCCAAAATCTTACGACCATCCACCTCCTGCGAATCTTCCATCGATAACGCCAAGTCCGAAACGACACTCAGCAATGCAGTCAAAATCGCACTGTCTACTGCACAAACCATGGGCTGCAAATAGAGTCCCAAATATTCGATAATGGTAACAGATGGATAGTACGGCATCGATACAGAAAGCTGGAATAACGGGTTGATCTCTGGACCCTGGTCCGGATTCTCCGGATCATATTCAGGATTTGGCTCGCCAGCTTCCGTCGATCCCAAAAGAACGTTGTACTTTGTATTCGGAAGATTGCTGTCGATCTGGAACTTGAGTACCGTCATTCCCAGCGAAATTTTGTTGCTCTCGCACATAATGAGCTCCATTTTCAACGACTCCATACACATGTATAAGATCTCGCGAGGGAAACTATCGACCAACGAGATGCCAACTCCGCCAAAATTGATATCCACATGGACTGTCTCCGGATCAACCACATCACTCTCCTCATCCTCAGAAGCCAGATCATCCACTTCTTCGTCTTCGTCTTCGTCTTCACTAAAGTCGCTTTCGTTTGGCATCGGTGAGATTTTCGACTCGATTCGCTCGACTGCCTGACTCATATCCACACCTTCCTCCTGTGCCTTCGCGCATTCCTTCAGCAACGAAATGATCGAGACTTCTTCTTCCTCCTTCTTAAGCTTCAAGAACTTCGACTTCTTCTTCTGCTTCAGCTTGTACAGCACCACGTTAAACGGATCCGCAAAATCGAATACGACTTCGCGCTGAGCCGCATTCATACCTGCACGCATGCGTAGCAAGTGGTTATCATCGCCATTTTCTAACGTTAACAGCTCTTCCTGCTCTTCCTTCTTCGTATCAAACGGTTTCGTCCAGTCGGACCCGAGCGTATCACACTTCACACTCAACTTGATCTCTTTCGTTGGCTCAGGGCAGTGATAAGGCAGAATGCATCCGGCGGGCAGCATCGTGACCTGATTCGTCTCCTTCTCTCCCAGACGCAAGCTGAGATCATACTTGGTTCTGTTCGAGATGTACATACCCGGAGTAATGATGACAATGTTCGTCAATGCGTAGACAAGCGGAGCATTCTCCACAATTACTCCAAAAACACGCTCACAGCTATTGGAACTGCCCTTTTGCTTACTAGGCATGCAGAATCGGAGACTCGTTCCAATGAGAGCAAGCGAGACGCCATCATTACAATACTCAGAATCCGCCGTTTTGAACTCCATCACCTTCGAACGGCTCTCCGAACTCATAAACGAGAACATGTAGGGCTTGAGCAGCTCCTCCTTTCCGAACGAAACGTCGGTGGTGTCGAGCGTGGGGACCGCCACTCCGGGCAGCTGAAGAGGTTCGCTCGACTTGGCACCCTTTTCGTGAATGAAGATGTCTTCTCCCGTGCGGTTAATCACCCAGAAATCGCAGTACAGCTGCATCGTGAGAATGCCCGTGATGTTCTCGATCGCCTTGTAGGTCAAGCGCAACTTTTCTCCGTTGGGTCTCTCCAGCATTACGGACTGCTGCTTCTCCTGAGGGAACGCAACCATCGAATCCTCCAACGCAGAGAACTTCGTGAAACCCTCCGGACGCACAGCGATGCGAACTGCTGCTTCCTCTTCGCTCTCAGCGTTCAGCGGCACTCCATTGTACTTGATCGACTGGCCCTCGGACAGAAGGCCCGAATACTTCTCCTGCTCGTTGAAGTAAATCTTGTACTCCAACGGAACAGGGAGCAGGTTTGCGAGCGACATCACGGGAGATAGAATGATGTGATAGAGCGTCACAAACTGCTTGTTGTAGATATCGTAAATGTCCTTCGACTGGACACTCACATGGAAATACTTCGGGAGCGAGGGACTGCCGACGTTTATGCACGGCTGGATCGTATTCTCTATCAACTCGGGACTTAGGCGCATGCTGTAGTTACCAATCTGCACGGACGGGCTTTGCATCACGCTCAGAGGGCAGTATTCGATGTCACGGTGGGCCATTGTAATCTTGGTCGCAGCGCTAGGAGCCATCGTGTTGGTGAAGGTGATCTCCAAGTCCTGCTCCGTGAGGTTCTCCACGCAGTACTGCGAGGTGATGTCAATCACCTTCCGACCCTTGATCACCCGATTGTGAACCAAGATATCGAGAGTCTTGCCCTGCGGGTTCGTTAACTGCTCATACACGACGCGATCACGATCCACGAGGCAATCGATCTCGTTGTATCCCTCCAAACGGAGACTGATCAGACGGTCGGGAATCTTCCGATATTCCTTCTTGAGGAACAGCAGCGTCAAGGACGGATGGGCGGGCATCGTCGTCTTTACACCCTTGCTAGGCACTGTAAACCAGCTGGGAGCATACGAAGAGCGAATTCTCTCCAGCTCGGCGGAAGATACAGTTCGAACCGTCGCAAGGCTCGTTTCAATGGATTGGACCAGGGACTCTTGACGGGCTGAGTCGAACTGTTCGATAATGACAGAGGAATCCCGATATTGCAAGCAGCACGCGATAGGGAAGATATGACCACAAGTGGCATCGGTCTTCTCAATGCTGTCCGTTTGTACTACCAAATTTTGACGCATCGTGAATACATCGTTCTGGAGAAGAGGAACGTGCTTAAATAGGCGGATGTGCGGCTTCACCGAGTGAAGCTCTAACCAGCGGCAGTGTGTGCGATACGAATCCACAACGTCCACAACGCCTGCATACATCACATGGTCCGTCGCCTCCTCTTCAAGCTTCTTCTTCTCCATCTCCAGCATCATGTTGTTAATGTCTCCATCCTGCTTGATGCGATACTCCAGCGTATATCCCGTGCTATTCTTCACACCCACATAGAAGTTGTTCGTCATCTTTCGCTTGCCACTCTCGCACGTCAAGAAGTCGTTCAACATATCCAGCAAGGAGGAAATCAGGGTTGCCGTCAAGTTCATCTGCAGAATGCGAGGAGCATCGAGCTTCACATGCATTGCCGTATCCTCTTCCTCCTCCTTATCACCGCCCGTGACACTATCATATGTGTAGAAGTCGTGCTCTTCCTTATCCTTTACCTGGCGCACATGGATTCCCATGTCCCATTTCTCCATGAACGGTTCCCAAATCGCCTGGCTGGCCTTATAGTAATCTGAGTAGAAGGCGCTGTTCACATGAGCAAAGAGGTTGTTGCCCATGCAAGCTCCCACCTTGATCTGACTCACGTTAAACTGGAGCACAGGCAGGTCGAACTCCTTGGCATCGTTCACCAGAATGAAGGAAATCTTTTCAAACAGCACATCCGCTCGGATGTGCATCACGCTCGCGCTCGGAGGCACCGGCTCTGTCTTCGCAACCTCCTCCTTTTTGGCACGCGCCGGGGACTTGGCCTTGCTGTCCTCCACATCCGCCATGTCGCTGATTCTTCCCATAGACACAGGGGATTTCTCGAGCGAAGGAGGCGTGCTCACGATGGCGGTATTGCCGGACTCGTCTTCCTTCGCCTTCGGAAGAAGGTTCGTAATAAAGTTCAAAAACAGCTTGGCATCCAGAATTCCCAGACGGATTGTCAAATCAGAGCCCTTTACCGATGCGGTGATGTTCTTGAGGAAGTCTGTGAGAGCCACATCGATGTCCACTTCAAATGGATAAATGGCATCTTGCACGTCAGTCACCATCAGACGCAGCTCCGAGTTCGAACGCAGACCACGCAGCGAGTTCACGCTCAACGAGGTCTTCACGTCCATGAAAGGAGTGACATGCGCATCCAATTCGACGCCAAAGCAGAACAGGAACACCGGCACCGTCTCGTCCTTCCACTCCTCGCAGATATAGACAGCCATGCGCTGCATGTGAAGCGCCACAGTGATGTTGGGGATCAGAGATGCATCGCTCGCCTCTGGCTCCTCTGGCTCCTCCGCTGTGGGCTGTACGCTCTGTCCCTCAATGCACTCGCTATTGATTGCAGGCGCAGCGGACGCAGTGGACGCAGTCGATAGAGCCGGTCTCGATTGGGAGACCGACGAGGCCGCTTCGGTGAACGCCTCCGACACACGCGCGCCAACCGCAGTTGCCCAGTCGAGCATGTCAAAGATCCAAGGAGAGGGCAGCATAGCCACCTGACCCACAAACATCGATACGGCAATATCCATTACGACCTCGTCCTGCTTGTTATCGTTCCGAATCACAACGTCGCTCACTTCCCGCAATGGCTTGTTGGTCAAGTCCACGATCACAGAGAAGGCAGGCATGTTCTCTTCTCCGATCTGCAAGAGCGTTCGGAAGTTCGAGTAAAGGGGAGATTCAGGACGAGAATCGCGAATCGTGATCATCTTCAAAGACACGGCCGCAGAGATATTCATGTTGTGCATATAGGCCTGAACACTCAAATCGTTGATGGACACAGCAGCAATGCTTCCCTCCACAGTACCCACATTCGAGCGCATCTTCTTACTCGACTGAACGCCTTCATAGCCATGGTTGCCTCGGAACAATTCGATCGTAACTCCTTCAAAGAGAAGGTTCACATGGATTCGGTCTGCAATGTTTCCATTGTGCTCCACGGGAGGCTTCTCCTTCTCTTCGACTGGAGGTAACGCACTCAAATCAATCGTGGAATCCAGAGAAACGGTCGAATCCGAGCGAGGCAGGAACGAGTCATCATCGGGGGAATTGTTAATATGGTCCAATTCGGCTTGAAGCGCCTCTTCTTCCATATGACTCAGATGGGCCGATAAACGATTGCTCTTTCGACTCACAATTCCTCCACGATGTTCCGGAATGGGAATCACGTCAGCAGAGGAAGTATCCACAGATGTCGCTACGCCAGAAGATGAAGCGGGAACAGGAGAACGAGAAGAAGAAGGAGAAGAAGGAGGAGGAGGAAGCAACATGACGACCGGCTCTTCTTTGAGGTTTTCTGTGAGAAGATGAATCAATGCCAGAACCTGGTCTTCTGAGAAAGCCAGCACGATATGAGAAAGATCAACCGATGCCTCCGTCTTCACGGCTACGATCGCAGTCACAGCTAGATCGATTGAACCCATAATGGTTTGGACCTTTCCATCCAGCGAACTGTATAAGGAAACGCCAGTAATCTCAATCGACACCTTGTTCAGGGTATAAACTACCGAATCCTTACGGATTTCATTGCTGCGCTTCTTTCTTTCAGGGTCCGTATTCGAGATTTTGATGCATCCAAGACGCATGGCTAAGTAGTCGGGCGAATTCGAGGACTTCGGGATAATCAGCTTGGTATTGGCGATCATAACATCGACACGAGGCAGTTCAGTTGGTACCAAATCATCGTTGGGATTCGGAAGGATAAACTTCTTCAGATTTTGCGTCACGCCATGCAAATGCTCCAATATCTGCGTCTCTCCCGACTGCGCCGCATTCGTGTTGATGTACGACAAACCGATCGTCTTCGCGGTATCAAGGACGTTTCCGACAATCTGAGTGGTGATTTCTGGGTTAGGTTCCTTCGCTTCTGCTTCTGCTTCTGCTTCTGCTTCTGCTTCTGCTTCTACCTTAACTTCTGGCTCTGCCTTAACTTCTGGCCCAGACAAAAGCTTCAACCCATCCATGATCGGACCATTCATAACATAGTTCAACACCTCTGTGATAAAACGCATGCGTACTGTGAGGATCGGAGCACCAATTCGGCATCCCGCTTCCAAGCTAAATCCGGGATAACTCGGCCATCGATCATCATTATACAACTTTACTCCAGCATCAATAAAATCATTCTTGGCACTGTCTCCCATGGTCGCATCGTGACTGATCGAAACCACGGAAGAATACAATCCGCATCCACTTGTCAAATCCCTCACCGATGCATCATGAATATTAAAGAAGAGCGAAATCTTCGCAGCACAAATCTCCACTTTCGTCTGAATGTCATACACTCCAGCACGCATAATAGGACCCTTGCCTTCCGTATCCAGCATGATCTGAGCGGCGTCCATGGAGAGATTAACGACGATACTCTTGCGCTCCCAGTTTGAGGGAATTGGCTTTGGAGGCGCGGACACTAATGAGTCGGAGTATTCCTTCAACTGCTTCGTCTTCTCGTCTGCTTTAATCGCCGCCTTCTTCAGTAACTCCATTACTTTCGGAGAAGGAGTGATGAACCGCAGCAGACTGTAAATCAAGACTCGACTCAACACAATGTTCACCTGGCCTAGCGCCACTTTCACAAAAATATCCTGCTTACTATACTTGTACAAATGGGAACTGGCAGGAACCAGCACGACTTCTGTCACAAGCAAAGGCTTCCGAATAATGTCGTTTGGATGACCGTCATCCCCCACATCACAAACGCACATCATATATCTCGTATCCTTCTGCAGATCGCTTGACACAGTATCCTTAATATGCACATCCAGCACGCTCACACCCGCAGTTATCATGGCACTGCTGACTGTGGATTGCACCTTGACCTCATTCACGCAAAGGGCCATAATGTGCTCTGTGTCCTGATGCGGAACCATGTCATTATTGAGCCGAAGCTCAAAGGAATGAAGCATAACACTCGCATCAACCAGCATGTTACGGTAATGGCACTCAGAGTCGACTCGTTTGTTCAATTCATCAGTACTCTTCTTAAGACGGAAGAACACCAAAGCAATAGACGCTGCTAAGAACAGCAGGATTAAAAGCGATGGGAAGAACATCTGATAGAGTGCGATTGGAAAAGCACTTAAGAATAGGAGCAAAAACCCAACGCGCATATACGACGAAAGAAGATAGTTTGCCATAAAGCACGCGAATGGAATAATACCGAATACATAGTGATACTCGATATTCTCCACCTTGGGATTCTCATTCTTCAGCGCAGATGTTGGTTGAGGCGGACTGGAAGCAGAACCATTACCAGCGCTGCCATCCTCAATTTCCGGAGGACTTGCGCTCTTCGGCGCAGGATCCGAAGGCAGCGAATTCAGGAAATCATCCACAAAGCAAGCAATATTCTCATACTGCGACTTTTCAATTTCTAAATCAACCTTAAAAATATCCAACTGAACGCGGAGCATGGGCAAAGGCGTTCGATACATCTCCCACAGCATTTCGCACATTTCTCGCGCACGAATTCCAACAGGAACCGTGTATTCTGCCTCCTGACTGAGCAGGTTCCGCACCTTCTTCGGGAACTCCTTCCTTGACTGCGCCAACTCAGCAGGCAGATCCATCCCTTTCAACAGCGAGAGAACCTTCGAATCGATTGCGTCGCTCTCCGCTACATTCAGTCTTCCACACATTTCTTGTAAGCTATCTTCAACACTTCGGTGACGATCCTCCACGCGGCGAAGATCGCCGATTATTTTCACTTTACAATGCAAATCGTCCAGCAAGTGATCGTCCGGATCATATTGGATTACACTTTTCGATTTGCTCGCTTCTTCTGCACTCAGGAAAAAGGCTTTCATCGAATCGACTATACATTCCTTGTCTCTGTCAGCAAGTAGCTCTTGGTCGTTTAAGCACCAATACAGAGTGAGACCATCCATACTGAAATTCTTGCGAACACTCCACTTCGGAGCCTCTTTGGACACTTCCATAGTATCCAAAACAATAGACTCGAGACCTACTCCCAGAGAAAAAACAGGAATGGGAGACTTCGGATTACCTTCTAAGCGAATGTGTAATCGATTTAGGCGGAACTCGAAATTGTTTGCAAGAAGAGTTGCGAACTGAAAAGCGTCACTAAGATCAGTCAGACCACGTTTCTCCACTTCCTTCGGCGATTCCTCTTCACTATCATCGCCATCCTTAGAGAGATCTTCCTTGTCAGTAGTATCCTGAGGAAGATCTTCTTCGTCATCGACAGCCTCATTGAGACCTTCTTCATCCTTCGAAGTATCTTTCGAAGTATCTTTCGAAGTATCTTTCGAAGTATCTTTCGAAGTATCTTTCGAAGTACTCTTGGGTGCATCCTTAGGAGCATCCTGAGGAACATCCTTCAAAGTATCCTTCAAAGTGTCCTTCAAAGTGTCCTTCAAAGTGTCCTTCAAAGTGTCCTTCAAAGTGTCCTTCAAAGTATCCTCCAAAGTATCCTTCAAAGTGTCCTTCAAAGTATCCTTAGGTAATTCACCATCAGACACTTCCTGAGACACTCCTTCCTGATTCTCCGAAGTACTCGGATCCAATGGTTGCACCAATACATACATATCATCAACTTCTACAGAAATAGGATGGCGGTTCAGAGACAGCCACGGAAACTATAAATTAGAAATAGAAAGAAGCGGATACCTTAATAATAAGAGTCCCGAGATAGATATCCTTTACACAAAGGGGGAGATCCATGTCATTGAGAAACGACGTATTCACTCTCTGCACATGATAATGTATCTCCGCTACATACGATATTATGAAGTTCAATTGCTCCATTGAGTAACGAAAGTTTCAGATCTGACGGATTCAAGTCACATATATAAGTAGATAAGAACTTATTGGCCAGGGAAATAATCTGTCCTTCTAACATAGAGTATTACGAAATGAACAGATTTATGATTAATCACTTCTTTCTAACGCCCCCCCTAACCGCGGTTATTTTACTACCGAAACACTTTCTCATTGCGCAATACCAGTTTCGAACAAACAAACCGAAAACCTTATTTTCTCTTTTCTTCTTGAATCTGAGATAAAGCAACCTCTAAACAAGGAATGTGCTTCACTTTTAAGCTTAATGGAGAATTCCGCTCTTCGATCTAAAATAACATCCCAGGTCACAAAAATCACCTGACTTAGAACATCTTCAGGGTAGAGAGATAACGGAATCGCTTTCTGGGAATAGATGGGTAACAAGGTTCCAGAAGACTGCAGAGAAATCTCCTTATGGTACACAACATAAGTCGGACAGTATCCATAATCGTAAATATCGCGCTGCACCTCTTCCCAAGTATAAGGGACGATTTCCTCGTCATTGTAGAAAACCCACTGATTACCATTATTATTGAGGGAACTATTCAAAGCGTCGTCTGAGTGACGACAAAGTACCACATAATGGCCACTGTCCATAGAATAGCCCACATGGCACACGATCGCATAGATATAATAGTGCACCTACGACCTAAAGACAAAACAAAAGACATTTACGCCCGAGAGAGTTAGGATCGGGTTGATGTAGACATGAGAACAGTCCTTGAGCAGAGCGTGGGTCGTTTCATTGAAGAAGGTACGGCTGATTGCGATATTCAGATAGCTCGGGAACACGCTGAGCCTCGCCTCCTTCTTCAGGGTGACGTTGCACTGATTGCAGACCAGATCTGCGGCCGTTATGCCCAGCTGCAACGAGGAATGCAGCATGGACTGGAGACTCAGATCGCTCACAGACGGGGAGTACACCGCGTAGGACACTTGCAGACCGGAGAACACGATGCCCAGAGCCGGTTTCTTGCTGTAACTGCTCTTCAGCAGCTAGATTTCGGCCAATCCGCGCATTCCTACCTGGATGAAATCGCCTTCGAACACGTTCCCTTCCTTCAGATGCATCGAATAGCAGATCGTGTTGTTCGTGGACGCCTCCCCCGGAAGGATCAGCTGACACCCAGTCGAGTCGCAGAGCAAAAACCCGCTGCGCGGTTCACTCGAAGACCCGCACGTAATCTTGTAGAGACGAGCGGAGGCCGCCGAAGCGTCCTTCAAATCGAACATGAATGTGGCGTGGTCGTCGCAGAAGGTGAGCATGTTCACATCCCCCTTGGCCTGAATTCCTTGGAGCTGAAGGGACAATCCCTTCCAGCTCACGTGGGTGATCGTGCCGTTGTCCTCTTCATAAGGCAGCTGGTGCAGAATCCCCGTAATTTGGCTATAGAAATAGAGCTTTCCTCCCATCTGGAAGCCTTTCCCAGAGTGGGATTGCTCCCCCACCATCAGGCTGGCCCTCGTGATCACCTTGAAATCGTTGTAAGCGTCCTGGATCGAGCACGTGTCCACCAGTTTGCCATTCACATACAACGCCATCTGGAAGGTATTGGGCTCGATCGAAATCACAGAGAAGCCCTTTCTCGGCGGTTGCTGCGCGTCTTGCAGCGCAGGAATGTAAACGGTGGGGGAGAACACCAAATAATGGTCCGAGTGGGCTTTGGCCACCTTCGCGATGTCGCCCATGATGCAGGACAGCACTTGCGATGGGGATTTCAAGGTACGCGGCAAGAAGGGGGGCTGCGGGAGGGAGAGAGATTGAGGAATGCCCAGATCGACCGACGACAAATCGCAGAAGGAGGCGTCAACCACCTTTTGGAAGATTTCAAATTCCAAAAAATCGTCGTAGTATTGATAGAAGAAACTGCCCAGAAGCTGGTATTTTCCGGTGTTCGTCTCCGTGAGCTTCTTATTGTTCCTATCGACTCCGCGGATGAGCACGTCCACAACCAACTGGTAGGAATGGAACACTGCGTTCTCGTTCATCTCGAAGCAGTACATCGGCTGGTACTCGCATGCGAACAAATAGGAAGGCGTGAACTGATGGAACGAGGGTATCGGGACGAAGGAATAAGGAATATCTCCTGCAAGGAATAAAAAGAGAAACGCACCATACTCTTCTTGTTTGCCAGGTAAAGACAACTGAACGGCTTCTTCGATTTGTCGCGCTCCAAAGCGAGATATACGCTCTGTTCCCTGTAGTCGAATAGATAGGTGTAGGTAACATTCGGCCTTTCCTTGGGCGGTTTCTATTCTTAAGTGATGCATTGCACACATACATCGTAACTATACAGCTCGAACGAGATGCCAGTAATCGGGTAGATTGGAGAAGCCAAGGAAATGTAGCAGCCCTGCAACGAGCAATCCTTCTCTTCCATAGGCCAGGTGTTTTTGCACTGATCACAGTGGGCATCGATGGCTATCTTGCCTTGCCAAGCACTGAGAGGATTCGGAGGGCAAGCAGGCAACGTCTTCATGAGTCTCTGGTAACACGAATCAACTGCGTTCATTAAATAGTCATAGTACTCTCCCATATCCTATTCATTATCAAATTTAACAACAAAAGCTGGGTACATGTTGAGTGCCAATTTCAAAACGATCTTTGAGAGTCAGCATAACGTTGTTGAACTCAGTGTTGTACCAAGAGAACTGAAGACGCGTGAAGATTTCCATAATTGCCTTTAAAACGCGGAACTCGTCGGTATCACTGATCTTCTCCGATTCGGCACACAACTTGTACATCTGCGCGATGGATAATATCAGCGAGTCGGAGTGGAAGAGCAGCTGAAGCGTGCTGTTCTGGAAGCAGATATTGAAGAAGTTGTAGAGTCCGCGGCAAAGACTATGGCTCGAAGAAAGACGCGTGTTAAAAGAGAAGGAGCCGTTCGATTTGCGACTCTCCAAGATTAGTTTCATCGGACTTAACGTGCCGTTGTTATTCCTCCAGATATAATTATACGCAGAATCCTCATCACAGAAGTGGAAAACAAGTAGCTTATCCTCGTTGGGATCTTGCGAGATCACAAAGGATTCCCAGTTGGATTCCTTGTTTCGAATAGCAACACAGCCGGACGTCTTGTACGTCGGAGGATCTCGTTTCAAGGGGTCCTTATTCGCAAGCAGCGGGAAATCGCGGTAAGAGATATCGCAGGGGGCGACGATATACGCATCTCGTTTCACCATATAACACGCAGATTCCAAAGAAGGCAGTAAAACATTCTTGCTGTTTGTGAGAAGCGAGTAATCGGTATCCGCAAATGCAGAACTCGCCGTGAATGACGAAATCGTCACATCGGAACCGATTAATCCCGAAAGAAGAACGTCGCAAGCGAAGTAGCGCCGAATGTCAAAGGACTGAATACGGAAGCCGATCGATCCAAATTGGATTTTCATAACATCCTCGCCAATTTCGCACGTCAGCTTTCCGTTTGTGGCCATTTCGGGAGAAGCGCTCTTTAGCAAAAAGACGAAATACTTCTTGTAGTCAGTATCGTAATAGGACCGCGTGTAATAAAGCGTAACGCCCTGCTCCGATCTGTATAGAATCACGCACATAACGGGCTGATCCATCTGCAATTTGGTGTAATAGCAATTCGAAAACTTAGGATTTGCATCCGAAACAAAGCTCATGAAATCCCGCTGGATATGGCTCAAATACACGTACGATGGGATGGTCATGCTGCTAAACCAAAGCATCACGCAGCTCGCTGGTTCCGTAAGTGCCACGTCCATATTGATCTGGAACTTGGGGAGGGGCAAAGCGTACTTCCAATACAGGCATCCACACTTCGAGCTATTTCCAAGAGTGAGACTGTGCTTTTCGTAGTCGAACTGGACAAAGAAATTGAAATAGCAGCTTTCGTTCGAATAAATGAACTGATTGCGGGACGCCATGCAGTTTTTGTCGCACACTCGATCATCGGAATGCAGAAAGTATCTCCACGTATCCAGATAAGATCCTTTTCCTTCCCGTAAAACCAATTTGTATTGAGCGTTGGAGTAAGCGTATTTCCGAGCGCCCTCCTCTTTCCCAAAATGGCTGCCTATCGTGCTCAGAATCGCAGCGTCCGAGGGAACGTTCTTCCAGCTCTCAGGCGACGAGAAGCTGTAAAGGAAGATGCCCAGCACGCCGATGCAACATGCCACGCTCGGATCCGACGGCTGGTTGATAAGGCATACCGATTTCAAATGGTTCGGCACGTTCGAAATGGCTTTCTCCAGATAGATGTTGGCTTGCGATGAGTTGACCATCAGGCTGATCTTCTTGTCATCCATCAGACCGTAGCGGATCGTAACGACTTTCCTCACATCCACGGCAAAAGAGATCCGCACTTGTTCGCCTTGCGTCTCTATGGTTTCAGAGTTGGTTTTGATCCTCGTCACGTTTTTCCCGGACACCAGATACACGTTCGATGTGTCCGTTTTCCCAAATTCAAGCCAGAAAAGATCGCAGGCGAAGAACATTATGTTGCCAGTCGGTTGTTCTGGGAGCAGAATATGACAAATATAGCCGTAGAGATTTTCAGGGGTGTAATCGACCTGCAGCGAGCAGTGCGGATGGAGTTGTAAAGCAGCTTCGATCTGCGTGGCGGTGCAGGATTGAAGAAGGTCATGCGGGAACATGGAGACGACATCGTATTGTACAAAGACGTCGGGACAGGTCGCGACTTGGCGACTTGGCGTGGCCTGCTGTTCCTCCAATGCCACCGGAACAGGGCGGCAAAGGTAATAGGCAGCTGATTTCGCGGAGAAACAGGGCGTGACGGTTTTGTGCCTATTCAAATTCTCGATTTCCTACACATCACAAATACGCGTCGTGCGTGCTACTTCCTTCTTGGAGAGGCTGTACGAGCAAGAAATGCAGATGCTCCCGCGCGAATTGCGAGCGCCACAGTTTGGGCAGCGCCAGGAAACGATGGACTTCAGCCGGAACAGCGCGTACTGGCTGCCCGAGGGGAGACTGATGAGATCGCTGAACGTACAGTTGTCACATGCCGAAGACTGCGCGATACTCTCCGGATTGACGGGAATGCTGACGTTCTGCGGGTTGCTCGGATTGGTCGGGTCGAGTAGGCAGTCGAACAGCACCGAGCTGCTGACATTGACCGCAATACAGTCAATCTTGGGGGCTTCGACACCTTCTTCTGGAGGCGGAGGCGAAGGTGCAGGAGGCGGAGGCGTCATTTCCTCTTCGACGATTTGCGGAGATTCAACAGAGAGCGGAGTTGCAGTGAGGGGCGTTGTGAGGGGAGTTCGCTCCGATTCCATGGTCGTCTCATTCGTTTCGGAGTTCGATGAGCGATCCAATTCGTGCACGGATAGCCAGTAGCCGTTATTATACTCCGGAGCACTTGTACCGACTTCCGCGTAGTGACCATCGAGAAGGAGCGTATCCAGATCGGTCGTGTAGTAGTAGCCATTGGGATATTTCTTCAGCAGTCCGTTCCGGTTACCCAGCTTCAAATAATAATTGGCTAGGTGATCCAAGCACTTCTTTTCCACAAAAGGGACACCCGACACGCTGCTCAGCTGCTTGGTGAACACATCTAAAAACGGATAAAGCAGGTAAAGACTTTGAAAAAACACGTAGTATTGACCTTGATACTTGGACCTCTTCATATTCCTATTTGTGACGGCTGTACAGAATTGCTACAAAACTTGCTCTCCAATCAATTCCAAGGGCTCTTGAAAAGACTTCAGTACATTCACTTCCAATGGATACGACAATAATAAGAGGGAAACTATGTTTACGCAAGCCTGGCTCTTGAGACGCTTATCATTAAATGCCCTATATACTTAAGGTTGTCAATCACTCATACACAAAGTACAACAGTTTAACCGCATACTTCCGCAGTATTGCTTCAAAGAACGTCACATTACAGTGAAACAATATTTTTAACAAAACTTCATGAAGTTCAGGAAAAAACGATTCGAACGATAGAAGGTCTTCATAGCCAGACAACCACGAGATAAACTCTATTTGATGAAAATCCGGCTCACTTCAATACCTTCCGCATCTTTCTCCTTTGCGAGAGAGATCTTTTGACGTAAATCCTCCTTTCTCTGTTTATCATGCTTTTTATCATCATAATGATTCATCAATTCGGCAAACATTTCAGGAAGAGTCATAGTGTCGATATTATCGTATTCTTTTGATTCGCGTTTTCTACTAGATTTCATAATAGAGCCAATATTATATGAATGACGAATAATAATTTATAATTAGCCAGAAAAACGTTTCACTTGAGTATAGATCCGTTTTTTTACAATCTTTTTGATTCCAACAACTTGAATCATTATTTGCTTGCATAATACATACCTATATACATGTACAACTCTCTAATGCTTATATGGTTATTATTATTGATACAAGGTAATGATGATGTCCATCTCTTCTTAAAGGCGACTGTCGCAACATTTTGTTTTTCACATAATGGTCGTTACAAATCATTCAATAATACAGGGGATAAAAAGCATGAATAGGGAAAGAGTCGATGAAAGGGCAAGTCAGCATACAATGAAAAACATAGGGAAAGGAGTCGTTAGTCATAGAGAATATTAATAATAATTCAATAGGATTAATGAATGTAGGAATGAATAGAATATTAATTATTTTCATTTAATAATATACAAATTCAGAAAAAGAAAGCGTATTTGAATTCTACAATGCATATCACACAATAATGGTTATTTGTTATTGGAAACAGAGATACTATATTGAATCTTCAATTCTGCAAGTAAGAAACGAAGAATTGAAATTATGTCATTATTTCAAAGGAATTGATTTTGAATACATTTTGTTGACTATTATTTCAAATGATTTAATTCATTATTCAGTTTTATTAATTTCTGTTAAATAATTACTACTATCTTTCAATATTTCACCATTATTCCCTCTCCTTTTTCATTCAATCCCACTCACTCACTTCAATGAATCGCCCTGCTATTTTTGGTTAATGATGATCCTAATGATGGGTGCTGGCCATTGAAACAAACAATCCAGACAGTGGCATTCTTAAAAAACATTTGCTGGTATGTGAAGTGAGATAAATCATTTGGTGAAACGGTCATTACACTGCCACAAGAATAAGGAACATTGGGTGGCTGCATACGTTCTACACATGATTCCTCTATCCAAAAATAATATTACTGGGAAGACACAGTGCGCGACCCTTAAACTTCTCGGCATACCAAGAAAAAGGTTTGCAGTTGAGACGCTTCTTCAGCTCCAAGCGCTCCGAAATATCTCCAATATTGAGCTTTTCCACCCTTCTTTCGTTAAGGCTGCTGGCATTGTAGAAAAGCTGCAAGTACTCGTCGTCCATCCAGACATGCGCAATTCGAACATAGTTTCGGACAACATCATTTCCGTTCACCGGGTAGGGGAACTTGGTTCGGAACCCGTGGGCCACGAACGAATCTTTCGCCACTACGATTCTTCCTCCACACAGCCACGTTCGGAAGGAGATCTCCACGTTCTCGCCGCCCCATGTGCGAAGATCCGGGTCCATCGCGCCCTGGTTCCACCAGTACTTGCTGATCACGAACATGCCCATTGTGATCGGCGAGTAAGGATCCTTCCGTGAGCCTCCGCCCCAGATCTGCCTCAGATCCATGCGGATGGTAGCGGAACTGCCGATGCCCTTCCAGACGGGGAACGGAACGAAATGCTCCTTGTCCAAATTGAAGTTGATATAGTTCACCACCGTTTTGGGATCCTCCTCGATGAGACGCTTCGGGGTTTTCAGCCAGTTCGGCCCCACATACACGTGAGCATCGATGAAAGCAAGATATTCTCCGCGCGCGTTATTTCCCCCAATGTACCGAGCACCTATCAAACCCATCCGGCGATCTATATATCGAACTCGGTTGGAGAAGCCCCACCAGTGCGAATAATGCGAACAAGAGTCTCGTTTGGATTCCATTGAACTGGTACATCTGAAAGGTCGTCAATAATCAGAATCTAGTATGTACTGCCAGTAACTATTCTGTACTTCCTTAAGATATTTCGGATCCGTATTCTCCAGAACATTGTTCACTCTACAAATACAACATCTTTTCAAAAATACGTCTTTTCCAAAAGCTCCTCGTTAAATGAGACAATAATCACCGTGAATCTTCCGTCTCTTCTTCCCAGAGTCGAGTTTCCTTTTCCAGGGTAATGCCGCAAGCTAGGACCGTGCTTTTCAGAGTAGTAGGACATGTTACTTCCTGCCTGGATCAGACGATCGGGGTAATGCTCAATTTGTTGCACAGATAGAATGAGATGGCTTTTCAACGAGGCAAGAATCACCACGCATACTACAATCGAAATTACACTAATCAGGCTTTTCATTACACAAAATTGTAACAAACAATATCAAACATTTCAGTATTCAACCTCTATTCTTTGCTCGTTTTGAAGCCTTCACATCAACCTGTCAAACTACAACACCTACATCTTGTTGATTCTTTCCTTTTCGCCGATTGTTCGTTCAGCAAACTAATCGTTTACGCAACCATACCGCAAATAGTACACTAATAATCTGCAAATCCACCTTTGTGGTTTCCACATGACCCAACGATTGCTTTATTCTCCACTGTCTCTGTCTACAGCAGATTACTCGAATACGAAACCAATCTACTTCTCAATCTCATTCTGAAACATGATCATCTCTCCAGGTTTCTCAAAACGAAATTGGTAGCACTTCGTTAAGCTTGTGAGCTACGCAATTACCCTAATTTTAGCAAGAGAGATACTCTGACAATCAGCCCTTCGGTCTCAACACTAAAGTTGCGTACGTCAATTGGGAATCTTGGGGTTAAGTTTAGGACGCTAAATCAGTATACCCTTTCACGTACAGTCCCTAACTATTAGCAATATATATGTGGAGCAACATTCGAACTAGAGTACTTAAAGATATAGCCATCTGTTATCACGAGAAACCGAGATTTCCAAACTGGAAGACACTTCATGTTTAACCGGTAAGAGAGCTTTGAGACGCTCACCGTATAGCATTCCTTCATTCTAAGCATCTCTTGGCAAGAGATCGACTATTTCGCACTTAGAGATAAAGAGCCAACGTGTCGGTTTGTTTTACTCTCGACAATGAGCGCCTCGTTCACATCATACACTTTAGAATCCATCCCTATAGTTTTGTAAAACACCCTGTTTTTTGGAATCCTGATTTAAAAACACAAAACAATCCCTAACGAAGCATGGAAACCACACTCCTTATTTAGACAGACTGGGATCAGATGAACAGTGACAATTTTTCGCTATGGCAGACAGAGGAGAAGGGTAATGAGGAGCTCACCCTGAAAGAACTGCACACATTGTTGCATGGCCAGTACGAAAAGTTTGTCTATGATAAAATGTGCATTACAAAGAACGACAAAGTAACCTATCTGTATGGTACATGGGAACCTACGCGGGGATTTGTGGTTGATTATAAGGTCTATGAAAAGTCACACGAGAATATTGTTAAGATTTTCCTTCCTCCTCGTGGATATAATTTTAATAATAATAATAATAGTGGCGAGTGGGAAAAATACTATGAGGGCTATATTCTGCAAGGTGTATCAACACAGTCCTTAACACAACCAAGCGATCTGATTCAGCTCCGCAAACTCTATCACGCTTGCTGCCCTTCTACCTATCTGCAATTTCACACAAAGCGGAGTGGAAGTGCACACTACGGAAATATAACGAAGGTGTTCTACCTAACGGATGTATCTATATTCTTGTCGCTCCTTTCCCACGGATATACCCTTTTTTCTGCACTTGGTATCGATATTGTTAACAATTACGCAGATACCCCAATACCATAAGCTAAAAGAGCAATCATTCCGATGTAATTTTTTGAGCAACTACTTGTTTTCTGTCCGTAAACGACCACAAAAAAAGAGAAGTGCGATTTCACATACTCATTGCTAAAAGCAAATATTATTGCTTTGCTACATAGTTTATTAGTATCGTTGAGACGTAACACAGCCACATTTGATAAAACCCATTTCTACATCCAATTCGACTCTCCTCTTTTTCTGCTTTATTTTTATTTTCTATCCCATTGCGTCAAACTCGACTATTTTGCATCACAAAAGAAACTAGTAAATAACAGTTCGCCTATCTGTACTGTATTTTAGTAGATACGCATGTATCACACTCTAATCTTCTAAAGCAATATAAACTATATGTGTATATGTAAGTATATACATATATATTTCTTGATGAATACTCCACCCTGGGGTAAAATCACCATCTTATTAATTTAGCTAGCTTATTCAATTTACCCCCTTCTCTCCTCATTCCAAAATTCCCTGCTTTTTTGTCGTTCCTTTATTGAACAATTGCTCCATTCAAAAGAATAACCTTATTACTGTGGTTAATTGTTATAGAGTGAAATGAAGGTGGGTATTTGCACTTGTAAACGCTCTTTCTTCTTCCTTTAAGAAGCATTGACTAATCTCTTCGTAGCTGAACATTTGCTATCCCGCTCTCGGTTCTCAGAAGCCTATTGATATCGATGATGAGAACAAGCTGTACGAATTGTGTTTTGCTCGTTTATTGCTAGCCGTTGTCTGATGGACAAGAGAATTAGCCAGGAGGTTGAGGGAGACCTTCTCGGAGATGAGTTCAAGGGCTACGTCTTCCGGTAGGGGTTTTGCGTGTATTTGCTCATTTTTCAGCATCACTGGAGGAAACGATAAGCAGGGTTTCCCCATGAAGCAGGGAGTTCTCTGCAACTACCGTGTGCGTCTTCTGCTTGCCGACGGCATGTCCTGCTACCGTGCTCGTCGCGACGTTGGTTCGGAATCTTCATTTCACGTCTAGGGTGAGCGTAAGCGCAAGTCCGTGCGTGGCTGCATCGTGGGTTCGGATATCTGCGTCCTGAACCTGATGATCGTGAAGAAGGGCGAGCAGGAGATTCCGGGTCTGACCGACGAGGCCTCCGCGAAGCCCCGCCGCCTGGGTCCCAAGCGTGCGAGCCACATCCGCCAGCTGTTCGGTCTGAGCAAGAAGGACGACGTCCGCAAGTTCGTGGTGCGCCGCCAGTTCGAGCACAATGGCCACAAGCGCGACAAGGCGCCCAAGATCCAGCGTCTGGTGACCCACCTGCGTCTCTGCCACAAGCGTGCGAACGAGCGCGCCATGAAGCTGTCCCGCGAGAACTCGCGCCAGGAGGCCGCTGCCTACAAGCAGCGCATGGAGCAGCTGAAGAAGGAGAAGAAGGAGGCCCGCTCCACCCGCAAGTCGCACCACGAATAATAAGGCGATGGAAGGAAAACCACAGTAATGACTTGAGGTTGTCAATTGTTTGTTTGACTAAACGCTCCAGAAGTGCCAAGTTACCAAATGGCAGTAATCAAGAGTGACAAGGAGGTGTATGTTATTACATACGCCCACTTTGTTCTAATTGTGTGTTTTAGTTTACCTGGGATGCTAACGTCTAGTTGGTCATAGCAATCTATTTCCAGCTGTATTTTGTTCGTTCTATGTTATTTGATATTGTTTTCAGCGGTGTTGTACTGTACGTGGGATCACAATTATTTTACGCCTTCAAAGATGGAAAGAGCATCATTGTGGATTTTGGAGATATCTCCGGTTCGCGTTATTCCTGATGTTCATCCATAGGAACCAGTTTGTGTCGGGTGAAAGAACACACGTATTCTCTGAGTGAACTTCAGCGTTTTCGAAACAAAGTTCAGGGAAAGAAACCTTGGTATCACTTTTCTGTGTCAAGTCTTCCTTCCGAGAGACATTCGCCTCGAAGTTCTACTCCAGATGTTAGAGGAATCAACGAGGACTCTTTTTCCTCCTCTTCGAGTGTGTCTTTCGAGCAAGCAGGTCACATTGCCTATGAAAGAATGAAAAGGGAGTTGCCAGAGCACTACTTTGATAGGCTGTTAGACGTATTGCCGAAAGATCGTCAAATTGGGAAAGTCGTTCGAGTTTTTAATCACTACGGTCAGATTCGGACAGTCGAGCCCGTACTTCGCATTTATGATTTTTTCTTTCATTTTCGTGACTGTATCATGGACGAAGAGGAGGCGATTCACGAGAATGACCGCGTTATATTTTCTCTTGCCATTCGTGACAAGCGTTTGTATGCAGTGGATGTGAAACATATTGCAAAAAGAACAATCTCTTCGCCGGACTTTAGTCGTTTGATTATGCGACAGTCACAAGAGGCCGAAATTCCTCCTTTAGATCTTTAGAGTGCATTGTTTGGTTGCACAAACAAGTTTTATTCCTTCTATTGATCGACCATACTCTTAATATATACATATAGATATATATGTATATAGATTCTAACTAAAAAATATCTAAATGATGATACGAATGCCACAATATATTATTATATAATCTTATATTATATTATCGTTTGGATTTGGTAATTGGCAATTCTCGCTTGTTCCTTCGAGCACAGCGAATGATCAATATTAGCAAACAGACAACAAAAACGGCTGCCACAATATACAGGATAGTATACATTGGCGTTGGCTGACAATACGAATCGGGAAGAGACCATTGCGGTTTGCCATCTACCAGCTCGCATCGTCTCGTTATTACCCCATAATATCCCGATTTGGTGCAGTTGATTGACTGAGACTGGCCAACAGGCACAGACTCAAACTCGGCAGTCTTCTGACAATATGGAAGATGAATAGACAAACTAATCGATGTCACTGCTGAAGAATCTTCATTTCTTCCCGTAATAAAGAATTCTGTTGCAGTCAAAAGTTCTGAACTACTTCCCGTGATTTCGCCTGTCATTGAATTGAAAACAATTCCAGTAGGTAGAGACGGACTTATCTCAAAGGATGTGATACGATTACGATAATGAGGCTTTCCAGAGGAAATTGTTTCATTCTGATTTAGGGTATAGGTAGAGACAGGATACATAAAATCTTCTGGAGGAAGGGCACTGCATTCCTCATAGCTAACATTCCCCAGAATTCCATTAGTACATAAACGTTTTCCTTGCCCGGTGAAGTTAGGCAGACAAGGCTCGTACAAGTATTCCCCATCCTCAATAGTGACTAAACTCCCCGACGGACCGATTCGTCCAGAGCAAGGCGCTGCGGAGATTGTGATCTTAATGGTTGCTGTAGTCGAACCATAGCTATTTTCTGCTGTAACGGTGTAAAAGGTTTCCGCCTGAACCTCTTCGGCAACTCCAACAATCAAACCCTTGGCTGTTAAAGCCAACCCTGAAGGTAGCTGGGGAGAAATAGACCACGAACTGACGACATGATCCCATGTAGGAACTAGTGAAACTGATTCATGTCGCAAACAATTGATTTCGCTAGGGGCATACTGCAAAGACGAGGGAGCGATTAAATGACACTGATCAGTATTCAGAGGACCAAACACACCATTTGTGCACAGTCTTGTTGAAGTTCCCTCATAGTCCTCGGGACAAGCCGAAGTACTCGTAGATATCTCGCCTGAAGCCACTCCAGAAAACGAACCAAGTGCAGGACAAGGTAGAGCCACAACGGATATATTTAGAGTGGTCGTTAATTCATTGTCTCCATCATGAGCATGAATTGTGTACTCTTTCACCTCAGATTCAACCGTGGGCGTACCGCTGATCGTTCCATTTGCACTACTGAAGGACATCCCAGTAGGAAGCAACGGGTTTACAGAGAAATCGCTCAAAGCACCATTAGCCTTGGGGAAAATGCCGCTAACGGATGCATTTAGGACAAGTACCACAGCTGATATTCCATATGACAAAACAGAAACGTGATGAATAACACAATTTGTTGTGTTCTCGTTAACATATTGACCATCTCTACAGAGAGCAAAACGGTAGCCTGTGTAGCCCTCCTCACAGGCAGCATAAGCAACTGATCCTTCCATCGTTACTTGGTACACATCGTCAGTACAAACTGAAAACGCAATTGCGAACAATGCTAAATATATAAGAATACAAAATGAGATTTTCATGTAGATTATTTTGTTGTGTCTCTGCTTTTCTGCTCTTGTTAACAAGTTGTAATATATCTTATAAGTGAGTTTGTACTACAGACTCTGAATGCTTCTCTTCTCAGTTGCGTAATTACCCGCGGGAAATCCGAGCAAAGATCCCTCACTCTGAACCACATATTTTTCTTTTTATACGAATGCTCGGGACTTCTTCAGTCGCTAAATCCTGTGCCTCTGTGCTTGCTCGTGGTATGGCTTCTAGTGTTAAGCCCTTCAACCGACTTGTGTTGGTGCGCCACGGAGAGTCCCAGTGGAACAAGGAGAACCGCTTCACTGGATGGTATGATGTTCCTCTGTCGGATAAGGGTATTCTCTGAAGAGGGTCAATGATCACTAGGTATTGAGGAGGCTCGTGAGGGTGGAAGACTCATTAAGGCCGAGGGTCTGGAGTTCGATGCTGCTTACACTTCTTGCTTGAAGCGTGCCATCAAGACCCTTTTCCTGTCCCTGGAGGAGGCTGACCAGCTCTGGATTCCGGTGACGAAGTGCTGGAGACTGAACGAGCGTCACTATGGAGCCTTGACTGGACTTAATAAGCAGGAGACTGTTGATAAGCACGGTATTGACCAGGTATGTAGTAGTAGTGACTTGTATTGGATAATGTGAATGAAATATACACATTGTGAAAGAGAAGAAGAAGAATGCTGAGACGTTTTTCGTACCTCAGCAATCGAATTTCTTCTGTTGTGTCTTGTTTTGAAGTGGATTGCCAATGATTTTGTTTTGCATGTTAGTCTGAGGGCTTCAGCTCTTTGAAGACAATCACTCTATGAGGCATCTTGTGTTGCTTAAAATGGAAGAAGATTTCAATACTAATCTTTGTTTTATAGGTTATGATCTGGAGACGAAGCTATGATATTCCTCCCCCAGCCGTGACGACTGATTCTGAATACTACCCTGGAAATGATCGTCGCTATGCTGACATTCCGAAGAATGAGTTGCCCACTACCGAGTCCCTGAAGACGACCGCTGAGCGCTTCCTTCCCTATTGGAAGGAGGAGATCTTCCCTCGTGTGTTGAAGGGAGAGCGTCTGATCATTTCGGCTCATGGAAATTCTCTTCGTGCCCTGGTTATGTATCTGGACCAGATCAGCGAGAAGGACATTACCGGACTGAACATTCCTACTGCTTGCCCTCTCGTTTACGATTTTGATGAGAAGGGAAACATCATTCCTCACCCTGATGCCATTGCTCCTCTTCGTGGTCATTATCTTGGTGATCAGGCTGCCATTCGTGCCAAGATCAACAAGGTGGCCAACCAGACGAAGAAGAAGTAAGTAGGCAGCAAGCAAGCAAGCAAGCAAGCAAGCAGTCTATGATCTATGTATTGCCTGTTTCAGCTTCTTCTTTTTCTCGATTCTATTCTTATTTTTAAACTACAACAACACTAATTACTGTGTGTGTTATTCTTGCAAAGTGTGTTTGAGGAAAACATTCATAGGAATCGATCTTTTGCCTCTTTCTCAACTCTTCTTCCATCGCATCGCATGTTTTCTACGTGTCACCACACCTCTCTTCTTTTCTCTCTCCACCTACCGTCATTATGTAATTCTTCATCTGTAGCTCCAGCGCTTGCTCTTTCAGAGAGTTCAATTTCTCATAACTGCGCTGTTGGTCGTTCATCCGCTTGCGATTAATCGCTTGCGTTTTCGCTTGCACCTCCTTTAAATCATTGTCAAAACTAGACTTCACAACGGCTACGCAATCCTACCTCTCCGCAATTGCATCTAATCCGTCATTGTGCTTTCTCCATGCGTTGCTTCCAAACTTTTCTAACAGCTGAAGATTTTCCATTCTAGCGATCAAAGTTATACACAAATACAACTTCTCTTTCTGATATTCTAGCTGCATTTGAGCAATTTTAATACTCTTCTCCCAGGAAGCAGCATCAAGACCCGAAGCATCGGAGGGTTCTTCTAATGTATACTTGGTCACGTCAAATCCAGCGAGTGGCTTTTTCTCCCGAACACGTTCCCACTCCTTCTAGGACGTAATACAGTGAAAAGGGTTCCCTACCTGAAGACCTGGATGTGAATCAAATTTTATTTCAGGCATAGGCCAATCCGCAAGATAATTTCGGGGAACGAATGATTTCATCTCCTACACCAGATAAGGGCGATTCTCAACATCCAATACTTCTTGAATGAGAGCATCTACTCGATCTTGCATTCCTGGCTCCTCATACTGTGCAATTACGAAATTTTCATAGAAACTACTTCTTTATCGACATATGCAAGGGAATCGATAATAATTCCCTGAGAGAGTTGTTCTGCGAGTGATAAATGAGTCCCCTCCATAGAACAAAGCAAAGTGTGAGTATATCCTCACATTCTATATCCGTTTGATTTTACAAAAAGGTTCACATTTGTTTTTAGTATGTCTACAAAGAGTTTTCATCCTTTCTTAACTTCCCAAAGACTGGTGTCACAAGACGATTATTACCCAAAGCGTGTAATTTCCAAGGAGTATCAACGTATCAAGCGACCGACAAAGAGCAATGACGACGCGTATTCCGTGGACGTAAGCTTTTGTACCGGCTTTGATCTAGAATATTCTCATTTTCAACGATACCCATCTTCCTCTATCATTATCACGTCAGTATCCGTCACAGGACCACACCGAAATTCAATGTGGGGATAATTGCATCGTTTTAGGCATTTCTCCCGAACGTTATCATGACTATCAGAAGCAACTAGAGCAGAGCACTGATTTACCAACGCTATTTTGGACTTGCAACCATATTATGAATACTTTCTGGGATGTTCTTGTTGACAATACTTCATGGCATGAGCTGAGTCGGCAGCAAGTCTGCAAGGACTTGATTCGCGAAGAAATCATTGCAAACGGAGCCACTTTTCATCAGGGAGATAACTCGTTCGCACTCAAACAGTTTCTTCTTCACTATGTCAGTTCTTCCTATTATATACCAATCTAGATTGATATTTTCAGCAGGGGCAAACTGGCATCTCTTGCCATTTTACGCCATTTGCTGAGCTTTTTCTCAAGAACTGAGAGTAGTGTTACACTGTCTTCAATAAATAAGGATTAGGGAGATGTGTTTTCACTTGTTCGTGACCTTCTCCCTTCGACCATTCTTGTCACTTCCGTGATGGCTTCCCATAATCCCATTTGCGTTTCCATTTCACAGAATGCGCATGTTTCTATTAATACATACACTATACTGCGTATCACTCCTCAACAGTCTTCCTCCACTTTCCTTTCCTACTTAACGAAGCCATTGTTCTCCTTCTCCTCTTCGATTTCTGGATCCCTATCGTCCTATGACTGTGAGGAAGATTATGGCAATTCATTTATTATTTTGTAGTACCCAATTGAAACGAATGATCTAAAGGTGCTGTTTGCAATGCCAGATTTTTTACGCTACTGGAGATTTGCAAGGAATCGATATCCAGCGAAAACTATATCTGCGTGTAATGACGAACCGAAAATATCAGCACATCAAGAGAATCGAAAAATGCTTTGATATTCCGAATTGTTCCTATGATGAGCCTTATTCCTCCAACCATCCTGTTTACTATGATATTGATTGTATTCAGCAAGATCTGCATCTCACGGTTTGTAACGATTATGACGAGGATGGACGTGAAATTCTTGTAGTAAATGTTACCGATTCTTTCTTCATATATAACTTCTAGGAAGTCGATAATATGAGACAAATCCATCCAAATATCGCGCCTGGTCATATCTTTGTATCTATCGGGGGTATTGCCCTTCAAGGAAGTCCTCACGAGACTCTCATTCGATTGATCCGGTCTACGCCACGACCATGTACGATTCGCATGTGCTATTATTCTTAACTAACAACTATGTTTATTCTTATCATTATTTTTGAAGAACTCCTGGTTCGACTCAAAACCAAATTGTTTGTTGTTCACAAAAATATCAATACTCTGATACAAAACTAGCTAACTTGTCAAAATCTTCCAGATTGGCTACTCGTAGTCTTCTTTCTAATCCCTTAACGTGAAATGGTAATAATCTTCCATACCGAATAAAACGAAGCACATAGTTCCGATCCTTCTTGTTCTCCACATGAATTGGAAAGAAGGCAACGCAGGTACGAATAAAACTCCTTTTTGTCATTCAATGCATTTGCATTTCCAGACTTGCCTTCCTCTAATACTTAGACCAAAGACAATCTCCCACGTATCGTGCTGTTTATCGCATTCTGTGTGTTTTCTGACACTTCCGACTGTTGTCGATATGTATTTGACTAGGAATCACACCTCTCTCTCCAAACGAACCCAAGCTTCACTAATATAATCATTAGGTAATTTTACAGCATAATTTGATAGTAAATACTCGAAGTCTTTCGGATCCATTTCTTCCCAATAAAAAAGTATGGTGTGTTCCGAAGCGAGTATCAGTCTGTCTGTCTAGGGAATAAGGCTCTAACACCTCAGAACACGATATGTAACAAACACCAGTTTCAAGGGTACAAGATTACTTAAGCAGTCTTTGCTTTGTCCAACTCAGCACGCAACTGTGTACAAAAGTCGTCATTCACGTTTGCAGAATCCCAGTTATCTTCCCAATGAATAGACAAAGAAAGGTTGGAAGAGCTGGTCATCCAATCTAAAAATCAACTCCCAAAAAGAAAACAACCATCCTTCTCAAATTCTTCAAATTCGTCGTCTTCTTCGGCACGCTCCAGGTTAAACGTTTCCTTATTTTCCGGCTTTTGATTTGTACTCATTTTGGAATGGAATGAAATGAATGAATGAATGAAATTGAGAATGACTATGTTAATTCAGTGTTTTCGGATACTTTATTTGGTTGTGATGAGTTTATTATGGGTTTTTTTGTTTGACAGGTAATAGGTTCTTTTCACCGAAAACTAAGAAATGCCTATTTTGCATTAAAGTCGCACATATATGACCCAAATATGGAGTCTCAGGGATCAGTGTGTTTCATCAGAAAGTGTTTACACCTCCCTCCAATATATATTTTTTTACTTTGTATTAACCTAGCTATCATGGGTCTGTGTCCACCTCTCTCATACATAATAGAGGATTACAATGGAAATACAATACAAGTTCTGCGGTGAATCGTGGAAAGGGGAAACGAGAAATGGAGAAGTTTTAGATTCATTTCATAATTTACCTTGAAAACTATCAGATGCTGCGCATTGTAAACAGATTCAGTCTTCCTACTCTGAGATCTTTCTCCTCCCGCATTACTATTGACAACATCAACCAGCACATTCGCACTGCTGACTATGCTGTCCGTGGAGAGGTTGTGATTCGCGCTAACGAGATTGACGCCGAGATGAAGAAGGGCAAGAAGTTCCCCTTCGATTCTCTGCTTTACTGCAACGTCGGTAATCCTCAGGCTATTTGCCAGAAGCCCATCACCTTCCTGCGTGAGGTGCTGTGCATCACCTCCTGGCCCGAGGTTGCTGAGAAGCATCCTGAGATGTTCCACCCCGATGCCATCCAGAGAGCCAAGGAGCTGCTGGCTGCCAACCCTGGTGGTTCGGGTGCCTACTCGCAGACTGCTGGAGTGGGTAAGGTTCTGGAGGATGTGGCTGCTTACATTACGAAGCGTGACGGTTTCCCCGCTGATCCCAAGAACATTTTCCTGACGAACGGTGCTTCCCAGGGTATTCAGGACTGCCTGAAGCTGCTGATTGACAAGCCTACGGATTGCATTCTGATTCCCATTCCCCAGTACCCTCTGTACTCTGCTTCGATCCACGTGTTCGGAGGCCAGTACGAGCCCTACTATCTGAACGAGAAGAACGACTGGGCTCTGGACCCCGCTGACATTGAGAAGTCGATCAAGAGCGCCCGCGCGAAGGGTCTGACGGTGAAGGCGATCGCTGCGGTGAACCCGGGCAACCCGACCGGCAAGTGCTTCACTCGCGAGAACATCGAGGACATTTGCAAGATCTGCGCGCGCGAGAACATCGTGATCATGGCCGATGAGGTGTACCAGGAGAACATCTACCGCCCTGGCGACAAGTTCATCTCCTTCAAGAAGGTGATGTGCGAGCTGGGTCTGAACTGCCAGATGATGTCCTTCCACTCGACCTCGAAGGGATACTGGGGTGAGTGCGGACGCCGCGGTGGCTACGTGGAGCTGGTGAACTTCCCCGATGACGTGCGCGCCGAGCTGTACAAGCTGCTGTCGATCTGCTGCTGCTCGAACGTGGACGGCCAGTACACCATGGACGTGATGATCAACCCGCCCAAGCCCGGTGATGCCTCCTACGAGCTCTTCCAGAAGGAGAAGAACGGCATTCTGGAGTCGCTGAAGGTGCGCGCGAAGAAGCTGTCGACCGCTCTGAACAAGCTGGACGGCGTGTCCTGCCTGTCGGTGGACGGTGCTCTCTACACCTACTTCCGCCTCACCATGCCTCCCAAGGCCATCGAGGAGGCCAAGAAGCAGGGAAGAGCCGCCGATGCCATGTACTGCATGGATCTCCTCAACGAGGCCGGAGTCGTGTGCGTGCCTGGAAGTGGATTCGGACAGGAGGAGGGAACTTACCATGTCCGCTCCACCATTCTGCCCCCTGAAAACGAGATCGATCAGGTCGTGGAGAGAATGAACAACTTCCACAAGAAGTGGATGGCTAGATACCAATAAATAAGAAGAAAAGAAAGACGGCGATGATGAAAGTTGTTGTTGTAGATTAACGTGGATTGTTTGTTGATATACACATACACAAATATTAGTACACACAATCAATCAAACAATTCCAAAAGATCCAAACCCAAAGCAAAAAGTGTCTGGAAAAAACAGAGTATTCCTACAAAAATTACTTCTCAAGAAAATGCTGCATGGATCGTAGTCGCTCTTCTGTGCTCGACATTCCAAACCATTCCTCCTTCTCCCTCCCTGACGCAGTCAAAAAAGACCCCAACCAAAAACTAAACAAGGTCGGATGGTAAGGCATCGTTCCAAATCGATTTGTGATTTCCTTCAGAACCTGCTCTTTCCCCTGATACTTCGTCTGAAGTAATTCTCGTATCGAGGCCATCAACTTCCAGGAAGGACTGGATTCATCCTCGCCTTCACATCACCATCACTCACTGTCAAGTCCTACACGAATCTCCCTCTTTGTCGCTGAGCAGCTGGGCATCTCCCACAATCGACCCCATTTCTTCCACAACTCGATGTGTCTGCGTTACAACCACGCGCTGATCCCCTCGAACTCGGCACAGCACACTACTCCATAAGCCCAATTCCACACATCAACGAGCCATCTTCTCCCACACTAATCACCTCCTCGATGCGACACACCGTTCCCACTTCGCGTTCGCGTTCGCTGGATCCTTTCTGCAAGGGAGGCGTCACAATGAAAGGAGAGCGGAGATGCTTTCGCAGCATGTAAAGGTGGGAAGGCTGGTAGAGATAAAGCGTCGAAGTTGATAAGGGGAACACCAATGCAAGGCCTCGCAGCAATGGGAGCGAATTGTAATGCGAGATCGGAGGTACCTCGATCATTTGAGGCAAGAGAGGGGATCTAATTACCAAAAAAGATCAACACAAACGGAAAAATGGAATTCCAAAAAGCGAGGTTAAAAGAGCACAGATAAGGGGTCAGAAGCGAGAGCGTTGGTTTCAAAACAGAATCAAACGTTTGCTCATCGAAAATACTCTTTTTGAACTGAATACAAGCTCCAGAAGATCTATGTCAAAGCAAGCAACCCAAACAAACATCGATTCACCTTCACACAACAAAGTGTCCAGAGCGGTAGGATTATGGAACAAATCCGTATTTCGGCTTGTAAACAACCCCGTCGGCGACTTAAACTTGCCTACCTCGGGATACAGAGATGATTTGAAAGGCTTAAATAAAAGACTCGGGGAATCACTGGCGGATATATTCTTTAAAGATTTGGAAGTGAGGTTTTTGGTGACTGTAATATCCGTTGGATTACTTCCTTCAACAAGAATCCCAGACACGCACATTCGCACATCTGGATCATCCGATATCTTTGGAACCATGCACCCGATCTTTAACCACTCGTTATTCTTGTAAAGACGCTTGTACATTGATTCCTGTATTGTTTTGTGAGAAGAAAACATCATTGCAATTGTCGGAGCCTTTGAGAAGTTTGTACCTGCAAAGTTAGCAAGGAAGAACGCGGATTACAGAGATCATCCAAACACTCCTTTAAAGCAAAAGAGAAATCTTTTTCTCTGCTGGCTGCGATATATGTATAGATGTGGACGTATCTCGAAAGCGAGGTACTTGGGTGATGAAGAACAGATCTACAGGGTTACTACACAACCTTCGTTACGAACTTGACTCTACAGAGCATAATTAGCTATGACAGCCAAAGTGAAAACAATCTGTAAAAGTTTTAACAAAACAAACAAAAGCATTATTATTAGTAAAATAGGTATAATACTCATGCCGCTTACTGCTCTAAGTTCTTGAAGATTGCATATGCCTGGAAGTACCAAACAAACTTTAAGAGGGTGTAGACAATCACAACAATACCTATTTCTCAGTCTTTTAACCCATTCCTACCGTAAAGGAACCCAACGAAAACGTTTGCCAGCTGCAGAAGGCTGAAGAAGAAGAAGAGGAAGGAGGCAAGCGCTAACAAGAGACTGTTGTAGCTGAAAGTTTTGGGGATTTTCTATGTGTCGGAGAGCTTCACAATGTCTACGTCATTCTTGATGCACAGCATGTAGCACCAGAAATAGGGAATCACCATCAAGCAGTCATCAATATTGTACAGCCAACTGAAGGATTCAGAAGCAAAGGTGTACGCGATCTCCAGGTCGGGGTAAAAATTACCGATATTCCATGTGCCAATAAACTTTGCCATATTAAACAATCCAGTCTCAATAAGTGTAGTGATAACATTGATCAGAATAGCAATCGTACTGCAGCTCACCATCAGAGAACCAACATCCTTATCCTTGTGAATGGTTCGGAAACCATCGAATACCCAGATAATACAAAGCATACCAAAACAATTCAGAATGTTTAACACTGTATCCCATCCATGACTATCATCACGTCGGGTCCACATTGCTGTCAAAGCAGCGATATCGAAGTTCTAGGTGTCAGTGGTGCAGAATGAACTCACATGAATAGCTTCCCAATTGTCCGTTGCTTTGTTGTTCGAGGTAAAACGGACTATCATGATGCCAAGCTTTGTAACGAGGTTGATAATACCCCTATTTGTCAGAAACACACCATTCTAGTACGCAATTAAAGCTGCCATCTTTGGTCCTCTCAGAGACTTCGATCCTGATATGATGTACTCATCTAACTTACTAATTATACTTGCCATATTTGTTTTTTGAAGTGTTTTGATCGATCTACACTCTAGTTTAGTGACTGTTTCATAATAATCAAAATTTAACACAAATCACTGCACGGTCTCATTCCTTTGTGTTCACCTACGCTCAATTCTATTCGGAATATACCTAGGATTATATCGCCAACACAAAAATCGAAGTTAGATGTAACAAATAACTCGCATACAAGAAACTAGAACAGACCAGTTTGCTTTCTGAGTTGAATACGTTTCCAATTCGGGAGACTCTCATACTTGCTTCTTGTCATTTTGAATACAGATTGAAATTCTTCCTCAGACAAATGATACTCTTTTCTTCTGGCATCTACGTCAAAAGGAGGATTCGGCTGAATCAAAACACTGTATGGATAGATCTTGAGCGATTCCACAGGAAGCGCACCGACACGCTTCTGTTCCTTCGCATACTCATCCATCTTATGTTCTATATCCTCGTCTTGCTTCTCTTCCTGCTGTGCATCGATTTTCTTATAATCTCCATACTGAGCATATTCAAATATGCTGTTGCGTGCGTTTGCCGTGACTTTGGGCATAAACGATTGGCGTACAGGTCGGATAGCATAAGATTCGCTTAGTAATTCGGTAATGCTCCCACGACGATTAAACATCGGCTTCTGTGCAGCTTCTGCTACTTCTTCTTCTTCCTGGTTTGTCTCCTCATCCTCCATAATAATCTTCAGAGCCTGTTTAGCACGCTCAGCTTCGCGCGACTTTTCTTCTTCCATCTTCTTCTTTTTCTCCTTCTCTTCTTCTTCTTCTTCCATCTTCCTCTTTCTTTCTTCTTCTTCCATCTTCCTCTTTCTTTCTTCCTCTTCTTCCTCCTGTTGCTGCGCTTCACGAAGCTTGCGAATAGCCTCCTGACGCTTACGTTCCGTTTCAGCGGCCGGATCCTTCACTGGCTTCGAAGGAGAATAAGGCCGCAGCTTCTGCATGAACTGCTGGTGTTCTTCTTCTAGGTGACGTTTCTTTTCTTCTTCTGTTGGTCCCATGCTAAACACAGAAGTGGAGGCAGGCTGAATGGATTTGCGACGCGCTTCGCGCTCTAACTGGCGCTTTTTCCGACGTTCTTCGCTTTCTCTTTGTCGTTCCGCATCCTTCAAAGCTCGTTCGCGAGCGCGCTCCATATCGTGCTCATCCAACAATGAACTGCGACGGTTAAATACGCGGGACGGAGGCGTGTCTACACTATCTATCGGACTCGCAGAACTATCAATATTATCAAAGACTGACGGCTTGCTCAAATGAGCGTTCTTTCGGGGTTTCACTTCTTCGATGATAGGCTTAGGAATCTTCTTCTCTTCTTCTTTCTCAACGATGGGTTCAGGAATCTTTTCTTCTTCTTCTTTCTCAACGATGGGCTCAGGAATCTTTTCTTCTTCTTTCTCAACAATAGGTTCAGGAATCTTCTCTTCTTCAACGATGGGTTCAGGAATCTTTTCTTCTTCTTTCTCAACGATGGGCTCAGGAATCTTCTTCTCTTCTTCAACGATGGGCTCAGGAATCTTCTCTTCTTCAACGATGGGTTCAGGAATCTTTTCTTCTTCTTTCTCAACGATGGGCTCAGGAATCTTCTTCTCTTCTTCAACGATGGGTTCAGGAATCTTTTCTTCTTCTTTCTCATCGTCAATCGCCTCAGGCTTCACTTCTTCTTCTTCTTTCTCATCATCAATCGCCTCAGAAATCTCTTTGACCTCTTCTGCCGGCTCTTCAAAAGCTAGGGAACTCATATCGACATCTTCAGGTCTCAAATCTACGGGAATCGAATCGCCCTCATCAACAGATCCACTCGTGACTAATTCTGGTATCTCATTCGGTCGGTTCTCTTTCACCTCCATATCTTCATTCAGATCCTCAGGCAATGATTTTCTAGCAGACTCCATTTCACTTTCAGAGTCACTTTCTTCTTCTTCTTCTTCTTCTTCATCGTCCACACTTTCACAATCAAGTTTTCTCATTTCTTCTTCCTCTTCCTCTCTCATTCTATCAGCCTCTTCATTCTCCAATCGCCTTTTCTCTTCTTCCATTCTCCTTTGCTCCTCTGAAATTCTATTTTTCTCCTCAGATTCTGTGTAGTTCACATTATTCGACATCTTTTTCTTTGCATAGCATACTTCATGATACCAATTTTCTCCATCAAAAGCACGCTAGAGTTTACATTCCATCCAAAAAACATACACATCCACTAGTTATCTTACCACAAACAGGACACGAAACAGTATGCAGATAGGAAGTGCACTCAGAACAAAGTGGACGAGACTGTTTCTCTCCTTCATATATTATATCCTTCCGGTAATAATGCACATCGGAAAATGGCTTTTTACATATAAAGCATACAAAGTGGTTCTATACTAATAGTCAGCTGATAAAACCTACCTGGTGATAGAAATTTCCCATTGCTTCAATGAAAGTATCCTCCATTATCGGCTTATTGCAAACGAAACATATTTTCATATCTTTCGGATCACAACAATCACAGCAGAATGGCTTGTTCTAGAAATGGCCAAAAACAGTCAAAGCATACATCTTTCATCACACAACTATCCACAGCTAGCTGTTTCCCACACGAACTGCAAGCAAAGCACTCCGTATGAAAATAAGCATCCCTGATCAGAATCGCTTCCTGGTGAATATCTTTTCCACAAACACAACAACAATGCATTATAGATTCTTTCTTAATCGAAAACTGGTATGCAATAGATAGGAATAATAAAATATAACAATATTGATAAAAACTGACTCAATAGATGGTACCAAGGAATCGAACTGCATCCTCCACACTTTATCAAAAATCGAATAACCACTAGGCTAAAATGCAAGGATTTTCTGCCTAAATCTGATCACATTAATATATTATATTGAGAATTCGATATAACATGAAATGTTGCATAACAAACAAACAAACATACAAATCATGTAGATAATAATATTTCAAGATGATCAAATTTCCTACACAATTACCCAGTTATCACGAATAGGAATACTCCTTGATACTGTTGAGATTCACTCCAGCAAAAAAGGGATGCCTGCAAGCTTCTTCCGCCGTAATCCGTTTTTTTGGATCATACTGAAAGAGTTTCCGTAGCAAATCGGACAGCTCGGGAGAACAACTAAACAATAGTCTCCCCTTCACGAGAAAATAATACTTCGGAATCAACTGATCGATGTGTGGCGCGATAACTCTCCCAGAGTAAATCAGATTGGTTTTCACATCATCTCCAAAGACAGAAGAATACTCAGGATATTTGCGAAACAACACTAATTCCTCTGGCTTTGCTAGATAGAAAGGATACAGAAAGCAGTACGACTCCCAAACAGTTCCAAAATGCTTTCGAACACTGTCTTGCGGTCGTCTCCCTGAATAAAGATGTTTTGCTTTAACAAGTTCAGCAAAATACAGCCAGCACTCCAAATATCGATCTTTGAATCATAGTTGCAATACCCAAGGAGAATCTCAGGAGGTCGATAACACATTGTGATTTTGTTATCCGAGTATGGAATGGATCCGTCCTCTTTCATGAAAAAACGGGCCAATCCGAAGTCACAGATCTTCACAACTCCATCTTTTGTTACTAAAATGTTTCCATCTGAACAAGTGATCCCATCTCTTTGAAAAAACCTTTAATGTCACGATGAAACACATTCATATCATGTAGATAACGCAAACCGTCGAATATTTGGTACATGATACATTTAATTTCTTCCATGTTGAATCTCACATGCTTTCTCATTAACCTTAACAAGTCGTAATCACACTCAAAGTCAAGGAAAGTAACAACTGCATGATAGAGCAGCCTATTATGTATCTATAAATAATTGAATAAATAACATAAGAAATCGTTTCTAAAGATATGTACTCCATCACCATATACAAATCAGGATACTGAGACTGACTATCAACTACTGATGACCGGTTATTCATTTCTATACAGCCAGATATGAAGCAGTCCTTCAGTTGTACTATGTGATCGTTCTTTAACTTCTGCAAAATTTGTATTTCTCGAATGGCTGTAATTATCAACTATTGTGGAACAAAAGCAAGGCAACTACTCCATATTTCTCAGGACTCTCAATTTTGTGCTGCTTAATTGCGACTCTTTCGCCTGTGGCTTTGCTGGTCGCCAAAAATACATCTCTTTTACAAATACAAATGCATAGTAACTTACCCATATTTTCCTCTACCGACAATGTTTTCCCTGTCATCCCAGATATAGCGGTCTTTCCCATCACCTGTCTTCATGCATTCACTCGCATACTCCCTTATGATATCGGACATACCGTTAAAATAATATTTGAAAAATGTCTGTGAATCTGAATGATGTATCTCTGTATTCGTGGAGTGATGTATAGTATCTGTGTGAAGAGAGCGTTACGGTAATGGCTCTGGAGTACGAAGAAGCGTTGAGTGGCCTTTCTGAAAAGGAAAAGCTGTATATGTATTACCTTTATAAGGCGATCGCTGCAGGATGGCGGGTATTTCTGTTAGTTGACTGTGATCAGTAGATTACGGCTATTCAAGTATCTGAAGAGTCTCCCTATATTGTCTCCCTCTTTATTCGTATTTTCAGGGAGGAGAGTGCCGACCAACTGAAAAGCCGTCTTCTAGAAGATTCGCTAGTAGGATTTATAAGTGAACTTTGTTATTTCAGGCATCAGAAAAAGAAGTTGATGCTTTCCTGATTTACGTATGTAACATCTTGGGAAACATGGGTAACTATCGGTTGTTGTGAGTTATCGGCATTACGGATAGTGGCTTTGGAGATACAAAAATCATTCCACGCTGCTCCAAGGAAGAGTTCCAAAAGGTTCTGCATTGCACACTGGCCTATCAAAAGTCGCGCGAGGCCATCGACAATCTCTGGGAGCACTGCGGAGACAAGATTTTTTCTCACGAGCCCAACGAGCTCCGTCTTGGTCTTGGCGCTTCAGGCGTAAGCAGCTATTACAGCAGCAACATTTCTCTGAACGACATCAAGGCTGTTCAAGAGTATTTCCCAGTGGACTGTTCACATTGCAGATACTGCGACTCGCAGAACATGCAGTGCTACAACAACCGTTTGTTCAAGCATGCGGACGGTACGCTGGAGTTGCGCATGGCTTCCACGGAGAGCCTGCCGACGCAGTCGATCGATTCTCACGACGTGCTGATCAAGAAAACGACCGGAGACTACGCTCCGATTCTCTCGATGGTGGTGCATTATCTGAAGAAGGCGCAGGAATACGCGCTGAACGAGACGGAAGTGAAGTATCTGCAGGAGTACATCAACAGCTTCACCGACGGCGACCTGCAGCATCACATCGATGGATCGGCGCTCTGGACGCAGGACAAGAAGCCGGCCGTCGAGAACTACATCGGGTTCATTGAGAACTACCGCGATCCTTATGGCGTCCGAGGAGAGTGGGAAGGCTTCGTCGCGATCATGAACAAGAAATACACCAAAATCCTGTCCGATCTGGTGGATCAGGCGCCTCGCTTTTTGTCTCTTCTCCCGTGGGATTCCGCCTTTGAGAAGGTATCGACTGCGATGGAGATGAGAGCGTAGCCCGTCTTCCTCAAGCCTGACTTCACGAGCATCGATATTGTTGGGTTCTTCGGATCAGGGCTGCCCGCGGGAATCAACATCCCCAACTACGACGAGGTCCGCCAATCGGTGGGCTTCAAAAACGTTTCGTTAGGGAATGTGATTAACGGAAAACGTCCCGAGACCGAGAAGATCAACTTCATTGCCGAGGAAGACCAGGCGCTTCTCCGTCGCAGCTCGGAAGCGTTCGAGGTGCAAGTGGGTCTGCACGAATTGTTGGGCCACGGAAGCGGCGTGCTGTTCATGGAATCGAGGGACAGCGAGGGCAAGCTGAGCACGAACATCCCGCAGGGATTGGAGCATCCGCTGCTCGGCGGAGCGATCGAAAGCTGGTACAAGGAAGGCGAGACCTGGAGCAGCGTGTTCAATACGCTGGCGAACACGTACGAAGAGTGCCGTGCAGAATGTGTGGGGCTGTATCTCTGTATGGATGCATCTTGTGGATGATTCCCAGCTACATTCCCTGAGGTTCTGCACATCTTCGGCTACGATGGCGAGGCCTGCGACGAAATGATGTACTTGAACTGGCTGCATCAGCTCCACATGTCTCTCGTGTCGCTCCAGGCGTATAACACGGAGCATCACACATGGACGCAGTCTCACTGCTGCGCTCGCCACGTTTATCTGCAGGTGCTTCTGCGAAACACGCACGACTTTGTTCATATCACTCCTGCCTACGATGAATCGGGAGTTTTTTTTTCCTTTTCGGGGAGTGATTGGTAGAAAATGATCGACTTCACACTGACGATTGATCGCTCGAAAATCGTGTCAGAGGGTCGAAGAGCGATCGGCGAGTTCTTGAACGGATTGCAGGTGTACAAAGCGACGGCTGACTACAAGCGAGGCGAGGCTTTCTTCAATCAGTACACCGATGTGGACGACACGTTCCTGCTCTACCGCAGCATTGTCCTGCAGAAGAAGAAGCCGCGCGCCATCTTCATGCAGCCTGAACTTCGGCTTCAAGATGGAAAGGTGATTTGCCATCCTTCTGAGATCTCAATAAGCGGAGTGATTGAGTCAACGGTTCGTATTCTGGGAGATGAGATTTCTGAGAGCGACTTCCTTTCGTGTGTTTACAGAAATGAGTTGTGTGTTTGATCCAGGAAACAACGAAAAGGTGTTATAATAACAGTTGAATAATATTATTATCATTTTGAATAATAATAATAATGATTATATCATTATATCATTATTCGGGACCCAGCGTGCTATCCTCAATCGATCCCAGAATTTGCTAGATATAAAAACCAGGACACATACATACCAGAGAGCTTCCCTTATCTATTGCTCGAATAATGCGGCACTTAATCACAGTATCGGCTTGAATCTCTAGATTGCTGCTCCTGTGCTTCCATCGAGAATTACCCTCCGACACATATTCCCAATCAGAACTCGCTGCGTACAGTAAAGGAGTTCATTTCGGGAAAGAATATAGGATATGAGTGCAACGATAATATTTCCGACAGGACCAAACTTACAAGCGAGCGCTTTCTACTGCTAAGCAGAAAATGATATAGATACAGGAGTTACTTTTGTAACGATGCAATAAGTCACTTCGTTGTCAATCGGGGAATATACAAGTGCATTATACTTGATTTTAAATTCGGCAAAACCAGTATTAGGGTCAATCAGTCCAACTCCGGCATCTGAAGGAATGGAGAGCACAATCAAGACATAGCCAATACTGGGGAAATATTTCCCCTCGACTTCACGGTAAAGTTCGGTTTTAATCGTATCCTGAAGTCTTCTACTCAAATACTTTGGGTGAAGCGATAATATATATTCCATCTCTTTCTACACAGATAAGGAAACCAGTATCATTCGTTACTTTGAAGAACATTGTTGCTGAAGATTAGTTTGAAAAGAATAAACGTTGTGCAAGATCCCCAATTTCTGTTATCAAAGAAATAATACAAATATATATATATATATTTATAAAAAGGTGATTGTGCAAAAATCGATCACAAATGAGGCCTTTCGGACATTTGGGTGTATGAAGGTGATACTTGATCAACGAGAACGTACGAAATCACTCGGAATTGTTGGTTTGAATAGTGTTTTCGAAAATGGTGTTTCTTGCTTGTTCATTCAATCTGTGTAACAATACTGTTTGGCTGACCATAAAGTAGATAGAGAGCGTCGTGGCAATTTTGTAAACAAAGTGCGTTTCATCTTCGTTCCCCGCTATTTTCGCCGCGGTTATCCCTACTTTCTGCCCAAATTTGATCAGTTGCAAATCAAATGACCAGTAAAGTTTTGACATAAAACTTTTCAATTTCACAAATTAAATCGGATGGATTCTGAGACCAAGAACGAGCAAAAAGATAGTTGTCAATGCTGCGATGAGTGCAAGTGCGAGAACAAGGAAACTTGTCAATGTACTTCCCAAAAGAAGGAAGATACTGAGTGCAAGCCTGAAGAAAAGAACACCGATAAATGTTCTTCTGAAAAGAAGGAGGATAGTGAATTGAAGTGCGAGGACAAGGAGACTTCCCAAGACACTTCTGAAAAGAAAGAGGATGCTGAGGGCAAGTCTGAAGAAAAGGAGGCCGACAAAAGCTCTTCTGAAAAGAAGGAGGATAGTGAATGTAAGTGCGAGAACAAGGAAACTTGTCAATGCACTTCTGAAAAGAAGGAGACCTGTAAGTGCAATTGCGAAAAGGCAAAGGTTCATGGTTGCTGCTGCAAATGCAAATGCAAATGTAAGGAACACAATACATCAAAAACCGAGAAGAAGGAAACTGAACCTAAAAAGGATATGTGATCTGGGCGCTATTTAGAAAATAGAGAATACACAAATTATTCCTTTCTTTCTATGTTTGTTTGTTTGAAAGACATCTTTTCATGCCAAAGCGTATTTCAAGTTCAAATGATAATACACTTCCTCTGTTATGCAGAAAGATGCACAAAGTCTTATCGAAACGAGGAAAGGATTGCTGGTGGAAAGTAGGAACTGTTTGTATTTTCAAGAATAGTATTGGGTAGTCTTTAGAAAGAAACTAAAAAACAAGGTGTATTCCTCAGCTTTTAAGAATGAGCTCGTTTCAATAATCGGCGAGGAGAATTGTAGACTAAATGATTTGAAATTCATATTTAGTGGATTTGCACAACCAAATAGTCTTAGGAATCTTGAAGTCAGCAATTACAAATTCAAGAGGAGAACAACGGAATACCACAACAAAAATAGAAGATACAAAGCAAGTTTCTACTGTCACCGAGTACCAGTTTGATGATTCGGATTATACATCCAACCTCTACACATATATTATATCTTTTTGTACAAAGAATATTGAATTCCACCAAGAACGCGAGGATCTACATAATTTGTTCTACAGAATGACGAACTGGGCAAAGGCTCATCCCTTCGAATCGAAGCCATACCAAGTCCCAACGTACTGTCGTTCTTGTGGATCGTTTTTAAATACTCATTATGCGATGAATCCTAATTCATTGAGTTGTTCCGAATTGTTATCTCTTCCACCCCATTTAGTAATGCCATCTTTTAGAAACTCAATGCAATTGATTCCAAGCAACGAACTATCTAAAGTCTATGTGGAAGAATCGTTACAATGCTATTCTTCGATAGTTCCCAGAGAAGCACCACTGATCCCATCGAACCTAGTACATATCTTGCCTTTTCTACTGTATATCACATATCATTGTTATGCTTCCGATGATCTTTTGCAACATTCTTCGATTCCATGTATGCGTCTAGACAATTCGTAATGGTTGTAGGTTCCATCAATGCTCTCTCATTAGTCAATTTTGCGAATTTATCTTCTCATGTCGCGTTGATCTATAAAAGGAATCATACATGTTACAAGAAAGCAGTAACGGAGTGTATTGCCTTAGCAACGGATATTTTTGTAATGCGGATTATGTTGCTGATTTGGAAATTTCTTTATGTGAATGGGCAGGGAAACAGAGTGGTCGTTGATTCTGCGTTGTTGAAGAAGATCCTTTACCTGTTTCCGGTTTTTCTGGGTCCTATTCAACAGGAGTGTATGGAGCTATTCACTGCCTTCCCATCCCTCGACCCGAAGATGTCTTAAGCAAAGGAATTCAAGCGCTACCTTTTATGTTTGTTGTTTGTTGTATATCCCTCTCCTACTGATATATCCCTTCCCTCTTTCTCTCTCTAAAATGTCAACGCCATCTTCAAGCGTAGTCACTGAGTGTACTTACACCCTGTAGAGTGAAACACAGACATCGCAGACATCGCAGACATCTACCTCTGGGTTTTTCGATATTAACTGGAGAGATGTCTATTCCGTAATGCTACGACACGGAAAGAAGGAGCGGTGGGTAATGTTTGGATTTATGAGCTTCCTCATTGTATTTATTTGTGTAATGACAAGTATACTTCCACTAACTACTTATCCAGAGTTCTCATCTCCTGCAAATTGGACGGTTTTATCCTTCAGCCGTGGTACATTGTGCTTTCTCCTCTTTGGATCGTGTCCATCGTGTTTTTGGTCATTTTGACGATCTTCATCATAATATCATCGGAAGGAATGGTGAAGGAAGATGAGCAGCAACGCTATTACAGAAAACTAAGGACAGGCTACGCGATTTCCACGCTTCTTGTTGCTGTTCTAGTCGAAATACTGAGCATTCTATGGCTTGAAGGCATATTAAATACCTTCGTTATCATTGTGTTAACCCCCTATTACTGTTGGACACTGTTCTATATCTCCAAGCTTGTGATTCTGTACTCTAGTTGTCCCTTATGAGAGATAGAATTGTGGATGGCTTCTCAAATGCCCTCATTTTGCTCCAGCTCCTCGATTTTGTCCTATTCCTGGCATCTGTTACACTCAGTTCTCTTCGCTATGATATTCCTCAATACATTCCAAAATATCTTCCATCCATCTTTGCCATTTTATTTGTTCTTGTCAAAATTGCTAGAGAAGTAATCATAACCCCAAACCCTCGTGATTAGGTACACCAAATCGTTGTGTACTTTGTTAATCAGTTTCCTTCTCGAAGGACCAACAAAGAGGGAGAAAACGAAGTAGATTTTCACTGAAATACAGGACTACTGAGTAGGAACTGATAGCCGTGATCACGAGAGCTGTGTTTATGATATTCTTCCTCCTGTCCATTCTGATATGCATGATACTCAACTGGACAGTCGAAAAAACACAACACGCTCGAAACCTTCTTGTTTCGATTCCAATTATTCTTACAGTCATGAAAAGATACCCCCATTACATGTAGAGCATTGTAGGATTCATAATTCTTCTGTGCAGTACGATAGTTGCGGAAGGGAACTCTCAGAAGAGGATAAACATTGTGAAGGCCGCGACTCTCCTAATAAGTCAACCCTACGAGCAGAATTATTGGATAAGTAAAAAAGAAGGGAATAAAAACGACAACTGCAGGATTCGAACCTGCGCGGGCAAAGCCCAACAGATTTCTAGTCTGTCTCCTTAACCACTCGGACAAGTTGTCTTGTGGAAATCCTCCTGATATTGCTATTTGTTATCTCAAACAATTCATACCATCAACTGATCCAAGAGCTTTAAGGCTTCTTGAGGGATCACTCTCGAATGCTCCTTAATATCGGTCAAGATGGTAAGACAGGCTCTCTTACTTGCTTCATCACATTGGCTAAACGTGGTAAATCGTAAGATAGTAAGAAAAAGGTAAACTACATGAAGAGCTCTATTATCAACTGGCTGATAGTATCTCACCCAATTTCGTTGGTGTGGATGTACTCCAGAATGGCCTCTTTGTCCCTGTCAACACTATCCTGGCTTGTGCTTAGGAACAGGGATGATGCTTTGCGAATTATGCCTTTTTCTCGTTTGTCATCTTTCGTTAGGGACTGTAATATCGATAAAGAAACGGGTAGAAGGTCATCCTTGTCTGGAACTGTCTCATCTGCACTCACTACGACTCGCTGTGCTTCGTAGGGCACTTCAGATGAAGGAATTTCTTGGGAATGGTGCTGTGGTGAAGGATCCTTCTTTTCCTGATTGAGAATTGTTTGGGGTGGAAGGACTTCTTTATCATCGAACGAGTATTCAGTCAAATGAAGCTCTTCTTTGAGCTGGGGATAGGTAGAAATGGAGGGAATGGAAGAGAGACGTTGGGAGATCGCTTGGATATCAAACTGCGTATTGGCTAATGCGGAAGACACAAACACGAACAGTTTGCGGATGCTGGAAGCAGCGATAGATAGGTTATTGTACCTAATTCTCTAGAATTCAACACGGAGAAGTCTTGAATACACAAAAGTTGTCACAAATGACTCCGAATGTCGACTTGTTGGCGGAGTGCTGCGACTGGAATTGGTTATAGAGTTGGCTACATCGGCTGTAGCGCGTCAAAACAGTCTCCTTTTCCTCCTCTTCGTCATAGTAGGCAGAGACGCTGTCATTATACTCACCGATTTCGGCTGCATACTCATTTTTCATGGCAGATTCCATTCGAGTTTGCTGGTTGAGAATTTCACGCTAATGGTCATGCGTCTACAATTTGTGAAACATAGTGATTCATATATGTCTTCTGGATTTGCCGATTTTCTTTGAAATCCGGAAGAATATCTTCTTTCAAGTTGTGAATCATTTCTGCATGTTGAGATTCCAACGATGAGACAAAGTTGATGAGAGTAATTTGAATATTTGAAATCCCCTGGTTCTTCGTAAAGCAATCGTCCTTAAGGCGAAGCTTTTGAATGTCATGTAGAGCTTTCACATAAGCAGTTTCCGCCTTTATTAGTTTTTCAACCTGGGAATAAGCATAGAATGTCCAACAGTACGATATGTTGAATGTTCAGTAACATGGAAATATCGCATTCCCACTAGAGGAATAAAAGTGTCAACAGAGATTACTTCAGGCACGATGTGCGAGGAATAATAGCGCTGCATTGCAATTAATAGTAAAAAATAAATTGAAGAAAAGGGATATACATTGTACAGTTATCAAATAAGTAACATTTACAGAAACGCTTCTTATTCCACTTTATCATTGTTTCGGAAAACTTCTCAATTCATTTTAATCACTTGCTCAATAGATAGATGGTATGCTCAGTAGTTGTTGTGCCTCATTTACAGGATAGTGCGTATTCTTGCTTGCATAGATTACAGACGACAAGCTTACTTCAAGTAAATGCAAATGAAATGGAAGAGTTGGCAAAAACTCTTCTACAACTCTCATTAAGCGAGGAGAATCGGTATCGTGTCTCAATGAATTGAAATAGTAGAGAGCAATGTTTTTCGATGGGAATGACATCGGACCTGTGTGATTTTTTGTTACACTGCAATGAATACTTTGTAGCCATTTCCAAAAGTATCCCTTTTTCTTCATATTTAATTTAGCGTTAAAGGATAAGTCTCATACGGATACTCCTGTTGATGTGTCGGTATCAATGAATGTGCTATCCGTTGCCTCTAATTTGGCCCGAATATTAAGAAATATGTGTACAAATAACCACCGAAACCAAGACTCTGTGATTAGTCACGGTATTCATATAATCGTACAGAAAAGTGTATTATCTCATAAGTAGGTTTGTTCGCTCTGCCAAAACAAGCATCTTTGGGCAGCAGGAACCATGGAGTGGTCTGAAGCCTATGAACAGTTCCTTCAGATTTCTCTTCAGCTTCTGTTTAACGTGGTGTCCGGAAATCGAGAAGCAAAGGATCGTGTTTGGCAGAGTTTCTTTCCCGAATGTTTCAAGTAACTGATTCCATTCAAAACGTTCTATAGAATGGTTCACCAGTATTTTACGCACAACTTTAAACTCGTCTCTCTAGCTAAAGCAGTTCTTTATTACTGCGTGTGTTCCGCCAAGACAGAAGAAGCGAGTTTGGATCGCTTACAAAGCTTTCTCAACGACAAAGACGCAGTGAACTTTTTCTTTTCGAACAGTTTTTCTGAGCAGGATGGCAAGCCTTCCGATTGGATTCAATACTTCGTTTCGCTTCTTCTCTCTTTGGATTCGAAAACACCCACCCCTATCTCCCTCCTCTATTCCTCTCTCCAATCCAAATCCTTTTCGATAGTCTCTCCCACCCAGCTCGTTTTGATCCATTATATTCTGTACATTGCTGACGATTCTCCAGGTAGTTTCCCCTTATTATTTAAAAAATGATTCGGATAGACTTCCAAATTCGCGAGAAAATTTGTCTAGAAATGATCGATTGGGTTCTGCAGATGACGCACGCTTCGGGGACTTTAATGGAGGAGAATGGCCACTTGGTGTTTAACAAGGATCTTTTAGAGAACCGGGATGAGACTTCGAAGGAAGGGAGGAGCTACGAAATGTTTGTGGAAGCGTTCGGATTGCTTTTGACGATTTTGGCGGGGCAGATTGGCGGCCTTTCACCAGGTTTCTGTGACACCATTTTGAAGTCGGAGCTGTTTTGGGTGCTTCTCGCTGTGTTGGCGATTCCAGAAATCGGTTTCACTGCGGATTTTGGAATGACTTCTAGTGATTGATGACTCTGAAACACCGGTCGGAGACTTGGGAGAAAAGAAAGGAACTGCGATGATCAAGCAGAAGGAGGATATTTGGACTGCCGGGACGCGGGATGCCGTCCTGCAGATTCTGGGGAACATGGTAAACAACTCTGTGGCCGCTCAGAATAAAATGAGAGAAGTGGGCGGCATTGAGTTGGTATTGAATCACACGAAAATGCATCCCAAACATCCATTGCAGAGAGAATGGGCGTTGTTTACTGTATTTGTGTCTGTTTGTGGTGCTGTTATCGATAGATTCGAAATCTGTGCTATGGAAACGAAGAGAACCAGCGATACATCAACGAGTTTAAGGCGGAGGGAGTAGCCGCTGAACCAGCATTGGAGAAGCTGGGAGTAAAGGTGGAAATGGACCAAGGGAAAGTGAAAGTTTCAACAAGAACGACAAAGGAATAAAGTGTTTGTGAACAATCACAAAATTGAATGTGAGAGAAGATATCGTTGCTGTTCTCCTGACCAAATTGATCATCACAAGACTCATGGATCCTTGCTGTCTACTGATTATACAATGTTCCATCACAGAGTTACGTCTCGCATAACTAGATTTTCGTTTTTCATCGACTCCATATTCATATTTGACACTTCAAAGAGCTGGATCAAGAGAGGTTCGTTTGCTCGATCTTCTATCTGAAAGAGGTTGACCAAGATTGAACGATCGTAATACTTGATATCCTACAAAGCATCAAAGAGTTGGTTCAAAAATACCCCAAATTCAGTCTCGAGTAAGTGCAAAGTCCGGGTAAGCTGCAGTGACCTTAAAAAATCAACTACAAAACCCGTAACAATCTCGTTGTTTGGAATTTTCGAGTAAGAAGTAATCTGTTGTGAAACAGGATTTGATGTCGTTCCCATCACAGTCTTTTGCACTGCTCTTTTTGCGCTCTCCTAGTGCTATGAACGCACAAAAACAACGATACAAGCAGTTCATCATAGGTTTTGTTTTCTTTCATCAGCCCAATTAACACTTCCTTTGCTCTCTTACCACTGTCAGATCGTGGATTCATAGCTTTTTGAAAGACTACCCACGTACCAAGGTCATATGTTATAGGGAGTTTCATAGATCCATGTCCGCATGCCCTATTTGCAATGAACCTGCTATCGATCGAGATTTGCTTGCGTTAGGATGCGGGCATGTGGTTTGTAGGCCTTGCTTTGACAAGATGCATATACCTGGCTCCATACTCCACTGCCCGTTTTGCAAACAGCGTATATATGAATCTGAAGTAAGAAAACTCTATCTCTATTCACTTGACCATTTTGGTGAGCAAAATTGATTCTACTTATCAACAGAATTATCTGAAGGTGATAAAAAGACGATTCATGAGGCGGTACAATCGATACGATTCAATCGATCCTAGGAAGTTCAGAGTCGAGTTGAGTTTCAAGAAAAATACATAAAGCGTCTGGAGACGGATGAAATTGAGATGAGACAAAAAATGAAAGAGTTGGAATCACAGGTAAATGCGTTGCAAGAGGTATTCTAGTGATATTTACACAATTATGTAGAAGCAAAAGCGTTTCGAGTCTGAAAAAAGCCTTCTACTAACCAAAATGATCGTAATGACTGAAGTGAGCTTGTTACTCTCAGGCTTATAAGAACAAAGCGCGCACCTCTTCGCTAGACACGCAAATGGTACGTTTTCCTACGCTCATTGTACTCGTAGCTCAAAAAACAAGTCGAAGAGGTCCAGGACTATGAAGCGGCTCGTCGATGGATGGAGAACCACGCCAAAAGCGTCGCCGATCTTATTGGAGCCGCGAGCGAAGGCGATCAGCGCTGCAGTCGTCGATTAGCCGTGGTGTTAGTGACTGTGAGAGAGTAACAGACATGGTGATGCTTCATGATTGCTAGAAACTATCAGAAGGCCATCGCGGAGTTGGAGTCAACGCGGATTTTGAACAAAGTAGGATCCGTTCAAAGAGAGAAACGTAGAAACTCGGTCAAAAGAACGACGCACAGCAAGCCACGATCGTGCGTATTGTGTAGTTCTTTAATCTTTAGAAACGTCTTATGGAGGAATGCGACGCTCTGAAAAGCGAAATGAAGAGTATGGAGGCACAACGACATGTCGATCCCCTGCCACCGAAAACGACAGAGAAACGAAAAGAAGCATCGAGGGTGGAAATGGGGAGAGGAGCATTGTTTATCAATACGTTGGAATCACCGGTAACGTATTGTTTGAGTCTGTGATGGATAGAAGAAGGAAAAGGGGAAGAGAAATCGAATTTCAACCGTATTCAGAGAAAATAGTTTGTACTAGTTGCTGTAGTTTGTGTTGTTTGCTACAAACAATTTGATGTTGCGTTCAATAGCTGTTGCGACGAGACGAATCGGTTCGTTGCTCCCTAGAATACCGGTTCGGTATAGTAGTGACCTTGAGCAGTACACAATCTATGATGTTGCTTATTGTTCCCTACTTCATTGTAGAAAGCGGAAGGAACCTATTTTGAAGAGCTGGACGAAGAAGGATTTTTAATAAATGGTAATTATTACAAAGGCGGCGTTTTAGCTTTCAACAACTTGGCGCTTTTATGGGACGTCCAGTCTTTGGATGAAATCACTCCCGAATCCTTAAAGCCTGTCACAATGTACAATCCTCCAATAGGTGGGACTCTAAGTGTATGATTTGAATGTAGATATGCTGTTCATTGGAACAGGACAATATACAGCTCCAATTCAAAAGAATGTTATCGATTTCCTTCACCAGTTTGGAATTTCTGTTGAGTCGATGAGTACCGTATATATTATATGCATTGGTATTGTTAACCTTCAGAGTTCGGCCGCGGCCAATTTCAATTTCCTCCACGATGACAAAGAACGTGTTGCAGTTGCCCTCCTTCCCGAGCAGCCCTCCCCCAAAACCTTTGAGAAAGAATAAACTCTGTTTTTTAATCAAACACACGCACACACAAATCACATCTGTTCCTTTTTCAACTCATCGAGCGCATTATTCAAGAAATCCATTCGTTCCATCAATAACGCCAGCTCGGCCTCGATGTCCTCCACCGTCAGCTTCCCCGCCTTCGGGATGTACCCCGGCGCGGCCACCGCCACTCCGTTCGTCGCCCCTTCAGCGACCATCGGCGCAGGCGACATCGCGCGCGGCGACATCGCCATCGCCATCGGTTCCGGAGAGAGCGAGCGGAGCGGAGCCAGCGGAGCGAGCGTCGGGGCTGCAGCACGCGCGCCAGAGAACTGCGGAGCCGACGGAACGGGCTGCGCAGTCTGGACTTGCTGAACGGGCTGCGAAGCGGGCATGTCGCCGTCCTTCTTGGTGATGAACGTCACGCCCGGCTCCAGCGACTACGTGGAAACGTGGAAACAGAGGTACCATGAGAATGGGGTTGCTGTTCTGTCCCTGACGCCACTCCTCGGCGCTGAGTGCGGGGATGCCAGCGAAGGAAGGCGGGTAGATGTCGGCTTGGTAGCCTTCGAATTTGCGCGGCACGATGAAAGGCAGCGGTTCCACATCGCCGCTGCTCGTCAGCTTCATAATGCGCGCCACTTCGCAACGATTCACGTCGCAGGCCTTCTTAGGAAGCATGCAGAGGCCCTAGAGAAAAGGAGAAACGTGGAAGCTACGCGCGCGGAGACGGTGGAGGAGTACTGGGAGAGCGGGTAGAGCGAGGACTCCATCACCTCGTAGTAGCGAATATTGCCATCGCCCTTGCCTCCCAAATAAAGCATCGAAGTGTCCGGATCGAAGAACGGAAGCAAGGTGCCCGACGACTGATCCAAGGCGTCCTGGCTGACCGGCTTCGCCAGGTTGCGCAGATCCCACATCTTCCACTCTCGCTGCGAGGAGCGGTTGAATCCAGTGGTGAGCACGTGCGGACGATCGCCCAGCCACGTCATCTTGGAGCATTTCGTGCCGTTGTGCGGACTCCACTCCGCTACGGTGCCATTCTGGCGAGGATCGTAGACGGTGTCCATCTTATCCTTCGTTGAAAGACAGAACAAACTGCCGTTGTAGTTCCAGTGCAGGTCTTGCGGAAGGCCTTTGCACGCGAAGGTCACCAGCTCGCTGCCTTCCTGGCAATCCCACACCTTCGCGGTGCCGTCGCTACGGGAATCAACACATACGCGGAAAAACGTACGCTGATGCAGACACTGCGATCAACTCGGCAACTGGATTGAACTCCACAAAAGTGACTTTTCTTCGGTGTCCGGTGAGGGTTAAGATAGGTTCATAAATATTCTCTTCCGGACCACCCTCCGGGAACTCCCACAACTGTGAATGAGTGAAAACAGTGGAATCCTACCATAATGGTAAGATCTGCAGAACAACTAATGATTTGTTCGTCGTTAAAGGGATTAAAGTCGAAGTCACAGAGATCGCCTCTACCAAAAAACGCAACTAGCATATCTCACTTGTGTCCCGTTAACATGGGGAGCTGAGACGGCATTCGTCCCGGAGTGTTGTGTCTTCGGATACAGATTGGGCCACCGCCCCCTCCTGCAGGAAAAGCAAAGTACTTGGCATTTCCTTTAATATAGTTCTGGTCTCCCGTCGTTGTTGCTACTCTGAATCCCTGATAAATCTCTTCGGCTACAATGAATCAAAGATACAACGTGATACGCTGAAGACCCGGACAGTAAACATGTCGAAATCTCGATGCAGGCGTATAGTCCATTAATTTAATTGATTTGATAGGATAAAGATTGTTCCAGTCTATGTCAGATTGCCAATAATTTGGGATCGCACGCTCTTTAAAAATGGGTCGATTTACAGTACAAAAAGTATTTTTAATATAATGATTTGATTAGATTTGATTTAAAATGAATCGTATACAATCGAAAATACAATAATAGTAATAATAATAATCAGTAAAAGAAAAAAGAAGAAATGCAATAGCCGGGAATCGAACCCGGGCCTGATCCGTGGCAGGGACCTATCTTACCACTTGACTACTATTGCTCTGAAAATACTCTCCACCTATACTATTTAACAAACACTCCAAATCAATGAATCAATCTTTTCCAATACTTCCAGACATCCTCCCTCCAAACAAATAATGCTATCTTGACTAATTCTAGACTTGCCATTAGACCACTCATCATGATATCCCAAATAAGAAGGTTTCTTGATGTTGATCCGAATCAGAGTCACACGTTGCGACACATTGCTGATATCACACTCTCCGCTCTCTAAAAGCACGTTCGTCACATCTCCTAAAATCACTTCACTCTCCATCTTCACCACAGGCACCTACACATTACCCAGCAATCAAACCTCTACGCGATCGCCACAGCCGATTTCCACAATCACTAGCGAGTCTTCCTTGTGCGAACTCAAATACTTCTCCATCGTTTCCTCCCACGTATCGTACAGATCGAAGTCGCTGGTTCCTTCTCCCTCCAAACCAAGCCATTCCTCGTCATTGAACATGAGAACGCTGGGACGGCTTGTTTTCCCGCAGACTTGACACTTGGGAAGCGACTCCACTGACGACCTGTCGATCGGAAGTTGCGCTCTCCACACAGAGGAGGTGCATTCAACGCCTTTCGAGCATTGCAAGGTGCTAGCGTTTCCGTGGATCTCGAGAAGCTCTTCTCGAGGAATACCGGATTTGAAAAACAAGCCATCCACGTTTGATGTATAAACAAAGAAGCTAGTAGGAATTTGCCCCTTTCGATCCAGCTCCGACTGAAAGAAATCCACAAGGTCTTGCTTCTGTTTTCGCACCTTATCCTCTCTCCATTTCTTTATAATTTCGTATCTACAATAAAATTAGCAACGATAAACCATGAATTACCCTTTATGAGGTGTTGCATTTTCATACTCCTCTATACTTGTACCCCAGTAATTCCAAAATTCTAGAGGATCCTCACGCAACTAGATATCATCGTCATAACGCGAAACTACCAGGTCAGGGTCGCAATAGTCTGCATATTCGAGTTTCTTGCCCGAGATAATTTCTAAAAACTTATATAATTCGACTGATAGTTACGGTTCACTTCTTCATATGTTTTTAGTCCTGACTGTGCAGACATTCCAGCTCCAGCCATTATCAAAACAAAGGATGCATTTCGTATCGCGGTTGCAGCTCGTTGGTAATCTTCGAGTGCTGATTCAGCCATGTTTAACAATAACCAAAATCATCACATATCTGCTATCTCAACACAGATTGTTGAAAAGAGAAATCAGTGGTCCCATGGTGTAATGGTTAGCACTCAGGACTCTGAATCCTGCAATCCGAGTTCAAATCTCGGTGGGACCTTCTTTTTTCTTTATTTTCTCATCGATTTGCGTTTTTCATTATTCCTGCCAATTTCTGAATGAGTTAATTTTAAACGAAATCTATTTTATGTTTTCTACAAAATTGTCACAGAGAATACTCGTTTCTACGGTTTCAAAGAGATGGAAAACTGTTTTTGTTGGTTTATCGGGTGGAATCGATTCCTCCGTATCTGCCTATCTCCTTTTAAAGCAAGTAAGCAAGAGTTGCTTTTTTCTCTTTAGGGATATGATGTAAAAGGAGTTTTTATGAAGAATTGGAGTGCCGAAGAGGAAACAGGAAAACCACTATGCCCCTTGAAAGATGACTTCATTGACGCACGTAATGTTGCCGAATTCTTAGGAATTCCATTAATTACTGTTTGGCTTTTGCATACGAATGATGCCTAGTATGATTTTGAAAAAGAATATTGGACCAACGTGTTCGAAGTCTGCCTTGATGCATTCTCATCCGTTATTTTTTTTATGATTCAGTAATTGGATAGGGTTTAACACCAAATCCGGACGTTTTATGCAATCGTTACATCAAGTTTGATGCTTTTGCTCATCGTTGTTTTCACGAAGGTGCGGATTATATTGCAACAGGCCATTACTGTCGGACCAATCAAGGCAAGCCACTCTCTCCCTTCTCCGAAGGAATCGAGTTATTGCGAGGCATCGACAAAAGCAAAGATCAGAGCTATTTTCTATCCCAAATCAACCACTCGCTTCTCTCGCGTGTTCTTTTCCCTGTAGGTGGGATGACAAAGACCGCGGTTCGAAGGCTCGCAGAGGAAGTCGGGCTGCCAAATGCACGAAAAGAGGAAAGCATGGGAATTTGCTTCATCGGAGAACGAAACATGAAGAGTTGGATCGAATCGATGGCTTCATCGTAGGTTTTCTGAACGAGTATTTATCGGCGTCTCCGGGAAAAATCCGAACGATTGATGGGAGAGAGATCGGAAAGCACGACGGAATTCTGTTCTTTACGATCGGGCAGGGAGTGAAGATCCCGAACCAGCGAGAGAAGTATTACGTATGCCAGAAGAACGCGCAGACAAACGAGCTGATCGTGTGTCCAGGCAACCACCCAGCGCTGTTTCGCCACGATTTCTATGTAGCTCAGTCGTTGCAAATGCACGCTAGATCGACCGGAACGATGCGGTGTGGACGAGCGCTTCCACTCTTCCACTTCTCACTTCGTATTGCACAGCACACACCGATTCCTTCCCCATTCAATGCCAATTACGCTACCAAACAGTTCGCTAATTTGGTGATTTCGAGTCATTTATAGACGCCGTATCCATGTCGCATTGAAGATCTAAACGAGACTCGCATCCACATTCGGAGCTGCAAAGCCATGCGAGCCATCACGAGCGGGCAGGTCTGCGTTTTCTACGATCACGACGTTTGTTTAGGCGGGAGCGCCATCCTTTCTCGTTTTTGTGACCAACAAACACTTCATTGAACAATTGTCATCGGCTTAAACGCTTCATCCTTCACGCAATTCACCATAGTATTCGCCTCTTCGTTCTTATCCAGAGTCATCACCATCTCCTCCTTTCCTTCCACATCCACATCCACGCCCACATTCTCATCCGTAGCCAGCTGAATATGGCTCACATACTTCTCCGCGTTCTCCACGGGAGACCACAACACCTACACTTCACACGCCCACCTCGATCCATACAACGACCACCACGTTCAGAATGAAAAGCAAAATCTCCCACTGTCCGTAGGTCGCTCTACGCCTCGCTCCCGCCCGCCTCGCTTACATCCACTGCAACTTCCAGAACCGATCGAAGATTCGTTCCAGATCGGCGTTGAGCAGAAGCACGTTGAACGCGAGCGACAGCACGAAAAGAACGCCCATCGCGGAGAAGAGCGCATAGAACGAGGACAGCTTGGTCGTCTGCTGCTCTTTCTCCAATTTCCGCACAGTTTCCATCGCGAACGAAAAAATAGCGATCGAAATCACCGTCTCGATCCTGCATTCAACGCAATAGCAAGCGCCTACATCACCGGAATCGCCGTAGACGCCAGCGATAACGGGCTCTGCGTCTCCTGATTCAGTGTTACGGACGTTTTGAATAAAGTGTAAAGCAGAACGAGGAAGACAGCTGCAGAGGGCGAGACGCGGATCTCATTGTGCACCGATCCGCTTCTATCGATGTGATCCAAATCAAACGAGCGAGCTACCCGAGAGCGATGTAAAGGAGGAGAATGCGAACGGCTCCGCGCGACAGACTCATCGAAAGAGTGGATAAGAAAGAAACGACGGAGTTGGCCGTGCCGAGCCGATTGATTGTATGCAAGTGGAAGTTGAAAAAGAAGAGAGAGAGGAGGAACGAGATGAGTACAAGCGAGATGAGGTAATGAATGAAAAGAAGAGATTGCGAATATTTCCAGCATCGAAACATCCAATAGCAAAAAACAAACAGGTAGAGCCAAATCAAAATCTTGGTGAAGGGGTACACGCCGTACAGAGTCGCTGGAAGATGTCCATATGGGTTCATTGTCACGCTGTAGCCAGAAAGAGCCACGTTGGTCGTATCGAGCTTGCAAGAACCAATTAGGTAGTAATACAGACCTTCCTTCGGAATAACGAGACGAGTGGATAAATAGCGCTTTTGGCCACTAAAATTATAAAATTTCAAGAGCAAAGAAAACGAAAAAACGACACTTGAGTCAGAATACTCCCCCTTGTACTTCTTTGGAAGAATCAGAGTCTGCTCTTCCTCGCAAATTCCACGCTAGATTCCAAAAGAAACGCTGTCACGTACTTGAATCGCAATCTTGTCACAGCAGAAATACTTCGTGTTATTTCGGACGTAACCCATTGCTTCAAAAGCTTCTTTCGATAATACGGCGCCCTACTCGTAAAGGGGAATCACTTCACAGACCTGAATAACTCCCTGAGCGTCCCACGAAGGGTTTTCCTTCGAAATTCCGACAAGGAGTTCAATATAGGAAGAAGAACTACAAATCGCCTCTTACTACAAATCGCACCTTTTAGGGATAGACAATCGTTTATCAAACATGTAGAACCCCTGATAAATAACACCTGCACCATGAATTGGTATTCGGTCGAACTTCGTAATTGTAGCAGTCCCAAGCGAGAATAACGCTACAATAACCTACAGCTTACACGTAGCGACTTCTTCTACACATAAGACTAGCATCATAAATCTGTATTGCTGGTGCAAAGAATTGTGACGTCAAGTTTGAGTTTAAAAATGGGAGGGTTTGTTCGTGATCCAATTTATGGTAAGTGCTGAGAGCATGTACCACGTAGGAATGATAGAAATCCATCCTCTCTGCGAAAAGATCATTCGATTACCTGAGTTTCAGAGACTGCATGATTTGAAACAGCTAGGGTGTCTGCATTATACCTATCCAGGGGCTACACACGATCGGTAAGAAACCCTTTCTTTTCTCTGAATTGTAGTTTTCAGCATTGCATCGGCGTCTATCATCTAGCAGAAGTGTTTATCAATCATCTGCAGAAGGCGCAGCCAGAATTGGAGATTACGGAGCAAGAGAAGCTAGCAGTGTGTATTGGTGGTCTTGTCCACGATTTGGGACATGTAATGCTCTGCCATATGTATCCGCGCTATGTACAGTATTGCAAAAACGAGCTTCCGCTCTCGCACGAACTAATGAGTGTGTTGATTTTTCGAAGTGTAATTCAAAAATGGGGCCTATCCAAGGACTTTTTGGAGTATGGCATGGACGAGAACGTGAGTTGCTCAATACGCTTTTCATATTCAGTGCATCCAACTCATCTGTGATATTATTCTCGGATCCAAAGACAAGGGATGTCCCGCATTCCCCTGGATCGGCGCGCCTGGCCGCGAATTTCTGCTCCAAATCGTGGCCAATGCGAGGTTTCCATTGGGTTGGCGTGAAGTTTATTCGTAGAAGTGGGATTGATGTGGATCGTTTTGATTACATGGTGCGAGATTGCTATCATGTTTGCTTAATCGCTGAGTCTTAAGGGTAGTTAGGGCTTCACTGCTCCTACAATTACGACAACATTCTTCTGCGCTCGCGTTGCATCCGAAACGAGCAGGATCAGTGGGAGATTTGCTTCAATCACAAAGTCTTCTACGATGTCTGCGATATGTTCCAGTGCAGATTGAATCTTTGCAGGCGAGCCTATTTGGTAAGCGATGCTCTTCGGATGACTACCTTGCAGCATCCTTCTTGTCGAATCATCGAGCGAATGCTCATCGAGGCTTTTCAGATCGCCGAGGAGCAGGGCGTTGGGATTCAGACCGCCGTACTTTCTTTCCTTCTCGCCTTCTTAACTTCATAGAACGGAACTGTCAAACTGTCCGAATTGATACGATCGCCCGAAGAATACATACAAGCTTTCAAAGAGAACAGGCTGGATTCATTGCTCGAGCCCTATCTGAAAGCCACGGATTACTTCATTTTGGTACGGTTATTGCCTTTTTATGTTCACTTTGCAGCAGCTCAGAAACTCAGTGGAGCCCGGGTTGGAGGCTGCCCGTCACCTGATCCAGCGGATCGAAATGCACGACTATTATCCATTCGTTGGGAGAATTTTGGTTACGAACCAAGAGAACGGAGATGATTATGAGAACCTCACATATGATGACTTGATTAATGGGAAACTCAGCTTTCGGAATACCAGAAAGCTCATAGTGAAGATCAAGGAGCTTCTCAAACTGAAGGCAGAGGAGATGGGCATTCCATTTGATCCAGCTACTCTTTACATCGATGCTTGTAAGATGGATATGGGATCCAAGGTTCCTGCATATTTTCTTTGTAAAATCTAGGGAAAGAATCCACTCCCGCCAATTTCGTTTTTTTCTGATATCAATCCCGATAAACGAATCAAGATGGGTCTTGAAGAAGGGAGAGTGTTGGGAAGCTATGTGGACTATAAACTCTTCTTCTATTCTCGGGGTGACAAGTCAACAGTCGATGCGTTCCAAAAGCTGTTAGCTATTGGAGACACGCTGTGCAGTAGCTCTAACTATAATTAGTTTTTTCGTTTGTTGTGTTTTTGTTTCCAAGTTTGTATGATCAAATGACTACAAATAAAAGATTCTTGATAATCATAGTGTACAGTCATTTTGGGTCCGATTTCATTATTGGTAGATGCAACAGCGCGGAGACTATATTGATGAAAAGGTAGGGAGCATTCTAACCGATTTGGGATATACGAAAACTCGACATCACGACAAATATGTAATTACCTTGTTTTCGTTTTTAGTACTAGAAAAACATCCAGCCGTTCTGGAACGAAGAGATGCATCGCCGTTGCATGGCTGCTATCTTTGATTATGGTTTAAAAGGTGCGTAGTTATTCGTAACCTCTATTCTTTAGAAGCGTCTCCAAAAGTGATCTATCCTGCACTGAGGGAATTTGACTCCAGTTTACGTCCCGAAAACATCAAGTCACATTTACAAGTAGGGCGAAATTCGGAGATTACTATCAACACTAGAAATATCGAAGCAACTCGAAAGCAAATCAATTAGAGTATCGCCATTTCTTCGAGCGTTATTTACGAAAGGTGCTTGCTCTATGGATTGCTCATCCCTAGGAAAAGAAAGTTGCAATGCGTCAAAAGCTTTTACAGTCCTCCCAAGCCAAAGAGGGTGATATCGATTCTTCTAGTCATGTGCGTGATATTCGCGACCCATCCGCTCAAATTTCTACTGCTCCCTTAAATCCATTATCCGAGACAACACAAACTCTTTCTCCTGTAGCTCCCATTGCAACATCCACCTCGAGTGTTCTTCCAACCCCCTATTCAAACTCAGTCGATTCGAATTCGCATAGTGGCATATCTCCAATATCCTCGAGGCAAACTCTCAACGAGGACGAAGATGATCAAGGCATGTCGTTTCACTTCCAAGAAGATCCGTTTATGGCTCACCAAGTGGCTCTCCACGACGATATAATTAGCAAGCACAGTATTCGGCAGCAGCGCATGGGTTTGGATGGAATAAACAACGACAATCGGTATTTCCCGTTGCTGGATTATGTGGGAACCAAGGCGAATTCATTTATAAATAGGAGTCGTTTTTTGAGAACGCGTCGGTGATAGAAAGCGAGAAGCCGTTGGAGACGAATGAGGCGGAGATGGGCAATCCTCTGTTTTTTCTGCAAGAGCCTGAGAATTGAATTGTTTGTTTGTTTGTTTGTTTTATAAAAATAAACAGACAAGATAAGAGTGGCTATAAGAACGATGGTGAAGTAGCAAAGTGGGAAAAACACGAAAACAAGACTGATACTATCCAAGTTCGATAGAATAAAATCATTTGAATGGAAGGGTTGACTGGAATTGTTGTGGAAATACACCAGTTTCAAATGCAAAAGCGACGTTTCGAACTCGGTTGTGTTGAAACTCGAGATGGCAGAGGCAGGAGAGATTTCCTCTTGGAACTTCAAGTTCGAATGATCCCCCGTCGAACTTGAAGCGTTCCATCCTGAGATGCGATGATTTGAATTGACCGAAAGATCATTCGAGTTCGTATTCACATTTGATGATGAAGAAGATGAAGATGATTCATTCATTAGTGATGATGATGGTGATGATGAAGATGATGAAGATGATTCATTCATGAATGATGATGATATTGATGCCATTGATAATCCATTCTTTCCATTTCCTTCTCCATTCTTTCCATTTCCTTCTCTTCCCTTCACTCCAAACATCGCACTCGCAACCTCCACAGGACGGCTCAACACTTTTCCTCGTCCCCTCAACTCCCTTCCTGTCTTCTCATTTCGCATGCTCCAACTTTCGTTCGTTCGAAGGCTCACAAACAAACTCTGCGGAGGAATCGCAGGGTTTTCGTTCTCTGGAACCCGCGTCATGAACAAATCCACACGACTCACCGCGATTATCACGACTTTCTCACCAACTCCCACATTCTCCAACCGAATAGACGATTCAAAAATCAGCTGGTTTTCTGGAATTCCAGGATTATAGGATAGTTTGGGAGTTTGACGAAGAGGTGAAACGCCTTTCAGAGAAGGTGTTACAAGGAGCGGTTTCTCCGTTTCCACCAAATGAAGCAACGATTCATATTCAAAATCGGTTAAGTCTGAATAGACCGATTGATTCTGATTGGCTACAAAGCGATGAAACGCCTCACTATAACTGAAAATCATAACAAGCGTCTCGTCCACTTCATAACAACCCCCCACATTCCATCGAATTCTCTCCGATGAAACGCCCACAATCATGGAATACGGTCGAAGAACGTCCAGTACGACCGTTATTTGTCTCATTAACACGGGAATCCAAAAATCCCTCGTATTATTGGAAATCAAAAAAACATCCCGATTATCGCCTAATGACGATTTTGGGGGCTTTTTCTTATTCTCCGTCTCCACCAAAAACACCAAACATCGATTGCTTCCTTCGGTAATAACCACTGGAATACTGTTCCCGCACTTGTTTGGAACGGTTTTGACCTGATTGTACCGATTGAACCAGGAAGCGGCATAGCCCCATTCCTCCATTCCTCCTCTCACTGGATACACCACCTCGCTGGTCGATCCCACGTCATATCTCCCGCCTATTTCTGGAATTCCACAACGCAGAACGCACCTGAAAATCGATTCATTGTCTCCGCAATGTCTTTCATCGCGTAATAATCGGGCGCTCGTGCCTTGATTTTGTGGTTGTAATAGTCGCCCCATTCGTAAGAAATGCTCCGCCCTCCTCCATGAAACGTGATGGTTGCCACAAACAAATTATGGGAAAAGAGCTTCTGGATTGCGCGGCTTGTTTCGCTCCGCAGACACAAGTAGGGACCTTTCGCGTAATCGAAAGGAAAATCGCGGTTTACGTCGATGAGCTGCTCAAGTCGTCTGCGAGTCGATTGGAAAGGGAGAAACGTACCTTCCGGTGTAGTAACCATAGGCGTTGGACATGGGCATGATGATGATTTCGCGGGAATCGACAAGAAAAGCGAGGTGGGAGTGGAAGTTGGCTTTGGGGTAAGGGCGAAAGGGATTTGAAATGACGGTTTTTTCTAAATGAGATGGAGTTTGATTGGGTTACCGTAGGTTGGATCAAAAGAAGCTCTGCTTTGCAGCAGGTATATGGCCTAATGGTAAATAAAAACGTTTTAGGGAATACATATTCGATAACTGCATTGGGACCCAACTGTTCATCGCCATGTAACTCACCACTGATGTAGAGTTGGGGAAGCTTCAAAGGCGATGAATGGATCCGCTTATTATAAATTCGCAAATACCATTGTTCACAAGGGGAAGCTAGGTTCAACATTCGTTTACACTGCTACCACCACATTTGATATTCGAAGTGTAATTAAAATCCTTTTGTACACTTGAAACCTCCACTAACTCCGGATATACGGACTGAAGCGCTATCATCGCTCCGACTATCTAAATCTCATTTTAAAAATAGATTCATCACTCCTGAATAGGTTCGATAATCAAACGAATAACATGAAGAGAAGAGAGGCAAGAAAAGCCAAAGCGCATACCTCAACAACGAGCAGTTCATTCCAATAAAAGCTGCTCCGTTTTTGACCATGATCTGTAACAAACAGATTATATATATAGACGTATGTATTTCTTTAAGGTGTGATGATAGTCTCTAGTCACTGAGTAAGAACTCTTAAAGTAACAATCTTCACCCCACTAGGGTTTAAAAACAAACATGGAACCATTCAGGTTTCGATTGGCAATTTGTCAATTTATCGGAGACGACGAGCCTCACGTTCCCATTCCATCAGGGTCAGAATATCTCCCTCACGCACGGGTCCCTACCGAGTTAGAAAAGGCATAAACGACACACCTTCACGTTTCTAACAATAGAACGCTTGGAGGCATCCAGGAAGGTGACGCGCACCTACAAATTACAAGCAAAAATAAAAAGCGACCTGAGTGACGTTACCAGTGTTACCAGTTCTTCCCAGAACCTTATCAACAACAGCATGCATAACCTGATTCTCCTACACGAAGATTAGAATTGATTCGCTCTTTCAACTCCAAAATGGATTGCTGAGCAGCCCCAAGAAAAAACAATCGTTACATACCATTTTGAATAAGAATGAAACCTGAACTCTGAAAATGAGGTTGTGGAGGCTTTCAGAAATAGGGTCAATTCTAAATTGGGGACCCTGGTCCCCTAATTGACTAAAACAAACAATTCTTTGTATATTCATATATATATTTTATATATATATATATATATATTTCTTATTATTGATCAATTACTTTGAGTCCGCTCCACTTTGTCATACAGATTCTTGAGCATCGAATATCCCAGATCGTCCACATTTTCACTCATCACAACTAAACCTCACCTCTCCTATTCACGCCTACCCTTTTCTGACTCTTTCGCAACCTCTTCCGCGTGATGTCTCTGCTTCGATATCGTACGCCACGTTTTTCTCACCGACTTGAGCGCCATTTTCAATGACTCGATAGAAGAAGGATTCTCCTTAATCGCCGACATCGCAGCCTGCGTCTTACCTCCATTCCTTCGCCTACCTCTCCATACTGCGGGAACGCATATCGCATGACTGGCAGCGCTGCCGCAATGATATTAAGGTTCTTATCGAGCTGTCGGCCGACGCCTTCGAGGATGACGACCGACATGAACAGATTCACAAATCGGCAGTCGAGAGTAACGTGATGTGCGAGCGAAGAGCTCATCATCCGCGTTAGCGCCTATCTATCACCCCGTCGAGAGATCATACATTCGCAATCTCGAGATTGGCCAGGTTGAACACGCCGTCCTCCATGTTTTCATTCACCAAATCGCCGATGTCCCGCATAAACCCTTCCGGATCGATCACTGGCGGCGACGGCTGCGGCGCTCGCTCGACGAGGAGACGGCCCGCCTCGTAGCCGTTGCCCTGCGCGAGAGCGATGAAGATATCGACGAAGTTTCGCTTCTGGGATTCTTCGAGCTCGTTGACGAGGCCGGTATCGAGAAAAACGAGCTGGGAATGGGATTCGCGGAAGCGAAAGGAGCGGTGGCAGATGGATTTCTTGAGAGGGATGCGGCAAGGAACGCTCTCACGCACCAGAATGTTTCCGGGATGAAGATCGGCGTGGAGGAAATTGTCGACTAATAACATGTGGAGAAAGCCCATAAACCCGAGATAGGCAATCTCAGCATTCTTGGACGAGGAATGCTCCATTAGAACGGGCAGAGGAGTTCCTGCTTCGTACGACTCGACTAAAAGATGAGGGGTTGTGAGATTGAGGTAGGGATCGGGGAACACAAATTGGTCATCGTCTTTGAAGTTCTCTCGGAAATGAATCAGATTCACTGCTTCGATGCGGAAGTCCAGCTGCTGATACATCATTTTTGTGAAGATTGCGATGGATTCTTGCAGCTTCATGTACTGCATGCAGGGAATCGTGCCGAGACAACTGGACAGAAGCGATAGGAGTTGGAGATCGCTCTCGAAATACGCATCGATATGGGGTCGTTTGACTTTCAGAACGACCCAGTCGTTCGAATTCTTTAAGCGAGCTCGATAGACTTGGGCAATGCAGCCACTTCCCAACGGAGTCAAATCGATCTCATCAAAAACATCCTCCAGCTTTTGTCCCAGCTCTCTTTCGATGATTTTCTTCATTTTTGGGAATTCGATACACCTCGTTGTCGAATAGAGAGTACTTAGCTCACGACACATATCCAGCGGAAGAATATCGGGGCGCGTTGCTGCCCATTGCCCCAATTTCACAAAGGTAGCACCACACACTTGAAGAGAAATCATCAGAAAGTGATACCAAGGCAAGCGCAGCTTAGGGAAAAAGAGAAACCAAGACGTCATAGCAACTGGAGCAAAGATAGCAAGATGAAACACTGCTCGCAAGACGAGTTGGAAACAACTTCCAATCTTCTCAAAAGCAATTACGAAAAGTTCAATAATCGATTTAGGACGAGCTTTCTCTTTCATCTTTTCTATCTGGCTGTGAATCGACTCATGATAACTGTGCAGAGGACAGACTATCTTCTTTTCCTCGAAGATGGCACCCTCCTTGTTTAAAAATCGGGAATACACAGGAGAAGCAGGAGAAAGGACACTAAACGCCAAACTGGCGGTTGTTGGGAGGATAATTTTGTTCCCACTGCAGAACACAGAATGCATTCTACACTTCAGAAATCGAGAGACCCTAAGGGTTCTCGGTAATCTCATCGCAATGGAACTCATCCTTCTATTGTCTAATGAAGTTAACTGTTCACAGACAAGGAGAGTAATAAAATAAAATCGTTAAAAGGGTGGATGTACTCCTCCTAACGATTATTACTGTGACTATTACTCTGGAGGAAAAAAAACGTCGCTATTTTTGGAAAGGCAATAGTAGTATTTGTTTTGCTTCTGCATTGATAAGTTTTGCGAATCAGCTGAATTTTACTAGAATCAGATTGAAAGTTCGGTGAACATCGGAAGCTATGCATATACAATATCAATGTCAAGTATGTGACCGTTTGCGTCCTATTCATGATCTCTTCTATTGTTCTGGATGTAACCAGCTTGTTTGCAACTCACTCTCCTGTGTCAAAAGAGAAATTGAATACTACTATTGTCCTATATGTCTTGATACGTTTACATCGACTGAACTTTGGAGCACCTATTATCAGTAATAAATTGACTCCATTTTCATTGTAGTTGCTTACATTGTTATCTTTGTCCTTGCTGCGAGTCTCGTTTGTGTGGATTTCGCGACAACACAAATACGCCGGTAGCGTGGAGGTGCTTTCACTGTAATTGGGACTCGAAGTCTATCAATCTGTCCGGTGATTCTGTCTCGGATTTGCAAAGTATTCCTCGTTTTGGTGTCGTTTCATCCTAGCAAAAACTTTTCAACTGCTGCGATCGAATCATAAAAACGTCAAGGAGGAACTCAAATCCATCTCCAAGTGTATCTGCGATGAACTCAACATTCGTACCGCACCGCCTGCGCTCTACAGCCCCACGTCGATTCACAGATCGTTAGATAAGCATTTAAAAGAAGAAGAGCAGGAGAAAATCCGAAAGACACGTCAGCACCTCGCCGAAACCCCTGAATCCAACCCAGTCCTTCCTCACCCCTGTACACTACGATGCAAATATACAATCCGATGTCTCCATTGCTTAGAATCGAACATGTCCGGCATGTTGCTCAATCCACAAATTCAGCCCCTTCTAGGTGACTCTTCCCTGTTTTTGCTTTCACTTCTGTTCACTGATTTGCAGGTCGAAAGCGAACGAAATTTGGAATCGCGTTGCCAATCTTGCTGTTTTGGCGATTCCAGTGCTCTCCATTGTCTCGGTTGATGACGAATTTATCGTTCTTTCCGTTCGAAATGTTTTCTTCGTGGATGAAAAACTAAGAAATAGCCTGCAGCGGAGCAGTTTTCTACAAATATGGGGAACATGCATGTCGCGATCGTATTCCGATGCAACCCTTGTTACTGTAGACGTCTCCCTGGGAGTGCAGTTTTGAGATTCCGTGCTTTGATGAAATCACGGGTAGGACCGCGTGTTTGTTGTGATTCTAGTGGATCATAAACAGCTCGCGTCGATGAACGCCAACGAGCCGCTCGTGGAATCTACTACAATGAGCTCTGTGATTCTGAAACTTCCGAGAAGGGAAGGAGCAATGAAGCTGCACTGTATGTTTAGTACAAGCAACGGTATGCAGCGCGACCTGGACATAACTTGCAACCTTGATTTGATATGATTTGTTTGATGGAAACACAAGATAGGAAAAAACACTTTTCCCCAGTTTCTCCTAATTTTTATCAACTCTTATTTATAATGCAGATGATGCGAACTGCGGTGCTTCTACTCCTAGTTTCTTTAGTTATCGCCGATGGTCACAGTTATTCCCTTTCTTGATTGGTAGATTGCGGCTTTTTTGAGTGTACCTGCAACGGAGACAGAAGTATGATGCTCTTGGCCAAAATAACGTCTAGAGAATATGCAAACATTTGACTTCTACACAGACGACACACGTAAAGCCATCAAATACGAAAAGAATTCCAAATACTACGACAACACGAAGTGCGAAGGGGATCCTATATATGTTGTTGATAGCACTTACACTCTGGCGTATATCTCGGAGTGGAACAGTATGCTTTGTTATTCTCCTGAACACAAGACACGAGCACCTACAACCGCACCATCTCTACCAACATGCTTGTTTTGAATACACAAGCCGCCATTACGCAGTTGAAGTGCACGGGCGTGCAAGTTGGCGCTACGATCGACCTTCTTAATAAAGAAGAGTTTTCTCCTCTCTATCCTGCTCACCACTAGTCTGCAGAAGTGTGATGCTGATCAACTCTCCCACATCATCGAAAACTACAGCAATGATCTGTTCAATCTCACGATCATCAACGTCCAGCTGAACAATCCCGACAACGAAGCGCAAATCTGTGAGATGACCAATGTCAACAACTGCCATGCTATTTATCCTCGTATCGCCCGCTTTTCCCTTCCTCCTTCCTAGATCGTTTCATTCTCTACTTCATGTACACTTGCTGCGTGGTGATCGTGTGTGGGGTATCTGCGGTTTACATCATCCTCTACAACCGGAAGCCGACTCTTCCTATCACCAATCCCACGCCAAGCGCTCCTTCCAATGCCGCTCCCAGCGCTCCTTCCAACCCCGCTCCCAGCGCTCCTTCCAACCCCGCTGCCGACCAGCAGACCGAAGAGAAGCCGGAAGACAACAGCTCGGAGGAGAAGAAGGAGCCGATCGCCACGCCGCAGGGGGCTCCGAGTGCGAATTAGGGTTTAGTGGAGAGTGTTTGTTGGAAACAGAGATTAGGGGAGGAGTACACGGGGATGGATGGAGTCGAGGGGCAACCAGGAGGGAAGGTGCTCTGGGGGAGAGATGCGGAGGTCGTCGAAGATGCTTTTGAGATCATCGTCGAGTTTCTCTCCAAATCTGGATCGAGAGTCAGAAAATGGACATACCTCTTGAATTCACTAAAGATATAAGAAGAGTGGTATTTTTGAACGTAGCGAAGCAACATGACATACACTAGAGTGATTTTACTATTTTTGCTTCCAAAAAAGTACAGTGGATACTTATCACTATCGATTAAAAGCTATGCTCACAGAGAATCCGCTAGACCTACACCCACAACACGTTTCTTTTCCTCCTTGTTAGGAATACAATCTATATCATATTCGTCTGTGTCAATATGAATGTGCTCGATGCCCTTTTCTTCACAAAATGTTACGATCTCCTTAGGAGCATGCTCCGGAATCATAGATACGATACACTTTAATTTGAGACTATAGTGTGACGAAAGGACGAGTAAACGCACGATTCCAAAAAGGGCAAGTTAATCAACTCTGGATACGATCCCATGTATAGTCCGTCATTCACCATTACAAAATTGGAAGGTGGGATGAAAAGCGAACTCATGTTTACAAACAAATACAACACTCGATAACATAGCAGCCTGGCTCATTAAATATGTATTCAGTCGTTTCCATCTTCCGCAATATATATCTACAAGTCATGCGAATGATTCCACTCTCTTACGATCGAGAAGGATCTGAAGCACAATGCTCAAACTTCCACCCCTTGTTCTGGACTGCTATATTTCGAATAACCACTTTGGCTTGAGGGCATGCCCTCACTACCAAAGCTCCATCCACACTCACATTCTCCAACGTCACGTCAGTACCATCAATGTACACTAGAGACGTAGGACTCATGGTAATCTCCCCAGAGAACCGTTTCTTCATATCCGATACCGTTAGAACCGCTTGAGGCGAGAGTGCCAAGAGGGGTAATTGGGGCAGTCCATGGGCAGGTGTTACAGAATCGTCCCACTCCTTCGTGCCCACATCAATTCCGAACTTTCTCCCCACTTTTCGGAACCATTTGTAATAGTCTTCTTCCGCCGAAAACATACTTTCACCAAAACCTGTCTTGCTTTCTTGAATTGTAGCGTTTTCAAAACTGTTTTTGGCGGCAGAGAAGCAGATCCAGCGCGGTAAGCTGCAATAACCGACTGTTTCTTTCTGTGTCATGATTTTCGGAAGATCCTGCATCATGCATTCCAAACGAGCCGGGCTGGAAAAGAAGCGATGTGATGCGTCTGCAAATTTGGGATTGATAAACTCAGGAATGGATCCATGTGTTTGAAGCAGAATGCGATTGTAACTCTCGATTGATGCGCAAAGAATGTTGATGTTTCCGGGATATGAACTGTTTCCATTATCATTTGGCTCGTCTCCTTCACCCGTGAGTCGACGAAGGAGCGTTTCGAATTCATTGTATTCGATATTGCAAGTCAGTTTCCGAGAATCTGGATATTCCAGTCTGCAAATCGAGCCGATTTTCTCTCCTGGTTTGCGAACGATTCCGAGACTGGAGAAATCAAGAGAACTCTGTATGGAAACCCCGAGCAGAGGAGCGAATCCAAAGAGGGAAAGAATATTGGTGTCTTGCATGAATATGATATGCCGTTTCCCCATTTCCAGCCATCGTTGCGGAAGGTTGTTCTGCATCAAAACCAATACAAATCTATCTACCTGATACAAAAGTGTGTGAATGTCCCCATGGCCGTGTGGCTTCAATAGCAAATGACCATCGGGTTTTAGCGCGAGTGTGCCTTTCATATCTACAATGGAAGGCACTTCAACTTGACGCATGAGCGTGATGTTATCCTTGTCCAACCCAAAGAAATCGTGACTTTCAAGTTCACTCAATATTCTATTCCTATTATTCCCAGACGTTTCACCTACTGGTTATGTGTTCCTTGGCTTGTCATTATAGCAATGGGAACAGTACAGTCGTATTGCGTCTCAATCGAGTGGAAGAAGCAGCAATAAAGTTCCAAAAACGATTGTCCAGAGACGAGGCTGCTCGTCAAGCAGAGTTTTGCTTTTTTGCTGTGAAGGCGCTCACCAATGCCACCTCCAACAATGGCAAAGCAACAGGTTTGCAGGGCATCTCTCCCTATCTTTTCTAACTCTTCAAATTCTTCATTCTCGATGTTGAGATCTTTGCCCGTGGGAATCTATATTAAATGCGACAGATAAATTGTACGTCGATACTACTGATTTGCTTGTTACCAGATAGCGAATCATCCAATAGGTTTACTGCATTGTTGATGTAGGAGTATATTCCCCCCGGATAAATTTTGTTGAATTGGGTAAGATCATAATACAAGTTTCTTTGTTGCTTCTCATCCAAATACTGAAGCAGGGTTTCTTGGTGAATAGATGATAGAATAGAGAAAAGAGAATCGCTCATTGCAAAATAATGTCCTATCCTCCGATTGACAAGATCCAAAAATCTCGCCTATTTCGATACTATCAATTTGACTTGTCAAAACTATACATATATATTTTAGCTAAGATTACACTCGATACCATGCAAAGACAAGAATAGTTTTTTTTTCTGTAACAAATGGCAGAAGCAAGTGTGTTTGCTTTGGTTCAGTGGTTGATGAATATAAACGTTTTTGTGCTCGTTTCGTGGATATCGCTAATTGGTGTGTTATTCGAGTTTTTGCGAAAAGAATATGTAAGAATTGATTAGTGAGTCTGACGCATAGTTAATATGGAGTGGTTCTGGGTACTAGTGTGTTTTTGAGCAATGAGCTGTAGAGTGATGGATATGGAAAGTGACGATGATATTATTCCCTTTTTACGTGATAAGAATTTACGTATGATATCTATTACCCATTTGAGTGTAGAACCAGCTCCGTGTAGTAATTGTGGACAAATTGTGTATAAACACTCTCTTCCCAGGTATTTTACGAATTGCCAGACTTACGAATAGACCCAAAGTGCTGTGTACGAAAGCAGTCTTTTACATGTATATTTTACTCATTCTGGTCCTGCTGGTCGTAATTGTGGGTTTTCTTGCCGGTGCCATCATTTTCCCTGCCTATTCCTTGTACGTGTCTCCCTACCTTCCCACATCGACCAATCTCAACAACTTCGCAAGCAATCATTCGCGAAGCTTCACCGAACTGGGTCAGGATCTTTTTGTGTATAAAAACTTCTCCACCAGTGCTGTTCATCTCCCCAAGAACTATCTCTCCTTGCTCAACATCACGATCGAGCACGGTCTTTCTTCCTTTGCCGAATGCAGCGACATCCTCGAAGAAGGGAGAGATCTCCTCCACTTCATTGACGATATTCGAACCCTTTCCGACTCCAAAGAGTCCGTTCTGTCCTCCTTCCCGTCCATCGACACCATTCTTGCAGGCGTAAACGTGACTTTTTCGCCCTATTATGACTATCTCCCCACGCAAGTCCCGCTCGTGCAGAGCGTAATCACCTTCTTCAAAGCAGGGAACTATTCGTTCGCAGCCATCAAGCAGCTCACGGACGAACAGCACGTTTTTGCGCAGGATCCGATGGAGCTTCGGATCTCCGACTTCATGGAACTCGCGCTGAATCCGCTCTCTTTATTCAATGCGTCCTTCCTGCAGGACGTCAAGCTGCTCTCCAGCGGCATGATTCAAAACGTCACGGACGTCACGAGCGATTTCTATGAGAAGTCCTCGTCGATGTATCAGCGACTGCACACTCTCACAGCCGCATTTTTCAATGGAGGCGATCTGGGCGGGTTTGAAGAGATCCCAGCGGAGTATTTGGAGATGTTCAAGCTGTTGCAGAGCAAGTATTTGTTCTATGTGGAGCGAGGAACGCGATTCGTGCAGATCGTTCCGCAGTTTACCAACTGTATGGCGGAGCAGTCGATGGAGCGGCTCCAGGAATTGAAAGGGTTTGTGGTGAAGAATTATTTGGGATACTTCAAGCGACATTTCCTTTACACGTTGTTGGTTGTGCTGGTTGAATTACTGCTGATCGGATTGTTGGTGTGGATGATTGTGGTGGGAGTGAGGCTTGCGAAAGAGACGCTGGCCTATGCGAAGTCGCTGCTTGTTCAGACGTCAATGAACACAGTGAATGCCATCAATCAGCTGGGGAAGGCTATGAAGGAGAAGGAGAAGGAGAATTAGTGATGATTGTTTGTGGAACACATTCTTGCGTTATTATTAACCGTGAAAGGATTGAATAGGATAGGCATTGGAATTCGTTTTGCAGAATGTTCAATGCAAACAAACACAGTTAACTGAGTAACAAACTAATTACTTTGTGACAGTCTCAATGAGTTTTTTGTTATAAGCATGAAGTAAACTAGCACGTTTTTCAGCGCGATGCTTCTGAGCATAAATAAAAATCGCAATGAAAAGGATAATAACAATCACGGAACAAGTGACTACCATGATCACAACTACGCATCAACGAAAGCAAACAAAAATCATACAAGTGGACCAAATTCCATTGACTTCATAATTCCAAACGCATTCATATCTTTCAGGATAATAGCCCTCGTACACAGGGAAATGATCACCTATTACATCATCCTTATTCAAATCAATAAGTACTCGTAACAGTGATATTTCGATACTCGACTTTACCCACATTCGCTCGCTCTTCCGCAAAGATATCAACACCATCAATAACACAGCTCAATTTCCTATCGGTTAGCACTAATCAACGATTCTACGCAATGTTCACATATTTCTTTGCTATATTTCTGTGACAATTGTTGACCATATGCTGAACGACATAATCGCTCATATCGAATCCTTTGACCCAAACAGATGAGGTCGTGGAAACGCAGCTCCAATCTCCCTTCACTGCTGTTTTCTGGCATTTGAGATCATTGCTAAAGATAAATGGCCTGTAGCAACGTTACTGATGCAAAAACGAATATCGGATCGAGTCACACTGGTTGCCATTGAACATAGAATAGACAACATCTTCATAGTTCGGCTTTCCTAGCCAGTTGATATTGAACTGCATAGAATTTTGCTCTAATGGTAATAGTTATCATGCCATTCCTACTTGATCCGTAGCATACTCCACCCAAACTTACGCAAGTAGCACTTATACACTGAAAAACAGTTAATAGAAGCACAACAAAAACCAGTGGCATGGCAAAAAACCTCTCTTTGATAATACTCCAAGTCAACGTAGTGTGCAACGTGGCACGATTTGATTGGTGGATGGTTTTAGGGAAGATCATTCTGCAACACAATAATAATTTGGATAAAGATAGGCTAATCATAATAATACTGAACTAGAGAAGGTAGTAGAGAGGGGTAAAGTTGAATTTTGGAACGTTTCTTCATTCTACAAGTTATGTTGCACATTACCTGTGTATAAAAACAAGCCTATAGCAGCTAGTTGTTATTAATATTAATGCAATAGACTGAGGCGTGTTTGGATCAATGAGAACAATAATACTCATGATTGAATGAAATCAATGAATAGAATTAAATTGCACTATCGATATATGACTTGGAATTCGCATGATAGAATACAATGGCAGTTAATCAATCAAGATCAAAACACCATATTTGTTTTTGTACATTCTCGAAATAGGTATCACCAACTACTATTGTGTCGATCTGTTTTTTCGTATATCAACAAGAAATCGTAGTTTTTTGTTGCACGTGTGAATGGGTAACTTATTCATATTTTTCATTATGAGTTCTGATTTCGCCACGGCTGATTTATTTATTACCAGAAAGAAACATGATAGTTGCTATGAGGCAGCAGTTCTGTGTGACGAATACAACCAGATACTGTATGATATGTTGTGTTGCGTCAGTCGCAGATTCAAACTATTCAACGTTTATTCAAAGGAATACAATAATTCCAGATACCACAGTGTCGATGACCACCTCCAACTGTTGGTAGACTATGAAATCATGCCTGAGTTCATATCCAAAGATGCGGCAGTCCAAAACTTTATGAAAATCGTCACCCAGAGAAATGACGCCAGTAATCTGATAGCTGCCAATTATATGAAGTGATTGTGCAAACATGGATGTTGAGGTATAGTTATGAAATGTTTGTCGAGAGTATTGGACGGATCGCTATGATCGTATTCGAAAACCCTTCCTTAAAGAAACAAAATAGCACGATATCAGAAAAGATTAATGCGTTTATCACTATTTGGCACCTAGGAGACCAAAGTTTATTGGTGTTACACAAAGAAGAGAGGTCAATGGCTGAGTGTAATGCTGATGGATCATTGTGCTGTTGTTTGTTTACTACCATATTGGTTTATATAGATTCGGAGTGTTTTATTTTTATATGGTTCCACTCTTCCTCTCTTTCAAGCTTCCTTTTTGCTTATTCCTGTGCTAGACTGACTATTGTCGCATATTCACTCTGCTTTACAACAACAACAACGTAGTTCTATGGCGATATACACGATCCGCCAACATCCATCAACATCCTCCAAAATCGTATTCAACAAACAACTCAATAATGCAGAATCAGTTCAGGATGGCGATCCATCAAATCGATAAGCATATCTCCGAACAGACTATTCGCCCAAGCGAACCACGGTCTCGTGTATCCATTCACATTATCCTGCGAGAAGCTCTCATGCATGTACCCATTCGTGGCACTTGCCTTCAACACGCGCAAACACTCCATAATTTCATTAGCATCCTTCATTTCACGCCCATCCAACAACTTACATCCGAAGTGTATGCGCGCATGATAATCGACATCGGCCAGATGTACCCCGGTCCCACATGCGGTCCTCCAATTCCCTCTCCCGCAGCTCCCTTAAAGAAATACGGATTGAACGGACTCAGAATCAGCTCTCTCGTGCTGCGGTAGAGCGGATCGTTCTTGTCCAAATAGCCTGAAAATCACGCAAACAACGCGACAAAACCCAAATAAGGAAGCGACAGCAGCGAAGGAATGTTCGCATCGTCCATGAAATACGCGCTTCCGAACCCGTCCACCTCGTACGCCAGCACTTTTCCCTTGAATGGATGGTTCAGCACCGCTATGCGTTAAAAACTTGGTCCATTGCCACCGAAATTCTGCACTGCGTCGTCGATTTCCTGCGCCAATTTCATCGCTTCCGCCGCCAATACGGCGTCCCCCACGACGTCCCGCAAGATCTTCGCGCAGTGGCGAAGATTGACAAGGAACATGATGTTTCCGGGGATGAAGAACGGGAGCTTCGTGGCATCATCCGATGGACGGAATGCACTTCGAATCTATCCAACAAACAAAGAGAATAGACAAACAAGTCCCGTGTAACGGGACGGCCAGCCCTCTCCGTCCATGAGCGTTTCGGTCGGGCGATTGCACATGCGAGTGAACGAGTACTCGTAGGAAGTGTAGGGACCGCTCGCTATTTGGTTGTTTCTAGCTGTTTGGATCATCAGTTTCACGGCCTTCGCCCAACGAGCGTTGAACGGAGTCGCATCGCCAGTGGCATTGTAGTATTGGTGGGAGAGCGCCAGAACGGCTGCGAGGGAGTCGATCTCGAACTTTCGCTCGAAGATGTAGGAGTTCATGGCGTTCTGTCTCGTTCCCTGCACGTTAAGGCTAGATTACAAGAAGACGAGAGCAGCGGGGCGCTTTGTGCTGTCGTCTGTGTGGGAATCCGGATGGCCTGTCTTGTCAAAGTTGAAAGCGTTGGCGTAAGGGTCAATCAAGACGGATTTCACTTGACGATTCAAAACGCCACGAATCAGTGCGCGCAGCTTCGGATCCTGACGGGCAAATCTCAAATAAGGAACGATCTAGCAAGATGGAAAACACGACAAACCATTACCTGATTTGTGCTATCTCGGAGCCACATGGCAGTGATATCACCAGTAATAAGGAAGGTATCCTCATCTCCGCAGTCACTTTCCGTAAATGAATAGACAGTGGTATCCAAGGTATTGGGATAGCACGATTCAAAAAGGTCTGCGAGTTCCTTATCCTTGAAGTTTGGCTTTATTTCCGAGATGAACTTGTCCACCACACTCGAGACAAAGGTTCTCTCCTCCTTTGCAACTCTGCAGGATGCAATATGAATAAGGGCAATAAGTAATAGAAGAGCGTACATAGATACACAATTGTGGGTTTTTTGAGGAATTGTGTTGTACCGCGGGGATTCACACTATAAAATAGGAGGAGTCGAATGTCGCAGATCTCTCTCCGAGAGAGGACAATCGATCGTTTAAAGCAGTTACGGAGCGATCTACGGAGCTTGAGCAGTGATAAGGTAAGACTCGATTCTGCGTTGTTATTGTAGACGGACGCGTACTCTTATCTCTATGAGGCTAAAATGGAGATCATCAAAGAAGTGCTGACGGATATCGTTCCTAACGACCTATTTTGTCTTTCTAGTCATGGTATTGACAGCTACATTATGGATCTGCTATGTATGCCGTCGCTCTCAGCTTCGGTTCCATTTTCCTGTTTCCTTCTCGTTCTACCGAACAAAAAGACCTGTTCAATGCTGTTACCGCTGTTTCAAAAGTTTCTGGTTAAAAGAATAATCGCGTTACTTGAGGAAATCACTTCGGAGGTCGAATTGACAGGAACAGACGGTCTGATGCAGACGGAACACCACCAAGATGTTGTGAATTCACTTGTTCATCTTCCTGACCTAATCTCCAACGTGCTCCATTCCAATTCCCCTCCCTTTTTCTCTCCACAAACATTCAACACATGGCTTTCCGATTCCATTCTAAATGTTTACATCGGCTTCTCTGAAAGCCGCGATCCTCGCAACTACGCGAGACTAATCAACAAAAGCTGCATTCTGGGACTCACCGAATCGCTTGCCGACAGTTTCTTCCGTTTTCTCCAATTGCTGCGAAAGGAGCGAAACCCGATCACACCCATCGAAGAGTTAACACTTCTTAACACACCTCGAAAACGATTGGAAATCGCATCGCGGTGGGTTTCGATGGTGCCGCCTATGCGATTTCGCGAGTTTGTGAAAACCGTTTTGGAGGCAGAATTCGAAAGAACACGCGTAGTTTGCTTCTGTCTTTCAATGAACCATAGCCGGATTGTTTGTTCGTTCTGATCATACCCCACTCACAACTTTCCACTCTTTCAGAAAGCTTAGTCAATGAAGAGTTCGAAATTCGATCCGTTCTTGCACTTTTGATTTCTCTTTACAAACGAAATTCTTCTCTTTTTAATCAACTTTTCGACTCCTTTTCTTCCACCTTCGCTTCTTCCACGTTTGTTCATCGCTTTTCCACACAACGACAAAAACGAATTGCGTCTCTTCTGTACTGCATTCTACGCTTTGTGTCTCTCGATCCCGACGCTTCGGTTGTGTCCACGTTGATGCAAGCGATCGGAAATCGATTAGGAGAAGTGGATGATTCTGTGAAATCCGCGGTTATCGGGATTGCACAGCAGATCGCGTTGATTGTGGCTCCGGAAGGGCATTATGATTGGCCAGAAACGAATCTTGGAGAGTTGGATGCGATGCTCGACGAACTTCGAAAAGAACAGGAAGAAAATTCGAAAGAAGAATCGAGCGAAGTCGAAGAAACGGATGGAAAAGGGGAACAAAAGGTGGAACAGCAATCGGAACAGCAATTGGAACAAAAATCGGAACAGCAATCGGATAAAGAACCAATAGAATCAACCCAAAACAATGCATCGAATCACACAAAGAACACACTAGAGAACGATCGTTACATCGATCCTGAAGAGCAAATCGACATTTTCACTGAAGATATGTTTTATCCCACCCCTGAAGACGATGAAAATGCCTTCGAGAATGACGACGAAGATTCGTTTGTCCCTTACGATTTGACAGAAGTCCAGGATCACTCCACAAAATCCTACTTCTTCATCGACGAGGCGCTCTCCGATCTTTCGAGCGACAACCACGCGACCGAACTCCACGCTTGGAAAGAATTCCACCGCCTCTGCTGCGACCCGAAGCAAAAACTAAGCGAAGAAGAAACCGCCAAAATCATGCGAATGGTGATCGAAATGAATGGAATGGTGGGCGATTCGAGCTTTTGGGACGAGTGGAGAGAGTCTTTCCAATCCTTGATTTATCGAAACTGCAGAGTGTCCATGGAGGAGTTGTACCGCTTTATTCGAAAGAATGGACGGTCGAATTTGAGCATTCAGAAATGTGTTGTGATTCTGCAAGGCGTTTATCAGGCGTGCTTGCAGCTATCGCAGGGATCCATGCAATTCGAAGAGAAAATTCCTTCGTTCGAAGAGGAAATGAACGTGCAGATTTCAAAAGAAGATGGGTTCGATGATATTCGCGTCGCCAACACCAAGTATCGGCCATCTTTCTTTCGAAAGAAGCTGCAGGAACAAAAGAAAGAAGAGCAAAAATCACGTCAAATCGACTCCACAAAGCAGTCCAATCAATTCACAGAGAATAGCCAGTTCGTGATTCGAACGCTTGTTTCATGGGTAATTCGCTTTCCCCCGCGTGATGAAAGCACTGTGTCGTATCATTTCATAACGCTTTCCTTGGTGTTTTCTCTCCCCGTTCTTGCTGCTGTGTTTGACGAGGAATCGACGGATCTTCGCACGCTGGTGCTGCGATATCGCTATCATTCGTCGATTGTGGTTCGTCGAAGCGTTCTCCAGTTTTTCTTTTCCATCTCGAAGTATTTCATTGAGTCGAACTCTCTTCTGATCTTGGATCGGAATTCGGTGGTTGAATGGCTGTCGTCTGTTCTCTTAAACGATCCAGATGACATGTGTCGTTCCGTAGCGCGATTGATTCTAAGCGAATTACAATGAGAATGGATTGTTTGAAACAAACACTCTCAAACACACACTCAAAGATTCAAATCTCAGTATTCCTCCGCATTCTCTGTGAGAATTTCTTCGATTGGAATGTTCACTTCTCTGCACATCGCTTCCAGCTCTCTGTACAACGCTTCATACTCTTCAATCTCCTTATTCACATCCTCCGAGAGTCGGTTTTTCTCTTCAACGTAGTCACGCAATCGGGTTTCGATTTGCTCGCTATACGTCGCAATCTGCTGATTGAGCTTCATGATATCCTTCTCAATCACTTCGCCCGCTTCTCTCTTCATTGCTTCGATCTTCTGTGCCTTCAAAATCGCTCTATTTCATTCATTCCTTCATTCTATTCTTACTTTTGACACACTCGAATGTCCTTCTCGATATCACCCGAGTGTTTTTCTTTCACGACATCGTGAATTCGCTTCTCCAACGACTTCTTCTTCGCTCCTTTTCGCCATCCCAAATTCATCGACGCCAGCATCGTCAGCAGCGCCTCCGCCTTGCAACTGACCTGCTCCATCATCTCTTCTGGCTCGGGAATAATCGGATTGTTTCCCACCATCGGCAGCATGTTATCAAACAAAACGCGCAGTCGCTGACCGTCTTCGCCCACCACGAACTCGTCGTCGTTATCAAAAAACTCCGCTATATCAACTGCCTTCACTGGAGGTCTCGCTGCCTCTTTAGGAGATGATTCTTTAGGAGATGATTCTTTAGGAGAAGGTTCTTTAGAAGGTTCTTTAGAAGGTTCTTTAGAAGGTTCTTTAGAAGGTTCTTTAGAAGGTTCTGGTTTCTCTATTTCGGGAAGTTGGACTCCAATTCGCTCGGCGACTTGAAGCGTGTCCTCTGGATTTTTCATTTCGATAATCGAATTGCGGCGGAAGAACGAAAACAGCGAGCGACGCTTTGGATTCTTCGCGTCTTTGGCTTTTTCTGAAGGAGACGCCAAGGCGTTTGAATCGGACGATTGCGAAGGCTGCTGCTTTTCGCTGTCTCCGTCGAGTTGATCCACTGCTACGATCGTATCGTCGAGATCCGAAGGAACAATTTCACTCACCACATCGTCCTCCACAGACGACAAATTCGATCCGCGTTCGGAAGTTGGGCGTTTTCCAGTCCCTCCGAATGGATTATCGAGTTCATCGAAGGACGTCTTAAACGGATTGTCTTGACTCGATTCTGGAATCATTACGGGTTTGTTTGAGGATTGTTCTGATGGGTTTTGCTGCTTTGATTCATTCATAAAGTTCTTGTGAGTGAGTGTATTCAAGGAAGAGAAAAGATCATTCATGTTTGTGGGTGCTAAGCCTTTGAACAAGTCTTCGATTGGCTGCTCTGATTTGAGAACAGAACGCGATGAGTTGCAATTCGAAGAATAAAGAGAGGACTGGGAGGAAGAAGGAGATTGCGAAGACACGAAAGCAAATGGGTTGAGTTTATCTTTCTGGGCTCGCAAAGAAGCCAGTGATTCTTGCTGGGACATCGCTCGCCGTGGCTGTTTGTGAATTTGATTCATTCGTTTGGACGCATTGCTGTTCGAAAACAAGGAATCGACAGCTTCTTGGCGTGATAGCGATGCTCGAAGCTGGTCTTCTTGCGTGTTTATGGAGGACGATCGACTGAGAGAAGCGTCCTCGAATCGGGGCTGCGGAGTGAATTGCAAAAACGAACGGGAGGGTTGGACTGGCTCTGAATGGGAAACACTCTGCGGCTGACTGGAAGTTGAACTGCCCGGGAAGGAATTCATAAAAGGACGTGAATTACTGCCAATTGATTGCTGGCTTGAAGATAGGGATGCTGACTGAGTGAATGATCGACTGGACATTGCGTTTCGGTTTCTTCCCTCTTGTAATTGCGATACAGAAACAGAAATATCGTTTTCGCGACCCTTCTCTTCTTCTTTCTTAGTCTCAGCAAATGGATCATTCAGTTCATTTTCATTTTGTTTGTTCTCAGCAAACGGATCGTTCAATTCATTTTCTTCCTTTTTAGTCTCAGCAAATGGATCATTCAGTTCATTTTCTTCCTTTTTAGTCTCAGCAAATGGGTCATTCAACTCATCATCTTTCTTTTCTTCTTTCTCAGCAAATGGATCATTCAATTCATTTTCATTTTGTTTGTTCTCAGCAAATGGATCATTCAACGCATCATCTTTCTTTTCTTCCTTTTTAGTTTCAGCAAATGGATCATTCAATTCTGTTAGTTCATCATCTTTCTTTTCTTTCTCAGCAAATGGATCGTTTAGTTCATTCTCATTACTGTTATTGGTCTCAACATTATCCACCTTCCCTAAAAGATGGCTCGAAGATGTTTGCGGCTCTGGAGTCATTGAAGCAAATAAAATGTTCAATTCATCATCTTTCTTTTCTTCTTTCTCAGCAAATGGGTCATTCAGCTCACTAAGCTCATTCACTTTCTCTTTATTTTCAGCAAATGGATCATTCAATTCATTTTCTTCCTTTTTAGTTTCAGCAAATGGGTCATTCAGTTCATTTTCTTCTTTCTTAATCTCAACAAATGGATCATTCAATTCATCCTCTTTCTTTTCTTCCTTTTTAGTTTCAGCAAATGGATCATTCAACTCACCCTCTTTAGTTTCAGCAAATGGATCATTCAACTCACCCTCTTTATTTTCAGCAAACGGATCGTTCAATTCATTTTCATTTTGTTTGTTCTCAGCAAACGGATCATTCAATTCACCCTCTTTCTTTTCAGCAAATGGATCATTCAATTCATTTTCATTTTGTTCGGCAAATGGATCGTTCAATTCACCCTCTTTCTTTTCAGCAAATGGATCATTCAATTCATTTTCATTTTGTTCGGCAAATGGATCGTTCAATTCACCCTCTTTCTTTTCAGCAAATGGATCATTCAGCTCGTTTTCTTCCTTCTTAGTCTCAAAATTATCCACCTTCCCTAAAAGATGGCTCGAAGATGTTTGCGGTTTCGGAGTCATCGAAGCAAATAGATCCTCCGCAGGTGAGGATGTTTGCGGCTCCGGAGTCATTGAAGCAAATAAATCCTCTGCAGGTGAGGATGTTTGCGGCTCTGGAGTCATTGAAGCAAACATGTCTTGAACAACTGAGGGGGATTGCGGTTTTTCCTTTTCAGCAGTAGGCGATAGAGGTCTCGGAGACTGCGACAACGATGGACTTATATAGATACAAACGAGTAAATACTTACACTGTTGGACGTAGAGGATCTTGAATGAAGGGAGCAAATGGATTATCTGAACGATTTGCTCGATTCTTCTTGCCTTGCTTACGCTTTCCCTTACCACGATTTTCTTAATATTAGTATCACAATGCAGATGGAACTTACGACGATTCATAGTAATAATAAGCTATTGCTACCTGTCTATTTTTTTGAAATTGTAGATCACTTATTCGGATTGAAACGAAAACTAAATCAAGGAAATAATAGGCTGCTATCACTATTATTACCTTCTTTTCTTTTTAGATAGTCCACGTTACAAATCGATGGACTAGAATAAGTAAACTCTATTCTAGTGGTGGGGTGGGAGTTTCATCGGATCAGTAATCGAAAACCAGGCTTGTATGAAGCTATTTTTGTGCTACAGACCATATAAACTATAATGCATAAACAATAGCTTGAAAAAACAAACATATGGAAAATTTGCAAGACTTAGTCAGAGTTATCCGGAACTACAATATGCCGGCTCTCCAATTCTTCCCGAACATCGGCTGGTAGCTTTCCTGTCACCTTTATAGCATACATCCCGCGAACCACCGTCTCTATTAAGGAAGACATACACAATACTGCTCACTTTTTTGTAGCCAGTTTGCTACCCAGCTATGTTTCTTATCTAAAATACTGACCATTCTATTCATCACCACAGCACCGATAGCACTTATTACCCGTCAAAATAGGAAGACGTTAGACTATTTACAAGTTCCTCACTCCCTGCCATGTGGAGCACATCTTCACAATTGTCACATCCGTACTGCAGAAACTATTCAATTAGCAACGAGACTTCGAAAGTTTTACATCATTCCGATTCTTTATCAACTTGCAAAGCTTACAAGCTCTTAAAGAATTTAAATTTCTCGGAAATGGCAAATTTTCGATTGACATAGGATAATTATGTGAACAAACAACTCACGTCTATTTTAGTGTTTTAACTGGAAATACTGGTCTGGCATCTACAAATCACCCACAAATCCAATCGGCACGGTCACAAAATAGCTATCCATGCTAATGCGGAATCGTTTCTTATAATCCTCAGGAGGCACAATGGTAGGCGCCTTCTCTCCGATAATCATCCCCACCGACTTCACTCCGTTCTCTTTACATCACTCCCCGCCCTCAGTCTCACCGATCTTCTTCAGAACATCGTAACAACGGAAGTAATCAATGATTCCGACCACCAATTCATGCTACACATCGCTTCTTCTCTCTCGCTCACCCTACCGTCTCTTCATTGATCCCCACCAACAACGAATAGTCCACCACTTTTATCAGATATAAGAACAGCGTGTCGTTCAGAATTCCAATATTCAACAGTTTTTTCGACGATTCCTACATCCAATCCTCTCCGTTCCGTTCAATTACATGCAAGGGCAGCGGAATTCCCTTCCGTCTCTCCATGAAATTCACATCCAGCAGCGTGTTTTCCTCCGCTACAAATCACAAACCGCGCAAACACCCACAGCCCTCGTTCGCATAGCGATTCCGACTGCTTCCCTTCAGGTCGAATTTATCCACGATCTTCTGGTTGTAGAACAAATTCTCCATCACCTAGCAACAATCTCGCTCTCCACTTCTACCACATAATGCGACACCGTCTTGCGATTGCTCGAGTCGATCACCGTCGTCTGGTAAATCCCGAATACTTTGCACAGCAGCGAGGTGAGGCCGTGGAAGAGACACTTCGCCATGTATCTACGCGTTTTTCTCTCCATTGCAATCGCTACTGGAAATAGGAGTGAGCGTTCGTCACGAACATTTCGAACTCTCGAGAACTGATTTCCTTTACGAGATACCGAGAATCGCCCGTGATGTAAAACACGGCGCCTAGCCCTCAGTCCGCAGCGAAGCACCCACCGCTTTTGCCGCCATGCGTGTCTTGCGGTTGGCAAATGCTCAGCGAGAGGAGATAGCTGAACGCATCGCGAGCTTCGCGAATCGCGGCAAACTGCGTGGCGAAGAAAATCTTGCAGCAGACCTTGCAAGGAAGCCCGTTTTCTTCCACTTCGAGGACCACTTTGACCATGTTGTCGTTGGGATCGAGGAGTTCTTTCTCCTTGAGACAGCAGCCTTCGATCCCTCCCTCCTTCACGAGCTTCTTCATCGATTCGAATTCGGTGGTGTAGCAACGTGTCAGCATCGAATACGCGAAGATCGTCGTGGGTCTCTGCAAGGAAACGGGAATAAAGTGGTTATTTTCGTCCGCTGGAAGCTGCGGATTCCCTGAAAAAAGCTCGGAAGGAAGTGAAACCTTTGAGTCAGTCATCCTGTCAGCATTTCTCTCTACCACTTCAGGGACGGAAGCAGAACTCGCAGCACTCATAATCGATGTGAGTGTTTTCGGAGTGACTGGCGACGCGCTACTGCGCTCTTCGTTTTCGATTTCGGATTTGGGAGACGCGTTGAGTGCCGAATCGAAGTCTTCGGACGCCGAGTTTTCATTGAGTGCGATGATATTTTTGAGAGAAGCGATCCAACGCTATGAAGAATCATTCCATCCATGCGTGTCTGTCTACTTTGCTCCACATGTACAACAGCTGATGCAATCGATAAATGATGTAAAGGGATTGGTAATCGTTTCGTTGGATCGATTTCACACTACGATCGATTGTTTGTTCAACAAAAACTCATTGTTCAGAGCGCGCGCGCCTTCGCTGATGTGGTTCAGCAGCCCCTTCAGCGCTAGCAGACGCGCAGAGCCGTCTTCTTCCTCTTGCTACACTGAACACGGCCATCAAAACAAACAATGTACTGCGAGATTCGCTCGATGAACGACGAAAAGACCTTCCCTTGCATCTGCAAAAACGAAGAGAGCTGCTCCTGGATCAACGAAGGGAGTTTCTCGTCCTTTAAGAAAAGCACTGGCGATCCTGTTATGCTATAACAAGGCATTTTCTCTAATATCATGGTGGTAAGAATGTTTCCTTGCAAGAACAACATCGTCTATTCAATGAAACCGGCGCATTCAACGCGACTCGATCGTGGAATAGGCTGTGTCCACACGGACCTTTGCTATCCGTATCGTAGAAAATCAGCTGCAGAACGACTCCGACAGACAAGAAAAGCACTTCGTTGCTGACCACTTCAGGGAGCGTTTCTTGGCCACATTTGCACCGACTGGATGGGTGATTGCGAGGGAAAGAAAGCCAAACCTCCAAGTGCGAATCACATCGCTTTGGTGCCGCGCGTTTCCGACGATCGAAGAGGAAATGGTCAGTTGAAATCCGTTGTGTAGAATGATGATTTGGTGCTGGTAGAGCGGCTTTTGGCATTTGGGACTAGAGAGAGAGATAGGAGAGAAGGGAGCGAACTTCATGCAAATGCTGCGCGAGTTGTAGCAAGTATCGCGAAGGAAGTGGCCGAAGTAGCGATCATTCTCGCTGTAGAAGTTGATTTGCTTGATTTCGGGATGGAAACACTGCGAAGTCGTGAGCCAAATCAAAATCAAGATACTTGTCTTCCGTTGTATAATCGAACATAGCTGTAAATGAATCGATTCATTTGGGTGGCGTCCATTTTGGCGATTCGAGAATACTCATCGTGATTATTCGTCTTTATAAAGTGCGGACTACTGCTCATTCCGCATCGTTTGGCTCACCTCCCAAAGATAATATTCGGCGAAAACGCCAGCAAACGCGGCTTCTTATTGAACAACGAAGGCTCTTTTTGCAATGTAATGCTCGTCGACGTGAGACCCATGTTGCTATAGAATTTAATCTCTCGCTCTAGCGAAAGGCGTTGCTGTGTCAAGTAGCGCAGAATCGCATCCGCTCTCTCTAACGTGTTTTGGTTTTCGCCTCGCAGACACACAGAGCCTACGACTCACACATCCACAACACCTCCACATCCCTTTGTTTCATTGCAACACTCAAAACACAGATAAGTCACCACCGATCGCTGATGTTTTCGCGCGTGTGCCTACGCCATGCCGCCCACAATTCGCGATTACTTCGACCAGACTCGTTCGTCTGCGTCTGTGAATAAGTGTGCGGAAATCCCGTGCGATGAACAGCCCGCAGCTTCCAATCACATCGCTCGGATCGAGAACTAGGCGATCAGCCGAAACAAACAAGCTCGTACGAGCCACGTCATCCAAATGTTTAACAATCTTCGCTCCCGTCATTCGCGAAATCTGCTTCATCATCTCCGCGTCGCAGTTCACCGCGACCGAGACATCGAGCTTCACTTCACTCCCACTCCACAACCAAACGCGAAGGAACAAATCCAGCGCGTGCTTCGAAACATTATTCCCAACCAGAATCAAATTCGGTTCCAACGCCATGATTTTCTTCACAATGATTTGAATATGACTAGTTTTCATTCCCTTCTCCACTCCCTCTACTCTTGTTCCTGCGTTAACAAAGTCTCTAACGAGGCGTATTGGTTCTTCAGTTTATAATACTCGATCGGACACGCGATCAGCAGAATCCGAGGCATCACAATCCTCCGCTTCATCTGCTTATGCGCCAAATTCTTCTTCATCATATACCCGTCCACGAACATCGATTGCTCCGGCGCTCCGCCCTCGATGCACACCACATTCATCACGTCTTTCAGCGAGGAGATCGACCCGCCCCATCGCTCCATCCCCACTTCTGACGACGGCGAGAGCATCAAATCCGCATTCGAAAACGGGGAAACATCGCGCTCCGTCCGAAACGAATTGCTGTCCATGTGCAGCAACTCCAATTTCGAGCCAGAAACCGGCGAGTCGGTTTGGAACGTCGGCAGCATGGAGGGGGAGAAAAGGTGGAACCCTTCTTCGCTGTCTTCGGTCAAATTGTCGGCGACGACGCGCGACAATCGAAGCAAAATCTGCGTCCATTCCTGCTCGTGGGGCGAGAACACTTCTGATTCTTCGACGATTTGCTTGGCCATCATCGCAACGTAGCGATCTAGCTATGAGCTGCCGAAGAAATAAAGAAATACAGCCGCGGTTCAGCAGGCCTTGGCAGAGAAAAAGCTTTTGCTCTTCTTGGATGGGCGCGGAACGCATGTCGGGACGAATCACCGCGCAGACTTTGATGATTCCGTCCTGCAAAAAGCAGCCTCTACGCTGGTTAGAAGGAGGAGAAGAGAGGAGGGCTACGAAGGAAGAAGAGGGTTGAAGAGGAGATTGTCGTCTGCGATGGACTCGGGTAAAATGTGCATCGAATCGTCGTTTTGGTCGTTGAGATCCAAGTTGATGTCCATGGAGTAATGGGAGTCGTGCTCGGGAGCTGTGGTACGGTAGCGGGGATGGTGCATGTCTTCGGAGTTACCGTAACGCGGAGAGCTGGAAATCAGATAGAAAAATGGGAAGGAATACATGTCGGAATGATCACTCAACTGGCTCTACGAGTGAATGGTTGGAAATGAATCTACCTTCATCAAGGATGCACAATAATCGCAGATACGGATGCTACCGGCAAATCCATAGAGAAAACCCTAACGCTCACTCCCCAATTTCATCAGAACATCCTGTAAGTGGCAGCAATCGCTGCAAAATACTTGTCCACAAATACGGCAATGGTGACGACGTCGAATCACCGTAAATTTTTGTTGACAGCCATAACACGACAAACAGACTTCGTCTGGCATCCACAAAAAGCTGCTCAATTGTTTCTACACATAACTACGCAAAGAGGAGGAAACATCAGCATCGAGCAAAGAATTATTTCCTGCTATATCTAAGCTCATCCATCTCATCACTACTTTTCGTTTCAACATCTTCAAACGCTAATAATCCGGAAACGTCTGATTTACCAGTTGGCTCCGGAAAAGACGTATATTGCTTCTTTTCTTCCACGGTATCCGATTCTCGAATTATATAGTTCCACATCTTGAGAATAATTGTATTACACCTGTTCTTTCATTTGCCCATTCGATATTTTTGGATTTTCAAAGCAAATCTGTGTAAACGCATCGATCCTACATTCAAAAATCATTATGAAGTGTTTAAAAATGAATCATGCAAGTCAAAACGAAGGGTTTACCGAAATCCACATTCTTGCCGTTCTTGCCCTCCAACTCTCTTAATTCAAAATGGATCCAACAAACAATCGAACAAGAAACAAAGCACACGAGGTTATGTAGGAAGACTCATTTTCTTTCCGAACCACTTGCTAATCGCGTAGTAATAGAAGAAGTCGCAGTAGAGAATGGTCTGGACAATTCCCGAAATCCAAACGATCCAGTTGAACGCGCGACCCTCCGTTGTGTAGCTAATCACTCACACGCAAGCTCCACGCCATACCGGTTGATCCAATTCAGAATATAAAAGAAACGATACAGACCGAGAAGCACCACGTAGTTAGATGTCAGATTCTCAATCTCCTTGTAGCGCTGGAGCATGATGATCTGCGGCATGATACAAACCGCCTCCAAATAGATGGAGAACGTCCATGCATACTACGATACAGCGAATCTTACATTATCTACGTCAAGAATGAAATTTCCGGTGTGTCGACGGAAAATCAATGCCAGAACCGCAGCAGGGATGATAGCCCAGTTTACGACCTTGTATGAATCTCCGTTCCTGTCGTATGTCGTTCGATAGGGACTCACGCGCATCATTAAGTTACAAATGTACAGCGTCATGGACAAGTACAGAACCTTCATGATACTGTTGTAGAGAACCAGACCGCTTGACAGCCGGGAAGGATTGAGAAGGACTTTGTAGAGATCCAGGTATCTGCAGAAGAAAACAATGAAATAAAGTCCCTGCGTTTTGAACGATATTCCTACATATGATTGGCGAATCGTTTTCGCTCACCATAGCATGACTTCGTTTGTTTGATTTTAACAATGAGGACAATAAAGCTGAGTAGGTGACAAAGGTCCCCTAGTATTCTAAAGATATTAAAAATCATTCTAGTAAAAGAATCTGCTCGAAAAAGCGGACTCGAATAATCCCCTACAAAACGGAAATTCCCGCGATTCCCGTCTTTCATATCAACAAACAAAACAGATTTCTCTGAACGAAAAAACTCAATCCATTCTACTCCACACGATTCTGCTTCGCACTGCTTTCACCAGACGAATCTACTCGCAAAGTCGATGATCTCTTCAATAAAGAAGATTCTATATATCATTTTCTCATTTTCTCATTTACTTGTAAACGTCGTCGATCCCTGCGTCCCCTCTCCACGTTTCGTGCTCCCTCCTGCCGAACTCGACGATGTAAACAAGAAGGAGGTTTTCGCCTGCTTCCATAATTCCACGTTTCCACGATTACCACTTTCGTTGAGGTCGACCGCGAATTGCTCCGCGACAGCGACGAAATCGCCGCATTGGACAGCACGCTGGGCGTTTTCGCGATCTTCCATCGAATTCGAATCGAACGCCTACATTCCGCGAATAATTCGATCCGGAGTTGCTCCGCGCGAGTTTCGTGACGGGCAGCGAGGCCGACTGGGACAACGAAGAAGAAGAAGCCGACGAAGAAGTGGACAGCATGGATGATGATTGAAAGAACGAAGAAAGCGCGGGATTATCGAAGGAAACGACGTCTACGATGCAGCTCAGCAACCATTCGAACCTCGAAATGAATTCCGCGACGCCAGCCCGCGCTGCGACCGGCGCTCCCGCTCCACGCGCTGCACGAATTCCTCCATTTCCTTCTTTTCCTCCTTCGAAAACCCGTTCGCGTCCTCCTTCTCGGGCGTTTCGCTGTCCGATTCGATCGAAGATTCGTCGGACGGGGCGGTTTTATGGGGCGTTTCACCGAGAACTTCGCGGAGAAACCGCTCCTTGCGGATCTGCTTGAGGTATTCCTCCTCTTCGTTGGCTTCGTCGCTGTCTTCGCCCTCGCTGAGCGCGGCAACGAGCGTTTTTTTGTGGGCGTGGTAATCGTCGTCGTCTGCGAAGGCGTCGTAGGGGACTTGGTTTCGCTGCATTTGTCCTGCGGTTGAGTGAGTGTGCGCCAATCGAACGATGCATGTAGCGAGCGCCCTCGCGAACGCCTTTGCGGACGTATTCTACTTGCTGCTCGTCCGTCTGCTCTTTGATTTGGTTGTGCAGGTGGATCACGTCGAGCTGTTCTCGCTCGGTGACTACGCTCGAATCCGTCTATGAGGCTATACGAGGCTTTTCGGTGATGTCGATTCCTTCGGGAACCACGAATTCTGTGTCCGAATGCACCGAATCTCCGTCTTCCAGCTCGCTGCCGGACTCTTCGGCTTCGCTGTCGAATAGATCGTTCTTTTCGGCCTCTGCCATTCATTCCGCCACTGCGAACCCACTCGAATCTTTCATCATCGCGCGGTAGCGCGCGTAGTCCTCCGCAGTGGGCTGCTCGCCTTCGTTGTAGTCGTTCTCGTCGAGCGACGGAGACGAAGCGTCCGAAGAAGGCTCTGCATCCGCCTGGGGATCAGAGGGATGAGATGAGTTCAAAGGATTCAATGAGTTCAATGAGTTCAAAGGATTCAATGAGTTCAATGAGTTCAATGAGTTCAAAGGATTCAATGAGTTCGATGAGTTTGATGGATTGGATGGATTGGATGAATCATGAGAAGCGGAAGGCGTCGAATGAGGCCTCGCTTTGGCTCGAGAGAAGAGAGTGAGCAAACTGGCTCCGTCTTTGGAGGTATGGTTCGTTTCTTCCTTCAATTGGGAAGAATAGCCGCGGGGATTTGTCATTTTCAAAGCGGAACCAGGTGTCGATTCTTGCTTTTCGCCTCCTTCAGTTCCCTTTTTCTCTGTTTCCACTTTACTCGTTTTCTCTTCTTCTCCCTCTCCTTTCTCTTCTCCTTGTCCTTTCTCTTCTCCTTTCTCTTCTTCTTCTTCTGATTCAGAAAGCGCATGCAACCCGTGATTCTCCTCCGGTTTCTCCTTTTCCACGATCATTTCTTCCTCATCAAACTCGATTTCCTTCTCTTCCTCTTCCTCCTTCTGTTTGCACATCGCTTCAAATCGCTCATTCAGCTCTTTCTCCTTCTTCGCTATCTCTCATCGCTCCGCTTTTCTCCTACCCTCCTTCGTCGCTTCAATCTGCGCTTTCAATTCCATCCAATTCCTCGCTTGGCGATCTTCTCTCCGCATGCTGCTCGCTGAACGCTCGAGCTTCGTTCGCAGCGCGTGTTTCACTGCGTTATCGCGCGTGAACGACCGTTCCGCAGCTTCGATATCGATCACATAGGGCTGATATCGAATGTCCGGAATCGTTGATTTGAACGTATTGAGCGAGGATAACGCTTCGTCACCCCCTTCGATCACTTGGATTTCCTTCACGTTTTTAAAAGAAACAAAGAAAAACATCGTCGGAGGCATCGCCGTGCGTTGCTGTCAGCTGTGGAACTGTGAATATGCGCGCGCTGCCCTCGTTCTTTAAGAATTCGGCGGCGGTTTGCGAGGGAAGGGACTTGGAAGTGGGAGAGTGTGAGTCTAGTTTGGTGTGTTTGTTTGTATCCTTATTGTGATTATTTTCATTTTCATTTTTATTTCTATTTTCATTTTCATTCTCATCTAGTGTTTCATTCTGACGAATATCTTCCTTCTGCTCCAGTTGGTCGATTAAAGGCTTGACTCGTTCGTTTTGGTCGTATATCTCATCGACCGTCATCGTTTTGATAGTCGAACCCCGACTTTCTCGCTTCTTTTGGAGTTTTTGCATCAACTTGGATTTGAGAGATCTGGACTTATCTTGCTTCGGAGCCACAGAACTCAATACAGAAGTGTTTTGAAGTGCAGTCTATGGAAAACAACAAAACAAACGAATTACACCCACGGAACGCATGAGCTCCTGCGTTCTAGCACTGATAGCATCTATAGATAGTTGAGGATTCTCCAAACTCTCTCTACACTGAAAGCAGCAAATGAACACAAACTTTACAGTTTCACTGTTTATTTCTTCCTTTCCATTGGAATCATCTCCCATTTTAATATCAACACTCTCTGTGCTTGGTTTTGAATCTTCCTCCGCTTGCTTTTGTATAGAACATAGCGGGACTGGATTCGGATGATCCGTACTTTCGGTATTCGCTATAATTGGAATATCGGCCGATTCATCGGAATCGCTGTCAGATAGGGATACCAGTCTCTTCCCCCCATGATTCTCGCCACTCAATTCCATTTCAGAGAATTAAACGGTATCCAAAAAGATCGTAAAACTCGCTGAATCTGTTCTTCGAACTTGAATCATCATATGACGTAATAGATACTATGTTTAAAGTTTATTCTTTACTGCACTATGTTTTGTTGTGGGAATTGCTGGTGCTCCTACCGCGATCCCGTTGCCTATCTAGCAGTACCGATCGTATTGTTTGTACGAAGGGATGACATGTAGGCGTGGGCACAGATCTTGTTTGTAACCTATTGCATGACCTTTGAGATGGTCTTGCCTATTTTTGGTGTTTCATGGTTGTCTGCCGTAATTCTTGTCGTTTATTACATTTTACTATTCTTAATTATCTGGTCGTATCTCCGATCCGCCTTTGCCGATCCTGGCGTCGTAGACACCGAGCTTGTAGATTGCACTTTTTTTAGTCGAGTCTAGTTGAAAAGGATCGAGGAGAATGATAAAGACAGTCCGATGTATAGACACTGCTCGTACTTTTTTGATGCTTTCGTGAAGGTTAGGAAATGTAAAACCATTAAGCCCTATCGAGCGCATCACTGTCGCCGCTGTCAACGTTGCATTCTCAAGATGGACCATCACTGCCCGTAGACTCTCACTCTTCAAACTAGCCTTCTAGTTGGATCAGTAGTTGTGTCGGTGCGCGCAATCAAAAATCTTTTATGCTTTTCCTCCTTTATGTGATCCTGGGTGAAGCCCTCGCGTTAATAATGACCGTAAACTACTTCATCTTCTACATCAACAAGTACCGTCGCTACGTCCACTGGATCCCATTCCACTACTTATTCCCTCAGCTGGTCCGATGGAAGCGCCTCCACCGCTTCCTGCAGATCAGCCATCTGCAGTTCCCTATTTTCGAGGACGAATATTTCCCTCAAGTGATCGTTTTCATTCAGGGCCTGTTCTCCTCGTTGTTCGCAGTGTTCTGCGTCATACTCTTATGGGATCAAATCAAAAACATTTGGTATGATTATACGTTCATCGAGGAGTCGCAGGCGCGGATTGATGGGTTGGAAAACACTCACACGTTTTATGAGTCGTGGAAAGAGACAATGGGAGAGCCCTTCTGTTTTAATTGGTTTCTGCCTATAGAGGGCGAGAACATGAACAAGATCATTTCCGACCTGTGCCATCAAATGCTTCTGGATAACTTCCACGAGAAACGGGAATAGTTCTGTTTGTTACAAACACGAAATTTGGCGTCGCAGCCAAAACGAGCTAGAATCTTTTCCCACGTCCTTGCCGTCTTCTTCATATCCTAGGTATTATCGAATATTGTGAGTGAGTGATTACAGCTAATTGTCGTCCAAACTCGCCATCTAGACTTGTTCGCTTTACAAGCTTTTCTACATCCTCTTTCCTATCCATAACAACTCTCCCCCTAGATTGCGTTACAGATGATTGACCAGAACTCGAATCTCTCTCAGTTCCTGAATGACTTCTCGTTGCGCAGTGTCCTCTTTCTCCATCGCTCTCCCAATCTCGCAATCAATCAGCACACACGTCTATCCAACAAACAGACCAGAAATTCTGAAACGCTTAATCCTTCAAGAAGAAAGTTCCATAGGTCAGATATCGCTTCTGCAGCTCGAACGCGGTGCAGGCGATCGAGAACAGCGGAGCCTGCACACACATACGCGGCACAGCTCCCTTGTAGAGTCCCTTCAATCCCTCGGTCTTGAAGATCTTCACGAACATATCGAAGAACTTCACCTCCACCTTGTTGCCCTTCTCGGCCTGCACGCGCGTCTTGATCACGTCCATCGGCGTCATCAGGCCCGCGGCGAAGCATCCAGCAACCATACCCGCAGTCAGCAAACCGCCAAGCGTCATGTTGCCGTTTTTGTCACTCAGCGCGATTTGGATGGACGCGTTGAGAGGGAAGAAGATCATGGAGTAGGGGACATCACGAAGAAGCGTAATCGTGGAGCCCTTGTACATGCCACGCAGACCCAGGTCACGGCACACTACACGCTCGAAAAGCGCAGAAGGGAAGTACCTGCGAGGAGGCCGGTACGCTGCTCAGGAGGGAGCGTCGCTTGGACTTGCATGCGGATCTTGGTAATCTCCATGGGGTTGGTGGCGATTACCTGGCAGAAACCCGCACCTGGATGTGAGGCATAGCGAACACGACCCACTGGCTCCAGCAAGAATACCGTTGTACCACGCAACGTTGCCATTTTCGTCTTCAGTGGCTTCGCGCACAAAATCGTTCACTGCCAACTTGATAGCCTTCTCGGGAGTGACTCCGATCAAGTTAGCGAGGATTCCTCTGAGGGGAATACAGAAACACAAATCTCTACCTGTAGAGACCCTTCGGTCCCTCCTCTTTACAGATCGTCTTGAAGCAATCCCAAGGACCCTTGTACTTCAGGACTCCCGTGGTCTGTCTCTACGCGATCAAACACACTGCAAGGTTCTACCTGGAGACGAGTCTTGACCATATCCAGGGGATACACGATAGAAGTACCGACAATACCTGCAATTCCACCTACCACCAGCTTCTGCAGGAAGGGAACCTATGTCTTATAGGGAGTATACTGCATCACCTTTTTCACTTCAGGCTTAGACATTGTGCAACAAGCACGATCAACAACGAAAAATTATTATTATTTAAGTTTAGTTCCACTTTTCTCCGTTTTGGTCTGATCCCTTCACTCTGTAAATAACCGCGATTATCGATTCCTTTCTAGAATTTTTATTTGTGTAGGCACTTCAACTATTGCATAATTGGTAGTCTATTCGAACTTGATAGTATTTTTGGAATTTCTAAACTAATTTGTCAATAGTCGAATAATGGACAATCGTAGGTCTTTGTGTTCTCTATTTGAATGCCAGTTGATGAGCAAATCCGTGAAAGCCAATTGGAGCGAAAAAAGGAAAATGGCGAGTTGGCTTCGTTCGGTGAGAAGTACAGTGGTCAGTATGATCAGGATATCTATGGAAAAGATGACAGAGGTGAGTTTTGAATCGAACTTTTTCAGTTTGCAGATAACTATAACGATGTGATAGAGGATGATGATGAGGTTGAAGATGTGAACAGAAATGAATATGCCGGAATGTAAGGAGCAAGCCGAGGCGTTCTGACGCATAGGCACCCAGCTACAGTAAATCGACGTCGTATGGAAGAAGCGATGGCTCAGCAGAACGAGGTGGAGAAAATGCGTCAAGAAGGAGGCAGTCTGAAAGGCGTATACAAGTTGAGCGAGCGAGAAAACGACGCTCAGCGCCAGCTTCGTAAATACAAGATGAGTCCAGAGGTATGAATCCCTTTATCCCACTCACCTGCAGCGCAGCGATCCATTCCGCGGCGACGGGACGGGTCGTGGCTACAAAGAGATCATGAAGGAGAAGGAGCTGGACGACGAGGAAGCCAAGGTTTATCAGCAAATTCTCGAGAAGCAGCGCGCCTACGACGAAGCCCGCGCCGTTCGCGCTCTCCATCCCCATCACATCTAGAGCCAGAAGCGCGACCGCGACGCTTCTCCCACCGCCAAGCCAACCCGAGAAACCGTGGAAACCGAGGAACCCTCCATGTGGGACGCCCCGACGCCTTCTCGCGGCACGGGTACGGAGACTCCCGCGGGGACGTCGCAGTGGGCGGAAACGCCTGCGCGCGGGAAGTGGGACATGGGGGAGAAGACGATCGGCGACGTTCCGGGCGGAAAACGCTCGCGGTGGGACGAGACGCCTGCGAGCCGGATGTTCGGGAGCGGCACGGCGACGCCGCTGGCGGGGAGCGGGATGGCGACGCCGGTGATCGGGCAGTCGGTGTGGCAGCAGGAGATGGCGTGGCGCAACCGTCCGCTGAGCGACGAGGAGCTGGACTCGATTCTGCCCGGAGGGTACCGGATCGTGACTCCGCCGGAGAGCTATGTGGGGAAGAGGGAGGAGAGAGTGATGGGTAGAAGCCGAAGGTGCAGCGGAATCATAATCTGATGGCGACGCCGACGCCGATGAGCACGCCGGGGTTCAATCTGGAGAACACGCCGACGAGAGAGATGTACGGAATGATCACGCCGGGTAGGGACGAGAGAGAGAAAGAGAGAAATAATGGGTAGTGGTGCAGGACGTGCCCGTGTATGCGCACGACGAGCAGCAGTTCGCCGATCTGCTGCACGACGTGGACGAATCCACGCTGACCAAAGAGCAGGCGCGCGACCGCAAGATCATGATTCTCCTGCTGCGTATCAAGAACGGCACGCCCCTCCAGCGCAAGGGATCGCTGCGGCAAATCACCGAGGGCGCGGTGTCCTTCGGCGCGGGCCCGCTCTTCAACCGGTCCGCCGTCCTTCGCTCCCCTGACGTCTAGAATCATCCCCTTGCTGATGAGCACCGAGCTCGAAGCGCAGGAGCGCCACCTCCTCATCAAAGTGCTGAACCGCATCCTCTTCAAGCTGGACTCGCTCGTGCAGCCCTACGTCCACAAGATCCTCGTCGTGGTCGAGCCCATGCTCATCGACGACGACAAATTCGCGCGCGTCGAGGGCCGCGAAGTCATCAGCAACCTCGCCAAGGCCGCAGGCCTCTCCTTCATGATCTCCACGCTCCGCAAGGACCTCGACAACGCCGACAGCAACGTCCGCACCGTCACCGCGCGCGCCTTCTCCGTCGTGGCCTCCGCGCTGGGCATCCCGCCGCTCCTCCCCTTCCTCTGCGCCGTCTGCAAGAGCAAGAAGAGCTGGCTCGCGCGCCACACCGGCGTGCGGATCGTCGCGCAGATCGCGCAGCTGATGGGCTGCGCCGTGCTGCCGCAGCTCGGCCACCTCGTGGACTGCATCAAGAACGGGCTCAACGACGAGCAGCTGCGCGTGCGGATCGTCACGGCGCGCGCGCTCGCGGATCTGGCGGAGGCGTCGTACCCGTACGGCATCGAGTCGTTCGACTGCGTGCTGAACCCGCTGTGGACGACCGTGAAGACGGCGCGCGGCGCGGCGCTGGAGGCGTATCTGCGCGCGGTGGGGTACATCATTCCGCTGATGGACGTGACGCGCGCGAGCCGGTACATCGACGACGTGATGTACATCCTGGTGCACGAGCTGTCGTCGCCCGACGAGAACATCCGCCGCACGGTGATGCGCGTGGTGAAGCAGTGCGTGCAGTCGGACGGCATTTCGATCGACGTAGGCGCCGCGAGGACGGCTCAGCGTGTAGTACATCCGCGACACCATCGTGCCCGAGTTCTTCAAGCACATGTGGATCCGCCGCACCGTCGGGAAGCGCGAGACGCAGCGCATTCTCGAGGAGACCACCAACGAGATCGCGCAGCGCGTGGGCGCGGAGGAAGTGATCCGCCGCCTGGTGCCGCTGATGAAGGACAAGGAGGAGGTCTTCCGCAGCACGGTGCTCAACGCGATCAAGAACGTCATCTCGCTGATGGGCGTGTCGGACCTGGACCTCAAGCTGGAGGAGCAGATGATGAACGGACTGCTCTTCGCGTTCCAGGAGCAGGGCGGCGAGAGCACCACCGCGGTGGTGAACTGCTACGGCACCGTGCTGAAGATGCTCGGCGTGCGCGCCAAGCCGTACATGAGCGGCATCACCTCCACGATCAAGTGGCGAATCACCAACCGCAGCCCCACCATCCGAAAGCAGTCGGCGGACCTGATCGCGCGCATCGCGCCGTCGTTGAAGACCTGCGGCGAGGAGGGCGAGCTGAAGAAGCTGGGCCTCGCGCTGTACGAATATCTCGGCGAAGAGTACCCGGACGTGCTGGCGTCCATTCTCAACGCCCTCAAATCCATCGTGAACGTGATGGGCATGGAGGACATGAACCCGCCCATCCGCGATCTGCTGCCTCGCCTCACGCCCATTCTCCGCAACCGGAACGAGCTCGTTCAGGAGAACTGCGTGGACCTGGTGGGCCGCATCGCGGATCGCGGACCCGAGTTCGTGCCTCCGAAAGAATGGTCTCGCATCTGCTTCGACCTGCTGGACCTGCTCAACGCGAAGAAGAAGAGCATTCGCCGCACGGCGGTGAACACGTTCGGATACATCGCGAAGGCGCTGGGTCCGCAGGACGTGATGTACACGTTGCTCAACAACCTGAAGGTCCAAGAGCGGCAGAACCGACTCTGCACCTCCATCGCCATCGCCATCGTCGCCGAGTCCTGCTCGCCGTTCACCGTCCTCCCCGCCCTCATGAACGAATACCGTCTCCCCGAGATGAACGTGCAGAACGGCGTGCTGAAGGCCATGTCGTTCATGTTCGAGTACATCGGCGAGACCGCCAGCAACTACATCTACGCCTGCATCCCCGTTCTCGAGGACGCCCTCATGGACCGCGACCTCATCCACCGCCAGCAAGCCTCCGCCGCGATCTCCCATCTCGCGGTCGGCGTGTACGGCGAGGGCTGTGAAGACGGAATCCAGCACTTGCTGAACTATGTTTTCCCGAATATCTTCGAAATCTCGCCACATTTGAACAAGGCCGTGCTCGCCGCCATCGAGAGCTGCAGGCTCGCGCTGGGACCGCCCGTGCTGCTCATGTACGTCCTGCAGGGACTCTTCCATCCTGCACGGCGCGTGCGCGAGGTGTACTGGAAGATCTACAATAATCTGTATATCTATGGAGCAGATGCGCTGACCATGGCGTATCCGCAGCTTGAAGACGACGGAGTCAATACGTATCACAGAGACTATATCGAGATGTTCATTTGGAGTGTTTGTTAAAAATAGGATAAACAGAGTGAGAGCAGATTGGATTTTAGTATTGTTGTTTACCGATTTTTAAAAAAAAATTAATATAGACGATGGCGCTGGAAAAAATATTGAGTAGGATGCTTCAACGACATTGAAAGAGTAGTGTATGACCGTTTTTTTCAAGGATATGAAAAAGATGCCGAGCCCAGGCAAGCCGAGCGCGATGGAGTTATGTGTCGAATTCAATATTTCAAAGGGGAGCACAAGAATGAATACTTAGCACAAAGCGGAAAGGAAGTCCGTCATTACCGACATGGTTTGCTGGAAGGATCGTGGATGGTTAGCGACGATGATATTATCGGGGAGTTTGAACGTTTCCATGATGGGTGCGCCCAATACCGACAAGAGTGGAAACAACTGATGGAAAAGAACTGGGTACGAACAGTAAACGGAAGGGAGAGCTGTATAAGGGAAATTGTCGAAGCGAACACCGAGCGAGTGATTTATCGCGGAGGAATCGACGAAACTGGCGCACGCGATGGAAGGGGCATCGAGTTCGATTATGACCTGACAAAGCCGAAAATAGAAGGCTATTGGGAGGGCGACAAATTGAAGAGAATCCTCCGGCTGTTTAAAGGCAAAATAATGACCGAATTCTGCAATACGGAAGATAATTCGGAAGTGTCTTCCCGCATTCCCATCTATTACGGAGAATATCAGTACGACGAGGTGCATAACTCGTTCATACGTCACGGGAAGGGCTCTCTGATCAATATCAAGGGGATTGCCGATAGGGAAGGCGAATGGGAGAAGGGAATCCCATCAACTTTCTTCGAATTAACGGATGGGTGGTACAAAGTGGATGACAATCCGCTGAAAAACCAGTCCGACAGCAAAATCATCGTTGTGAAGTCGCACGCCTTCAAAGAGGCGAGCTCGTTCAATCTCAGCCATTACAAAAAAGCGGAAACGATCGAAATTGGAGGTCATAACTTTCAGAATGTGGATCATTTCGAGATCTCTGGGATGGATGCACTGCAAACTCTGAGTATAGGTGATTATAGCTTCTATAAAGACGATCGGGAGAATCGTTTCTTTCGCACATGTTCGATTATGGACTGCAAAAACCTGCGGTCGATCAAAATCGGAAATCACAGCTTTCATTATTTTAGCAATCGATTCGAATTAGTCCAGCTTCCATCCCTCGAACATCTTGAAATCGGAGTCCTCGACGAGGATTCGGCCTGCTTTTCGTATTGCAATCTTGAGATTCGAGGCTTGTTTTTTTGTGTTCTTTTCATTCAGACTTACCCGAATTGAAAACCATCATTTTTGGAGGCCACGTCTTTGAAACCGAAGATACCGCTGTTTTTTCGAGTAGTGGCAAACTCCTTTTTTCCCATAGATCTTCCAAAGCTTGAGGAAATCCAGCTTGGATGGGTTTCCATTTCAGGAAAGGTGCAAAGCTCTATTTTGATAATGAGGGGTGGGAATGCGCCCGTCGATTAATCCATAGACCTTCCCTCTCTTCGAGTGTTGAAATCAAAAGGATTTAGTTTTCGATATATAACGCATGTCGAATTAATCAGTTATTGTACAAATCAGTGTGTGACGTAGACATTCCAAACCTCGAAGAGGTGGATTTGTATTACCAAGAGCCTGACAACAACGCACTTCCTCCCTTCTGTAGTATCCAACAATCACGCGTCGAAAGTATGATTCCCTGTTCATTTATTCAGTTCTTCTTTTAGATGTTTCGCCTCTCCTAGCGAATCACATTCACATAGCTCAAAGAAACAAAGATAAAAACGGCATCAAATTCGACGATGTGATTTTAGATCCCAACGAAACAGTCCTCGACGTTCCCCCCTTTTCGTGCAACGAAGCCACCCAATTCTTCGATCTCAGCAAGTGTCCCAAACTCGAAAAGATCCTTATCGGCCGTCACAGTTTCGAGTGCGTGTCCCAGGTTCACATTCACGATTTGCACGATTTAAAAACAATCGAGTTCGGTAGCCGAGCCTTTATGACGTCCGCAAATTCCAAGCCCTCCGGTGCATTCAGCATCGTCAACTGTGAGAAACTGCAATCGATTATGCTGGGTCCTCTCAGCTGCACGCATTTCACGGATGAATTCTCGCTTATCAATCTTCCCGAGCTTACCGACCTTCAGATCGGTAGAATTGGCGATTATTCGTCCAACTTTTATAAGCTTTCTTTCTGTGTTAAAGGTCAATGTGATGTACAAATTCGACGAGTAGATCTACCCAAACTGAAGAGAATCACGCTCGGGAACGAAGCTTTCCAATACTCACAAGATACACTTTTTGAAAGTTGGTTTGATTCGGTAGACGAGTCTTCTGCGTAGATCTCCCGGAATTGGAGTCGATTTGTATCGGTGAAAACGCGCTGCTTGGAAAGGATAATGATAATTGTCGACTGGTGATGAAAAGTAGAGGGAAAGAGAAATATATGCTGTTGAATAGATCTCCCGAATCTGGTCGAATTAGAAGCGAAGAAGGGATGCTTTCTCAATGTGCGAGTTGTGGCTTTTTCGTATGTTCCCATTGTGAAAGCGTCGTTGGACAATTCTGTGTTCCGCAAGGTTTACTTTGTGTCGGAGTCGGAGATAAGCAGCTCGCTGCATGAATATATAAGAGATAAATGTTACTGATTGATAACATGCATGCTAGAATCGCTCTATTTGTATTATTATTACGGACTTTGAACATCTTTGTTTTATTATCGGCTGTATTTTGTAGATGTTTGATTGTATGGGATGTTTATTGGAAACATGTTGTTTAAAAATAATAACAAGGTTGTTAAGAGAGATGTGCACACTCTTTATCCCTAAAACACGTAAAAGGTTGTAAGAAAAACTAGTTTGCAACGGAACCAACCAGATGCAAAGGTTTGAGAAAATGACAAAAGAAATCGGTTTGCATTCTACCGAAGGGTACCCACTCAATCTATAATATCAAAACCACAAAAATACCAACAAAAAACGAAATGTTGTAATAAATATAACAACTATATCGTTATGAACAAAATGCCTTGCTATGTTTAATAGCGCACAAGTGAGGATTAGACAACTTTCTGAGGAGTTCTAACTATGGGGTTGTACCCTATGCAATTATTGCCCATTCTTTAACATATCGTTCTCCATAAAAACAAAGAAAGTCATGTGATTATAGAGAATATGCAGCTGAATAGGCTTCAAGAATTATGCTCCCCAAATATACATCGAAAACTAAATCTAGGCTATAATACATAAAGAAAACAAATACATAATCATGATGGAGCAATGGATGGCGCATGGTTTATATGCTGTGATATAATGCGAAATAGAATACTAGTACACAGGAGAACAAATAATTTGAATGAATTCATATCATCCAATGATGAAAATGGCATGTCTATGATGTTTCGAACTGCAACAACAATAACCCTAACGTACGGTATCATAACCAGAAAGTAGTGCACCAGATAGAGGAGGAATCCGATCCATCGTTATAATCGGAACAGTTCTCACAAAAACGAACAAAAGGGTCTATCTTAAGGATATTTACTCCCTCTTACAACATGTATAAATAGAAGAGTTGATCCTTCAATCTATATTGATTTCGAGTGTTTCATGCATACGACATTGCCAAGAGGGGCATTTTGTTGTGCGCTTACGTTTTTTAGACATAATAAATCTATAATGTTTGAAAGATTGAAACAATTCTCTCATGTAAAATGGAAGATAAGGAGGTTATATGGCGCAAACACAATGGCCTCAAGCACTTCCCTTGATGTTGGGAAAAATCAGGATGTGTTAGGGAACATAACAATCAGTAACTACTTAAAGTATTTTAACAATGTCGTCAAACTCTCTTTCAAAATTATCGAAGGGTTTGAACTCTCGAGTAAGTAATATACTAAATATGGAAGGAAATACCATTAGTCGAAAGCGAAGTTTACGATCTCGTTTGGAAAATGGTATCTGTTCTATAGATGGAAATGGTCTTTACGTCCCATATAGCATACAGGATTCGTCTGAAGGGAGACGAAAAGAGAGAATCGTGTTAAACGATGTATTCTTTGTATTTAATGGTGAATTATTGTCACTTGGAAAAGTAATATTGCCTAATACGGATAAATCTCTTGGGTTCTCATTTCCTGTGGTCGACCCTAATTCTGGTAATATGTGTTCCTCATGCAAAGAGTTTTTTGATAAATATTCAAGAAGAAGCACAGTTTCTTATTTACATAAGGCTGGTTTACAACTTGAAAGTGATGGACATGTGTCTTTGTCTTCAGCTACCTCAGAAAAGCATGCTCGATCATATATTTTACAATATTGTTTATTAATTATACGAGATCTACGTTCTTTGGAAAAACTCTGTTTTGACTTTTATGTTGGACCATTCTCTGGTGAACGATCAAAGTGCGGAGAAGGTCTGTTTCGAACAAAGAGTGGTTACTCATATCATGGCTCATTTGAATTTAATCACTTTAATGGAAATGGTTCTCTGTCATCTACTAGTTGCATACACAGAGGCTATTTTCAAACAAGCGTAATTACAGGCCTCGGAGAAGTTATCGACCCCCAAAATCACTACATCGGTGAAATGGAGCAGGGTTATGCAAATGGATTGGGATGGAAGGAGGATAACAAGCATTATTTTATTGGCTGCTTCCAGAAAGGTCGTGTGAATGGAACTCTTCTCCATCTCCCGGAGAGAACTCGATTTTCATTCGGGCAATTTAAAAACGGCTATGCTTATCATGTGGAGAGGCAGAACAGCATTGAAGGGTTTTTCGTCAATAACGTTCCTCAAGGAGTTTGCGTGCAGACGAACGAACACGGGTCTCTCTATATTGGAAACACACAGAACTGGAAGCCACATGGGGAAGGAGTGTCGATTCACCCTTTAACGCGTACGATTTATATTGGATCGTGGAAGAATGGAGAGTGGGAAGGAAACGGAAGAAGGATATCATACGAAGAAAGCGCGAGACGGATGGTGTGTAGAATATGTCAACAAAGTGGACTAAACAGCTCCACGTAAAAGTCTGTTCCTGTATTTTAGCCCAGCCAAATCATATACTAAGGATATATATATATTTATATATATACTCAATTGCAAGAGAGTTGTTTGTTGCACAACGAAGGGAAAACAAAGAAGAAGAGAAAAGCGTAGGAATTTAGTGTGGGTTTTGGTTTTGAGTATACGGTTCAGCCCTATTTCGCAATCTATTATAACAATAATGGCTTGTTATGGATTTAGAGATAATTTTTTGTTTACATTCACAACAAGCTGTAACTGAACAATATTGTTATGTGAATATACACAGTAGAAATGGATTTGCATTCAGGAACATAGTCAATCCCTTGATCACTTATTGTGTTGTGCTTTCTGCTTTGTTTTGCTTACAAGCACTGTAATCTCATTATCCTCAAACCGTCTGCTATAAATATATATCAAACACATTTCAAATGTCATTATAACCAGTGTTTTCCATCCAATCTGATTCGATGAGCCATCTGTCGATAACAAATTTGTTATAAACACTTCCTCTCCGCATTTCCTTTTTATTCATAAACACGCTCTTTCCTCCTTCCTCTTCACTATAATCCCACTTCTTTGTCCAACAAACATCCGATACAATGCTAACCCTCCTTCCTCACTCCACTTCTTTCAAATCATACAGCAACAGCAGCGGCTGGTACAGCGATTGCGAGCAATACGAGTTCAAATACTCGAAGGTATCCAGCCTCACGGACCACGTAAGCGAATACAGCGTATAGCACTTCAGCTGCGTATTCCAGCAAATCATCGCTTCCCCGAACTCTTTACTCCTCACCAGCACCGATTTCAAGTGATACTCTCCCCTCACCGTGGCGCACAGATCGCTCAATTGCAGCTACATCGCATCGCCGCACTCCGCCTCGCCTACCATCTCCGGCACTCCGCAGAACGTCAGGTCTTTCTCCTTCGCAGGGAAGCTAATCGACCACGAATAGCGGATCAGCAGCACCTTCGGAGGCGGCATTTCCAGCGTGAGCGACGCCACGCGCCGCTGCTGGCAGTCGGGACAGTCGCGATCGTAGGGGAGCAGCATGCGGCGCAGGCACTGCGTGAAGCACTGGCGCACGCAGAGCTCGCGAACGGAGCGCTGCGCGGCCGCGGAGGGCTGCATGGGGAGCGAAGCGAGGCGCTGGCGAACGCTGGCGAACGCTGGCGAGGTAAGTGGCACCCGGAATGTTGAGCCAGAAGGTGCTTTTGAGGGGCGACGTGGAGGAATTGCAGCGACAGTGGTAGGTCTGGATGGAAAAGGAGAAATGGAGAAACGATGGTGTAGCGGAGACTGAGTTGCTGGTGGACGAGGCAGGAGCAATTCATGTAGTCGACGATGCTGGTAGGGGAGGCGCAGAGGGAATTGCTCTGGTTGTGGAGATTGACGATGAGGTAATCGACTGCGTCCTCGGTGGAGTGGATAAAAGAAACCAATTCGGAATGGTGCAATGGATGAATGAATGATCATTTGATTCGATTGGCAACTCATGCATGAATAAAAACACACAACAAACATTCAATTCATTCAATTCATTCAATTCATTCAATTCATTCAATTCATTCAATTCATTCAATTCATTCAATTCATTCAATTCATTCAATTCATTCATTCAATTCATTCATTCAATTCATTCAATTCATTCAATTCATTCAATTCATTCAATTCATTCAATTCATTCAATTCAATTCATTCAATTCATTCAATTCATTCAATTCATTCAATTCATTCAATTCATTCAATTCATTCATTCAATTCATTCAATTCATTCATTCAATTCTAAAGGATATGCCAAACTGTTGATATTTCGTTAGCAAGCTTCGACTCATAAACTTCAAGATAATATCCACGCACACCAAGCTCGCTCTCTGAAAGACCTGCGATTCGATCAGCCCTGCGATTTGCATCGACAAGTCCTCCAGCACCTCCACTTCGCTCATCGATCCCCACATCGTTGGCGACATGTTCAGCACCGACACCATCGGCTGAATGCTCGGCGACAGCGACGTCGTCATTCCACCATTTCCACCATTTCCACCATTTCCACCATTTCCACCATTTCCACCATTTCCATTCATCGCGTTGGGCCCCACTTCTCCCGCCATTTTCGGCTTCGCCGCGTAGAGCGCGGCTTCGTGTGGCTGCTTCATCGCCTGGTAGACGGAATGAATCAATTCGCGGACGTGTTTCGACGCCATAAGCCACAGCACCACGTACGAAAACAAATAGTTCATGTGGAGCAGATCGGCCTGCTGCCCGCTCGCGTTCGGCTGGTCCATTTGTTTGTAGAGATTGAACACGTTCATATTCTCGTATGCGGGGCTCAGGACATGGAATGTCGGAGGGATGTCGATGACGGGCTGCTGCACGATCTGCACGTTCTGCTGCGGGAGCACGTACACGCTGTTCATATACGGAACGTATCCCGTAGTGTACATGTTCGTGGAGTACATGGTGGGGAACAGCGGGTTTGTTACGCGTGGAAGCATCGGCTGAAGAGGAGTCGTCGCCGTTTGGGGCGGAGAAGCCATGACTGTGCACGGAGGCGTGTATGTACGGAGATCTGTGTAAGGAGTGCTTTCGGCGATGTATTCGCCGGAGTGGTGTGTGGGCTCTTCCAAAATGTAATTCTCCTCGGTAATCGAAGAGGATTCGCTCGAGATGTTGTCTGATGAGGAAGGACGCGGCGGAGACGCGGGATAGCAATGATAATCGCCATAAAGCGGCTCCTCCGGATATTTGAGGGAGTATTTCGCGGAATGCTGAGACGATTTGGATTCGGATCGACAAGGGCTTCGCTGCGGCCGCTTCGGCGAAACAACTCCGGACTGCTGGCAGTAGACGCGAAGCTGCTTCACGATCACGAAGGACAACGCGTATTCCGCGAGATACCGATACTACAATCAACGTGGAAACGTGGAAACACTTTCAGATACTTCCGGACCTTGCTCTCCAAATTGGTCATCTTCTTCTGACACTCGAACAGCTGCCGATCGCAAAAGTTCGAGATCGTCTCTTCGTGCGGCGTCGCGTGCGGCCGATCGGCCATTTGATTCAGCATCGCTTCGTTCGGCGCGTATTTCTCCATCAGATCGGCGAAGAAGAACAGCAGAGGCTTCTTCCGCAGCACATCGAAAATCGTCTTCATGTGCTCCTGCGCGATCGACTCCCGCGACGTCTGCCTACCCTCGATCAAAACCCGATCACTCCCTACTGCATCGTGTCCAGGTACTGAATGTCCTCGTTGGTCGTGTTCTCGTACAGTAGCCGGTACCGCTCCATCACTCCCGCGGGAACGCCCGCCCAATTCTTCGCCACCTTCAGCACCGGCTCGCGACTGAGCAATGCCTTGTGCAGCCCGGAATCTTCCCGGATGTCCCGGTAGAAGGGAGCCAGCAGCTCGTAGCTCAGCCACACGAGCTCTCGGCAGAACCGCAAAAGATTCTGCTGCAGCATGGCCTTCTGCGTCCAGTCATTGGAGAGCTTGGCGTAGGAAACGGCGACGTGGAAGGCCTCGACGAGCTGCGGGTTGAGCGGCTCCCAGCGGATCTTGTAGAGCTCGTAGAGAAGGAGAGAGAGCGACGCGAGCGGCGCGAGGCAGGAGGATTTGAGCGTGGTGCAGAGGTGGGAGAAGAGCGAGTGGATCGATCCGATCAGCGAGAGCGTGAGGAGTTTGGCTTTGAGGAAGCGCAGATCGAGCCAGTCGGCGGCGCAGTTGGCGTCGTTGCTGCTGGACTCGAGATAGTGGTGGAGCTCGGCGAGATAGACCGACTTGGAGGCGAGGAAGTCGGTGAACGGCGACTTCGACGAGCTGCGAAGCAGCAAGGGGAGAAGCTGCGTTTAACAGCGCAAAAATCGGGACTTTATTGGGATCCTGGGTGAGATGGATGTACACGTCGCTGTCCGACGCGCCGTCCGAGCCGAGATCGATGCATGTCGTCGCGCTGGTGTCCGGGAGGTCGTCCCGCGCCACGATCTCGAAGAGCCCGTCGAACTCGTGGACCTCGGGGATCTGCGCGAAGTCGTTCTGGCAGAGCGACTGCAGCGACGTGTTGCTACGCGTCAGGCGAAGAGAGAAGGCGAAGAACAAGCGCTGGAGACAGAAGGGGCAGTAGATCTGGTTGAGATCGCCGGGAAGGCGGATGTGGGTGCGGGAGCAGTGCTGGCAGGTGCAGGCGGATTGGTTGGTGTGGATGAACGCGGGCTCCTAGAGAGAAGACGCCGTGCAGAGCCACGTTGAGATACGCCAGCGCGTACTGCGAAGCCAACTCGCGTTGGAGAGACCGATCCGAAGAAGAAGAAGATAAAGAAGAAGAAGAAGAAAGAGGAGAGGACGGTGGAGACGACTGAGAGACGCTCGACGACGAAGCAGGATTGCCGCCCAAACCGGGAGGCGCCGCTGCGCTCCGCGCAATGACGCAGAGCCGCCGCGCCAACGGCGACGGCGCTTCGAGCCGCTTCCCCGTGCGCGCCTTGAGAAACTCCCGCACGCGGAAAAGCCACATCAGATACTGCGATGAACGGGGAACCGTGGAACCTACCGCCTGGAGAACGGGGAGGCTCTCCGTCTGGAGCTTCGCCAGCGCGCGCAGCGTGGACTCGTCGGCGTCGCCGCGCAGCAGCAGCCTGGATTTAAGCCCCGGCCGCACTCCCACTTGGGACGCTGCAGCAGATCTTCGCGCAGCGCGCGGTGCAGCAGCCCGTCCAGCAGCGACCCGCCCGCTTTCTACAGTCAAGGCTCTCGCTCAGAGCGACGAAGACGCGCAGAGGCACGCGCAGATACTGCTGCGACGGCCGGAACGCGGGCGACGAAGACGACGGAGACGACGGAGGCGACGCGAGCGACGGGGCCGCGCCCCAGACCGCGAAGATTTGCGCGGCAATCCTGCGCGAGACGAAGAAAAAAGCCGTACTGCTTCAAACGGTCGGCGCTGATAGCGAGGTCGGCGGCGACGTCGCGGAGCTCGCGGTGCGGGAGGAAGCGCGTCTGCAGGGAGAGCTGCTGCGTGCGGTCGCAGAGCGAGGGTCCAGATTCCGCCGTGTTCAGCTGGGAGTTCTCGTAGAGGAAGTAAAAAACGGCGAGAACCGCGGTAATGCGAGGCGGGATCTCGGCGGCGGCGGGCTCTGCGGGGAGGAGGAGGAGGAGAAAGAGAGTACGGGTTAAAAGACGAGTGAGGACGGGGCGAACTTCGGGCCAAGCGAGCAAAGGAAAAGTAAAAAGTTGGAAAAAGAGAATCTCGATGAGAAGTTTGTGCGCTGGCGCAATCCCGCGGGTAGGGTCGCGTTGGAGGAGGAGGCTCGATGCGGGGAGGCAGGTGGTGGCGAGGAGATAAAGCTCGGTGAGAAGGCCGGTGAGTTCGGGGATGCTGGATGAAAAAAAGGGAGGAATTCTGACATTTTGTCGATTTCGAAGTTTTGGAGGAGGAAATAAAGGACGTCCAGCCCGTTGTGGATGAACTGGAGGGGGATGGGGTTGCTCTCGCTGAGGCAGAAGAAGATGTTCTCCAGACTGTTGATAAGCGCGACGAAAGACTAGGAGGAAGAGGGAACGAGGAAAACGGACTTTGCTCTTGCTCACCACGCTTTTGATTGTGCTGCCTTGGAATTTGGAAATATTCACAAAATCTAACAATGTCTTTGATTTAACACTGCACGCAGCACATTACCAATACAAAATTCCGAAGGTCGTCAAATTTGGTTAACTGCATCATCTCGCGCACGTAGCTTTGCCAATCGTCCGTCCACTGCATCACATAGGACTACATGAAAAGTTCGGAATTTTCGCTACGATAAGAACAACTATGCGCGACCGGCATATTGAAGTTGCGTTATCTCTTCGACTTCTCCCCATCGATTTCTTGCGATCTTTTTTCGTAAGGCCGCTCCTCGAGAAGTCCTTATTCTACATCCTCATCATTGCTACATTAAAAGTTACGCAAAATCGACTGAACATATCAAACCACTCTGGAATCCTCTTGTCATTCAAATCAAAGTCCCAGATTAATTTCACAATGGGAATTTCTTCGCATTCGAGAATAGATCGAGCCATTACGAATAGTATATACAAAATAGGGTGGTGAAAATAGTCCGTATTTTTGGAAAACGGACATTTTAGAACAAAATAGGACTTGGTGAAGTGGATTGGTGGGGAAGGTGTTTTACCGCCTACCCAAAAGTTGGTTCGCGTCGTTACAATTTTGTTTTGTTTACCAGTGACATATTATCGTTTATTTGCTAATCCTTCTTCGAGTGAGAGAACAGTTCCTGGCACAAACACTCCACACAAATGAACAAATCTTTAACTAATTAGCTAACTAACTAAAAGGAGTATGCAAGAACTTGTAAAGCGTATCTGCATCCACGGGCGTCATCACCTCTTCCATCTGTTCCTTTGTCCACGAACAAATATCCCGCACTCTCTTTATCCTCCTCAATATTCCATATACATTATTCACCGTCACTCCAGGGAAGGTTAGTAAAATGTCCACTCGCTCCACATCGTATCTTCTTCCCACCAAATAATCCCCTTCCGGGAGAATCATCGCTTGCTCCAAGCTCGGCTCCTTTTTCCCTCGCTTCAGCATCTCGAACATCTACCATCACGTTTTCACCATACACCTACCGAACTCGAATCATTATCGCTTTGTGACCACAAAATGCGCATTCGCGGAAAGCTTCGGACCAAAACCGACAATCGCGCTTTAATGTCCCGAACGCCGCGCGTTTTCGCCGATTCGATGAGCAACACGGGACACTGGTACACACGACTCATCTGCTCCATCTGCTTCTTCAACCGGCCGCTCGCCAGCGAATTCGCGAGATCGGGGAAACTTTTTCGTTCCACGCCGATAGACTGCGACAGAACATAGTCACAGATGGTTAGCGTGGCTGGGATGAGTTGGAAGCCGTGGGCGTAGAGCGCAGCCGGGAGAGAGGCTTTGAATTCGCGGGAATCGACGATAATGGAGGGCGTGGACGAAGCGAATTGGCGCGTAGACGAAGCAGAAGCGAAGTGCGAGGAAAAGGAAGGCCTGGGAGAGAGCGAGAGAGGGAAGAAAGCGACTTTGTTTTCCAAGTCTGCAAATGAATCATGCGATCGCGCTCTTTGAGAAGCTTTTTGAATCCGTCGGACTCGACTTGGAGCTCTGCGAAATAGTTTTGCTGCTCTGTGCCTTCGTGGCAGAAGAAATAGAGATGCTGCAGCGCGGATCCCTTCGTTTTGTAGTTGAAGAACTGAAGAAAAGCGAGAAGGGATCGCTTACTTCGGCCTGGCGAATTGGAACTAAATTGGCGTCGACGACGATGACGATGTTGGGTTTGTAGCGAACGAACGGGTTCGGGAAGGCGCCTGCATTGGCGGCGGAGCAGAGAACAACGCGGAGGTTTGGAAAGAGCGCTGCGGGAATGAGAAAAGCGAGGGAGCTACGTGGAAGTTCGATGGAATTGGTTCGGTCGCTTTCGAGTTCGGTGATGCGCTGGAATGTGAGCCAGTTCGCGCGCCAGTTGGGATCCAGCTGCCCGTCCAGGCGGCGTCGAACCTCTGCGAGGAGCTTTTTTTCGCGAGAGGAAAGCGTTTTCTCCTCGAACGCGCGATTTAGAATGCGACGCATGGAGAGAAGGCAATAGAAGGAAGGCGAAAGGAGGAAGTTGTGGAGTTCTGTGAGCACTTTCATGTTCAAAACGCTCAACAGAACGCATTTGCGGTCTGAAGGAGAGCCCGCTTCGTTCAATTCGGAAAGAATTCGACGCACCTCCACCCATTTCTCTGGAGGCTGCAGCCAATCTTCCTTCTTGGTGGGATTTTTTGAATCACTGGAATCATTGGAAGCTTTTGGAGCTTTGGAGTCTTTTGAATCTTTAAAGTCTTTGGAGTCTTTGGAGTCTTTGGAGTCTTTGGAGTCTTTGGAGTCTTTGGAAGCATTTGAATCATTTTCAGTGTTCGTTTTTTTCGATTTGTTCAACGTGCTCAAAGAACTCTCTTCGTTCAATTCGTTCGATTCATTCGATTCTCGTTCATCGTTTGTTTCGCTCGTTTTCTCGTCCAACACACAAAAAATCTCTCGATTTACGCACTCCAGCAACTCTTCCGATTCCTCCAGCTTCATCCAGTACGCCTCCGTGCTTCGACCCACTCTCACCTTCGAGAACACATCGCGCAGCTTCCCATACACCGACACAATGCTCGACAGCCGGATTTCCTGCTCCAGTCTCGACAGAAACACCAATTCGCGAAGCAAATCCCGCGTCTTCTGCGAGTAATGTCCGCCGTGCTGCTGCAAGTCGCGCGACACGAAGAACGGAAACAGCGACTGCTGGCAGAAGGACAGTGAGAGCGAGTCGTTCAGATCGCATTGCAGAACTTTCAGTTCCTTGACCTCGCTGGTGATCATGCGATCGAGAAGCAAGTTGGCTCTCTACCGTCAAGCGAACGAGCGGAAAAATACTTCCATCCACACGGGAGAATAAAACAAACACTCCTCGAGCTGCAGAGGATACTGCATTAACGTTTCGTTTACGATGTCGCGGTAGCGAGGATACAAAAACAAAAATGAAACCGTTAGCTCGTTTAGGAAAGAGGAGAGTTGCGGAAAAGCGCGAGAACAAGCATTCGCATTGTCGCTGAAACACTTGACGAAGCCATTGCAACGATGGCGAAAGAGGAGCGTGCAGAACAGCGTGGTGCTTCCAGGATGCAGCATATGCACATCACAAATGAGAAGTCCCGCGATATTATCACAAGGAATGTGGTTCTGAAGAAAGTCGAGCTGCAACAACACAGAAGTGATGAAATACACGCCTCCACGCTTATAAAGCATTTGGCGCTCTTTTACATTCCCAGACTAAAAGGTACAAAAAGGGTAAGAGACTACGTTTGCTGTGATCTCTTGAGGAAATAAAGACTTGTCAATAGACATTTCACCGAGCTCATCCATCAGAAATGGAATCTACAATAGAAAACATTCACTCCATCGCACAATATGCTCAGCATTGAGGATAAACACAACGTTATGCTGCTCGTTGCACTTCATCGCGTAATACTTGATAAATCGGGCAATTAACTGCAAAGTAATTGTTCGCATAATCGACTACTTCACGGTAACCACACTCACGAGACAAAACAAGAAGTCCGTCATCTTCCAAAAGATCAATGACCCCTTGTTTTAAAAAGTTCATAGAAAGTTATAGGAGTATAGAGCAAAATTGAAATTAATTTGTGCGAACTTTTTGTCTGACTTGATGGTACATGCATGGGAACTAACTGCATGTAGACCAAACAGTTGGGATCCTCATACCCACTCGAATACAAATAGAAAGGCTGGATTAGAACCCATGAATGAACAAAATACAATGAAAAACCGCGGTCATTACAGTATCTCACCAATTGTATTACCAGAGCTTAGATAAGCATGGATGACCCTAGCTCATCTCGCAAAGATCCAGAAGAAGATGTACCTTTGTCTGTTTCTCGAAGATTGAGGAATCAACGAAATTCAATAATCTACTATCTATCCCAAGTTCCTCCCGTGCTCGAGGATAAGTTGGCCCCGGGCGAATTTATTGATACTATCAACGACCAGCAGCTAGTTCAATTCCCCATTCTAACAGAGGAGTTGGTCGAAACTGATATTATTCCCAGGGCCTCTGTCAAGAGAAGTAACCAATGCTCCGATAATGACGACTTACTAAAGGCATGGAATTCACGCCGCAATTGTCTGATCGATGCCTTATTACAAACAAAAATCCCTCCTGTTCCGGACGACATAAGCGTAAATGACGAGGAACAAGACACTTACTACGAGGTATTGAACCATCCTCCTGAGATGCCGTCCATTAATTATTTCTCTAACGATGTTCTATATTACAATAACGGGATTTTGGAACGTCCTGTCGTGGAGCTCCCTCATCCCGTCGTTCACCACTTATCCTTATCAGATCTCTCCTGGAGTGACAGCGAGAGCAGCGATGAGGATGACTCGATGAACTCTTATGATGATTCCTCTGCTCATAGTGTCTGCTGTACTACTTTGTAATTGCAGGACTAGGTGCGTAATCCTTAGAAAAGATTATTTATGTCCCATTTGTTTAGAAGCCCCGCATAATCCTGTATCTACTCTTTGTGGTCACATTTTTTGTGAAAAATGTATTCGAAGAATGTTTAAAGTACGTAGAGCGTAGGCTTGAGCTTATTGCGTAGAATTGCCTTGAATGGAAGTGTCCGCAATGTCGGGCTCCCCTCACTCTGGACGACTTTCATCCGATTTATCTTCCCTGATGTTGTTTTCATTTATAATGTATTTTGCTTTTGACATGTTTGTCAATCAAATAACCGCGGTGTGGATTGAAAGCTTGACAATCCCACTTTTGTTTTAATCGCTTACTGATTTGCTTTGTTTGTCCCTTTATCACTCCCTCAATATGAATACAAATCCGTCGGAAGAATCCCTCAAGAAGCAATCTTGTCTTCGCTTCCCTTGTCCATGGAATGTATATCATAGTCGTGTTTGTCACCTCCCAGAGAGTTAATATCATTGACAGATCGAAAGAACTATACTACATCAAACTCCAACAAATGTCTGTTGTAGGAATTTGGTCCGAATTCTGACTGTACAGAGAAAGGAGGACACGGAAAGCTACGAGGAATCGTCCGAAGATGACATGATTTCTACTAATGACTCTGACTCTTCAGAATCATCAAGATGTTTGTACATAGACTCATTTGAAAAGTATGTTGCGTCCGTTTTCTTTCATCCCTAGAAACCCAAAAGTGCAAAAACACGAATTCTTTAGAAGTACATTCTCCTTCACGCTTGTTGAGATGTAGTGCTGCGCGATCCTGATTCTATCGACTCGATCCAGTTTTTTGGCAGGTATGAGGAATCACCATCATGTGAAAGTCCTGTACGAGTGTTGTTTTTCGTTATGCTAACTCATAGTTCGTGCCTCCTCACCTGGCACGTTACAATTTTTCAAATGAATGTTACTCTTACTTTTAAGCTTACGGAATTTGCCTATTTCTTCTTTTCCGCGCAAATTATTCTTTATTTCTTTTATTATTTGTTGAATACCCAAAATCGCAAAAACCCGAACAATACTTTGATTGAATTTGTATATATAAAATATACATATATATACAAATGTCTGATTCTCCTATTATTCTTATTGCAGGACAAGAGAAGTGTGGGAAAAGCAGTATCATAGATGTCGTGTTTAAGCGCAAATCTGTTTACAAGACCTTCTTCTTGATTTCGACTTCCTCCCTGAACAAATATACTTCGAGAAGGAATCTGTTTATGGAATACAATATTTGGGAGTTGCCAAGTGATTTTAAAGAGATTGCGAAAGAATTCGCGAATATCAAATCGGATATTAAACGAGTCAAGGTCCTTATATACGTTATTAGTCTAGAAGTAACTAGATACGGAGTGGGTTTTCTTGTAGAATATGTACACAAAATACAATGGATTCCAAGCTCCCAATCTTTCTGGACTCAGTGATCTTCTTCAATTACTCAGAGAAGCCAAAGATTTGCATCTCTCGGTCTTTTTCCACAGAAGCGATATCTCTCCCACGAGCGAGCAGCAGGGTGCTCCCCAATTCGATCCATGCGAGTTGTAGACTTTCAGAGGTCGGTGCAGACGATGATCGCCGAGCAGCTCTCCGATCTCGATATGGGCATCACCACGAGCTTCTACCGCACCTCCATCTACGACAATTCGATTTTCGACGGTGTCAGCAAGTGCGTGCAGCGCATCCTCCCTCGCCGCACGAACGTCCAGAACCTGCTGAACTCGCTGTCGCAGAGCTGCGGGATGAGCAAAGTGTACCTCTTCGACACGTTCAGCAAGCTGTGCATCGCGATGGACAGCACGCCGAACGAAAGCAGTCTCTACGAGCTCTGCAGCGACAGCATCGACGTCGTTTTGGAGCTCGTCGGAATCTACAGCCGGTCCGACGGGGCGGCGACGACCTCGCTGACGTCGTCCGACCCGCTGAAGCTGGAAGACGAAGTGGGGAGAGAGCTGAAAGAGCCGACGGTGGCGTCGATCATGTAGGAAGAAGGGAAGGGAGCGAGGAATAGACTGGAGAAGGCGAAGCGGAAGTATATGGTGCATTTCTATCACTCCATCCCGAACATCGCGCTGGTGTGCATCATTCGCGAGGAGTATTTCGATCGGATGGGGCTGATCGAGTACAATCTGCAGTGCGTGTCGCAGTACTTGATGGAGTTGTATAAGCGGAAGGAGTGTGTTGTTTGTTCAACAAAGAGGAAAGGAGGAATCGGAGAGCACGCGATTGTGCGACAGCAGCTCTTTCACGACGACCGGGCTGGTGATCTGCAAATCAGAATCCCACGCAAGAGCCAACGTTGAACTCCGTTCGGAGGAGCCGAGCGATGGACTCCGCTTCGTCCACGCGCGACGCGTCCAGCAGCGCGAGGACGAACTGCTTGGCTTCCAGCTGGCTGAGGACGCTCTCTTTCTTCACGCAGTCGCGCAGAACCGATTCGATTTCGTCGAGAGAGCGCAGGCCCGCGATCAGAGAGCGAAGCTCGGCTCGATCCGCTGGCGCAATGGAGCGAAGCACGCGCTGGTAGCACGCGCTGATGGCTTCGGAGAGCGGACGAGTCGGATTCGGGGAGAGGAGAGCGGGCGAATTGGCGTCGCGTGCGTCGCGTGCGTCGCGTGCGTCGCGTGCGTCGCTGCTCGGCGCTGAGGGCTTCATCTGCTCGAGTTTTCGTCGCTGCGCGGGCGCGAGCTCCGAGCCGAAGCAGACGAGGAACCCGCGCGCAACGTGCGAATTCTTGGCCTGGAGGAGCGACTGCGTCGTGGCAAGCAACTCGACCTGGCTGACTCGGATTTGCAGCGATCGGATCCGCTTCCAGACCGATTCGTCGATCGGAATCGCGGGCAGCGTCGCAAACTACGCTCCATTCGCTTTGCTTTCGCTACGTGCTTGAAAAACTCGCAGAGCTGAACATCGCGATACTCCTTCGCGCTCTCCATCACGCTCACGTACGCCTCGATCTGCTCGGGTTTATTGAATTTCACGCTTAACTGCGCTCGGATGAACGACCGATTCATCACTTCGTCGTTTTTCTGCAGCTCCACCGTCAGATTTCTACCGTCGACCCCTCGCTTCGCAGCTACCTTTCGAGGAAATAGCGAATGCTCTGCGTTAAATACTCCGCGAGATGGCTTCGGTCCTCGGTCGGAGCGAGAATGCACAGGTATTTGTACAGCTCCCAGACCGAGATCTCGCGTCGCGACAGCGAGAACTCCTTCATTTTGGCCTCGAGCGCTTTTGTAATGTGTGGGATCGAAAGCTCTTCGGCGTTGGTGATGCTGAGAAGCGACACGACCATGTCGGCGTCGCTGACTCCGTCCATCGAAAGCGATTTGAAAAAGGTTCGTTTGGAGAGTAAAAAGCTTTGCAGCAGCATTTCCTTTGTGATGTTCATGCAGACGCGTTTGTATTTGGGGACGGGAAGCAAGGACAAGAGGAATTTTTGGTAGGAATTGGAAGTGAGTTTGATGTGGCGATGCGATAAAAACGCGTAGGTTCGGGCGATGCCTTCGAGGTATCCGTAGCGACTGAATTGATCGATGAGCTCGGAGGTGACGATGTCCGTGTATCCGTAGCTTGAATAGTGGCGAAAGAAGAGAGACGAAACGAGATCAGTGGAGTGAAGGTCTCCTGCTTTTTTCATTAGGAGAGACACCAAGGAGCTGGGAACCCCCTGGGGAAGGAGAAACACTTGGGAGGTCACTTCTTTGAGTGAGTCTTTGGAATCGACCTTATCGATCAATGTTGACAATTCGGATATTTTCTAAAGTTAAAAAGATGTTGAATGAAAAAAACGGAATGCTGAGAAAGACGAGCGTTCGCAAACGCGCGATAGGGGATCCATTGAGCCGTGGCACGAATCTAACAATTTAAGAAATTGAGAGACAATCACATTCGAAGGATAAAAAATGGAGTGGAGAGATTGCGTCCATTTTCTGGTTCCATGTCGAATCATCAAGGAAAACATATTGCCAACAAACAACGAATCGCTTCTTTCCCTTTTTTGATTTTTCGACTTTCCTTTTCTCTTTCTTCTCTTGCTGCATTTTATAGTACTCTAGCAAGATCTTTTGATTCCGAATCTCTTCTGCCGAGAGTCTAGACTCAACCGCTTCCTCCATTCCTACCCAGTCCATTCATCTGTCTCCATCATCATGCTGGACGCGATCTCCCCATCCAGCCTGGTTTGATCGGTTTGTTTCTGCGATTCCCTCGTTCCTATTCCTCCGCTCTTTTCTTCTTCCTCCTCCTCCGATTCGTAGGGATCGTAAAACATCGAAATTCCGGCGGCAATCTTCGCGTTTTTGGCGAAGGTCGCGGCATTGGATCCTTTTCGAACCACTTTAAAGCCGTCGTCCGCCGTCGATTTGGTTTTCTTCTTTGTGGGCTTGGAAGCGGAAGCTTCCGCTTCCTGTGGGGTGGGCTTTTGCTGTGTTCCGAGTGTTTGGTTTGGATTGTTTGCTTTCCACTGTGGTTTCGAATTCGTGTTTGTGTTCGTGTTCGTATTTGATTTCGATTTCGTATTTGATTTCGATTTCGATTGGATTTCGGATTGCAACGGACGCAGCGAACCATCCACTCCCGCGGTTTTCTTCGCCTTCTTCTTCTTCTTGCTCTGCGTGGCTTCCTTCGGCGTCCTCGCAACCTCCATCTCCGCAATCCGCTCAATCGCTTCCCCGCACAGCGCCAACCGCGCATCCGACCGGTTCGTCCGCAATCGCCGCATCATCTCCACATACTCTTCCAGCTCCGCCTACACCTCATTTCTCCGCTTCTCTCCCCCCACAATCCAAATCTGCCGCGACTGCAGCGCTCGGAAGTCCTCGATCACGTGCGGCTTCGCCGCGAATTGATTCAGCGACTGGTTCGAGCGCTCGATTCGCTTCTTCACGCTCTGCACGCGCTTCGAAACGCCCTCCAGCAATGATTGGACGGACGCTGGAGTCAGTTCCGCGGTTATTGCAGAGGAAGGAGATTCGGTGCGGGAATAATCGCGGGGATTGGAGAGAACGGAGGTGGCGAAGTCGAAGCAGTCGGAGAGAACCGCGGGGAAAAAGAGGGAAATCGTGGAAACGTTGGCAGTGATGAAGGCAAGCAAGCGACGACGAAGATTTTCGCACGCCGAACCCTACGGATAACCGCGGGACACCGATCCAACGTCCAAAATCGCGAAGATTTTTGGCAGAAGTTCGATTCGAAGCGTTTTCATGATCCGTTCGGAACACAAATCGGTCAACGAGTGAATCGTGTTCCTCCGATTGTCGGCCTCCGTCGAGTGGAAGCATCGGCCAATCAGATTTCCCTGCTCGTCCCCCGCCAAAACCTCGAAATTCCCGCCCAACGCGGCGATCCGCGATTCCCCGTCGATTTGCAGGTGATGAAACGCCTTTTTCACCCCCAGGAAAAACCTACATGCCACCCCTTCCCCGTTTCCACATTTCTCCGGTCGAGCTCTGCGCGATGCATCCGTTCCCCGCGGGGAACACGCGCTGCACGGTCTACCAATCATTCGATTCCGCCGACTGCACGATGGAGGGAAGCAGCGGGTAGATGCAGCCAGGGTCCACAGAATCGGGGAATAAACCGCGGGCAGCGGCCGTGCGGACGCACTGCTCGGTAGGGTAATAGTAGAACCCCCAGAGACTGCCGTCTGCCGCGAGAATGGTGTCGAAGCCGTCGTGGCAGGCGACTTGCCGCGGTTTAATCTGGATGTGGTAGAGCAGATTCACGGGGATCGGCTTCGCGCTCCGCTTGGGCGTTTCTCTCCGCGACGGCTGGAAGCCGGGCCAGAAGAGCACGCCGTCCGCCAGCCCCACGCAGGTGTGATCGCCGCGGCAGGCCACGCAGCGGACGCCGTCGATTCCCGCGGGGATCGGGAGGTCGACGGAGGACCGCGGGTCGGCGGGGATTTGGCCGGCGGTGTTGCGCCCCCAGAGGTAGAGAGAGCCGGTTTTGGATACGGCGGCGAAGTGGGAGTGACCGGCGGCGATGTGGGTGAAGAGAAGGGAGGAAGGGAGAGAAAGCTTGCTGCGAGTGAAGGAGGAGGAAAGAGAGAACGAGAAAGAGGAGGAAGGAGAGCGAGAGGACGCGGAGGCGGCGATGTAGAGCGCGCCTGAAGCGGTGAGAGCGAGGAGATGGGTCTGCGTGGAGGCGATGGAGAGAATGGTTGTGGTGCTAGTGGAGCCGGGAGAGGAGCAGGGATGGATGGAGGACGGAGAGAAGTGGCGGTCGGCGGCGTAGAGCGCGCCGTCGTTGATGAAGTGGATGGAGTGGGGAGAGAGGAGGAGTTGAGAGACCTGGAAGCGTGAGGGAGCGGGAGGGAGGGAACGTTGCGGAAGGTGGAGTTGAAAGAGAGTAAATCTGAAGCGAACTGCTTCGAAGGAGCCGTTTTCGAGAGCACGACGAGACTGTCGTATTCAAGGTGAGTAGGGGGAGAGGGAGGAAAGCGGCTCAGCAGAGTGTTGACGATTCTTCCTTTTGTGCTGGATACGAGAAGAAGATAGAGCAAAACTACATGTGAGTCATACGAAGGGCGACCACCTCGCGTGCTTTTATTTTCAAATGCAGCAATATGAGGCATATAGTTCATCTATACATGAAATATGCGAATGACAGCCACGGCGTCCGCATTACAAAACAACGGCTCTTGCTGAAGCAAATACTTTACAATCTTTATAGAATCATACTCAGCTACAGAATAATAACGTAGAGAGTACAAAATACCAGCTAGCTGAAGAACTCCTTGTACGAAATCAAAATAGGACTCGTTTTTATCTTCCATTCGTGTAGACATTATGTGAATAAAGGCTTCCAAATCATCTTGACGAACAACGTAGTTGACATCCTCCTTCTTCATTTGGTGCAGCGAAAGACTCTTTTGCAACTGGCGCAACACCTCTTCGACCTGCATATCGCACTTCTCTGAAACAAACACTTCGAACAATTAAATAACTTTGAACTCGTCTTCAAATCCCGCCTCCTCCTTCAAGAAGAAGCACTCCTCCCACGACACCATTCTACGCGTCACTCCCACGCTCCCCATCCCTACGCTCCTCTTCCTTCACACGCCAGCAGTCCATGCAGATTCGTCCCCCCAATGAACAGCTGTCCCGTCACAATCTCCACATTATGCGTCACGGGATGCACGGCCACCACCGCAGCATACGTTCCGAACGGCACCGTGTTTCCTCCCACCACCACCAATCGGTCTCCGATCTCGGGCACCACTTTTTTGATCTCCGTCGGCGACACCGTCGCTGAATCCGGCTCCCAGAACCCCAGCAGCGCCGGCGAGCAGCGGATCCGGATCGACTTCGTGCGCTGCTGCGCCTCGGCGGCGGTCTCCCACTGCGCGAGGATGTTGGCTTCGTCGCGCGTGGCGCATTGGCTCTGATAATGCATCAAAACCGGCGCGTCGTCGCGCGTGGCGTGGATGAAATCGAAGAGTTCCGCCTGCGAGTCGAAGAGCTCCTTCACGCTGCTGCCGCCGTCCGTGTCGCGAATTCGATCGAACACGCGGGGGAACTGCGACTTGAGCGCGCGGAGCTTGGCGACGGCCTGCGAGGAGAAGGACAGATCGCGCTTCCAGGACCCGTCGAAGGTGTCCAGCTCGCTCAGACTCATCGCGAGCGGCGAGTCGAAGAGCTGCTCCTGGTAGCTCGCCGAGTAGGGCTCCGGCGTGTCCAGACACTGCACGAACGCTACGCTTCAAGAGGGAAACGGAGAACTACTCGGGTTGACCAGCTGCTGCCGGATCCACTTCAGGCCGATGTTGAAGTGGTCCGAGCCGCGCGTCAGCGTGTACGTCGCGACCAGCTTCTCGGCGGCGCCGCGCGGGATTTTGAGGATCTCCGCGAGGGCCTGGATGGAGCACCAGGTGGTCTTCTGGACGGCGGAGAGGTCGAAGAAGCGGTAGGCGGAGGGCGGGAAGGAGGTGAGCTTGACGACGACGGAGCCGGCCTCGATGGCCTCGATCCTGCCGACGGCGCCTTGGACGGTGTGCTTGGCGAGATTGCCGATGCCGAGGAAGACGACGGGGAGGTCCACGGCGATGCGCTCCCAGATGGAGACTTTGTCGGGGAAGTTGAAGACGGGGCTGGTGATCACGGAGACGGGCTTCACGAGCTGCAGAGGGAAGAGCTGGTTCTGCGAGGCGAAGCGGTAGTGCAGCTCCCCGGTGAGGCGGTGTCGCTTGACGCCCAGGATGGGGTGGAGCTCGAGCAGCACGTTGACGGTCTCCAGATCGACGCCGCCGAGCCCCAGAACGGAGAGCCGGCCCTGGAGCGCCTCCTTGACGACGCGCTGCATCATGGCCTTGATCTTTTCGATCTTGTTCGGGTACAGCGGGACGATGAACGACGTGTTTTCCTGCTTCAGCGACACGTAGTAGTTGCTCACGTAGATGCCCTCGATCAGCGCGTAGTGCTTCCGCCACAGCGGGTAGCACACCACGCGGTTCTTGCAGTTCTTCACCAGCTGCGTCAGCGTCTCCGTGTTGATCTGCCGGTCCTGCAACCGCGCCGGGATCTGCACCACCACCGTCGGCTGCCGGCTGTCGCGGCCCGCGCAGAGGATCCCCACGCCCCGCTCCGCGGTCCGGTAGGTCGCGAGGTCCAGCAGCGACGTGTCTTCCAGCGGCTGCAGGCGCAGCACGTTCTCCTGCTTGTCCGACGGCGAGCCGATCGCCGTGGTCCGCACCGCGCAGTGCACCTGGGCGATGCTCCGGAACACCGCCGATTCGAACGGGAAGCTGTACGAGCCCCACGACTTCGCGGAGTACTGGAAGAGCTGCGGGCCCTGGAAGGCGTTCCGCTTCTGCTCGTCGAGCGTGAGCCCCGCGTCGACCTGCAGCGCCTCCATGGCGGCCGTGAGCCGATCGATGTCGATGAACGGGATCAGATTCACGCCCTCCCAGGGGTTCTTCTTGTTGTTCATGTCGATGGAGAACCGCGCAGGGTAGAAGTCCGCCACGGGCGACTTCGCGCTCACCAGCACGCGGTACGACGCGGGGAGAATCGACTGGCTCTGCGGGGGCAGGCACGACAGCTGCTGCAGGAACGGCTTGACGGGCGCGCCCAGCGAGAACGACGAGTACTTCCTGCAGGGAACGCCCAGAGCCAAAGCCGCACATGTCGCAGCGCGCGAGGTCCGACGGCAGCGGCGCGTAGTGGTAGCGGTAGAACCAGGTCCAGCTGCGAACCCCGCGGTAGTAGTAGAGCAGCACCCAGTACAGTCCCTCGTAGTAGTTTCGGCACACGTCGTCCAGGATGACCTCGTTCTCTAGAGAATAGTCCCGCTTTCTGGAATCGACGAGGCAGCTGGAGATTGAGCTTGTCGAAATAGTAGTATTGGCGGTAGTCGGCGGCGCGGTCGCCGAGCTTCTTGTGGATATACGCCTTCGATTTGATGAGGGGCAGGCCGCCAGGCACGGCTCGCTCCGGATTGGGGTCCTATTTCTCATCGCCAGCGCGAAGCCGAACGGGCGGGGAGCTGGTTCGCTCGCCTCGGCGCGGCCGCGCGTCGTGGGGCTGCTGGAGGAGCGCGATCATGACCTCCTCGGTCTCGCTGAGCCTCTGAAAGAACTGGCGGAGCAGGGAGAGCGAGGGCTTGGCGTCGTCGACGAGGAACTTGTGGCGGTCCAGGCAGACTTCTCTGCGAATGAGAGAAAAAGAAATATAGAGTACTTGTAAATAGCGATGAGGTCCTGGATGGAGCCGTTGACGATGTCCAGCGAGGGAAGCTCGGGGAGGAAATCGTTGCCTAGCAAAATCATGATGAACACGAAGTCGTCGATGAGACGCTCGCGGTCTTTCACGCTCATCCACGAAGCGTTCGACGGCTGCAGGTCGCGGAAGAGGTACTCGCGGAGGACGGAGATGTGGAAGATCTCCCATTTGTGCTGCGGGTTAGAGGAGAGAACGAACCACGGACAATGGGCTCTGCGCGATTGACGGTGGTCTGGACCTTCCGGAAATAGGCTCGGAAGTCGATGATGTTTCGCAGGAGAATCACGTTTACATCGTGGAGGGAGAGAGACAGGAGAATGAGGTCGGCATCAAGTCCGTAGATGCAGTGGCGCTCCGCGGCGTTGTAGTCCGGGCTCGTGCACAAATAGCGAATAAAATTCATGATTTTATGCTCTCCTTCTCCAGGATCACTGTGCGAGGAGTACAGCACCATTGTATTTCTCCAGAGAGGATCCTCTGATATCTTCTTTCGAATGAAATACTCTATGAGCTGGTCGACTTTGTGCATGAACTCGGTTCCGGGAGTGATGCAATTTGAATCAAATACCTCTCCCTTGTGGCCCGTAGACTCGACTTCGAGACACCGATCCAAGGCAGTTCGATAACGACGAGAACGTTGCTGATTCAGCTTGGCTCGCGGCGCAACTCCATCCACGGCTATAAACATCAGCTTTCTGGGTTGAATATTCGCGAAAATGTCCGAGATATAGCCAAACACATAAGATGCCACCATATCAGTTGTGGGAATCTCTCCGATAGCCGACTCTCCATGAGTCGCATTGTGAATGATTCCGTTCACATCCAAGTAGAGATAATCACATCTGGGTAGGAATTCACTTGATGTTACAATTTCACTAACGAGAGGATATCGTTCTAATAAGTAACGATAGAATTTGGGTATTCCCATGGGATAAAAAATAATGATAAAAATATTGAAAAATTAGAGCAGAAGAGAGAAGACAATGGTATGTATCACAGTGTAGAGAGGGAAAATGTGCATGGAAGGTGTTAAGTGAAAAGGGAGGAAACGAGCTGAATATCTGGGACTGGTTTAAAATAGGACCCGATTTGTAATAAAAATATTTGAATAAAAGAAAGACTTTGGCCAAATCAACGAAACGAGATGTCGTGCGAAACCAAATCGATTTGCTCACGCACGAGTCCCCGACCACGGGGAATGCATCCTATCCATTTTCAAGGCTTTCCTTTCAAGCGACACAATCCATTTCGCGTAGAATCCTACTCGTATCTTTCACTCCAAGCATCTCTGCGAATCGTACTATCGATTTTGAAAACTGTTTCGATTGTTCTAGAAAGTAACGTAGAAGGAATGATCATTTTTGAAAGGAATCGCGGTTAATCAACAGTGGAAACAATAGAAATAATAAGATACTTCATATTTTTTTTGTAAGCTTCTCATTATTCTAATAATGCCCGTTGAACTTCCTGCGTATGTGCGCACTTGAACTCTCTAACGAATAGTTATTGCGAAGAAATGCTCAAGGTTCTTCCCGACCCTAAGTTCGTCTGGAAGTACATGCTCGCTGTCACTCAGATTCCCCGTGGATCCAACCAGGGTGACGAGCTCTGGCGCCACAAGAAGATCCTCAACTTCCTGAAGACTCAGGCTGAGGAGTTGGGTTGCGAGGCCACCGTGGTCAAGGGTGACAACCTTGTTGTGAGAAAGCCCGCTTCTCCTGGATGCGAGGACAAGCCCATCGTGTGCCTGCAGTGCCATATGGATATGGTGGTTCAGAAGAACGATGACGTCGATATCGACTTTGCTACGGATCCTCTGACTCCCCGCATTGTGGACAACAAGTGGCTGATGGCTACCGGCACTTCTCTGGGTGCTGATAACGGTATTGGTATTGCCACCTGCTTCGCCATTCTGGAGGATAAGACCCTGAAGCACGGTCCTCTGGAGGTGCTGGTCACTCGTGATGAGGAGACTGGACTCTACGGAGCTGCCGAGCTGGAGGCCGGAGTTCTGAAGGCCAAGTACATGATCAACGTGGACTCGGAAGAAGAAGGCGCAGTGTGCGTCGGTTGCGCTGGTGGTTTCAACGTGCACATGAGACTGCCCACTCCTCGTCAGGCTGGAGAGGGAGAGGTGAAGAAGACCGTGATCCTCAACAACTTCTGCGGAGGTCACTCTGGTTGCGACATTGGTCTGGGCCGCGCCAACCCTCTGCACGTCATGGGACGTCTGCTGAAGGCCAACTGCTGCCCGTACCGCGTGATTTCGGTGGACTGCGGAACTGCCCACAACGCCATTCCTCGCAAGTGCGTGGTGGATGTGGCCGTGCCCGCGGAGAAGGCGGAGTGCTTCGACAAGTGCATGAAGAAGCACTTCGATGAGTTCGTGAAGGAGTACCACCTCATCGAGAAGACTGCCACTCTCGATATCGTGGAGAGCAAGTCCGAGCTGGAGCCCCTCACCGCCGAGGCCACGCAGAAGTTCGTGAACTTCATCAACGTGTATCCTTTCGCCGTGATGCGCTACTCTCCTTCGGTGAAGGGAGACATCGAGACCTCCACCACGCTGGCTATTGGCCGCATGGACAAGCCCGAGGAGTTCTTCTTCGTCGCCTCGGTGCGTTCCTTCGCGCAGTCCCAGATGGACATGATGTACAACAAGATCCGCTGCATCTGCGAGATGGGAGGACTGCAGCTGTCTGAGAGAATCGGAGCGTAGGTTGTGTGGTGATTGATTGTGGTTGTGGTTGTGATTTTGTGGTTTTTCTGATTTTTCTGATTTTTCTGATTGTGATTGCTCTTCTCTGATCGTGAACTTGCTTCTCACATCCATATAGTTATCCTGGATGGGAACCCAACATGGACTCGCCTCTCACCAAGGACCTCGTCGCTGCCTACACCGAGGCCACCGGCAAGGCGCCTCGTGTGTACGCCATCCACGCTGGTCTGGAGTGCGGACTCTTCATGGAGAAGTATCCTGAGCTGGACTGCTCTTCCATTGGTCCCGAACTGCAGTTCCCTCACTCTCCTCAGGAGAGACTGCTCATTGAGTCCGTGCCTCGCTTCTGGAAGGTCCTGACTCTGGCTCTGGAGAAGCTTGCTATGTAGATGATGGGATAGTAGTAGTACTAACTAAAGTCATTGAGCGCGAAGATTGTTTGTTTGATACAAGAAACACACGCAAACAGAAACAGAATTCGAATTTTAGAAACATGGACAAAGATAGTTCGATAGTTATTTTTTATTATTTTTTACAGAAGAGATAGATTCCGTGCCGCATCAGCTCTTCCTGCTTCAGGGCTCCGACCGTCGGTATCAGCTGCTCCATAAAACGCAGAGTCAATGTAAGATGGTCATAGTTCCTACGTCCCCAGCGCGCCCCGCCCCCTACATTTTCTGACTGAAGAGCGACGGAGACACGACGATCGCCAGCCCTTTCAGGCTCATGTGGTTGCGCTCCTTGTACAACGTCACCTCGCTCCAGAACCGGCAAAGATAGAGCAGAATGTACCGATTGGGCACGGGCATTTTGTGCAGCAGCGCGTAGGCCTCGTTCCGATCCCCCATCGCCGCGATCTCCTCGAAGAACGCGGAGGGGATCAGCCCATCGTCCCAGAACGAGATCGCCGACAGCAGCAGCATCGCGAGCTCCGCGGGGTCCTTCAGCGACCGGATGAACTCGTAGTCGCCCTACGCCTCACCGCCCCGCCGCGCCCGCACGTCCTTCATCCGCTTCTTCTGCGTCTCGTGCTTCACCGCGCTGCCGGGCTTCCGGAAGATGCCGTCGCAGAGATAGGCCTTGACCTCCACCATGGTCTCCACGATCGTCGTCACCACCTTCGGGATGTACTTGTTCCACCGCACCGACGGACTCGCGCTCGCGCTCGCGCTCAGCAGCCCCGCCTCGCTCGGCTCCGACGGCTCCGCGGGCTCCTGCGGCGGCTCGGCGCTCCACTCCACGTCGAAGCTGATGAGCGCGAGGCGGTCGACGCGGTTGGTCACGTAGGTGACGAAGGAGTCGTGGAGCTCGCTGGCCAGCGCGCTGTGCTGCGGCGACGTGCGACGCACCTCCTCGAAGGACTTGAACGAGAGCAGCTGGCTCTAGGCAATGGAGAGAAAGCGAGAAGGCGACGCGCTCGGAGGCGGAGAGATCGGGGTGGCGCGCGCGGACGGAGCTGGCCTCGGAGCGGCCCCACTCGAGATAGAGGTCGAGGATGTTGAGCAGCGCGTCGCGGCGCTCGGGCGACTGCAGAACCACGTCGATGGAGCGGCTGATGAGCGGCGTGACGAGGGAGAGGCAGCGCGACTGGAGGCTGCGGCGCTCGTACTCGAGGAGGTTGCAGGGCAGCTGGACGGTGATTTGCTAGGGCTCAGCGCGGGGCGGCGAGGGCACCTGGATTTCGCTCATGGGGATCGTGCGCTCCCAGCCGCCGTCGAGCAGCACGTGGATGCCGTCGAGGAAGGGCGAGAACCACATGTGCCCGATGCTGTACACCTTCGTCTCGGGCGTCTTGATGAAGTAGTTCGTCGAGGGGTCGAACAGACGGATCGGCGCGGACGGCGAGCGCGGCAGGCGGTGCGGACTGCAGCCGAAGCAGTTGGTCTGCGGGAGCAGGCCGTACTGGAACATGTTCTCGGCGGTCTGCTCCAGCGTGCGCAGCGCGGAGAGCGTGTACTCGTAGGGGAGGTTCTTGCTCGGCGAGGGCGCGATGTGCGAGAAGAGCAGCACTTTGAACTGGTCGATCTCGCTCTCCATCGGGTCCGGAGGGAGGAACGGCTCGCGCTCGTGGACCGCCACGGCGCGAAGCAGCACGATGATCATCGCGCCGATCTGCGAGGAGTTGCCCAGCGCGTCGGCGACGATCGAGGTGGGGTACAGCGAGGAGTAGAAGCAGACGGAGGAGTCGGGGTTGCGGTTCACGCTCTTGGGGAAGAGCATCAGCTGCCAGATGAACCGCACCACGTAGAGGATCGTGCTGCTCACGGCCAGCGGGAGCTCGAGCACTTTCTGGTAGAGCTTCTCCTCCTCCTCGCGCTCCACGAGGAGGAGGAACTCATTGCGATGCTCCGGGGGAATAAAACCGCCCTTGACAGAACGGACCCAGTCGCGAAGCAATGTGAAGAGAACGGACATGTTCGTCTCCGCGTCGATCACGTCGTAATCGCCCTGCGAGTGAGCGATGAGGAAAAAAAGAGAGAGAGAAACGTACATTGTTGACGCGCGTCTTGAAGTCGTTGTCGATGGAGGAGAGCGCTTTGATCGGGTATTGGAGGAAGGCGTGGCGGTGCGCGAGCACGTTCACAATGCGGAGAATCAGCGTGGGGATGGTGTGCGGACGGAACTGATCTACCGCGATTAGGTGGAGGAGAGACGAAGAGAGTACAGCTCACGTCGATGTGCATCGGGAGAAGCGATCCGATATCGCTGTGCTCGTTGATGAACGAGATGAACGACTTCTGCGCCATCTCGCTGATGAGATGGATGGCCTCGCTGCTCTGATAATACTGCGAGAACGACGTCATTTTCGAGTAGAAGATGCGGTCCGCGTCGTCCAGATTCGCCTGCATGTTCGCCAGCAAATGGCTCCCGGTCTTGTGGAACCAGACGAGCAGCACCTTCAGATAGAAACACCAGCGAATGCACTCCGTTTCGATTTCGCACGTCAGATTGATCGTGTGGTTGTCCGAATCCACCAGCACCAGCGTCATCTGCCCCGCTTTCGACCGCTTCAGCAGCACTTCCTACGCCTCACTCGGCATTTCCCAGCACGACCTTGACGTCCTTGATCGGCACCGAGTCGGACTCCGCGTCGTCGCCGACCTTCGAGAACCAGAGACGTTCGAAGGACGGCGAGAGATGCAGGACGCGGATCCGATGCGACCACGAGTTGAGAATGTGCCGCGTGAACACGCCGCCGCGAAGCAGGACACGCGCCACGCTGAGCCCGTCGGAGTAGACGTTGTAGGGGTCGAGATTGACGCTCTTCTCGGAGCTGCCGAAGCGAGCCAGGCCGGGGAGCAGGAGATTGTAGTGGACGAGGATGTCCATGACCTCCTCGGTGCGGTTGAGCTCCTCGAGCGAGCAGTCGAACACGCACGGCGTGACGGTCTCCGCTTTGAGCTTGGCGAGGTGGGCGGAGGAGAGCGTGAAGCCGGTTTCCTGGCCGGTGATGAGCCGCAGCGCGCTGACGATGATCCCGGTGAACTAGCCGTGAGCAGACGGGAGCAGGAGCACGGAGACATCGCAAGAGAACAGCGTCTTGCAGATGAAGTAGAGGACGAACGCGAACAGGGGCGGCGGGGGCAGCTTGATGGAGAGCAGATAGTTGATGAGCTCCCAGCCGCGCTGCTCGGAGTTCTCCTGCATGTTCGCGGAGGTCTGCTTCATCAGGAAGCAGTACGCGTTGTCCAGGATCTGGTCGCTGAGCAGCACGGCGCTCTTCAGCTCGTCCAGCAGCGACATCGGGTTCTCCTTCATCGGCAGGTCGCTCATGTACAGCATGATGATCACCTCCGTCCGCACCGTCGTCTGGAAGAACTGCCGCCGCACCGGCAGCAGCGGGCTCTGCGGCTCCTTCGGCGAGTAGTTGCTCAGGTCGTTCACCGACTGCCGCGTCCGCTTGTCGCGCAGGAAGTACATCGACGCGAACCGCGCGAACTCGAACTCGAACGAGTACGTGAAGTTCTCCTCCAAAAACTTGTAGATCCCGTCCTCCGGCAGCAGGCTGATGAACGGCCGCCGCACCGAGTCCTTCTTGCTCGCGTTGTACTCCTGGAAGTCCACCTAGCGCGTCACTCCGCGCGGTCTGCGTACCTCCGAGGCCAGCTGCGAGGCCTCCGACGTCGGGAGTCCGCGGCCTAGAAGTGAGGAACAATCTGCGAGGCCACGCTCGGCGAGGTCCTGCGTGCTGTACAGCGCGGCGATCTCTTCGTCCTAGGAAGGAGAAGGACGGCGAGGAAGGGTACCGTGTACACGCCGAAGCGCTGGAGATGCTTCATGTACTGCGTCACGCCCTCGTCGAACTTCGAGAGCATGCCCCAGTGCACGTCCATCGGGATGTTGTAGCGGATTCGGATCGATTCCGCCGCCTGGATCATCTCTTTCGTCGGGTTTTTCTCGCAGGACAGGATGCGCTCCAGAAAAAGTCCGTAGAAGAAGTGGAGAGCGTCCTTCGATGAGCGTTCTGAATGATTATAGAGAAAAAAGATAGGAAAACGTCGCCCGAAAAATTGATAGGGATTTCGAGTGGGGTATGTGCCGACTGTGCTACGACTACAAGTTAGATACAGAAAAAACACCAAAACAATGATTTTTCGAGAGAGTAGCTAGACATGAGACACACTCGATAGACCTACTTCGATGAGCGATAGATAGATGGCAGAGAGAGCGAGCCCGAGTGGCTGAACTGAAGAGACTTGACCTTTGCAGAATCATTTCTCCGATTATGGGCCGAGGTCACGGACTGCGTCCGATTGAGAGGGAAAAAGCCAGACTCGCCCAGCATCGTCAAACCCGCCCCCCATCCATTATCATAGTGTCTTAATACATGGATATAATCCTTTTCAACTAGATTCACCTCGTTCTGATTTTTCTTCTCATAACTTTTGATAATGATCGCCATCTACACAACAAATCAAGCTATATCAACAAACGTAATTGCACATTGTTTCATCGTCACTCTGCACCAGGTTATCACTATTCGCAGTCTCCAATCCAGAGGGACACGAATATAGAACTTCATGACTTCTTTTGTTAAAGTAATATATTTTTTTGGTCTCTGGATCGAGGCACTTCACATAGCACAAAGTGCGACTCATTATTAAAGGTGAAAGTGAGAAAAACCACAATTCGTTCGAAACAGACACACTATTATGTCTAAAAAGCTGGTATGGAAGACCAAAACGATTCGAAAGAGAGTAAAGGTGCCTCCTAAGCGGTTCGGAAGGCCCAGGAATAAGGTGGGGAAGGTGAGTTGCGATCGGAGTGGTATTTTGTCGTGTTGCATTGTGACGGTGTAGTCCATCAAGATGGAACACCCTGCAGCTATTATTGCCAGTGTAGTGACTGATGCATTGATTTCGATGTAGTTCTATGCAATAGTGGATTTGGCCTATCCCCTATAACGATTCAAAAAGAAGATTTTGTGGAAGGGGACTGGGATGAACTTCTTTCCATTTTCCAAGTGTTAGTCAACTCGAAAGCATTCATCGAGTTTTTGTGCAGCTGTCGCTTTTACACAAATCCAAGCAAGAAGGGGAAGAAGTACTACTTTGTGGGCGTCCTCAGTTCCTTTTTGCGCAGCGTGGCAATGAACCAGTCGGTCCTTCCCGAAGCAAAAGCTGCAAACCAGTTTATCAAATATTGCTTGAAGTGGATTCCGACGCTCAGACAGACGCCTCTCTCCGCCACCGCGTTCCTACACGAATACTTTCATCACATGGAATCAGAGCTGCGCGAAATCAACGCGCTCCATTTCAAATCTTGGTGCAGTCGAGCATTGCTCTCATGCGATCGCTGTAGTGATCCGCCCTGCTTGAAACCTAGTTAGGCCTCTTCGAAATCCATTCCAGTCTCTCGCATCGAAGCGAGAGCCAAACCTCATTCGAATCCACACACTCTCCATGATCGATCTCCCCATCACCACATCCAACACAACACTTCTCTATTCGAGTCTCTTTACGCCACACACTCTCTTATCCAAGTTTCTGCTGCAATCACTAGAGCCATCCAAATCGCCACACTTCCAGCCATCATCCCAATCTTTGCAACCAGCGAAGCCACCTATTTTAACGATTGCTCATTCCCTTCAAACCCTCTCCGATCCGATCTTTCGTTTCGGATCGTCATTACTCTTTCGGTGTGAGACCGATCAAAGCATGACCATCCCCGACTCGCTCTCTCTTCCCAATGTGGATAAGGAGGACGGAATTGTGATGTACATTCTGTGTACTGTCGTTGTGAAGCGGGAAGGCTGCTTCTACACTTACAAGCGGTTCTTCTCTCCGATCCAATCCGAATCTGGGAGTTCTAGGCTTATTTATGACTTGAAGACTTGGAGTCGGTGGGTTTGCGTGTCAGAAGAAGGATGGAACGCTGTTTCCCCCAAATTTTTGAAATCGGTGTGTCCCTATGTCCTCCACTATGAAAGAGTATTTTTCTAGCAACAATGCATCCTATTTGTTAAAAACGGAAGAGATGGCAATTCGGCCCGATTTTTGTCAGTGTCGATTATAATTAGAAATACGGAACATCTCTCTAATATAATATCGAATTTTGAGATATGCCTGTAGGTGGAAGGAGTCCACGGAGTTAGGATGTAGTATACCGACGATATCAAAGTAGTGCGTGGGATCGTGATTCTTGATGAAGAAGGCAATTCGATCACCAAGAAATACTACACGAACGATTTTCCTACTGTCGAGGCGCAAGAAGCGTTTGAACAGCAAATCTTTAAGAAGTTCAAGCCAGCGAATGTGAAGGATGAGAGTAGAATTGTGTGCCCATATTGAGTGCATAGCCACGATCGGTCTTCTTGATAAGTATGTTGTGATCGGAAAAGCAGGAAACGATTGTTCTATATTCTTCTATGGATCGGATAGCGAAAACGAAATGATTCTGATTACTGCGATGGATGGTTTCTACGAGGCTCTCAAGTTGATTCTCAAGTGGGTTCTGTTTTGCCTCCAGCAACGTCTAGAGACAAGCTAGATCGCAACGAGATGCTGAAGCGGATGCCATCCCTATTCCTTCTGATGGATGAGCTTTGTGATGCTGGGTACTTTTCGTAGCTCCTCCACGTAACTTGTAGCGTTTTAAAGGAGATCGACGGGAATGTTCTTGTGCGAAATGTAGAAATGCGACTAAAATACCCTTGTTTGTTGAACAACAAACACGCCTCTCAATCTCCACACATGCTCCTTTCCCGCTTATTCCTCCTGAGCCATGGCAGCCTTCTTCTCCGCCACGCGCTGCTTTCTCTGCTCGTAGGTGAGCTTCTTGGGATGAGCGAACTGCTTGAAGGCGGCAGCATAGTCGAAGTCGCTCTTCTTGGCGGGGGTCGGATCCGCGCGGATCGCCTTGTGCGCGTTCGCGTAGATCTCCTCCAGCATGTCTCCCTCGATTCCGTTCTTGATGTAGCGCGAGAACTGCTTCTCGTAGAGCTCCGCGTTCTCCTCCTTCAGCTGGTTCATGTACTCCGCGATGGGGGCGCCGAAGATCTTGTCGCGGTGCTCCTCCGCGTTGTACTCCTTGTCCTCGCGGCTGTAGCCATAGAAGCGAGTGTTCTTGTGCGGGATGTCCAGACCACCGTCGTTCGCGCCCTTCAGCACAGCGAACACGCGGGCTCCCGTCGTCGTGCGGCGCAGACCCACATCCAGGTAGCAGCGGAAAGGACGCTTCTCGCCCAGCTCCGCGACGAAGTGCGTCTTCTTCTCGCCCTCGCAGGTCTTCACCTCACCGTCCACCTTCTCGTTGCCCTTGTACATCTCGGCCATGCCCAGCTTCGTCAGCAGACGGCGAGCCACCAGCAGACCCGTGCAGTAAGAAGCAGCGTAGTTCGTCAGACCCAGCTTCACTCCGTAGCGGGGAAGCTCGGCAGAGGTAGCAGCGCACAGAACGCGGTCACCAATGATCTCAGCAGACACGATCTGAGCAATCACCTTGTGGTTGGTGATGCGCACCACCAGGCGGTACTTGGGGGTGTTGTACTTGTTCTTGGCCTGGATGATCAGTCGCTTACGAGCGTAGTAGTCGGTCTTACCCTCTAGGCATCAGCAGACAAACAGAACGCCTCCTACCACGACGACGACGCATCTTGGTCTGGAAACGCTTGAAGTAGGCTTTGTTCTTCAGAACTTTCACGAAAGGCTAGGGGTGAGTAAGGGGAGATCGATTCAAACCATTCTTGTAGAGAATTGAATTAATGTGAGTGAAATGAGTGGTAAAGTGTTCGTACAGTGGTTCATGATAGTCAAGGGGGATGGAAGAAATGGGAAAAGAAAGGGATAGAGGGAGTGTGGAAGGGGGATGAAGGGGAGTATGGAAAGGGAATGAGGAGAAATGGTGGGGAGAAGAGATATGAGTGAGGTGGTGAGGAGATGTGAATATGACGTGTGAGTTATTTTGGTTTGAAGAAGGCAATGGAAGTGTATGTATGTCATGGATAAAGGGAGGGTAATTTGAATGGGGTGTAAGAATGGAATAATGGTTGAAAAGAGGGTGCTGGTATGTTAATTTGGAACATTTTGAGTGTGAAACAGGAGGATTTTAGGGAGTGAAGGTGAGTATGATGGTAGTGGAGAATGAATAGGAACTTGTTGGTCGTTTGCTGTGTGTCAGTAGGAAGAAAGAGCGAATATGAATGCGTGACTCTAACATGGAATTACAGCAAATCGTTTATCCATTACACAAGCTGACAAGTGAAGAGAAAATGTGGATGAAACGATTTTGTGGGTTATACGATATGATAGCAATCGGCTGCAATACATGAACCTTCTAAATGTTGTCAGATAGAATGCATAATCTTTAAAATACCGACCATTTCACATATTATTATTTGGGAATTACGAGACTTTGAGATAAACAAATGGTTAAAAACGTCATTATTGGTGTGATCACTGTGAGACATACTATATCAAAAATGATAACAATCGTGCTGTAGGATTAGATAATATCGCTGAATTTACAATCACACTGGTGCTATCATAATGAAGGTACTATTAGAACAGGCAAAACAACACGGAAAGAATAGATTGTGTACTATTTCAATAGAGTGATCTGCAACACAATGAAGTCTAGTAATATACGATGAACAATGATAAAATAGAAAAGAATATAGAACAATACATAAATGAGGCAAGAGTAGATTAATATTTCCAAACAGAAATAACTCAAGTATATGATTAACTCAGATCCATTTAAGGCAAGAAAGATAAATGAGCGTCGCTCATTCTTGTCACTTCTACCACTATTTCTTTCAATTACCTTCTTCTGGCTCAGATATTGTCACAAGATCAGCAAAATTGGAAGAGACATCTGTAAGTTAAAAATAAATGAATAGAAAGAACTGTTGATTGTCTTTGATCGCACTACCTGGAATGAAGAACCAAGTGTGGCTTCTTGAACATTTGGAATATCTAAAAAACAAACCTACACTAAAACTACTCTCTAAAATAACCGAGCGAGGCATAAAGAAGCTACTTCCCCAATAATTGCAGTTGATAATGGATGTTAGACTTGGAAGATCTACGCTCCATCGTTTCAAATCATTTCATTCATACTTCGCATTGTCAGTGAACAAGAATCACTATCCTTTCCCTCAATTGCATCATAACCAAGAGTAATGGATTGTAATGATGGCAGATCTAGATCCATCATTTTATTCTATTGCATTCATTACTTTCAATCACTGTATGCAGGGATGCATTAAATGCAGCATCTCCTAATGTAATGGATTGTAGATTTGGAAGATCTATTCAGGATTCATAATTCAATATCATATCAATACCTTCAATAACTAGTGAACTACAATAGAAATTGCCTGAGATTTCATCGATTTCTCCAATTTTCATGGATTTCAGATTTGGTAGATTCTTCAATTCAAAGTCACCTCCAAAATCACAAAAACTGTATTCACCAATTTCAATCGATTCCAATGATTCACAATTCAATATGTAAAAGGATTTTGTTAAGTCAACAGTTTGTTGTGTCGCATTGTCAAGAATATCTTCCCAAATATATCTGTCGAGTTGGAAAAAAGAATCATTCTCAATGCTCAAGCTTATTAATCGATTCAATCCATCGATTTTGAAAGTTTGTACGGATCTAAAACAATGGTCCCCTATTTGTATTGATTCAACTCGAGTGAATCGAGAAAAATCAAATACTGTATAATCAGTATCGTTACAGGTCCAAGAGGGAATAACAATGGAAACAACAGATGATTCGATAGATTGAATATAGTCGAAATTGCGTACTTTTGGAAATAGCAATTCAGAAACATCTACACTGTTTAATAAAAATAGTAGTCTACCCTTCACAATTGGATGTGCAACATGTTCAAACTTTTTGGGTAAATAGACATTTTGGAGATTTAGAATATCTAAATACTATTAGTATCGACAGCTAGAATAACTTTCCAATGTTACTGAACGACAAAAATAGAAACTCCATCCATCATCATTCGTAATCGATGTTAGATTTGGAAGATCTATAAAGTAAATCATTATGAATCATTTCATTATTACTTCGCATTATCAAGGAACAGGTTTCATCTTCATCTCTTCCACAAATTGCTTCTCTACCGAGTTGAATGGATTGTAAGGATGGAAGATCTACATTCATCATTTCATTCTCATTCATTCAATACTTTCCACTATTGTCAAAGAGGAATACTCGAATGAATAATTGCCTAATGTGATGGATTGTAGATTTGGAAGATCTATGCATTACCCAAATATTCAATATCATGTTAATACCTCGAACCACAAACGAACTCCAATAGAAACTGAATGAATCACTTCTAATTGTACCAATCTGAATGGATTGTAATTGTGGTAGATTCTTCAATTCAAAGTCTCCAGCAAAATCACTGAAACTATAATCACCAATTTGAATGGATTCCAATGATTCACAATTCAATATGTGGAATGATTTTGATATATCTTTTCCCCTGTTATTCTTTTTTTGAGTAAATGAATTCTTGCCGATTTTGATTGTTTTCAACCGATTCAATCCATCGATTTTGAATGTTTTCACTGATCCAAAACAGTCATTGCCGATTTCGATTGATTCCAAATTGTACAACAATGAAACATCCCAATCAACCAATACACAATTGTCATTCAGTTTCAAATGTTTGATTCCAATATTCATTGGTTTGCTACCATCGCCTTCATATTCAGTATCACTTTCAATTCCATTATACCATTCACATTCATTCACTAATTTACCATATCGATCATACACTTTTCCAATTCCAAATCGCTTATCATCACACCAATATCCTTCATATTCAATCGCTCCACTATTATGATAACTTGTTCCGTAGCCAAATCGTTTCCAATTGATCATTATACCCTTGTACAACAAGAATCCATCATCATCATACATTTCACCATATCCAAATGGAATTTCCAACTTGTTTTCTGTCAATATCAATCCTTCAAATCGACTTCCATGATCCAAATCCACTATTCCCTCTTCTACAATGGTTTCTTCTTCATTATAGGAAATATCACCAATTTGATGATTTCCAAACACTTTCAACACTTTTTCATCATTGACGACAAATCCTCGATTCATGAATATTCCATTATTGAACAGCAATACTACACATTCTCTGTTGTTTAATAGGAGTAAAATCCAGTCATGAACTTTCCACTTCTCATTCAAGCATACTTGCAGACTTTCAATACTATAACTATCAGTGTAATAGTTATTAACAGCAGAATTGACAAAATCAACAATCTTTTGCATCGAAATAGAAAGAAATATGAAAAAGCATAATAATCAAGAACAGTGTTGATTACTTTTGTCCTGTCCTCAATTAATAAAACTTCTCTGATAACACAATAATAAACCAATTCATTTACTCAATAGTGAAAACAATTTGAGATATAATAAATCGCAATCATTCCACATACTGAATGGTGTGTTACTGGAGTCCATCCAAATAGACAAATATATAGTTACAGCGATTATGCTGGAGTCTTTGAATTGAAGAACCTACCACAATTCGAATCCATTCAAATTGGTACAAGTGGAAATGATTTTTTTGCTACGGTTATTCTTCGTGATTCGTGCTATTGCTAGGATCCTATAGATTTGAGTGAAAAGATCTTTTAAACTTACAATCCATTTTACTTAACACAGGTGTTCAGAATTGAAGATGCGAAAAAGAATTATGTCAAGTCATAATGCGAAGTAAAAATAAATAACATGAAATTAGTGAATATAGTTTTTGCAAATCTATCAAATATCAATTCTGAATGTGGAAGTGTGAGATATTTTCGTTTGGGAACAGTGGAAAGTGTTTCTAACTATTGATAATTAAAGATGTACTGATATTCCATATCTTTATGTACCAATCTATTCTATTTATTATATTATGTACGACCAAATCAATAACAAGTATTGATTGATTGATGATTGATTGATTGATTAGATCTCGATCATGAATGCTACTACTATTTCGCTGATGTTGTCAACGTCCAAGAGTACGAAATATGTTTTCTGGTTTATTGTAATATAGTAGTATTAATAATGAACCAAATAAACCAATTATCCTTTTACTCCACCTGGAATGATGATTCCACTAATCTTTTTTCAAACATTTTTCCTAATATAACTATTATCGGTAACACAAGAAATTGAAACACTCTAGCTTTGCCAATCTGAGTTGTGATGATGGAAAAGAATAATTCGATGATAGGATACTAAATCGATAACCAAAGAATGATAGTAAAGGGTTTGGAGCAAATAAAGAAACAACGTAGTTGAGCATTTAACATGCAATAATCACTGAACATTCACGAACGGAACGGTGTTCAATGGCATTTGTAGATTCAATGGCATTTGCAGATTCAATGGAACGGTATTCACTGGTATGACATTCAACGGATTAATTACTGCTCCATATAAAGCTTGGAGAACAGGCGAAACATCTAGGAATGAAATCAAATCCACTTAATCATACTCTCAAGTTTCTTTAAATTAACTGCTTGAAAGGAATTAACAAGCATATTCTTCATTTTCGAAGTTGAAATATATCCTGGAGGTAAACTAATATTACTGAGATTTGGAATATCTAAACAGGCTTATATGATATTTAAGCTAATTACTTATTAATATCACCACACGAGGATTAACAAAGCTTGCTCCCAAAGAAGTCAAGGATACTAAACTTGGTAGATCTACAGTTCATCATACTATAATCTCAATCATACTCTTCATTTTCAGTATACTATATTCACAATCTCTTTGACAGAGTGCTCTCCATCCGAGCTCAATAGACTGCAATTTAGGACAATCTATAACAATCATTTCGTTCAACTACATCCTATACCTTCTATTACTGTAATTACAGATAAGAAAAAGGCACCATCACCTAAAATAAGGGTTTCTAGATTTGGTAAATCTAACCATTATTCAATTACATATAACCCAACCATGTATCATAAATGAACCGTCAATAAAATTACCAGACTTAGAGTTAATATCACCGATTTTTAGCACTCGTAATGAAGGAAGAGTTTTCAATTCAATTTTACCATCATATTCTACAAAGCTAGTACTGCCAATATCTATGGATTCTAAGTCCACGCAATTCGAAATAATAAAATCAAAAGAACCACTATTCTTCGGACGTTCATGTTCAAAATCATAGAAACAAGTGTGGCCCACTTTCAGGCTCTTTAACCGATGTAAACCAACAAGTTCGAAAGTGCTACATTTTTTGAAACACACATCACGAATGTCAATGTATTTGGTGAATCGCGGAGCTATAAATGAATAACTGTCATTGAATCCAAAATCTTTGATTTTTAGCGTTTTCTTATGCAATAAACCTGCGAAAAAAAGATCAATTTCATTTTTAACCGGACAACAATAGACCTTCAACAAGTATAAAAAGAAGAAAATAGTGGCATAAAAATCGATCATAAATGCAACTTCGAGTCTTAATCCAAAAAATATAAACGGCAGTGCTACCAATACTACAATTGTTACAATTGCTATGATACTATATCGAATGTAGTATCCCGTCTTTGTATTGCCCAAAATCCATAGACCATCATACACAAGTTCTCCATCCTGATACAACTCACCGTATCCATGTTTTTTCCCCTTTAAATAATACCCCTGATAGATTAGTGTTTCACCATCAGCATCGAATTCTTGTCCAAAACCGTCTGGTATGTATTCGAAATCAGATTTTTTATAATAATTTCCTTCATACACCCTTAGCTTATTTTCAAATTGAGTCATTTTATCTTTCTCAAAAGTAGCTAACACTCTTGTCATTCTTCCTTCAGTAAACTCAATAATATCACTGATCTTACCATCATCAAAGTGGTAGCAGATTCCCTCCAATTTATTATTCTCGTCTCTCTTACATATGTTTACTAGTTTCTCCTCGGAATCAAATTCTTTATGATATCCTCCTTTTCCAAACATTTTTTTGACAGTCAGTCTCCTTCCATAGTCATATAATCCTTTGAAAACATAATTGCCCTCAGTATCATACTCCTCACCATACCCATTAGGACGCCCATCTATTATGGACCCTTCAAACCATATTCGTTTTTGTTCTTCAAAGTATTTAAGGAATCCTTCATAATGAGTTTCCTGACCATCCTTTATTTGTGCGACACAGTACAGCGACCCTTCTTTGTAACAAAGGCACAATCCTTCTTTCTCTCCAGTATCTTTGTTTCTCTCACTTACACTCAGCAGTGTACCATCCTCAGAATATTCTTTCCAGTATCCTCTCATCTCATTTGATGGAACCAGCGACATTCGCTTCCCCATTTTGAAATACCCATCAAACAGAACACGCCCCTCTCTGTCGTATTCCTTACCCTTTCCTGAACGATATCCACTCTTGAGCTTTCCTTCAAAGAATAGTTTCCCCGTAGGATCAAACAACTTGCATGGTCCATTAGCAACTCCAGCTTCAAAGCACACCTCTGCTACTAAAATATCAGCATTGGAATACACAGAAGCTTTCCCTTGCATAGTACCATTAACAATTTGTGCTTCAATTCTGTACCCTTCATGTGGACTATTCACAGAGAGCTTTGCCATCCCGTCAGGTTGGCCTTGCGTATTCACAGGGAACTGACTCGCAAAATCGGCTTCCCAACAGTCGCTTCGTTCTTTGTCAACAGGAGGCATAACGATGACCAGTTTCTTGTCAGTGGCAGTAGAGTTACCAATGGGCTGCTGCATGTTGTGTTAAGATAATAACTGATGGTTATCTCTTAACACAATAAATAACATACCATAAACAGAGAAACGCCCGATAATCACAAGTTTTTTTCTAAAAGTAATTAAAAATACTCTAGTTGAAAATATACTCACGCAAGTGATAATCTAAACTGTTCTCAACAAAAAGCAATAAGTACATATAGCAAATGATTGCGTGGTTAAACGTTATCACCGCACATTGCCTTTTCCATAAGAATTAAAAGTTTCTGTCTATAATGAGTTCATCATACAACACTATCAAAATTATTATCATTCCTAATATCCCATATTATGCCTAAACCATATAGTTTATTTTTAATGAAAAGCCCCAGTAAGCTTATTGATCAAAATCTCGATTCAACCTGCAATGTTCAAATATACTCTGCAACTCCTTCCTTATCATTCGTTTAAAATTCCACAAATTAGCTATGATCAATATAAATAATATAAGTAAATAATAATAGAAAAAAGAGAATGCAAAAATGCAAGCGGTGGGACTCGAACCCACGCGTGCGAACACACTACGACCTGAACGTAGCACCTTGGACCACTCGGTCACGCTTGCTTCTGTTTAGGTTCTCAACCTGCACTACTTATATTATACATCACCCTCCTATCCTTTTTCATCTCATTTCCATTCATTCATTCCCTCCTCCTTTCTTGGTAACAAACATCCCAAACAACACGTATGTGACATAAAGAGGTTGCTGTAGGCAAGGATGGTAGCTTCTTGCAAAAGCCGCTTTCTTCGTGTAATATCGCACAAATCTTCTCCGGTACTTCTTCAATGCGACTAACCCGCTCGCCATTGAGCAAAATATAGGGACTCACAGAGTACCATCGTTTCATCTCCAAATCTTCCATCTTCTCTTGCCAGAGCGTTGTGATAAAGTCTTCGTCCTGCAGACAGTTCCCAATATCTTCCACCGCATACCCCGCTTGATCAGCACATTGCGTCATCTTCCCATACCCATCACTTCCCTTACTACACGTCACTCCTCCTCGCCTCCCTCACCTCATCACGCACTGCGCGAACGGCCAGAACAGGTCGGGTCTTCCGTTGATGTGGAACGCGCAGGCTAACGCCATGCTGACGGCGATGTGTTTGTAAGTGTTGGGGGTTCGAAACTCGAACTCCGCGCGATCATTTCGATCGATCAAAACGTCAATCAGAGGATTGAAGCCAACGGTGACTTTATCGATGATCCTACGAGTGAGACGCGCACGAGAGAAGCGTACTCAGGGTCCGAGGCAATCCAGTTCATCAGGGGAGACAGCGCATCGACGTTATTGTTACAGTTTGTATTCACGTACACAGTGAGATTGACTGCTGTGGGGTGCCATCGCAGGGGCTCGATCGCCCTTCTCTTCTGACAGACCAGCGGCTGGCTCGGCAAGACGGCGTTGCACAATGCAGCGGCGAGCAGTTCCGATTCGTGGAACGGCTTCCCATTCACCAAAAACGTCAAAGGCATCATTTCCTTCAGCATCTGGCTCGCTTCCTTTTCGACCAACTGCCCTTCCATTTCCACCTCCACCTCCACTTCCACTTCCATTTCTTCTCCGTCTCCATCTTGATCGGCTTCTGCTTCCAACAGAGGATCTTCTTCTTCTTCTTCTTCTTCCTCCGCAGCAGCGGCAGCCAAATCAAATAAGACACGCGACTGCGATCGCTCATACACGGCTTGTTTCGCACGCAGCGTCATATTCCGCGCGTAGTTCCGCACCCATTCCGACTCCGCGCACTTCTCCAGCGAGACTCGGAACACGTCCCACTGCGCGCTGCACGTCCGGATCACGCTCTCCGCCGATCCTTCCGAATGCAGCAAGCACAGCTGCAGCTGGATCGCGCGCTCCGCGGGGAGCTCCAGAATCGCGCACAGCGCGGTGCGGCGAAGCCACTGCTGGTCTTTGGAGCCTGAATCGAGATCGGCAATGCCGGCGGGGTCGGCAATGTCGGCGAGGTCGGCAAGGCCGAGCGGGAAGAGCTCGATGGAAGTGAATGCGTGGAAATCGGGAGTGTCGATCGCTTGGAGACCGCGGAACCGGTCAAATGAGGCGCGGTCGGAAGGATCGTAGAAGATTTGGAGGCGGACGATGGGGTGCTGGATGAGCTCGCTGTAGGCTTTGAGGGTTCGCATGGAAAACACTTCGCGAGTGTACTTGGGGAAGCGACTTTGGAAGTTGGACACTCGCTGCATTTGTTCTTCTTGGTGGATCTTCTAGAAGTGAAGAGCGAAGCGAGAACGAACGAATATTTCGACGCGAACGCGGTAGTCCTCGCTGCAAAACGGAGGAGGGTTTGAAACAAGATCGGAGAGAGAGCAGAGGCGCTGTTGAAGTTTCTCAAAAAGAGGCACAGGATTGGATTCGATATTGTCCACTGAAAGCGGCTTATTGTTGATAAACAGTTGAGGAAAGGATGAAGAGTGCTGGTTACGGTACTTTTGCCCTAAATGGATCAGCTCTTTTCCTATCTAGAATGTAAAATACAAAAGAGAAAGCGCCAACTTTTTCAGGATTTTGCATACACTCATCGATCACACTGTATTGCAAGGGAGCAAATCGTTTGCATGTTGAATAGGCGTTTGCTGAAGTTCCGGGTGTTCTAGGTTGACCATGCAAAACGGTAAGCCTACAGTTGCACACAACGGACAAACTTGTGTGAGAGCTCAAATGAGTATTCACGGATGGCACAGTACTGTAACAACTGGCGCGAGCACTGATCTTCTCCATTTTGACAAATAAAAGATTGCGATTGGCTGTTCCACCTCATGCTACCAGATGGTATAACATCAATAATAAATTGACGAGAAATTCTGGAGAGCAGACAAAGTTAAAAAATACTTGTTTTGCAAAAACACAGGAAAGATGCCATCCAAAAGGATATCCGACCTGGTGGAGTTCTGCTCAGTAATTGCTAGAATCACAAACGGCAACTAAATGCGAGCCAAAAAACTGAAATACATTCTCCTCAGCCAGTGCTGATAGAGCTAACACTAAAAAGAAAAGCTCAGTGATCATTAAATACAAATGAATAATTTCGAAAAAAAGTTGTATTTATGGAATAGGTCTGAACTCTGTTTTTTAAACGCAATGAATATTCAAATACCGTCTTTCAGCATATCACCAAGTAGTGATGGCATAAAGGTGCGGGACTGTCAAGTTTGCATCATTTCTAGACGCCCATTTCCCTTTTTGATTCTGCTTCTCCACCTGAAAAGAAAAGTGTTTGTTTATTTTGTTTTTACATATTTTAGCAAAAACCTTTGAGGAATTACGAGATGAGGGAGTTCAAGAGGCGGAAAACGGAAATATAGGAAAGGCACTGAGTTTGCTGTCCCACGCAGCATCAATAAATGATAAAGATTACAAAACCTTTGAAATGATTGCTCAAGTCCTTTCTAGAAATGAGCCTTATTTGTAGCTTCATTTAATGCAATCAAGACCTTTTGGAGCTGTCAAGGTAGACTTCATTTTGTTGTTTCCAGATAGTTTGCATTGAAAAGTATCGGAATCAAACCTGACTGGTGCGAAGGTTATATCACACTGGCTAGAGCCCAAAGGGAGATGGGAGAGGTACTACTCTCTCTTGAAAGCTACCAGAAGGCGATTGATCTCCTTGACCGCGCAGAGTCGCTTTCGGAAGAGGAAAAAGAAGAAATTAGGCGCGAAAGAACTGAACTCGTTGTCCTTTTGGATGTATGCCTTGTAGCTTTTTGCTATTTAGAACTACAAGACCGAACATGGAGAGTTACAGGGACGAGCTCACGTTGTGGAAAACCTGAATGCAGTGGATACCCAATTTGTTGACTATTCAAGTGTACGGGAAATATGGAAGAAGGAAATCGAAGCTAGCGAATTTGAATTACAGGAACGTAAAGAAGAAGAATCCGAAGCAGCCAAGGCGGCAGCAGCGAATATTACAAGAATTGATGAAGAGAAATTTACTCAGATGGAGCAGGAATCAAGTGTTTGTAACAAACAAACCATCCAAATAGAGGAAGTGTATACTTGCTCTCTCTATTCTTTTTAATTTCACTAATGACCCTCGTAAAATAATGGATAATTACCACAAATACAAAAAGCAATGTGAAAAACAATAGTACAACTAAAAAGTAGCCAATTTTCGATGGATTTAAAAACCAGTAGGGATACCAGTGCGAACTGCTAAATATACCATACAATGTGGCTTCAATGTAGTAGAGAAGAGGATAAAGTATGCAACTTGTATATATCACCTTATTACTCGTATTTAAAGGAGTGAAGTAGATAAAATCAATCAATTTGGTAACCGGAACAACCAAGTGGTCAAACACACTGAAAACAGCTTTCCACGTCCATCCCCACGCCTAAAAATAAGAGATCATAGAAAATATCTACGAAGCCAATAGCCAGCATAAGCCAAAAAACAAGGCAAACCATAAACATATTGATTGTTGTGAAAATACTATAGCCATCTAAAAAAATACCCATCTTGTCAGTGGGACATAGCAAAATAGCACTCTGATCATCCCCAAGATTGTTCTTCTTCTTATCTTGTTTACAATACTTGTAAAGTACATATATTCCCTTCATAATGAAATACAACCATGTTAGAAAGTTGGTAATGACAGTAAAGAACTGAAAGTTGCGATAGTTCTCATCCATAATGGATTTGATAATCTCGTAAGTGAACATGGGAACAGAGCAAATCCAGACAACATAAAACCAAATGATTTGATTCATAATAGTTTATTGGTGGTTGAAGTTGGTGTAAGTGAAACTTCCATTTATCCAGTACTTATAGTATTGGTCCCAAATGAATTTTAGATCTAGAAGTTTTTTATACACTGCGTAAATAGAGAGACTGAGACTGTTAATAGTCAAATTGAAGATTCAATGGAGATAATCTCAGGTGCTTGACAATGTGTACAGAAAGGATTTTAATATTAAAAGGAAGCGGTAATAGACAGTTTTAGAGCATCAAGGTATATGGTATTTCGGGAGGAGTATTAGGGATATTGAACCATTATATTACGCTTAATTATCCATAATCTGATCATTTTTGGTGTGAAGAGTGGAAGAATAGAAGTTCCACGTTTCCACGATAACAGTAAAAAAGAAAGGAAGGAACCATTGAATAGTATTGATTTGTAAGAAATCAATGAAACTTGGAAACAAGAGATTGATTTCAAAGATTATCTAGGGAAAATAAAAAGCAAGGAAAGCCTACTCTTCGAATCTGGTATTTCTTGTAGAATGACTCTTAAAAACAAGGAGGTATCTCAAAAAAGGGAGAACTATTCCTGAAACAAACAATCAACACTGAAATGGGAAGTACAGTACTACTAGCTCTCTTCTTCTTTATAACACTAATAATCTTCGTAAAAGCAAAAATAACAAGAAGAAAAACTACCAACAACCCCAAGAAATAAAGGACAATTTCAAGATAGCTAATCCTAGACGGGTTCATAAACCAGTAAGGATACCAGTGCGAACTGCTAAATATACCATACAATGTGGCTTCAATGTAGTAGAGAAGAGGATAAAGTATGCAACTTGTGTATATCACCTTATTACTCGTATTCAGGGGAGAAAAGAAGATAAAATCGATCAATTTGGTAACTGGAACAACCAAGTGGTCAAACACACTGAAAACCGATTTCCACGTCCATCCCCACGTCTAAAAGATAATATGGAATACTTATCACATACGGTTGTTGCAGCTAGCATTGCCCAGAATACAGCGCAGACAAGGAGCATGTTGATTGTTGTGAAAATACTATAGCCATCTAAAAAAATACCCATCTTGTCAGTGGGACATAGCAAAATAGCACTCTGATCATCCCCAAGATTGTTCTTCTTCTTATCTTGTTTACAATACTTGTAAAGTACATATATTCCCTTCATAATGAAATACAACCATGTTAGAAAGTTGGTAATGACAGTAAAGAACTGAAAGTTGCGATAGTTCTCATCCACAAAGGTGTTGATAATCTCGTAAGTGAACATGGGAATGGAGAGAATGCAGACAACATAAAACCAGAATAAACGACCCATTTGTATTTGTTTGGCAATAGTCTGACAATTGATTGAAACTCCCATCTTACGTAATATGTGTTTTGTGTGATATGCACAATTCTAAGTTGTGGAGAATAAATTGTTAATATATGGAGAAATCGATTATACAAATCGATTCATTAATAACGAGAAGAAACACTTTAATGTTATCCCCACTTCAAATAAGAGGGAATGATTCCGAGTTATTACTTCTAGTCAATGCGATATTATTATTATTATGTACGGAAAATAGCTATATTTTTGACAAATGGAATAAGAGGGTAATTTCAAGAGTCGCCGATTCTTATGTAAATATATAATGTATATTGTGAATTTTCGATGTGTTGGCACAAAATGTAGGGTATTTCAAATGTGGATTGTCAACAGTGTGTAGATTACTGCAGTTACACCATTACGCAAATTGTAAGTTGCATGGACTGATAGAATAAGCAAAATTGTACAAAAGGGGCCAATTCGATTAGATACACTCCTCAATACTATATTGATAGATTTGAGGAAAGAAAATGGTATCAAGAATGATAAATCTTCGAAAACTACAAGATACCAATTACAAACAATTGTAAGGAATATATCATATCATAGAAGCATTCTAGTCTATATTTTCACCCTGCATTATGTCATTTCAAGTCCGTTGAAAATTACTTCTGAAATCATCGTACAATCTCAATATAATACATGCATTTTATGATTATACTACCAAAAATACACAAATCTATCATCTAATAGGAAATATAAGGAGTAAGTGTTATTACTGGAAAATAATGTATACAGGAGTATTAACAACCGTGGATTGTGTTATAGGACAACACTAGTCATCGAACAATGACAAATGCCTTTAGTACTATATCACAAGGGAAATAATATTAGTGAATACAGATATAGTACTAAACTGCAAAAATACAATAGCGATGAATATAAAAGGAGTAATAATAATGGAGATTTTTGGAATGACAGATATTTGGCATATAACCTAGAATACATCAACCTTTTTACAAAAATCAAACAAGAATGCAATAATAGAATATATTGAATACCCAATTATAAATAATTTGGCTCGATATGCACAAAAGATATGTTCTAATACAAAGTGTATTCCTACACGTCTTGATAACATGGTTTTTCACATCATACGCTCAAAACTTACCTATTTTAAGTAAAATAATATTTCTTACGTTAATACCTAATATCTAAAATGATAAGATCCTTTATTTTACATAATCCTTGCTTTTATCGTTACATCTTTTTATTTGGAAATAAAAACGTGATGAAGGGATGTATCTACACTATACCATTATTACATATAGCTGAATTGACAGAAATACAAGGAGCTCAGTATCTACTGAACAGATACATAACACTCGGTCCTTCCGAACCTATCGTGAAAAATGTTGTCCGATACACGATTCAGCGCTATCAGGGTAAACACAAACACGAATTTCTCGTACGATCTCAAACTGGCGATGTATTTTTGTATGAAAATAACGTTTTGAAGCAGCGCTGGAGAGAGAATGAGAGAGGAAAGAAGTCAGAGGAGTTTATCGCATACAAGAATGGTCGGGTTGATTTTCGTCAACGATTCGATGATATTACGGAGCAAACAGACTTTTATCGCATTGTTAATCATAACAAAGGACTTCGCATGGAGATTACTTCACTCAGGACAGGGCTTATGATGTATCACGGAGAAGTCAATGAGAGTCATCAGAGAGAGGGTTGGGGCATCGAATACGATGAAGAAAGTGGAAAGATGGTTGTAGAAGGGATGTGGAGCAAAGGAGTATTGAAAGAAGTGATTCGATGTTTCAATGAAGACACAATGACTGAATTAAAACGAAACGGAGCAGATAGTTTGGATCCAACGAAACGAATTCCGATCTATGTGGGTGGTTTTCGCTATGATGAAGACAATGAAACATTTATTCGTGAAGGGAAAGGATGTCTGATTGATGAAAAGACTGGAATTGCCACTCGAGAATGTGAATGGAGAGATGGAAAGGAAGTGAGTGGAAGAGATTTGTATGACGGATGGTATAATCCTAAATCGAAATATGCTTTTCCAACAATCACAATACCTAGACCTGCTCGAAATCATAAATTTGTACCAGATCTCTTGGCTGAAATTAATGAATCACATGATTATCTCAATTTAAGTTTGCAAGTGACGGATCTAACAATATCTTCCAATTGCTGCAATGATCTTACTGACCTTAATTTAAATGATTTCGAGTTTTTACGATCTGTCAAAATTGGCGATGATTGCTTTGGACTTGTGAAATCATTAAAAATCGAAGGACTATATCGATTGAAATCTCTGAGAATCGGAAGCAATTCGTTTACCCAAGTGAAACAACCTGAATGGGATCAATTAGGTCATGCTGAAGCTGTCAAAAGATGCAGTCAATCGAAATCATTTCACATTTTGAATTGTAATTCACTGGAATCGATTGAAATTGGTGAATACAGTTTTGTTGACTATGCTGGAGACTTTGAATTAAACAATCTTATGTCTCTGAAGTCTATAACACTTGGTACAATTGGGCAAAGGTCATTCAATTTCTATTATGGTTCATTTGTGATTCGAGGTATTGATATGACCTTTGTATTGTATGATTAGATCTTCCAAATTTACAATCCATTACATTAGGTGAGCGTACATTCCGCAGATCGCGATCAACTATAATTGAAAGTACTGAATGAGGTCAAACGAACTGACTTATATAGATCTTCCAACACTAAAAACACTAGAACTCGGTTATGCCGCTCTTTGTGCAATAAGAGAAAACTCTTCATGTTCATTGACAATGCGAAGTATTGATGAAATGATTCGAAACGAATGAATGTAGATCTTCCAAATCTCACATCCATCAATTCTATAAAGTACAGCTTTCTTTGGCCTCGTTCAGTGACATTGGAAAGTATTTCTGATGATTTAACATTCATTGAATGCAGATATTCCAAATCTTCAGAATGTTGTCCTTCCTGATTCATTTAAGAAAATTCAATCGAAATCTATTTCGAGTATTCCTTGCTTGATTTGGTTTCATTCACAGATAATGTTTCTTCCATTCTCGCTGATCTTGTCATAATTGAAGAGCCATACAAGCATATGAACGTGAAAATTGATTCCATGCATTGATCATTTTTATTTTTATTAATAATATTTCTCTTTCTTTGTTTCTAACCCCTCACAATTATGCTTCGGTAATTGATTTGGGATCCAATCTCTAATTTGCTCTATTCCAATTACCATTTGGATGTTCGGCAGCAAACGAGAAAACACACGGATCGTCTCACGACTATCGCGCTGTTTCATATCTTTCGGAGCAACATCCAACTCATCTCGTGTCTTGGAAACGCAGGCTCCTGGACGTTCTTCATGCTTTTCTGCAAAGTTCGTTCCAGCCAATGCCTCCTTCGCTTTCGTCGTCGTTTCATCCACTTTGATCGGATTCATCAGCAATCCAGGAGGAAGTAGCGTTCGATTCGCTCGCTTTCGTCCCTGGATGTAGTCGTACTCTTCTGGAAGTTCACGATCATTCACGATAAGAGAAGAAACGGGATCTAGCTTAATTCGCGCATAGGAAGGATTGTTCAGATCTCGGATGTGATTGCCAAGCATCAAACTTTCGTAGAACGACTTGAGCAACACATGAACGTGTGCAGATGGTGTGGCTCCATAAAGCTGGATCGTAAGATGCTGATCGTTCGGCGTGCAAATCATTGAAATGGGAGCATTGCTCAGTTGTCGAGCCCAGGAGCCAAAGAACGCATAATGTTCAGTAATGTTCATCTTGGAAACATGATAAACGCTGATTCGAATCGTGTACAAGGTTCCATTCCTATCTCGAACATACAACACATATTATGTTTTCCAGGCTTCAGATTGTGAATCAAAACATAGCCATCGACCCTTGCCAAACAAGATTGCAAGGATTCAATTTCGTCCTCGCTCGACTCGCAAATCAACATATAGTCATTCAAATCATCGCTGATGAGAGGAATCAGAGCTTGAATCTCTTCGTTCTCAGCCACTTCCCAGTTCTTTTTCACGTTGAAGGTTTCGAAATGAAGCGGGAACACAGTGCCATTCACATCGATTCGGGTGATATTGCGGAGAAGACCCAGCGAAACCTCTCCCTTCTCGTCTGTTTCGAGCGAAAATCGGAAGGTCGATGTGCTGTAGAGGTGGTTCAGCTTCACACTCACAGGCAGACTGGGATATGGCTCGCCTGCAGGACCGGATGCATACACAAAGAACTCCACTCCCTGCGAGGTTCTCTTTCTGAACAGAGAGTACGAAGGCTTGACTTCCTCGATGTTCAGATTGCGCTTCGGATTGTAGTCGGTAGAATACAAATCCAACGAAGCCGACAACTGCTTCTTCACTCCATTATTCGTCACAACGGATGCAGTAATACTCGCCTTTACACTTTGAATCGGCTTTGAAATGCGCAGGGGAACCACTACCTCTGCATCATCTTTCAATACTGGCTTCACAGTCACTTCCGATGCAATGTCATCCATATCCTTCATGGAGAGAGTGATCGAAACGTCCTGTAGGAGCGAGTTCGGGAAGGGAGTTTCGTTCAGCATTGCGGATACGCGCAGAAGCACCTGGCAATTCTCATTTCCTCGCACGAGCGCCTCGTTATCGACATCGCCCTTCAGTTCGAGCGCAAAACTCTCCGCAGGGATGGAGAGATCGCACTTCTCCGTGTACACCCAGTCCGCTTCGATCTCTTCGCATACCAACGCCTTGAACGTCTGTCTGCTGCTCCCAGGAGGAAGATAGGGGATCGCAATCTCGTGATGGTCGTTCAATTCGTACTTCCGACCATCCAGAAGAACATAGACGTTCGATTCTTTGCGCTCTCCCTGCTCGTCCAGAACCGTCAGCATCAATCCCGACAGCGATTCGCGCACCAAAACGTTCAGTTGACCCATATTCACCAAGAAACGACTGCTCTGTCCCTTCGCAAAGAAGTCCACAGCGCAGCAGCCGCGATGATTGATCGTCGGGAATATAAACGTCTCGATATGTCGCTGAATCGCAGGCAAATGATAGTGCATGATGCCCGATGTGATCGGTCTGAGACCATCCAAATCGATCGTTGTGGAAATCGGAGAACTGTTCTTTTCGTAGTAAACGCGCGTGTTGAGCTCGAACAGCTTCCATTCCAGCACATCCACGTTCTTCAGCTCCAGGGAAACGGACACTTCGTCTCCCACTCTGTAACACTCCTTGTTGCCTTCCAGAATTCTCAACCGAACTTGATCCCTCAAATCTGCGATCTGTTGATCTGTGTATTCCTGACATTGGATCGATTGGCCACTCAGCAAGCATGCCTTCTCGTAAGACCTCGTTACCGAACGACTGTCGAAGTACCGATAGAACGGTTTGGGCGATTCCTGAGGAAACAAATGCTCCAAATAATCGCGATCCAGCGGATACATCGATAAATCGCAGCTTTTCGTTTCCTTATCCCATGTTTCCGTTGCCGATCTTGCCTCCAAATAATCCAAATACAATTCTTTGTCGTATTCTCTATGACTGCGCAACAACTCCAGCAATTGTTCGAACTCGTTCGCTATCCCACTGATCTTGTTCTTCTTATAGAATTCGATTCGTCGCATACACACTCGTTTGGCTCGCTCAAAATCGGCCTCATCACTCTTCTCGCTGCGTTCTGGGTTTCCAAAACGACCAATGTATGCATTTAGGAAGTCAGAACGTGTGTAAAGATCGAAAGAATACTTCGATTTCACCTGGCTGCGCAGCTCTTCCATTGCATCAAAGGTCAAGAGATTCAGGAAAAGCGAGGCAGTTGGAATCTGCTTCCGCTCCAACGTTCCCAGGTACTGCATTATCAGTGGAACAACGTTCAATCCCTTTCGATCCAAATGTTCAAGAATCGTCTTTGGAGAGAATTTAGCATTTGCTGAGGATAAATCCTGCTCAAAGAAATAGGAAGTGTAATGAGGCAGAGAATCGTCGAGAACCACTTTGAGAATATCGGATTCCTCTAATCTTGTCGGATACGTCTTTTGTGATTTAGTTTTGCGCCTATACGAGTACTCATCAGGAACAAAGTCCAGATTCAGAATTCTTTCCAGATAGCTACTTAACTCAGGAGTAACGTCTTCATGAACGCCTTGTAACAATAGTTCGTAACGCGCTTTCAACAAGTCTCGTAATTCTCTCAAATCATAAGATAGACGTCGCTCCTCAAGAACGTCTAAGAGTTCTTTTTGCTTTTCCAAGGATTCAGGCTCGTACACTTGATAGTAAAGAATCTACGTTTGAGCAGAAAGGAAATACAATACATTACTGTGTAACATATCTCCTCATTACCAGAATAGCGCCGCTTGGTTACACTCAGCTTATATTGGCATTTCAGTGACAGTAATCTATAAATCGCAATGATAGTTTGCCTAATTGTGAATACCTGAATTGAACGATTGCATACCATAACTCTCTCTACAAAGGATTTACCAATTTATTGGATCGAATTTGGCTAAAAACAGTTTTGGGGTATGTCACCAACTATTCATTTCGACCACCATTCCAATAACTTCAATACACAATCTTTACTTTATTTAGTTCACACCTATAATAATAATTATAATTATAAGCAATACAAAACAGCTCCATTTCATTTTCACTCCTATTTCGACACCATCGTTACTCTTGAATAAGTAGCATTAGCATCTATCCAATTCATTCGTATTGTATTGTTGGATAATAAGTCAACCAAAGGAAGAAAAGGAAAATAAGGAAGTTATTGTGACACTGATAAACTCTCCAACCCAGCTACATCTCTGCTTAGCATTCCCTAAAAAATAATGCCCCAGCATATTACTTCAGGATATGACTGTTCATTTCTTTCAGAAAAGTCTAGTATAGAACTCTCTAGCATATATCTCATGAGAACTCCACTTTCTATAGAATATCCTATATCATTAGAGTCATATCATCAAACTCGAAACCAGCTGCTTTTTGTTACTCGCTAATTAATAAAAACACATCTTCTAGGTTCTACAAATAATATATATTACCATTTTCTAAAATGCTTCTTGTTACCCCAAATCAAGGTTTAGCATTCCCTGGTCTTATTTTTCAATTAAATTTTGATTCTAAACACATAATCGCACATAAAAATGATTTGCAAACCATATTATTACTTATGGAACGAATACAAAACACAATAATAGTTTCTTTCATACTTTTTTTGAATGGATCGTGTATTTCTATTATTTGGCCAATATGTAGCAACCATCATTTCAACCTATTCCTCAGTTATCGTTTTCCTCTTTAGGCCGTTTAGAAACGGTTTTGGTATTGTTTTCTACTTATTTGTAGACTCCCTTACCGTCTGATTTTGAGAATACTCAGAATGTTCAGAAGAATTTCTGTGTTGAGGATTAGGTGTATGTTCAATCTGTTTATTCGTCAATGTCTTCTGCAAATCAAGTAATCTTGATTTTTTAATTTATTATTGTTTCTAGATTCCATCAGCACACTCTCCAAATAACGAACCAGTACAGCATGATATTCAAGAGATGGATCAAATGGATGAAACAGACAAGAATCCCACCAATCCGGAAGAGGGTGTCTCTATCTCAGTAGATGCTTCTCATAACACAAACGAAAGACGTATTCTATGTGAGTATCTGATAAGTAGAATCTGCTGATGAAGAGCAATCCTGTTCTATGGGCTCAGTTACTACAGAAGACGTACGAGCAGCACTTGCTCAACTATTTAGCAGTAAAAGCTGTTGCTGGCCGAAGAGAGCAATAAAAGAAATGGATATAACGATTGTAAGGCACTCATCATAAATCACAATCAGAATAAAATGTGGAGTTGCTATGTCTGCTCTTGGGATATCTTCTCTGAGGAGCGCTCAGCCGATGCCTATTACCGAGCAGACATAAATAGAATGGTATCTCAGCTGAATTCTTTGTAATGACTGATAGATGGATACTGAGGAATATGGTCCGATTCCAAAGCTTTGGGAATATCCGATCTCTCCCCCAACTCGATTTAAGGGTGGAAGGAAAACGATACGCTGGCCACATACAGATTGTAAAGAGACATGTCCTAAGTGTGGTGGCGATTGTAGAGTGAAGTGTACAAGATGCCATGGTAGAGGAAGAGTTACCCGTTCACAATATGACTCAGAAACTGGAAAACGCACGTATGAAGGTTATTGTATTGTTTTAAAAGTGTAGAACCACTACTGAAACGTGTAGTCGGTGTTCTGGTACAGGCAGAATGGAATGTCCTGAGTGTCAGGGAAAAGGATATGTGATAGGATTCGTTATGGTATAATCTAAGCAAGCATGCTTCTACTCTAGGCCACTGTGAACTATTATAACAGCAATATATCTCTTGTCTTATATGGAGGCGATATTCCGCCTGATCCTATTTGTGATGCAGAGTCATCGCTATGTTTCGAGTATTCGTCTGGTGCATGATTCATCATAGAAAAGAAGGACCGGATTTACAGGCACCGAGAGATTTTGAAAACAGCGATATCCAGGAAACGTGTTTTGACTTGGAGAATCGCGCAGCAAAGGTTCCGATTGGGAGACAACATGATCAATAGAGAAGAGCAGAAATCGAAGAAAAGCGGAGAATAAACAATCAACGTCTCATGGTGAGCGAGCTACCGATTATTGAGGCTTATGGGACATGGAAAGGAAAGAGCTGTGTGTTCTGGGTCTATGGAAACGATTTGAGAGTTTATGCTCCATATTATGAGGAGATGTTTTCTTCTTGTTGTACTATTATGTTTTCTGTTTGTTTCTAAGAATCATAAGGTAGATGGTTAGTTGATGGGAGGACGATCCATTCCGAATTCATTTGTGATTGAATGATGATAAGTAGAATAATAGGATTATTGTTGTTGAATTGTTCCAAAATAATGATTGGAAGGAAATCGGAGACTGAAATCACGGTGGATGGCTTGTTATCTCCTTACTGACTCTGGTAGAAAGTAGAATCAAAGTAGGGATGAGTGCAGGATTATTATCATCTATTCTGGGTAAAGTGTATGAAACGGGTCGATCAAATAATAAACCACTTATCAATATAGATGTGAAAGCACAGGTTGGGAATAGATGGTGTTTTCAATTACCATCAACTCCAGAATCATCACATCTATATGTGTATCTAGTATCTATTTGTGTAAAATAGTAATAATATTATCATTCCAGTTCAAACTTCTACACTACTCTACGATCCATTCGAAAACTGAATGATCATCATTCGTTTGCATCCATTAAATCATTGAAACTTGAACATTACACAAATTAGAGTGATTTAATATGATAACAACATGAGTGCTTACAACCAGTACGAATTAATTTTTCTTACCAAAAACGAAGCAAAATTATCCAAATTTACTGAACCTATTCACCTACTTCCAAATTCGTGTAGTTACCAAGTAATCTTCATCTAGGCAACATAGACATACTTGCTACACTACGGAACTCATTTTAACACTGATAAACAATAGATATGCTTGCTACTTTCAATTATCTTTGATATTCCCTTTCAATCTTCCTATTCCATCCGTCTCGCAGTTAGAAATGAAGTAGATCAAATATACGTGTTTGCAAAAACAATTCTATGAAAAGACTATGAAGATTCATCTCTCAGAATTCCATAAATAGTCAAATATTTACGTTGTCAGTATATTTTGTAGAATGAAAATGGACAAAGGTGTATTACGACTACATCAGCCATCTGAATATAAATATCGTGTTTCTGGTCATAACAAGATGATCAAGCTGCCCAATGGAAAAGTAGGTTCTCTCTTTTTTGCTGAATATATAGATTGCGAAGCAAGCAACCGAAAAGGAGCGGTCATGTTATGAACAAATTATGAGATCGAATTCGGATCTTGCTCGTTTTAGTGCTTCCTATTTTGGTCTCCAACCTATAGAAGTTTCGTTTGTTCTATACTATAATATTGCAGATTATATCTCCCTCAAATGAGCCCTTGTGTAGACCTGAGGGTTTACGGTATTCCCTGCACTTGGACGATGATATTTCAGAAAGTTCTGAGTTTCTTCAGCAGTAATTGTCTGGCATGCACTTCATTCCATAGTGAGCCCATTTTGAACGGCTATTTAGTTTTGGAAGATTTGAATAAATCTTATGTGCATCCCTGTATTTTAGACGTGAAAATCGGCACGCGTACCTATTGTACTTTTCTTTCTTTCTTTCTTTCTTCACTCATCTGAAGGGGACGGAGCGCCTCCACAGAAAATCGAGCGGCACAACCGCATGTGTCAGTCCACCACTTCCGGCTCTCTCGGGATGCGTGTGTGTGGCATGCGCGTAATCACTCTGAATCTTCTTCACGATAGGTTTACCGTCCGCAAAGCCACGACTGGCTAATCGAGGATAAAGAATGGGGCAAATCGCTGGTAGCCAAATCGATGTTATTGGCGATCGCCTTGTTCTTCTTTGATGGCAATTCCTTTCGTCTGGATGTTCTGGAGATCGTTCTGGAGAAGCTTCTGAATCTCCGCGATATCGTGCGACGCGTAAATTAGCGCAGAAGGAATGAGAAATAGTCGAATTGGAGGTTCTGGTCGTCGTCGTTTTTGTTTACGTACGAGAGCGAATGGGGAAATAGAAGCGAACCATAATCGGATTGATTTTGGGAATTGCAACTTCTCGGATTGCTATGATACGCCGGATGAAGTGGGGATGGAGATGCACTTTGGCACTTGGCAGTCTGATTGCATATAGCAGACTTACAACGAATAGAGCTGTGAATTACCAAGAAAAAGCGGTTTGAGGCCAGTTTGAGTTTTTTTGTATTCTAGTTTTTGGCTGTTTGTTCAAATAATAAGCTCTATGGACATTGAATACGCCGATAACGACATCGGTAGGTTTGCTTGACTGATTGTGGGTGTGAATGAGTCTAACTCTGCAGATCTTTCCGAAGATGAGACTGTCGGGGTTTTACCGTCGTGTCCAGATAGCAATGTAGTTAGAGTGTATTTCATGCCAATATTTTAGGTTATTGACGACACCAGTTTAAACATGGAGCTGGAAACACTAGATATCGTCGATATGGTCGCAAGCAGCGATGTATGATCCTGTTCGATGTTATTCAATATAGGATTTTGCCGACAAGCAAGAAAACCCTAAAAGTAAGCTGTGATCATTCTAATCGATTCTAGTGGCAATCCAAGGAAAGCTATGTCTATCAGAAATAAAAGTATGTTGTGTCTAGGCATTTTCCCTAGAACCCAATCTGGGATCAAGGAAGGGATATTCAGCATAGCTTAAAAGATCATACATTTATGATCGATGACAGTGGTACTATTAACGAAACGCTTCCATCTGTAGCTTTTGAAAACTCCATCCACAACCCCTTTCTAAATCACATCAATTCGTTTCGCTCAATCCAAGTTCCAAACACAGTGTATTTAGGTATTTCCCTGCACCCGTTCCTCATTCAGATGCAAACGACACAAATCTGGTATTCTCTTGTGAGATTCCGGACAGCACTTCCAGCCGTCCCACGCATGTCTCCAACCGCAAATCCCAGCCCAAGCACGTCATCCGCGCGCGCGCGGTCCTCTACCCTCCCATCAACAGCAAAATCGCGCGGGAATTCGCTCTCATCCAGGGCTTTCTCACCACCGAAGAGATCCGACGCTTCCATCGCCCTTGTTTCCCTCCTCGCGAGATCGATCTCGACGTACACCGCGGTTTTGTTGCCTAATCTCGCAGTGCAAGTGGGTCAATGCGTACTCCGATCGCCACAACGACGATTTAATCCAGGTTTTCACGCTCTGTTCATCCTCAAATGCAGGCGATTCGGTCTGTGTCGGAGCTCTCAACGAACTCGGGACATCTAGTTCTCATCGAATACTCCGAGCCGCAGCCGCCTATGTTTTTAAACCAGGGAATGGGCGCGTATATCATCAATTGGATCGATTCCGAGTGTCCCGAGGCGGATTGTATCGCTCTTCGAAATGCTCAATCGCAGATTCGCAGCCTGTCGAAGGCGTCAATCGCGTGCTGAAGTCCAACGAGCTGATGCCTCTGATGGGCATGCTGGAAAAGGGACAGCAGCAGCTTTCCTTCTGCTCTTCTCTCTACAATACTCCCTTGTTTCAACACGAAGTATTTCCCACAATTCGATCCATTTCATCCACAGCTGCCTTCCACCGATTATCTCCTAACCATTCAGATCGAATCGTAGTTCCACGTTTCCACTTTTGATTAGACTGCGCGAGCCATTCTCTCCGGCCAGTCAAGTGTACGAAGCGTCGATTCGAAAAGCGGATACTCTGTATTTGGCTGGCAAAATGGAGCCGAATATGCGTGTGTTTCTGCCAGGCGATAAGGATTATTTGTCCACCATGCAGCAGTTAGAGGAGTATTTGCTTCAGAAATACATCCAGAAACGTGAATTCCAAAAATTGGGGTTATTTGTAGGATCTGGAATCGCACGCGAGCAGGTGCGTCGTATCTTCCCCGAGCTGCAGAACGAAGAGGAGTTGAAGAAGTTCGAAGAACGCTACAGTCAAGACATCGAGATTTCCAACAATCTGTTCATGCCAAAAATCGGGGTTATTTGTAGGTATAAAATGCGAAACAACTACCCTGTGTCGGTTCCTCGCAATCTGACCCCCGAGCAGGTGTGCTTGATGCAGAGTTCCCAAGTTTCGTACTACTGGCTGAAGGATGCGGGCGTGTCGGACATTCTGGACTTCACAACAACATCTGCAACGAGTATAGAGAGGAAAGAGAATCTGAGATGTAGCATTGATGCGAAACAAGGAGAATTTGGAGCTGATCTATGATTACACGAATAAGCAGATGATTGAGCTGGATAAGATCGTGCTGGGCGGATTGGAGGGATCGATGGACAGCAAGACGCTGGCGAAGCGCTATTTCTACCACGACATGCTTTACTTTATCAATATCGAATTAAACGCTGCGAACTATTTGGTGGATCGCGTGTGTCGAACGTCGTGGAACCTCACCGATCAGTATATCAGTGCGATTATCGAGGTGGCGATGCGGAGAGCGATGAATGGATAGAAGAAAACGCGAATGAGCATGACGCACGATATCTACTTCGGCAATCTGCATGAAGATACCGTCGGCGAAGCGTATCTCTATCTTCCTAACAAGGTACTCGCTCGTCCACGCGCCTTTCTGTTCTAGTCTCTTCGTTCTCGAAAAGGAAAAGCCAATGGCGGGCAGCGGCGTCGACGCGATCCCGATCAAGACACGGACTCGCAAGAAGAGCTCAATGAAGAGGATTTCCAGGAAAAGACGGAAAAGCCGAGGAAACAGCCGGATCTGCGAACCCTCAAAATGGGAGAACTGCGTCACATTGCGCGCGATCTGGGCTGTCCGAAGGCGGAGATCGATGTGTTGGACCGCTGGTCGCTGGTTGGATACATTGAGCGGCATGGAAAGAACGAGTACGAAGATCTCTTCCGTCTGAAGAAGCGCAACCAGCAGGAGCTGAACCAGGACTTCCAGAACCAAGTGAACCAATTGTTCCGCGAGCAGTGCGAACGACTGAGTCAAACCACGCCGGAGCAGTTCATTTCGTCCATTAAAGTCGATCTGAACACATCGTTCCCGCTCGGCGATTTGGAGAAACAGGCACTGAACAGTCCGACGCTGCTTCCGCTTGATAGCCAGCCCTCTGCGATGGATTTGGGAGGGGCGAAGAACGGATATAAAGGGCGGCTGAGTGGGGAATGGGGCGATGGCTGAATGATAGAACACGACTTCGAGAACTACAAGCCGTTCCGACGCCATCGTCTTGAGAATGGAAAGTAGGATCCGTGGAGAAAAGCGTTCATTGCAGAGCTTCGCTGGTTCACCAAGTGAAGCTGACGGTGCTGTCCGACGGAAACATCCACGCCGAGTGTTCCGATTTGCGGAGCGCCAAGGATATTCACGCCGCGGAGAGGATTTGCCGCAGCTACTCCAAGCCCAACTTCCCTCTTGCCGACCGTTTGGATTTCACTGGTTTGCTTTGATTCTGTGTAGTTCTCCGCGATTTACACAAATTCGACGTGAACGCGTCCAATCTGAAGCGGCCTGCCAAGGTGGCGGCTCGCAAAGGGAAAGTCAATCTGACCGCAGCTCCGAAGCGACGCAGAGTATTGATGTTTCAATTCGAGGTGAAGCGTAGAAAACACAATCCAAAACGCCCAAAGAACCCATCAATGAGATAGTGAGGCAGAATCCACGCCAGCTGGTAACACTGCTGAACCAGGCGTTGAAGCGAGTGGAAGAGAAGGACATCGAGAAGAGCTTCCAGATACTGCCGATTCCGGAGGCTCCGTGGGCAGAGAATTATAGGATGGTCATTGAGCATCCGATCGATTTGTCGACAATTCGAGTGCGAGAATGGAACGAACGTGAGGTGTAGAGGAAGATCGGAACGTGGGGATACACGCATGTGGATCTGCTGAATGATATGAAGCTGCTCTGCGAGAATACAGAGAAATTTAATGGTGCGGAACATGAGTTGACCAGAATTGCGCGAGAATTTGTGATGATCGTAGAGAATTTCATTCACAACCAAGAGAATGTGGGCAGTGTGGATCACAGAATAACAAATAGCAACTTAAGATGGTCGAAAGACATCTGGAAACGAGGCCGCCAGAGTAGAGGAAAAGGCACAACTTCCTTCTCATTATTGGGAGTAACATGTATTGTTTTTGCTTTGTTTTACAAACAAATTGCTCTTTTTCAAGAACCGAAAAAGAGATTGTATCAAAGGTGCGTAATCATGGAGTATAGAAAGAATGGTACATATCACTAATAGATTTAAAAAGACATAATGTGAATGAAAATAATGAGGTGAATTGAAGGGATGCAAATATTGAAAGAGATGGACTTGTGAAAATTCCATTTATTTTTGTTTTTATGGGGATATTTCTTATATACCAAGCTTTATTCCTTAAGGAGGTATAATCTGTTATTTCTGACTTCTCGCTTATTTGGGGAATTTTGGCAGAAAGCATCAAGTTGTTACAATCCTTTTATCACTTATGAACACTACAGTCATATAGACAAAACAAAGGACAATAGATGCTTCTATTGTACCCATCGAAATAGGTCAGAGAGCTATTGCCAAGGATACAATCGAGGCAATAGTGTGTACAAGTGATTATAATATATTATACGTGACTTGTAACACTCTCTACTGATCCTTAAAGCTCACATCACATTTCTGGATTAATTTCAAGATTATGTTCATTGGGAACAACATTACTGTATCCTATAAATCGTGTTTTATGTCTTGCCCTTGTTGACACAATATCATTCCTTATGTCCCTTACCATCTACTAGTGTGCAAGCTAAATTAGTTGTAATACCCTGACATAGATATTTGAACTAATTTGGATTCTTTGAGTGGACTCATAATTGAATGATTTGTTAACTAATTTTAGTAAGAATACAAAAACAATACTGTGGATCACCAATGTGAATAGTGATGAATTCTTTTTATCTATTTGGATAACTAATAGTAATATAGAATACTTTTTTCTTTTATCCTGTTAATCAAATCAACACCATCCTCAATATCTAAAGATATTACGAATGATTATGGACCTATCGAAACGAAATAGATAGATAAGTTAACAACAATAACAATGACTAGCTTACAATATTCTAGTTGATTGCATTTCTTATTTTCATCATTTGTATTATCCTGAGTAGTACCAACTATATGTGATTCATTCACATTATTGTTTATGTGTAAAACAATATTTAGAGTTAAAAACACTCATATTTTCCTAAACTCATTCCTATCCAAAGATTATTCTTTCTTTTACTACAATACTTTACCCATGTGTTATAGTAGAACAGGTATATGTAAAATAGGGTCCTATTTAACAATGGTTCCAGTAGAGAGGCATGAATATTACAAGGTATTTTAATGGTTTCTAATAGATATATTAGAAAATGGTCCATAATATCGGTATTATCAATTGGAAAGAGTAGTCTGTACCAGGCTAAACTAATAAATATTTAAACATTTTAATTCTTAATTTTGATTATTTGAAACTAATGGACAAATAATTACGAGCATCTTTCTAATATCAGGATATATTGAATTTAAGGCCATAGTCAGCATACAAAGTAGGAATAAACTTTCTTACCATTACCACTGAGAGTACTCTCTTGATAATCATTATCCTGGCCTGAAGAAACTATACTAAAAATACTATGTTAGCAAACTGTTCCTATTTTTGAAAACAAACTATTATTATATGCAACATAACAATAAACTCAGAACCAAGAAAATCACAGTCGATTTAATTAGATAATCTTTGAATATCTCAGGAATTTCATCCATATATATAAAAAGCAACAACAGAAGAAAATTAACAACCATAATTCCAACTATACAAAACAATATTATAATTCTAATTTTCTGGTACCACATAGAAGCGTTACTCATCCCTTTCCGATGCTTTTTTTTAAACTTTTGAAAATTACTCTCAGTCAGAGGTTCCGTTAGATAAAATGGAACATATTCAAAATCAGACTTTTTCCTATACTCTCCATAATATATTGAACTCCCGTTTTCATATATTTTCATTATGTGACCATCGAATATGTTAAGCAATTTAGTTTCATAACCATGTTCCCATCTGCTTATCTTACTAATTTCGCCATCACAATAGAAATAACATGTTCCATGGTTCAAGCCATTATCATCTATTTGAAATAGTGAAACCATTTTGCCATCTTCATCTTTTTCTTCCCAGTAGTTTGAACCATCCGATCTCTGTTTGATATTGAGTGCTCGGCGACCATTCTTATAAAATCCTTCATAAATCGGACTTCCATCTTTACTATATTCCACTCCTGGACCATTTCGATAACCCTTATGCAATAATCCAGAGAAATAGATCTCTCCGGACCCATAATACAATTTACATTTACCGTTCTCTTCTCCTTCCTGATAAGTGAAGCTTGCTACAACTCGATGATCATAATCATAAAGAAACGCTTCTCCATCCAATTTACCATTCTTTTGACTTGCTTCTATAGTGTAGCCTTGATGATGGCCACCGATAAGACAAATGGCCTCATTCTCACCTATATCTATATAAGTGATCGGAAATTCGTTTGAAATGCAATTGTTCCATATATCAGTGCTTTCTTCATTGATATCAACAGTAACACTAATTACAGGTGCATTCTCCTCACTAATAGGATTTGGTTTTTTATATATTTCCATTTTATATAATATTATCAAGTAGATAGTGCAGAATAGCCAAATAGAGAACGAATCTATCAGAACTCTAAATTCTTGAGGATTATTGGAATTCACAAAATTGTTCCTATTTCGTAGAATCCAATCCATTTTACTACCACACTACGATATCTATTATCAGTAATGTTCCATATTACATATTATCCTCCATTTCCATTTTTAAAAAGCGTTTGAAACAAACCGAAGCAAATCAAAACAAAATGAACTTAAATCATTCTCATAGTTACGTTTCCATCATCACAATATGCCCAGTGTCCTCCCTTTCGGTATCGCAGAACCGCACTCTATCCCTTCTGCTCCAAGCTGTGAGGAACAATCTACACTAAATCTTCCCCATCGTTCCTACTCCCAAGTCCTTGAACGTAATGCATTCCGTATGCGGGTCCAGAATAGTATCCGTCACACACAGCTCCACTTCGCTTCTCGACAGATACGGCTTCGGACCCAACTCCAACAGGAACGCGAACCAACGAGCCAGCGTTGTGGGCGTGCGAGGCAGCTTCGTCGAACTCACTATTGTTTTCTGGAACCACGCCACCCGATCTGCCCACAAGATCACTTCCGGTCCCGCCAACTCCATCGTCTTTCCCGCGAAAGCGTCCGGAGTCATGCAGGACTTCCGAATCGCTGTGGCCACGTCGCCCATCCACACAGGCTGCTTCAGAGCGCTTCCGTCATTGATATTGATCAGCCACGGATCGATGTGCAGCTGGCTACCGATCCTATCAATAAGCTCTTCCCCGCGGTTCTACCAGGTCAGCAGGCGGTCATCTTCGCTGAACATGTCCGCAGGACGAACGATGCAGGCGCTGGGCATGACTTCGCGGAGCACTTTGTCGCTTTTAGCCTACATCATGGAAGGAAAAAGCCGAACCCACCTTCGTGCGAGCCCACTCCGAACGATGCTTGAGGTTCTGCTGCAGAGCCGACACGTGGAGAAGATTCGATTTGTCCATTTCGTTGCAGATCTTCGCGAGACGCTCGGGGAAGTAGATGTTGACGTCTTGGAATCTGGAGAGGAAGAGGGAGAGAAATGCGAGTAGTTCTTTCAAAGATACAGATTCTTGGTCTTGTAGTACTTTCCAATCAGATTGATCACGATATCCGAGTTACCAATGCAGTCACGGATCGATTTCTCGTTGAGAGGATGGAAAGAAATCGGATTCACTTTACCAACATTTCCAGACTGTTCAGAAGACAAACTTCATCGCCTTCGTCATGGGACGGAATCATGCAGGTCACTCCATGAGAAGCTGTGGCTCAAATCCTACTAACAAGCAAAACCCAATTCATAAAAACAACCCTTCTACCCAAATTATCCGTAGGGCATCAGAGAAAGACTTTCAAAAAACACTTAGACATGCGGCTGCCCAGTCCCACAATTCCAAATTTGATTGTCGTCACAAAGCAAACCGAGAAATCAAAGCATTGTAAATTGAACCAACGAGTCAGGAACATTGCCCATCATGCATCCCGCCTAAACAACGCCACCGATTCTTGTAGGAAAACGTTTCATAAGATTGGGAACCATGTTATGGAAAATAGGAATGTAACTGGGTACAGCTGTAATGTGGGAATCGTAAATTCAATTGCTAAAATAATAGAATGAAATACAATTTGAAACCATAAAGGAACCCTCCATGGTTATTGTTGAGCAATAAGGTTGGAAACGATTCTTTCATATCATCGATCAAATCGAGAAACAGCAGATAGTATTCAGTCATCGAGAGAAAAACTCTTATGCGAACGTGTGAACTTACAAGCGGTAGAAAAGGGGCAATTTCTGGAAAAACATCACGGACAAGATGTTCACAGCAATAATAATGACAAGAAGTCAGAGCGAAACCACAATATACCTAAAATCGAACAAACATAATAGAAGTACGGATTTGAATGCGGAATGTCGCTCTTTATCGAATTCAGGGTCATAGTCAGCAGATCGGTTGACTCATTGTTAAAATACAGAGAGAGCTGAGTACCCTAAGCACTATTCTTGATATCCAGTCATCTTGATTCATTGAATACTCTCCATTTACCCAGAATAGCAAGAACAACCAAGAAAATAGAAAAATAACAATTTTATAAGGTTTTCGTATGGGGAATCAGATGTGGGCTGAGCCAAAATAAATACGAATAGAAGAAACCTCGATAGCTATTAATTTTCTTTCATCATCACCAAAGCCAGCGATCTTCCTCTGATTGAAAAAACTGTACATACTCTCTCTGAAAATTGATTCACTATTTAGCCGTAAACTATTCAAAACTGATCATATCAATAAAAGAGTAATTAGTAAATACGACAAAGAAATAAGTGAAAAAAGGGAAAGAGAGAGTTATATTGAGTATTATAGATTGGCTGCAATCCTTGCTATTCTCTATCAAATGGATTTCGCATATTTGCGTCTTGGAATAATCAATTATCTAATATTCATCTTTCTACGATTCAATATCTATTTTCCATGTGAACTCGTTATGAATTTGTTGCTTGCCGAATTGATTGGAATACATAATAATAGAGTATATGTGACCATATTCGCTGTTCTTGTATGAATAATCTTGGATGAAACATAAGAGCAACTATTCGCTTTCTTTTGTAAGAATGCTCAGGAGATATGATGTTGAATTTTGACTGATGTGTGAATGAGGGAATGCATGGAAGAAAAATGCGATTGTTGCACATATTCCAGAACTGTTGGAACATGGTATCCATAGGCAGCAAATAACAATGAGAAATCAGCATATCTTGGTTCAATAAGCGTTATCAATAGTATATTCACTTAAAAACAAACTTATTTTGAAGGTCAATAATGAAAGATAGAGCCATGAAAAGTGTTATACGGTTGTAACTTTGGCTAATGATTTTTACGTTGGAACTTGGACTCGTATAGATAAGATGAGACTTTATCTTCTTCATAGTAGAATTTGCCATATTTCGTCCTTCGATATGCTATGATATGTGATTGATAGTCAGGATGTTTTTATATATTACAGCAAACATGATATTCAGACACACTATGTGCAGAGTTATCGAATACAATAACCCTAAATAGTAGAGTGCATATCTGTTGGATATGCTTCAATGGATGTCACTGTGACGTTGAAAAATAAAATAAGCAATTGTTTGAATGGAGTAGGCAATCATCTCATAATTGTCTGAGCGAAATAATTCAAGTACAGAAATAAATGTAAGCAACAAAATCGATGATGCTTCTAGGATGATTAATTGGAATATCTTCAAAGTGGCTACGTAATAGTGGATAATTGAAATCTGGTTTATATAATGAATGACAATGATATGAAAGAGAATGTTGAAAAATATGATACATCTTCGATTCTAATCATGAACTATACATAATGAAGGTGTGTTAAGTGAACCAAATATTGGTGAAACAGAGAAAAATCGCATCAGCATTTTGTATACGACTAATAGAATAACAATTTGATCAGTGAGCAGAGTATAAGCGAAAGGCAAATAGAAAATACAGACTTGAAACAACTATTTCAATAGTTTTTCCTATAATATGGTATGCGATGTGTAAACAAACAACAGGTTCAGTTCACAATATACCAATACTATCTTAAATCGTTTCTAATCGCAGTTATAACCTAAAACAGTATACTCCTTCAAATCAAATCAATTAATTTCAATATTATTATTCTGCTTACAAATATAATCATCCATATTATGTCGGACTATAGCTGAAAAATTGTCTTTCCTTTTTCATCACGTCAAAATCTACTCGACAATGACAATTATAAATATTTGTGTGTATAGATTACTTTTCTCTCTTTTAGAACAATCTACGCATTTTTCATCCTACAAAACATAAAACTATTTCCAATATTATATTCTACATCTCAATTTGATGTCAAAACTACTAATAATCCGGACACTTTACAGTTGCATTGAAGGGGCATTTTTGGTGAACCATTTAACGAGTTGTTGGTTTCTTTCAGAAAACTAGCATAAATACTAAGAGATTTAGTGAAGTAACTCGTTTCACAGAAAAACAAGTATATATTTTAAGAGTGGTGCAAACATCAATATAACGAAGTAATTTATTCATACTAATGGAATTAATACTAGAAATAATGAACATTGTAATAATTTTGGAAAAATGCTGAGATAGCTTTAATGAATAAAATTGAAACAACAGATCGCTATTTCTATATCATTTAACTTCTCCATGTGGATTTGATTGCTCAAATGATATGGCAAATATGAATGGATATAAATGAAACGCACAAAACGGACAGTCATCATTTGATTATCAAGGATCTAGTAGATTCGGTTTTGCCTTGGCTTTTACACACTATTATCTATTGATTGTAAATGAGTAATCTGTCAAAGGGTGCTATTCACGTTACTAACATCGAATTACCAACAATCAACAATACTAGTGCTAAAACTGACGAAAAAAACAAGTGGTGGGAATACAACGTTTCTGAGCAGTTTCCCATAAAGTCAAGAAGAGAAACAAATGGTCCAACTCATATTGAAGTTGGCAAACCTCATGAAGGTTGTCATATCAAAACAACAATGAAAAACGGGAAAATGGACGGAGAAGCCAGTATTTATTCTCAGGATAATACTCTGATGGCAACTCTGACATTTGTGAATGGAATCGCTTCAGGACCTTGCACACTCTGTAAAAATGGTATTTTGTTCTATAAAGGTTACTTTGTAAACGGATATCGAGAAGGAAGAGGACAAGAATATGATGAAAATGGCAACGTGGTGTTTGATGGATATTATAAGAAAGGTAAGAAACTGAATATAGTACCATCGAATGAAATGGGAAAGGGATATTGGAAAGAGTTGGATGAAAAAGGAAGAATCATTCGAATTATTCAGAAAGATGAGTTGGGAAATAGTGAAGGGTTTTGTTATTCTTATGAGGATGGAAAGATTGGTCGTGTGAGTGTATGGAAAGAAGGTAAAGAAGTGAAATTATTGAAACAATTTCGTGATGATAGAATGATAGAATATAAGAATGGTGAGAAAGTGTATGAAGGAGGATTTGTTGATAGTTTGGAAATGGGTTATCCACGAAAAGAAGAAAGAGAAGAATTTGGAAAGGATGATAATACAAAGGTAAGGAAAGGCGTTTTTTCTAAATTGAATACAGCAAGATTGTATGGAACACTACTGGAGAATAGATATATATCAATGATTGTAGCTGTAATTTCTATCATACTTTTCTTTATCTATTTCACAGCAATCTATCCGAATAATGGACCACATGGAATCAGATATAAACAAGAATCATATATAGTAGAATCAGGATATGGGAAGTATTTAAAGAAATTTGAATTGTCTAATCATCCTTATCTAAAGAGAATCGTAATCGGCGGTAATTGCTTTGTAAATGTGAAAACATTCAGAATCGATGGATTGAATCGATTGAAAACTATCAAAATCGGAAGCAGTTCATTTACGCAGAAAAAGAATCAAGGAGATGAATCGAAATCATTCCACATATTGAATTGTGAATTATTGGAATCTATAGAAATTGGTTACTATAGTTTCAGTGATTTTGCTGGAGACTTTGAATTGAAGAATCTACCACAATTACAATCCATTCAAATTGGGACAATTGGAAGAGTTTCAAACAATTTCTATTGGAGTTCATTTGTGATTCGAGGTATTGATATGATATTGAATATTTGAATGATGCATAGATCTTCCAAATCTACAATCCATTACATTAGGTGATTGGGCATTTCATTATGGTTCCTTTGAGATTGGAGGTATTGAACTGATATTGAATATTTGGATAATGCATAGATCTTCCAAATCTACAATCCATTACATTAGGTGATTATGCATTTTCTGATAGTTCCTTTGAGATTCGAGGTATTGATATGATATTGATTATTTGAATAATGCATAGACCTACCAAATCTACAATCCATTACATTGGGTTATTCCACATTTAGATATTCACTTGAATTTAAATTATCAAACTTAACATCTTTACAATCGATAGAAATTGGTGATAAGTGCTTTGAATCAGTACAAACTTTCAAAATCGATGGACTGAATCGATTGAAAACTATCAAAATCAGTGATGAATCATTTATAGGTAGAGGAAATTATATATCAGATTCATTCCACATATTGAATTGTGAATCATTACAATCCATTCAAATTGGTGAATATTGCTTCAGTGATTTTGGAGGCGACTTTGAATTGAAAAATCTACCACAATTACAATCCATTCAAATTGGTACAATTGGAAGAAGTTCACGCAATTTCTATTCTAGTTCATTTGTGATTCGAGGTATTGATATGATATAGAATATTTGAATAATGCATAGATCTTCCAAATCTACAATCCATAACATTAGGTGATGACACATTCAAAAAATCGCGAGCATTCGATTATTCAAACTTAACAACGTTACGATCAATCGAAATCGGCGATGAGTGTTTTGAATCAGTGAAAACATTCAGAATCGATGGATTGAATCGATTGAAAACTATCAAAATCGGAAGCAATTCATTTACTCAGGAAAAGAATGATTGGGGAAAAGATGTATCGAAATCATTCCACATATTGAATTGTGAATCATTGCAATCCATTCAAATTGGTAAATATAGTTTCAGTGATTTTGCTGGAGACTTTGAATTGAAGAATCTACCACAATTACAATCCATTCAAATTGGCACAATTGGAAGCGATTCATACAATTTCTATAATAGTTCGTTTGTGATTCGAGGTATTGATATGATATTGAATATTTGAATGATGCATAGATCTTCCAAATCTACAATCCATTGTACTAGGCGAAAAATCATTTAAAAATTCACTACAATATGTATTATCGAACATATCCTTAGTGGAATCAATAGAAATTGGAAATAATTGCTTTGATTCAGTGAAAACATTCGAAATCAATGGATTGAATCAATTACAGAGTTTGATAATCGGAAACAATTCATTTAATAAATTGGCCACTTCTTTCTTGAGTAATCCTCATTCTACATCAGAATGGATGGAGAAGAGTGATAGATCGAAATCATTCCATATATTGAATTGTGAATCATTGCAATCCATTTATATTGGTAGATATAGTTTTGGTGATTTTGGAGGCAACTTTGAATTGAAGAATCTATCACAATTACAATCCATTCAAATTGGTAGGATGGAAGATCATTCTACAAATTTCTATGGTAGTTCGTTTGTGATTCGAGGTATTGATATGATATAGAATACTTGGATAATGCATAGATCTTCCAAATCTACATTCCATTACATTAGGTTATTGGACATTTGCTTATTCGACAACTACAATAATGGAAAGTAATGAATGAATTCGAATGAAATAATTGATGTAGATCTTCCATCATTACAGAAAATTGAACTGAGTTATTGTGCATTTCAAGGGGATGATGATTCATCATGTTCGTTGACAATGCGAAGTATTGATGAAATGATTCGAACTGATTGAAAATAGATCTTCCAAATCTAACATCCATCTATTCTAAAGGATATAGTTTCAGATATCATTATTCAGTGACATTGAATAGTATTTTTGAATAAATAATGTTAACAGCATTAAGATATTCCAAACCTTCAATCTGTAAGTCTACCTCATTCTTTTGAGGAGGTAAAGTATAGGTTTATTTATGGTAATTATTGTTTTTGCATTTCACTTTAGACGATACGAGTATACTATATTCATGTTTTTATTGCCGCCTATATATTCAATCAATCAGTTCATTTACTACTTCCATCATTATTCCCAATGGAGCTTGCAGTGATAATCAATACACAGTATTTGATTTTTCTCGGTTTACACTTGTGGAATCAATAGAAATTGGAAATAATTGCTTTGATTCAGTGAAAACATTCGAAATCAATGGATTGAATCAATTACAGAGTTTGATAATCGGAAACAATTCATTTAATAAATTGGCCACTTCTTTCTTGAGTAATCCTCATTCTACATCAGAATGGATGGAGAATAGTAATAGATCGAAATCATTCCATATATTGAATTGTGAATCATTGCAATCCATTCAAATTGGTAGATATAGTTTTGGTGATTTTGGAGGCAACTTTGAATTGAAGAATCTATCACAATTACAATCCATTCAAATTGGTAGGATGGAAGATCATTCTACAAATTTCTATGGTAGTTCGTTTGTGATTCGAGGTATTGATATGATATAGAATACTTGGATAATGCATAGATCTTCCAAATCTACATTCCATTACATTAGGTTATTGGACATTTGCTTATTCGACAACTACAATAATGGAAAGTATTGAATGAAGTCGAATGAGTTGATTGAATGTAGATCTTCCATCATTACAGAAAATTGAACTGAGTTATTGTGCACTTCGTGGAAGAGATGGTGGTTCATCATGTTCGTTGACAATGCGAAGTATTGATGAAATGATTCGAACTGATTGAAAATAGATCTTCCAAATCTAACATCACTAACTTCTTTAAAATATAGTTTTGAATATCCTCGTTCAGTGACATTAGAAAGTATTTTTGAATAAAGAATAATGACTGTAATTAGATATTCCAAACCTTCAAACTGTAAGTCTACCTAATGATGATGACTCACCTACTTTTGGGCATGTTCAATATAAATCAATTTCGAGTATAGTCTACCTATTATTCTGTTAGTTATAGATGTTTCTTCCATTCTTGCTGATCTTGTCCAAATTGGAGAGTAACGATCAATGTCATTGAGAGATTATTAACTACTGTTTTGAGCATGATAATTAGTAATCAAATTAAAGGTTGTTTATTAAAACCAAATACTCTTCGTGTTATGCAATAATTTTAAATATAGTTATTTATCACATGTACAATAGATTAATGTCATATCCCTAAAACAAGGACTGTATAATGCCTAGCCAATAGCAGTTGAATAAGTAATTGCTATTAATCTATTATTTCGTTTCATACTGTCCCTAGATTTCATTGATCATGCTTTTCGGACAAAGTATTAATGATAGTTTTTTCTATTTATATGAATTGGCTTGATACTTTGTGTTTCATTTATTACTATATAGATTGATGTTATAAATGAATTCTAATCTTTCTCTTTATCCTGATTTGTTTGTTCTTAGTTAATTCGCTCAGTGTCATTTGTTAATAATAAAGACTGTTATTTCTATATATAATTGTAGTCGAAGTACATGGCTACACTGAAAAAGGATTTGTGCTTAATAGTATATTTTGGTATGATGGTAATAACCTCCTTTGTTGTTCACAATCCCTATTTCTTCTCTACAGTAACTAACTGTTGGTTATTCTCAAAATGGTTTCGAGTTTATTCGTTACAATCAAGAAGTGCATATTATCGAGCTTCTCAAACAATCATGATTTTGATTACCTAAATACGACTGCTTTGAATTGAATCATTTAAGTATTTCCATATTCATATTCTATTATACTATTTCAAATAGATATGAACTCCATATGTTAATTTCTCAATTATCTTCCAGCGACAACCCATTTTCATAAAGAATGAAGAGAATGTGTGATAAGTTAAGTAATCTATTTTTGGCTGTGCTCCTTTTATTCCCAATTCAATCCTCTGCTCCATTCTTTTTGTTTGTAAAATCCACACAATGACTAATAGTCATCGTTTCCTGTTGAAAGTCGTATTCTATTATTATTTGTATTTGTTGAGAATGTATTCATAGGATGATAAGGTGATTAACTATGGTGATAATATACAAATACAATAGGTATGCAGGAGTAGTGTGCTGTTTCCAATTAATAAACCCTGAAATGACTCCTTTACGGATTATAAGAACAAACGGGTCGTTTGATTTGTCAAAGAACATTATTTGATACAATTATGCCAGTACACGATATTTTTAGCTATTTCCTTCTATTCTTTTCTTGATAATTAGGCCTGGCCTTATAATCAGCAAAATGACCTTTTAACATTTAACCATCACTGCATCTGCTTTGTAATACGAATATATAATTAACCGCCAACATGCCATTTCTATTTAATTCAGAATATGAAAATATGAGGCAGTTTCTATTTGGCGGGTATTTAGTATTTTTGAATTTCACTCTCGTTTTATTTTAGTGTGACTCTACGAGTTTTAGAATGCCAAATGATTCAAAAGAGGAGCCTATTACTCACTCTATTTTGAAATGGCTTCACAATGTATATTTGGCTGTGAAGTGTTATTTTTTAGATTCGATCTCATTTGACAGATTGCCTGAAGTATAGGCTGGACGCAGAAAATAAAAAGAGATACAAAACTTGTAGAATACAGTGCATTTTATAATAGTATTTAGTACACCGCCTATAGTTCCTTATAAAAAGTGTTGTGACTGGACTTGTAGCGAACACAAACAACTGCTTTTCGCTTCGAAACCTTGTAAAAGGCAACAACCTGTTTCTGTACCTACACAGTCAGTAAATCCTGTTCCATATAAAGATTCAACTCCAAATACCGTAGAAGATTTAACCTTGGATGAGGACCTCTTGCGAGAAGTGAATTCAATCGAGCAGTCGCTGGTTTTGGAAGAGGAGCGTTCTTCTTCTGATATTCATAAGTCGTGTAATCCTAGTAGTTCTACTAGAGTTGGACTCGCTTCGTCTTTCACTATTCAGCCACAACCACAACCACAACCAGAATCAGAACTGCAACCACAACCAGAACCGCAACCACAGCCACAACCAGAACCAGAACTCTCTAGAGCGAATTCAATCCCTCCCCCGTTTTCTGTTCCACCAAACAGCTTTCCCCCTCCCTGCAAAACTACTCATTCCCAATCTTCTCTCCCTCTCCCTTTTTCTTCTTCCCCTTCTAGCATTCCTCAAAACCAACCCTTTTGCCCCCCTCCCCCTTTCGCTCCTTTCGCTCCTTCCTCCAGTCTTCTGGATCATTCACTGCCCTTCCAAGACAGATACTTCGGGAGTTGAAGAGGCGACTGTGAACAGCACTTCCATTCAGTTCGCCACTGCGAACTCCACGTTCCCGATCGACTCAACCGCCAAAGTGGAGCACAAATCCTTTTCGGTGACGTTTGACGACGGAACCGAAATCCGGGATATTTCTGGACTTCTAAAGAACTGCCCCGTTTCCGACAAAGAACTGCTCGACAAAAACAAGGAGGTTTTTGGCCACAACGCCTTCCGGTCGGGGCAGATGGAGGTCATGAAGACCGTGCTGACGGGACGGAGCGTGTTTTGCATTATGCCCACAGGCGGAGGCAAGAGTTTGTGCTACCAGCTGCCCGCTCTCCTCCTCCCGGGAATCACCGTCGTCGTCTCGCCTTTGATTTCGCTCGTCCAGGACCAGATTCGCGGGCTGCAAGAAGTCGGCGTGGAGGTGGGCGCGATGACGGGCAGCAGTGGCGGCGAGGTCCCGTCCGCTCTGTGGAATTCGGTGCGAACACGGCAGTTTCCTCGGCTGAAGCTGGTGTACACGACCCCAGAGAAGCTGAACAAGAGCGAGAGCATGAAGAACTTGCTGCGTGCGCTGAGCTCGCTGGGCTTTCTGTCTCTGTTCGTGATTGACGAGGTCCACTGCATGAGTCAGTGGGGCCACGACTTCCGTGTGGACTACAAAGAGCTCGGGAAGGTGCGGTTTGAGTTCTTCCAGAACGTGCCGCTGATGGCGTTCACGGCAACGGCGACGGTGACGGTAAAGAACGACATTTTGAAGCTGCTCCTGGTGAACGGGAAGGAGATCTTGGTGTTCCAGAAGTCGTTTAATCGGCCGGAGCTCCGCTACGAGGTCCGATCGAAGAAGAACCATCGGCAGTTTATCAGCGATGTGAGCGCGTACATTCTCTCGAAGCAGCTGAACAACACGGGGATCATTTACTGCGGAACGCAGATGGCGTGCGAGAAGGTTTGCAAAGACCTGCAAGAAGCGATGAAGAACGAGGGATATGAGAGAAAGATCGGGTTTTACCACGCGGGATTGGAGCCGATGGAGCGGGAGCGGATTCAGCGAGAGTGGAGCGAGGACCAGCTAAAGATCATCGTGGCGACGGTGGCTTTTGGGATGGGGATCAACAAGACTGATTGTCGCTGCTGCCAGATTCTTAAGTACTTCTCCGAGGTCTTCAATCGCGATTTCTGCGGCGTTCCGATGCACCAGCTCTGCGACAACTACTCGCAGCCCTGCGATTACGAAGTAGTCGACATTATGCACATTACCATCGTGCTGGTCCGCCTCCGTTTCCCCTTTTCTCTCGCTATGAAAGGTAGTGTCCGAATGCAAAGCGCCGCTGACGACCAACATGCTGATTTCAGCCGCTCGCGGACTGCACAGCGGTCTGAAGCCGCACGTGCTCGCGTTTGTGCGGTCTTCAATCGTATTACAAATCATCTTCGAGGAGAGCGGATGGAAATCGATTCATATGAGAGTAGGGAGTTGATTAATTTGGAGAATTCAACGAGAAGCGAGAACGAGAAAGATAAAGAAGTGTGCATTGAGAAATAACGAATAGATGATTGCTAGAAAAAACCTGAATGAGAAAGAATGGGTCCAGATCATGTGTGGCATCGAAGGAACTATCATGACCGAAATCAAGGAAAATGGAGTCAACGCAATCGCTTTTAATCGAATCCTTGTGTATGTTGACGAATCCGTGTATGATGAATCGAAAGAATCGTTTATTTGAAATGGTCGAGGATACTAGATCGTGAAGAAACTCGGATTGCTACTCGCGAAGTGGAATAGAAAGATGGAGTGGAAGCGAGTGGAAGAGATCTGTATGATGGATGGTACACTTATTGATTCAATTACTGTTGTTTTTCACTATATTTATATATGGATCACATCGCATTTCACAATGTTTTGTTGATCAAATAGCAAACCAACTTTTTTCATTAATAAAAGATTCCTTCGATCACTATACTTATTTAATAGTTTGGATATAATAGGATAACTCATCTCTAAGTAATAATCTATCAACAACCTTTTTCTTCTTTGTAATATATATTCTATGCACTAAATGATGAATTTCACTTTTTACAAATTGTATTAAAAATAATATCTACCACTCATTAAACTGTTCCAACTATAATCTACAGGATATCGATTGTTGTGAAACACAACTGCTGATACATGGCCATATCTTGAAAAGCGGGCATCCTAAATGAATTCAACACGACCGTCGGGGTATTATAAATGAGTTGAAATGGTAAATAGTCTATATGCTGAATTATTAAAGTTATTATTCTTTTATATGCCATATAATTATATTTCTTTATATATTAGTATGCGAATATGTGACAGATAGTTTTGGATAATGAGATTATTTATTCATAAGTATTTATCACAACAAAATACCTTAGATACACAAAATCATATTTAATGTGGGTATTATCGAGAAATAATGAAACAGATCTTGTTTCCAAAAAAACCGTTTTACCATATTTCTTTTCATTTCCATGCAAAACATTGTTGATTTTGTCAATTCTGCTATTAGCAACTATCAAATTGATAGTTCCATGATTCAGGATATGCAAATATGCTTGGGTAAAGAAATGAAACCAAATGGCTGGATTTCACTCATATTGAGTAATAGAGAATGTATAGTATTGCAATTCAATAATGGAGTATTCATGAATCAAGGATTTGTGATCAATGAGCAGAAAGTGTTGAAAGTGTTTGGAAATCATCAAATTGGTGATATTTCATATAATGACGAACAATCCATAGAAGTAGTAGTAGAAGGAATCGTGGATTTGGATCATGGAAGTCGATTTGAAGGATTGGTATTGACAGAAAAGGAAAAAGTAAAAGAAGGTAAAATTGGAATTCCATTTGGATATGGTGAAATGTATGATGATGATGGAATATTGGTGTACAAGGGCATAATGATCAATTGGAAACGATTTGGATATGGAACGAGTTATCATAATAATGGTTTGATTGAATATGAAGGATATTGGTGTGATGATAAGCGATTTGGAATTGGCAAAGTGTATGGTCGTAAAGGTGAGTTTGTAAAAGAATGTGAATGGTGTAATGGAATTGAAAGTGATATTGATGAAAAATATAAAGGAGATGGAAAAAAACCAATGAATATGGGACTGAAACATTTGAAACTGACTAACTATTGTGTATTGGTTGATTGGGATGTTTCATTGTTGTATAATTTGGAATCAATCGAAATCGGTGATCATAGTTTTAAATCAGTGAAAACATTCAGAATCGATGGATTGAATCGATTGAAAACGATCAAAATCGGAAGCAATTCGTTTACTCAAGTGATATCACCTTTCTGGGATTATAAAAAGGCAAAAAGCAGGTCGAAATCTTTCCACATATTGAATTGTGAATCATTGGAATCTATAGAAATTGGTGAATATAGTTTCAGTGATTTTGGAGGCGACTTTGAACTGAAGAATCTACCACAATTACAATCCATTCAAATTGGCGCAACTGGTTACTATGCATTTGATTCATACAATTTCTACCATAGTTCGTTTGTAATTCGAGGTATTGATATGATATTGAATATTTGAATGATGCATAGATCTTCCAAATCTACAATCCATTACATTAGGTGATTGTGCATTCCGTTATTCCTTATCGACTGTAATTGAAAGTATTGAATGAATTCGAATGAAATGATTGATGTAGATCTTCCATCATTACAATTTATTCACCTCGGTAAATATGCACTTGAAGGAAAAAAAAGTAGAATATGTTCATTGACAATGCGAAGTAATAATGAAACGATTTTTTATGAATAAATATAGATCTTCCAATTTTAACATCCATCTATTCTCGAGAATCATGTTTTCATTGGCCACGCTTAGTAAAATTGGAAAGTATATTTGAATGATGAGCATTGATACAATTTAGATATTCCAAATCTGCATGATGTCTGGTTCTTAGGGTCATTCCAGAATGTTAATAACCCAATTGTCAACAGTAACTATTTTCTTATGAGTTTAATAAAGATGTTTCTGAATTACATTTTTTAAAAGGATATAATTATACTTACATTCAATCACTGAGTTCATCCATAACTTCTATTAATCTTCCCAGTTGGACCTGTAATGATGTTGATTACAAAGTATTTGATTTTTCGCGATTCACACATGTTGAATCAATCGAAATCGGCGACGATTGTTTTGAATCAGTGATTTTCTTCCAAATCGATGGATTGAATCGATTGAAAACTATCAAAATCGGAAAGAATTCATTTATTGAGAAAAGAAATGGACTTTTCAATGACCTAGGGAAATCATTCCACATATTGAATTGTGAATCATTGGAATCTATAGAAATTGGTGAATATAGTTTCAGTAATTTTGGAGGCGACTTTGAACTGAAGAATCTACCACAATTACAATCCATTCAAATTGGTACAATTGGAAGTGAATCAGGCAATTTCTTTTGTAATTCATTTGTAATTCGAGGTATTGAACTAAAATTGAATATTTGGATAATGCATAGATCTTCCAAATCTACAATCCATTACATTAGGTGATTGTGCATTCTGTAAATCCTTCTCAACAATAATTGAAAGTATTGAATGAATTTGAATGAAATGATTGATGTAGATCTTCCATCATTACATTCCATTCAACTTGGTTGGCGTGCACTTGCTGGAAGTACAGCATTTAAATGTCTATTGATAATGCGAAGTAATAATGAATTGATTGGTTATGATTTGCTTTGTAGATCTTCTAAATTTAACATCCATCAATTCTGGAGGATCTGGTTTCTTTTATCCCTGGGTAGTGATATTAGCAAGTAATTTTGAATATTGAATATTGATAGTATTTAGATATTCCAAATCTTCAAAATGTCAAGCTACCTTATTCATTCCAGAATGTTCGATGGAAATCAATTTCGAGTATAGTTTGATTCACTTGATTTGATTCATAGATGTTTCTTCCATTCTCGCTGATCTTGTCCAAATCAAGCATTAACTCTATAATTTTGATTTGATTTGATTTGTTTTGTTCAGTGATTCGTCATTGTTTAGGAACATTTCCATTGATTGTTTGTTTGTTTGTTTGTTTGTTTGTTTGAAACCGATTCTTGATCACAATTCATGATTCTATAATTATCAAAATATCAATCCTGCCTGATTATTATGTTGTTCTTCTTTACCATTTTAACAATGATACTGAATTATGTTTGTTGTTTCAATCAATCAATCAATCAATCATTGTTTTCGATTATTATTATCATCATTATTATTATTATTATTACCAATGACCCAATGATTACATATTGAACATTCACAAATGATGAATCCATTCTACCAATAATAATAATAAAAATAATAATATAGAAATGATGGTTTGAATAGGTTTGAACTAGGATTTGTTCAATATTGATAGGAAACTGCTTGCTTCGAATAATCATCATCATCATCATCATAATCATGAAAAATAAGATTGGAATTGATAGTGACACAATGGAATGGTTGGAATCGATTGATATTGGATGATTATTCCCATTTGTGAATCCATTGTTAAATCGGTAGATAATACAAGACAATACAATGATTGATACTGAATAAAAATAGATCACTGTTTCAAAAATACCAAAGAGAATAGAGGAGAACTGGATTTTAAAAGCAATGAAACTAAGTAGCCTCATATAAGATTACGAAATTAATATTATTGATTTGATATATGATATAATGAATGCAACAGCAATTGTAAAAATATATATGCATAATGCTCAAGGACCAGAAAAATAGCACTGGGTAATATGTAAAGAGTTGATAATTGTAAAGAAAGAAGAGATACTAGATTGAAGATTCATGGAATTGTAATTCCTCAAATTTATGAACAATTCCTTTTATCTAAACAATTATAGTTACACTGAGTACAAAGTCTATGCAAAATAACGTTGAAACGACTTATTGAATATATACATTATTAAACGTAATCCTGCTCGTAAATTGTGATATTAGGATTTTGACACTTATTATGAAAACAACAAATCGTATATCCCTTTGATAACTACCAAGAACTCTTTATCACCATTCACATTTGTTGATTTACATTTAATCTATGCAATATTAAGCCATATTGTATAGTAATCACATGTGAAAAAGCAACCACTTCTTGGCAACATCATACTCAAAATGTCATTGAAAATTACATCTATTACCAGTAACATCGATCTTACAAGTATATATATAATACTAATAAAATGGTTAGTGTAGTTCGAATGCAAGTTTTACAAATCAAATTCAAACATTGAGAGTTCTAAGTTAGTCTCATTCTATTAAAGAACTCTGTAATTCATATAAGGAGCATGTCAAACTCAGATCATGATCTGATTATTGTAAATCCATTGTTTTTCCTGTAAAACCTGATACAGAAAACATATTACACTAGAATAGCAAGTATAAATAACGGGAGATTCATCATCAGAACCACGTGATACATTAAATGGACAATTAGGTATCAAAATCCATAAGAGTATATTGAAGCAATCATTCTACATAAACAGTTTTTTACTGCTAATACTATCCAGGTTTCTGTTAGACTAAGCACCATGGAAATGTGATATTCTTTACTATTGACGTAATTAATAAAAGGTATCGAAGTTCTATTGAATGGTTCATCACAGAGGGGAATAATACTCTAGTTGATCTTCATTCAAATGTCTATGGGTTATTTGCAACCAATACTCTCTAAATCACATCTATCACTCTCTTTTTCTACACTATAGACAGTAATTACGATTCTGAGATCTCCATCTTTTCTTTGCTTCATTGGTGATAGACTCCGTCTCAGTAAATTGAGCATGTATCGATTCTGCAGTTCTGTAACGTTCCTTTCCCGAGTATAGTAATTGTTTGTTAGGTCAGCTCTAAACATTCCAGAAAGGCTTTAAGAAATAAAGACTGTTCATTACAGCCATTAAAATACTGAAAATGCAACTGTACGCCAAAGAAGAATGTACAGTTTGCCATTCAAAATCGGTCAAGAATCTTACTATTCAAAATACAATTCTTCCCTATATATTATTCGTTCATTTCTCAAAAGAGAGTAAGTGAATGGAAAAGCAGTGAACGGGTTTTCATTTTGAAGTAAAGTATTCATTAGTGATTAATTAATCCTAGTTTTGTCATTATATTCTTGGCTTTTGTTCCTCGTTATTAATGAATTACATTGATAAATACAGAACAAGTGATATTCACGACGTTGTAGAAATCCGTCGTCGTCCTGAAACAGGCTTTGACCCAGAGCCGGACACTTTGGCTAGAGTGCTTCTGATGATCGTTGAGTGATGCATAGTCCATGCTCCGTGCCATTGAAAAATGGCCCAATGAACCCGCTCTGGTAAGCAAAGAGAAGAAGGTGTACACCTTCATGGAGTACTATAAGCAATCTGTAAGGTAGGGATGGCGGTTTCTATTTCCCAAAGATTTTCGAAGGCTGCAACAAAACTTGGTTTGAGTACAGCCTCGACTTGTGGTGTTATTGGTTTTAACTCTCCTGAGTACTTTTTCACCCTTTACGGCTGCTGGCTCATCGGAGCCGTTCCCGTGGGTATCTACACTACCAACGCTCCCGAGGCGTGTCATTATAATCTCTTCCACTCGGAGGCGCAGATGTGTGTGTGCCAGGGCGGAAAGCAGGCTGAGAAGATCTTCTCCATTCGCGACCAACTTCCGAATCTGAAGGCGATCGTCGTGTACTGGCCAGAAGAAGGCATGCCAGCGAAGGTGGAGAACGACCGCGTGGCGCTGTATACCTGGGACGAGTGGCTGGAGACGGGGAACGAGATCAGCGACGAAACGATCGTGGAAAAGGCGAAAAACGTGGAACCCGGCAGCTGCGCGACGCTGATCTACACGAGTGGCACGACCGTAGGAGGAAGCGGAGGGAGGTGAAGGGCAGGGCGACCCGAAGGGCGCGATGATCAGCCACGATTCGTGCACGTTCCAGTGCGAAGGGATTCGGATTCGGATCGGTCTGGACCACCACGATCGCTACGTAGAGAGAGAGAGGAGGAGAGTGAGCGCTAGACGTCCTTCCTGCCGCTGAATCACATCGCGGCGCAGTACGTGGACGCGATGGTGCCGGTGTTCAACAACGTCTGCGTGTACATCTGCGACACCAACGCGCTGAAGGGCACGCTGGTCAACACGCTGCAGGACGCGCAGCCCACCGTCAGCGTCGCCGTGCCGCGCCTCTACGAGAAAATGCAGGCCAAGATCCAGAGCACGATCGACCAGGCCACCGTGCGGGTTGCGCGCGCGCGTCACCTCTAGGGCTTCAAACGCAAGCTGATCGACTGGGCCATGCGCGTAGGCTACGCGAGCTGCATGTCGCGGCAGTTCGGCCAGACGCACTACCGGCCGTGGGGCTACTGGCTCGCGGACCGCCTGGTCTTCCAGAGCATTCGGGACAAGCTGGGGTTCGGGCAGTGCCGAGGACTGGTGGTCAGCGCCGCGCCGGTGAACATCGAGACGCTCCGGTTCTTCGCGAAGTTCGACATCCCCATCTACGATCTGCTGGGGCAGAGCGAGGGCTGCGCGCCGTTCGCGACGAACTCGTACGTGGAGCAGCTGTGGAAGCTGGGCTCCGGCGGGAAGCCGATGCCCGGCGTGACGGTCCGCATCGGAGACATGGACGAGCTGCAGTACTGCGGACGCAACGTGATGATGGGGTACCTCAAGATGCCGGAGCAGACGAAGGAGACGCTGGACGAGGACGGGTGGATCCACACGGGCGACCAAGGACGCATCGACGAGGACGGGTTCGTGTATCTCACCGGGCGAATCAAGGAGCTCATCGTGACCAGCGGCGGCGAGAACGTGCCGCCCGTGGCCATCGAGAACAAGCTCACCGAGCTGCTGCCCGAGGTGAGCAACGCCATCGTGGTGGGCGACCGCAAGAATTACCTCGCGTGCATGTTCTGCTTGAAGACCGAGACCGATCCCGCCACCGGCGAACCCACCTCCGTGCTCGCGCCCGACGTGCTGGCGAAGTCCAAGGAGCTCGGGAGCGAGGCCACGACGTGCGAGCAGGCCGCGAAGGACGAGGCGTGGCACACCTACTTGGGAACGGGAGTGGAGAAGTACAATAAGGAGTTCGCGGTGAGCAATGCCCAGACCATCCGGAAGTGGATCGTGCTGGATCGGGACATCTCACTGGAGAGAGGAGAGCTCACGGCCACGATGAAGATGAAGAGAAACGTGGTTCTGCGACATTGCGAAAAGGAAATCTCGGAAATGTATATGTGAGCCGAGGGTTCAGTGAGAGTGCTGTTTGTTGGATTCAGAAATGGAGGGAAGGGAAGGGGAGCGGAACGGAACGAACTGGGAGAGGAGCTGAATGAGAAAGCGGAAGGATAAGATGGAAAAAGTACACACATCCAGAGAGGAAAACGCAATCGGTTGAGCGTTTCTGTAGAGCAAAAGAAAAGGATAGGATCCATCTCCAATCCTCCCAACGAATCGAGTCTCCAAAACTTTCTCTCTAGATTCTACTCACAGCAATATGAAGATTCAATAGATGCAAACATGGGGAAAACGAGTTCCCACTAATTGCCTTGAAATCCTATACAAAAGGAATTTTGCAAGAAGAGAGATCACATAACATAGATCCATACAGTTTATAACAGCATCGAATCAACCATCGAACAAGAATCAAAAGTTTGAACAAAGAAATAGTATTCTTTCCTGTGTGTTCTTCTAACTGTTTTTCATACTTCACGTCTGAAACACATTTGTGGGTAAAATGAATACACAGTTCGCAAATCTACAAGGCGAAGAATGGATATCCCAATCAAATAGTGAGGGAAAGACAGGTTGATTCTAATGAGTAGGGTTTGGTGGATTTGACGATAATGCAATGTTCTCCCAAGGGATATGTACTCCCGTAGAGAATCCTGTTGTGGGTTATAAAAAGCAATCAGAAACTAGATCCAAAAGCAGAGAAGCATTTTCAAATGTTAGTGCCAGAGGGCTTCAAACAGCCCAAAATGACTCGAGACTAAGAGATTTCAAGTTTGGAGTGGAGGATGGGATTTCTGACTATTATCGTGGAGCTGCAGAGGAGGAGAAAGAAAATATGTCCTTTCTTCGAAATTTGTCTTATGTGAACCAACAAGACTCTGTGTTTTCAGCTCAAAAGTCGAGTTCTCAGAAGTTGCTTGACACTCCCAAAGAGGAAGGAGATATTGTTAGTTGTGATAGTGATGGTTTTGTGAGCGATACTGGATATTCGATTTACGGAGATGTCCAGTACTCTGCCTCCCATATGCAGCGCTCTGCTTCCTCCCGGAGTGTGTGTGATGTGGTGAAAGGGATCAACGTGAGAGAGATGGCCAGCTTTCTAGAGCGGACGGATTCATTCATTCGTCGCTTAGAGCCGGCTGTCGACCCGCTTTGCAAGCCTTCACTGGAGGTAACAGCAAAGCCCGTGAAAACACGCCAATTGAACGAGCGGCAAACCCCGTTCAGTCCCATGTCGGGAGAAAAAATAAATGAGCCAAGAAACAGGTTTGGAGGGAAATCGGACAATGTGCGTGATTCTTCTCTGCGTTCATTCTAGGACGAGCTCCTGCGCATGGAAAGGTCGATCGAGCTGGAGAAGGAGAACTCCCATCTGCGCGATCGGATGTTGAAGCTGCAGGCCAGATTGCAATCGCTAGAGAAAGAAAACGTAGACTTAAAGGAAAAGGTGAAGCGTTTGGAGAGCCAGCTCGGTACGACCCCCGAAGACAAATCCTCCGAGTGTACCGACTTGTTTCGCATTCCCACGTAGCCAACGCGCTCTCTCCCTCCACGTTCGAATACTCCCAGCAAAATCTCGCCACTGTTCTGAATGCCATCGGCATTCCCCCCGAGCTCGTCGAGACCGTCGTCATCAACGTGGAACTGGAGTACCAAAAGTCGGTTTCCCCGTTTCTCCTCACCCAGAGGCCCCTCCGCGGTTTCTCCTTTTTCGCTCGGCCTCTCCTCCGCCTTCGACCTTTTTATGACTTCCTTCATCGACCAACCGCGGGAATTCCCCTCTCCCTTCTGTCCCGAAGCGCCCTTCTCCCTCTCCGCGGTTCCCCGTTTCTCCTCCGGTTTCCACGCTTTGGCTTCTCTGCTCTGCTCGCCCGCTTTGTCTTCGCTCTACGCTCGCTTCAAGTCCTTCTGCCTCGCGCTCTGGACCGACCTCCTACACAACCGCGATTTCCCCGCGGGAACCGCTCTGCTCGACCGCATCGACGCCTTCTGCCAGACCACCACGACCGACCTCCGGACCGGTTTCCACGTTTCCACGATTGAGGGAACGGGGGACGCGGAATTGGTGGGATCCCTCCAGCAAATGATCTTCAATCTGATTGGCGGGGGACTGCTTCGCCTCATCGCGCGCGAGAACCGCGGGAAAGAGCGACTCCTCAACACCGCCATCCACGTGCACCAGTTTCTACGCCCCCAGCATCTCGAGATCCCCGCGGAATATGTCGAAAACCCGCGGTTCGCGCGTGCGGTGGAGGAGTTTCGCTCGCTGTTTCAGTGCCGATCCCCGCGGTTTATGCTGCGCTGCCTGGCGGAAACGTCGAAGTCGCTGGCGTCGCTGCTGCGGGAGGGTTGTGTGGATTCCCGCGGGGATGGTTTAGGCGCGGATGATTTTGTTCCGGTGTTTATTTTTTGTGTTCTGCGGAGCGACGCGGAATTTCTGAACGCGGCGTCGGTTTTTATGGACAGGTTTCGAAGGGCGAGCGAGATGGAGATGGGGTAGGAGAGGAGGAGGAGGAGAGTGAAAAGCAGAGAGAGCTACGCGCTGGTGAGTTTGTTCAGCGCGCTGCAGTTCATTGCGAGTATGGATGCGCATCGACTCAGTATGAATCCGATCGATTACCAGATGTGAGGGGTGGGGGAGAAGGAGTGAGGAGTAGGATGGTTTCGGAAGCGAAGGACCGGATTGCGCAGAAATCAAAGAAACGACTTTCGATCTTTTAGTTGGATGTTTGTTCGATAAAGATGGATTTACGGGGAAGAAAAGAAGATTCGTGGAGAAATGGCGACTTTCAAGCATTTCCGTGTCAAACTACCTTCTACCTCGTGTCATTCGTCCCTCTCCCTCTCTTTGTCTTATGCAAGAAGAATACACTCGATTTCTTTTCGTGTTGTCATGCTAATAACAATAGTGTAAAATCTTCATTGTTCATTTTCCCGGCAAAATATATTATTATATGTCATGGCCGAGATTTCAAAGATGACTATTCAGGGAATAAGGTCTTTTTCCCCTCGCGAGGAGAAGACTATCAAGTTCCTTAAACCACTTACAATCATTGTCGGTGATAATGGCTGCGGAAAAACAACAATCATTGAATGTTTAAAAGCAGGCTGCACGGGAGATTTGCCTCCAGAGTGCAATAGGGGTCAGGTACCGTCCTTTTCGAATTGTTGAGAATAGTTATTCGTTACTGACCCTACTTTTTACCCAGGCAAAGAAGTAAAGGGACAAATTAAACTGGAGTTGTCCTGTTTGGATGAAAGCAAAGTTCATTGCGTACGTTCGTATACGGTAAGAGCTACTGTATGCTTTGCATTGCAACACTCTTAAATAGGGAACTAAGCTTGTTTTTCACTCGCTAGATCAAACGGTAAAGATTGTGGACAAGAATGGAAACACAGTTGAGTTAATGACAGTTGTTAAGCTTAGGCTGCGGATAGCAAACGTGTATCGGATATTAGTCAGCAGATTCCAAGACTTTTGGGAATGTCGCGAGCCATTATCAACAACGTGATTTTCTGTCATCAGGAAGAATCGAACTGGCCCTTGTCAGACGTTTGGGTGATTGAAAGGATTGAATCTTAGCGACTTGAGCTAAAGAAACGATTCGATTCGATTTTCGAAAGTACGTATTACACAAAATCGCTCGAAGCCCTGAAAAAGGAGCGAAAAGAAAAGGTTTCAACCCGCGGGGGAAAGTAATCGATAGAAAGAAGAGTTGACCCAGAGAAAACTGGAAGAAAACTCTCTGGGGAACTATCTTCAGCAGGCAAAGAATTATCGCGAGAGTATTCAACAGCATGGTGGTCCAATGAAGTTCAATTCACTGTAGAGGTCGAGATTTTTGAAAAGCAAAATGAGGACGGCAAGCTAAGCGAGAGTTTAGAGATGAAAATCAACAGACACAGCGAATTATTAAATGTAATTCAACAAGTGCGAAAGATCCAGAACGAAATTCGAGCGCAAAGCGGGCAGATCATAGAACAGAAAGGTCGAGTCGCGACCTATCGGTCCAGTTTAACGGAGGTTCTATCGAACAGCGACGAGGAAATCCAAAGCGAGCTCCGAGCGATCGAAACGAGCAGCAATAGGTTCGAATAGGCGCTTCATTGTGAGATGTAGCAGCAGAATGGACGTTCAATCCAAAGAAAACGAATTGAATGATTTGAAAATGAAACGGAGTGCGGCAGACGGAAAACGCACGCAAATCCAACTCGAAATCCACTCGAAGCAAACGCTTTACGCTTCCAAACTCGAATCGATTGGGAAGGACATAAACTCTCTTTTGTCATTTGCTTCGCCAGAGACGCGCTCGATTCTTGAATCCTTGAGAAATTCCATTCAACTCGCAGCCAGTTCGGGAGGAAAACGCGTTTCGATCGATGACATGAAACAGCTTGAGCAGATCATTCTTTCAATCCGAATGAACCTCGAAAAGGAAAAGGAAGCAGCACTGGAACGGAGGAGAATCCAAGAAATCGAAACCACAAAAGTGAAAAATGAATTGAGGGACTTGGAAATCAGTGAGATGGCGTCACGGAAGAGTTTGCAGAATGATATCAACTCGATAAAGAGCCAAATAACTTCGAGGAAAATGCAATTGCAGGTGCGAATTTCGGAGGATTGTTTATGTAGCGATTCGAAAGCAATCAACAAAGGAAACTCCCGCATGGATTGGAAGAAGCGAAGCGAAGAAGCCAGCAGATCGATGCCGAGCTGATAGAATTGCAGAACCAGCTGCGAATGAAGGAATCGCAGTTGGAGCAGGTGAATGCAGGGAGGGAATTGATCCGATTGCAGGAGGCCATCGATCAGAACGAAGGAGAAATCAGTGAACTGCGGATGCTTTGCAGAGCGTCGCAAGCGGGCGGAGCGATGAACGGAAGTCTCATGATGGATGAGATTTTGACGCGAACGCAACGAGAAATGAAGAAGTGTCTGGCGGAAGCGAATTTGGATTCGGAATTGAGTGCTGATAGTTTGAATGAATCGATTCTTGGATTGGAAAACGACGTGGTTCGATTGAAGAATGACCGAATGGAAGTGTTTGGAAGGTTGAAAGTGGAGGAAGGAAGACTGAATGAAGTGGAGAGGCAGCTGAATGAATTGGAACAATTGTTGGATCAGGGAATGAAGGAGATTCGTCAGGAATATGCAGAGTATCATTTTCAAAGCGAAGACTACTACGACATTCTTTCAGAGTTCCAAGATCGCAAACAAATCGTAGAAACCGTATCGAATTCGATCGAATGTAGTGGCCGATGAGCTTGTTAACCACGTTATCGAAACATTACCACTTCCTTTGTCTTCAGGATACCAAAAACCACTTAGAACCCTCACGATCCACCATCCAAGCCCAAATCAAAGTACAAAACCCGATCATAATCCGAAATAGACTTTAACAAACTCGCTCCGAGCGAAGGAAATGGTGATGAAAACCACAAAAAAGAAGCTGGAGGAGCTTCGGAATGTGAGAGAAGTGGTGACTCGCTATCGAAACTTTGAATCGGAGTTCCAGCGAGTTTCGCAGTTGACCACCCAGGATGAATCGAGTTTCGAATCGCAGCAGAGAGACGATACGAAACGACTGCAGAATCTGGAAGAGCAGACGGCAGAGATGAAAAATCGACTTCGATTAGAAAGAGAATCGAATCTACAAAAACGGAAAACCCTTGAAAACGAGCAACGCAATTTGCAAAGGAGAGTTCGATCGACTCGGAGCTTTTTGATTCTTAGATCAACGAGCTCACGTTCGAGAATCAAATGATTAAGCAAGCCATTGAAGACATTCAATGTAGCCGATTCTTGTTCTGTTTTGATTCATCAGCACAACTTCCAGAGATGACTTCAATCCAAAAAGAAGTCTCCGAGCTGGAAGCGCGATTAGACGAGCTGTACAATCGCAGATCCCAGAGCTATTCGCAGCAGACTTCCACCCAAGTCGAGACGCTTCGAGAGAAAGAAAGAAGTGCTTCGCAATCGCTGAACGAAATGATGAACAATCTGAGCGTATTGGCCTCCAAGATCGATTCCGTATCGCGAATGCTCGCTTCTCTTCAGGAGAAAAACGTGAACCAAATGGCGGAGTCGATCGATAATCTGCAATCGCAGTTGAGTACGCAGGAAAGTTTTTCCAAGGAGTACGAAGCGAGATACACGGAATTGAATACGATCATCCAGACACTCAGACAGAAAACAAGTGCGACGCAATATCGAATCGCGGTGCTGAATGGCAATCTGCAATACCGTCAGGAGAAATCGCGGTTAGAAGAGATGGAGGTGGGCGAATTGCGATGCGTCGAAGCGTAGAAACAGATGAAAAACCTCGAAGAACAGCTTCGTCAGTTCGATGTCAACCAATTAGAAGCGGAAGAAACGATGCTCACGCAAGAAATCGACAGACTCAAGGGCAGGTGCGAATCAGTAAATAGAGTTTCATCGTAGACGGAACCAAATCAAAGGAGAAATCGTGCAGCTGAATCAGCATTTGCAGGATTGCAAGGTTCGGAGCGAAGATTGTTGTTGTTTTGTAGAATCAGCTGGGCAAAAGCGAGTTCAGAGACATCGATCGCCGATGGCTCATCGCGCAGACGCAGTTGAAATTGCTCACGATAGTGAACGAGGATTTGGACAAATACATGCAGGGCATCGAAGCAGGGCTGCTGAAATACCACCAAGCGAAGATCGAAGAGATCAACGAGCGGATCCGAGATCTGTGGACGGAGACCTATCAAGGAAAAGACATTGAATCGATTGAGATCGAGAGCAAGCAGATTACGCGAGGCTCGAAAACGGTCTTCGATTATGCTGTGTATATGGTGAAAGTCGTGCTTGTTTGTTTCTTTTGACGGTAGAATCACACGAAATTGCAGATGCGAGGCCGTTGTTCGGCTGGGCAGAAAGCACTCGCATCGCTGGTGATTCGAATCGCATTAGCGGATGCGTTTTGTTCGCATTGCGGGATTTTGGCGTTGGATGAACCCACGACGAATCTTGATAATGACAATAAAGAAGCTCTGGTGGAGTCGTTGGTGAAGATTATAAAGTATCGAAGCCAGCAGCGGAACTTCCAGCTGATTGTAATTACGCACGATGAGGAGTTTGGGCAGATGGTAGGGATTGAGAGAGAGCGAACGAGCGTAGTTGACGCAGAAGGGACTGGGAACGAGAAAGAGCTATTATCGAGTGAGTCGAGAGCCATCGCAGGCGGATCAGGGATTGTTTGTGAGCACGATTTCAAGACAGACGTGGGGATAATAGATTCTATTTGTGTGTGTTGTTGTGTGGTTTGGTTGATAGACGATTGTTTGTTGGAATAGTAAAATGAATCCATGAAACATTCATTCGAGGAATCATAAACGAAGCGATCCCAATCCCAATTCACATAATTTCTATTCAATCCAATTCAATTCAATTCAATTCAATTCAATTCAATTCAATTCAATTCAATTCAATTCAATTCAATCCATATCATTCAACACCACTCATCCTCCACTCAACTCATTTTCTACCTCAAACAATCCATAAAAGACACTCCAAAAACAACCCATTTCTTCTTCTTCACTTCTTCTCCTTGGGCGGTACAAACTTCTTCTGCCGCTCCTGCTCCTTGATCCCGGCCTTTCTCTTCTTCTCCATCCGCCTCTTCTCCATTTCTCGCTCCTTCTTCTGCTGCTCGCTCAAGAAATACTCTCCGCTCTCGATCTGCAGATCCACCTTCGACGGCGTGATGTGATTCTCCGGCGGGAACGGCGTGTATCTACTCTTCACTGCCCTCATCATCTTCATTACTTCTTCTCCTTCACCACCACCTTCTTCGTCTTCGAGCTTTTATTCTCCTTCTTAAACTTCGGTAAGAACCGATCCCAATTCTCGTTTTTCAGCGCAGGGTCCTACGCATCATCGCATCATGCCATCTCCACCTTCGCTAACTCCCGCTTAATCATCAGCGTTTTGATCGCATAGATCGGATGGATGTTCTTCATGCAGTCAATGATGATTCGACGCACCGTTTTCAGGCCTTGGTAGCTTCCCATCACCGCCACCGTGTTCCCTTGAACCAGCATGTAGCAGTCCGTTAGCAGCTCGATCGCCTTCAGCGTCGCTCCTTCGGGGCCTACCAGGCGCTGGCGACGCTTGATGAAACGGTCCTTCGTGGTTACGTAGCCGCCGATTTTGATGATGTCGCATTGCATGTTGTCGTCCAGGATTTTTATGGCTTGGTTGAAAGGAACGCTGCGAGCAAGTAGCTTGATCAGGTCGCGTGCTTTCAGAATGATGTAACTACCGCTCAGTCCAAACAGGAGGAAATACGGGTCCTTCGTTTTACGCGTCGTCTTGACCGTCATCGTACCTTCGATACAGTCCAACTCGCAGTAAATTCCGTGTTTCTACAGCTTCACCGATTTATGCGAATCAAACATCTAGTTCTTTTGTAACCGCTGGCCACACTTCACGGAGATATTGCTCTCTGTAGCGGGGAAACATGGTAGCGAACGAGCTTTCCTCCAGCAGAGAAGAGGGCATATACTCCTCTTTCCATTCCTAGGAGCTAGTCCACTCCAACACACATCCCTACTTCGATTTCCCACTTGTTCACAGTGCCATCATCCCAGGGCTTGTCTTTGCGATAATTTCTCTTTTTTCCCTGCTTCTTCTCGTCTGTGGGAACTGCTTCGGTGGGTTTGTTGCCAGAATCCATTGTGTGAAGAGAAAATGTGAACATATTGTTTGCAGAAGTGTGCAGTAGAGAGTGAAAAATGCACCTGCATCTTTTTCAATTTTGAATCGCATCAAGTCACGATTGAACGATTTCAATAAGGAAATTACCACTGCTCCTTCATTTATAATTTGTGTGCAAAAGAGTACGTGATTTGGAACAATCCCATTGTTCCTTGGTTTACAATTTGTTTTGGCTGTTGTGCATCCTATCCATCTTCTCGAGCCCTACGCATAGGCATAGTTTATAAGATAGATATGCGATTGAAACTCCCAAATGGAACATTCCATTTTGGCGAGAGTTCCAAACTGACAGGAATTCATATTTTATTTTTCAATTTAGTGTAGGTTAAAGAAATGGCTGAACAGACTGAGACCTTTGCTTTCAGTGCTGATATTACGCAGTTGATGTCTCTGATCATCAACACGTTCTACAAGAACAAGGATATTTTCCTTCGTGAGCTGATCTCAAATGCTTCCGATGCGCTGGATAAGATTCGTTATGAGAGTTTGACTGACCCCTCAAAGCTCGAGTCGAACCCCGAGTTGGTGATCGAGATTACTGCTGATAAGACAAACAAAACGCTGACGATTCGTGATACCGGTATTGGTATGACAAAGGCTGACTTGATCAACAACCTGGGTACCATTGCTCGCTCTGGAACGAAGGCGTTCATGGAGGCTCTTCAGGCGGGAACGAGCGATGTTTCGATGATTGGTCAGTTCGGTGTGGGTTTCTACTCCGCTTACCTGGTGGCTGACCGCGTGGAGGTGATCTCCAAGAGCAACGACGACGAGCAGTACGTGTGGGAGTCGTCTGCGGGTGGTTCGTTCACGATTCGTCCCTCGACGGACGAGCCTCTGGGCCGTGGAACGAAGATCATTCTGCACATCAAGAGCGACCAGGAGGACGTGCTGGAGGAGCGCACGATCCGCGATCTGGTGAAGAAGCATTCTGAGTTCATCGGCTTCCCGATCCGTCTGTGGGTGGAGAAGACGACGGAGGAGGAAGTGCCTGATGATGATGAGGAGGAGGAGAAGAAGGAAGAAAAGAAGGAGGGCGAGGAAGGAGAAGAGGAGGAGGAGGATGCCCCGAAGGTGGAGGAAGTGACGGAAGAGGAAGCGACCAAAGAGAAGAAGACGAAGAAGGTGAAGAAGGTGACGCACGAATGGGACGTGCTGAACAAGCAGAAGCCGATTTGGATGCGTCCGAAGGACGAGGTGACGGAGGAGGAGTACAACGCCTTCTACAAGAACATCTCGAACGACTGGGACGATCCGCTGGCGCACGAGCACTTCGCGGTGGAGGGTCAGCTGGAGTTCCGCTCGATCCTGTTCGTGCCGAAGCGCGCGCCGTTCGACATGTTCGAGACGAAGAAGAAGCCGAACAACATCAAGCTGTACGTGCGCCGTGTGTTCATCATGGACGACTGCGAGGATCTGATGCCCGACTACCTGAACTTCATTCGCGGCGTGGTGGACTCGGACGATCTGCCGCTGAACATCTCGCGTGAGGTGCTGCAGCAGAACAAGATCCTGCACGTGATCAAGAAGAACCTGGTGAAGCGTTGCCTGCAGATGTTCGAGACGATCGCGGAGGACAAGGAGAAGTTCAAGACGTTCTACGAGCAGTTCAGCAAGAGCATCAAGTACGGCATCCACGAGGACAGCGCGAACCGCGAGCGTCTGGCGAAGCTGCTGCGCTTCCACAGCTCGAAGTCGGGCGACGACGTGGTGAGTCTGGAGGAGTACGTGGAGCACATGAAGGAGAACCAGCCGGGCATCTACTACATCACGGGCGAGAGCCTGGAGGCGGTGCGGAACGCGCCGTTCCTGGAGAAGCTGAAGAAGAAGGGCTACGAAGTGCTGTACATGGTGGACGCGATCGATGAGTACGCGATGCAGCAGCTGCGCGAGTTCAAGGAGAAGAAGATGATCTGCGTGACGAAGGAGAACTTGAACTTGGAGGACGACGAAGAGGAGAAGAAGAAGCTGGAGGAGGAGAAGAAGACCTTCGACGAGCTGTGCGTGCTGATCAAGGAGGTGCTGGGCGACCACGTGGAGAAGGTGCTGGTGTCCAACCGTCTGGCCGACTCGCCGTGCTGCCTGGTGACCAGCGAGTACGGCTGGTCCGCCTCGATGGAGCGAATCATGCGCGCGCAGGCGCTGCGGAACGACGCGTTCGGCATGATGTCGGCGAAGAAGATCATGGAGATCAACCCCGATAACTCCATCATCAAGGTGCTCTCCGAGAAGGTCAAGGCCAACCGCAACGACGCCACCGTCAAGGATCTGGTGTGGCTGCTCTACGACACCGCGCTGCTCACCTCCGGATTCTCGCTCGAGCAGCCCATGGCCTTCGCCAACCGCATCCACAAGCTCATCCAGCTCGGACTCAGCGGAGAGGACGAGGACGTGCCCGCTCTGGAGGAAACCAACACGGAGGCCGCGCAGGAAGCCGCCGAGGAGGAAGAGGGAGAGATGGAGGAGGTCGATTAAGCGAAAGAGAAAGAAAAAGAAAGGAATAATAGTCGTCGCGATTGTGTGGATTTTGTAATAGTAGTTGCATTGGTTGGATTGTTTGTTGAATGAATAAATGAATCAAGGTATGAATGATTGAATGAATTGTAAATGCAAGAAAACAAACTACCAATCGTTATAAATCGCTCGCACCCACCATTCACTCGTTTCTAAAACAAACAATCAACACACAACGCTTCAGTTCTCCATCTGGCTGGCCGAAAACAAAAACTGGCTGTTTCGATCGAACAGGCAGGGTCGTTCCGCGCTCTCCAAGTAATGGAGCCCCAGCGCCATGCTGAACCGCGCTCGCAGCGCCCTCTTCTCCCATTCCTTCTCCTTCTCCTCGCCTCTCCTCGCCTCTTTCCTCTCCTTCTTCCGCTTCTCTCTCTCTGCACACCCCCGCAGCGCGTCGACATACATTTCCGCCTCACACGCGACCTCTCTGGCGACCATGGCCACGCATCGATACAGCACTTCCATCGCCGACGCCTCCGCGAACTCCTTGCACCGGAACCAGTTTCCTCCATAGTTCGGTCCCTCCATCGCCGCGCGCTCCACGAACACTTTCACCGCGGGACTCGCCGCCAGCAGCACCTCCAGCGCGCGCCGCGACGCGCAATCGTGGAACCAGAGCAGCGCGTCCGAGGTCACCAGCAGCAGCCGCACCGCCTACACCTCATCCCCGCGGGACTGGCCCACCTCGACGTAGCTATCGCTATACTGCGGCGTGAAGAACATCGCCAGCCGCAGGCACTGCGCCGCGTTCCGCGGGGAGAACAGCCGTCCGCACGGGTTCAGGAAAAGTCGTGCGCCCTCGCACCAAACTTCGCCCGATTTCCCCACGGTTCGCAGCGCGCGCCGGAACACGCGCAGTCCCGCGAACGGACCGAACGCCCTGCACGTGAGAGCCTCCCCGCGGGAATACTGGTGGGTCTGCTGGATGTACGTCGCCCAGACGCGTCCCGCGGTTGGGTGGCGGGAAATGGCGGCCTCGTTGAGGAAGCGCGCGGGACGGATTAAACCGCGGTAAAGCTACCGTTCAATCGGGGAAACGTGGAAACGCATTGGTGGACGAGTTCCAATCGAAGTTTCCACTCTTCAGGGAAACGGTCGATCGCGCAGAGCAAAATCCCCGCGGCAAGCGGAGCGTTTCCCGCGAAAAAAACCGTCTTCGCGAATTCTAAAAGAACCTGGTAGGCGTTTCGTTCGGCCGCGTAGCGAAACGCCCGCTTCATCATCTAGAGTGGAGATTCCCGCGGGGAGGTACGCTGAGACACGTGGCCAAATCGCCGAGCAGCGCGGCAAATCGCGCGGCAACGAGGAAAAGCCGCCATTTGAGATTGTCGGGACAGAAATGGGCGGCCTGGATGAGATCGCGGTGGCTCTGGCGAACCAGGTGGACTTCCCCGCGGGGCAATCGGTGGTAGAGGAAGGGCTACGGGTGAGATCCGAGCAATCCGCCGAATCAACAGAAAAAGAAAGAAAGAAAGAAAGAAAGAAAGAGAAAGGGGTGAATGAATGAATGAATGAATGAATGAATGAATGAATGAATGAATCGATGAGAGAGAAAAGGAACATTCAATTCAATGACTCAGGGAGGCATTCTGATGATTGATTGATTGATCCATTTCATCCAATCGATGATTCATACACTTCAATTCATTCAATTCATTCAATTCATTCAATTCATTCAATTCATTCAATTCATTCAATTCATTCAATTCATTCAATTCATTCAATTCATTCAATTCATTCAATTCATTCAATTCATTCAATTCATTCAATCAAAACCCGATCAAAAAACAATCATTTCATTCACTTCCATCCCATCCCATTCCTCCCTTCCTTCCTTCCTTCTTTCTCTCCTTCCTTCCATTCGGTCGGCTCCCTACCTGTCTCATCACGTTTCTCTGCAGACACATCAAGCATCTCCCAAAGAACTGCATGCGAAAGAAGAACGCCCTCCACAGCACGTCCAGCGTCAGCGCCTCCACCACCCTCTTCGCCACGCTCAGATACAGCGGGCTCTCCACGCGTCCTCGGAAGCCCTCCGCCTCCCACTGCAGCAAGCACGCGTGTTCCAGCCGATCCAGCACCTCGAACCACAGCGGGCCGTACTTCGGGAACTGCTCCAGCGCGCGCAGCGCGCACTGCACCTGCTCTCCGAACGCCGCCCGCGGGGTCTCGAACTGCAGCCACTCCAGCACGAAGTTCCCGGCCGCGAACCTCGGATGCTGCAGCGCCGCTTCGAAGCCTTCTCGGGCCTTGCCCAGCTCTCCCAGCCTTGCCAGCGCGCGGTACGCGTCCAGACTCGCCTTCAGCGCGCGCTGCGTGTCCTGGCCGCGCAGCTCCGCGGCCGCCGCCTCGATCTCCCGCGCGCTGCGCAGCCGCTCCGCCACGCGGATTTTCCGCTGCAGCAGCGGCAGACTCCCCGGGTGCAGCGCCAGTCCCGCGGCCACCACCCTCGCCGCGTTCCGAAACTCCCCGCACTCCATCTCGAAACGCACGAACTCCAGCCACACCTGCACTTCCGCGGGGCGCTCCAGCGCCAGCTCCACGAAACGCCCGCGCGCGGCGCGCAGCCGGCAGCGGTGCTTCAGCTCCACCGCCTCCTCCACGCACTCCTTCAGCGGACGCAGCGGACCCCGTTTCACCGGTTTCTCCAGTTTCCACGATTGCGAAGAGAGGGGGTCCAGGGGATCCAGGGGGTCCAGGGGATCCAGGGGATCAAACCACCCCGGTTCCACGGTTTCCACGGTTTCTCCGATGGCAGGAACCACCTCGGAGGACTCCTCGGTTTCTCCGGTTTCTCCGGTTTCTCCGATTTGGCGCCGGTCGTAGTCGGCGACCAGCGCGGCGTAGGGCGTTTCCCGCCAAATCGAGAGACTGCGCACGTGATTTGGCGGCAAATCGCTCCCCCCCGAAGACACCGATCCCCGCGGGGATCGCGACCGCGGAGACACGCGGTACTCCCAGAAAATCGCGGGACGCGGCGGGGGATAATCGCGGGGATCCCGTTCCGCGGGGAGTTGCAGTTCCTGGAGAGCCAGTTCCGTGGGACGCGTTTCGCTGCTCATTCCCGCGGGACACATCGTCATGGTCAAAATCGGGGCGTTTTCTGGCTCGCCGGGCGTTTCATCGTCGAGGAAGAGCGGCGTTAACCGCGGTTCCATCACCGAATTCGGCGCTCGCTCCAGCGGGGCTCGTCCCGCGGGGAAGAGAGGAACCGCGGGGCGGTTGGCGGCGCGGTCGGTTAGGCTGCCGGTGGCGTAACCGTATCCTGGCCGCGGGGAAAAATCGTCCCGCGGGGGAGAGAAGGGAGCGTGCTGGAGGGAATACGCGGGGAAATGGGGGGTGGCGGGGCGGTAGGCGGGGTACTCGTCGTTCCGCGGGAATAGAGCTGTGGTTGAGGGGAATAAAAGAAGAAGAATACGTTGGTAAGGAACGGATGAAATGGTCCCAGGTCGGGAGTATTGGTAATTGACCGGATCATCGAAATAGGGCTGATGACTTAAAAAAGTAATTCATGGTAAAAGGGAAAAATACTAAGAATAGGTCGGAGTTTGGGAACCACGCTGCGAAAGAATGGTGTGACATATTCTCTCGCGAGTGTGGGACGGGGAATAAAAGGGGGCATCGCCAATAGTCAAGTCTGCTGGTGATGGGAATGAAGTCTGAAGACCGTTGGTATAATTAGGATTCTAGCAGTGAATTAGAACAACAGTACACTACCATGGTGGATTATAAACAACAAAGTACTCTCACAACGTAATATCGGTAAATGGCAAAATGAGCTTGAAGACGATATAATTTATTGGCTCCTAAACTCGATAGGCAACAAAATACCGATTTTAACGGTCTGGTAAAAAGTAATCTAACCGTCAAATAAGAAAACGCATCTTTCTTGTGTTTGGTACGATCATGCTCCGTAGTTTGTGTGGTCCATTTTAAGTAAAAATAAACACAATCTCTTTTTCCACTTTGGTTGTTTTTGGCTTTTGCTTTTATTCGCAATACCATGCAAGAAAGCAAGGAAATTATCAGTATCCAAGTCGTCATTGCCGATTGCCTTCACTTTAGAAATGCACAGATATCGAAAAGCTACGTAAAATCGCTCTCGATTTGGAAAAGGAGAATTCAAAGCTAAAGGAGTCGTATTTACTGCTTTCGTCTCGGTAGGCGAATTGTTGCTATTTTTTGTTAATTGATTTTAGAATGTCCAAATTGATCCCATTAATCAAGGATCAACTTGCGAATTGGGACTGGGATGTGTCAGATAAAGATGTGATTAGTTCATTTGATAAATCGGAGAGTGAAAATGCGGAAAGTGCGATTTGGCTGATTGTTTTTTGATGGGGTAGATGGATCGAGTGCTGAGGGCTGTCTAAAGCTCCTAACCACAATGAACGTTCCATTTTTTTAATTTTTGAGTTGCTCACACACAGATTTTCCGAACCAATGTATATTGCTGCAAATTCTGTTCGCGCGATAAGTTCCTGGCATGCGGCTGCTTTAGTGGAGCCATCATCATGTATCGCTTCTCCACCTCTTCTCGCGAACTCAAACATGTTGGCCATTGGAATTCCCTTTCTTTCCTCAGATCCGTACGATTAACGGTCACAAAGGCCTCGTAACGAGCATCAAGTACTCTATTTTATTACCCAAACCTATCATTCTAGCTGGATCAAAGGCGATGATCGCATCGTCTCCACCTCCATCGACAAAACAATCCGCGTATTTTTTTACCCTCCGCTCAAAATCTCATTGCTAGGTGTGGAAGCCCGTCACCGGCGAGTGCGTCTCCGTCATCCACACCGAGATGCTCCTTCTCTCCGCCTGTCTTTTCACCGAAAAAGACCGCGAATTTTGCGCGGCAAGCGGATCCAACCGCCGCTTCGTCCTGGCCGACCTCGCTCAGCCCGAGCACATTCGGTCCGATTTTTGGAATTCCAATAATAGTCCAGAAAACTGGAGTTCGGCTGCCAAATCAACGCGATCGTGGAATCTTTCCCCTATTTAATCGTGGGAACCGACACCGTATTTTATTTAAAAAAAACCGCGGTTATCCAAAGGGAGAGATCCGAATTCTGAACAGTTCCACGCTGGATACGGTTTTTTCCACGATTCGCGACGGCTACCAGGTTCATTCCATGGCCGTTTTGCGATTGGCCGAGCGTAGAACCGCGGGAATCCCTCAATGTGTAGAGGAGTTTTATCTCGCGGTGCAGTTTCGGAACAATATTATCGAAGTGTTCTCGATGTAGTCCCGCGGGAATGGGTCAAATCTAGCGAAAACGTGGAGCTGCGTCGATTGTCGTGCTACCAAAGTAGGCGATTCCCGCGGGATTGGAGGTAGTTCCGGAGCTGAAAATGTCGCTGTCAAATTGCACGCTTTTCCGCGATTCTTCGCTTCCGCTGAATCGCGTGCTGAATGAAACGCCCGGGTTGGAGGACTTGGAAGAGAAGGTGGTGCCGAACTTGTATTTAATCGCGGGGGGAAACAGTGGAAACACGTATTTATGGCCCGTTTTTCGGCAAGAAGTGTTCGTGAGTCCCGCGGTGAAGAAGATTCAGGACAGTCCGTGCATGTTTATCGATACGTCGCCGTATTGTAATCTAATCGCGATTTGCTCGCAGGATCGCACGGTGAATATTTGGAAGACGGATGTTTGAAGTGTTTGTTCAGATTAATGCAGTTCGATATTGCCTTCGATGATGCCGATACCAAGCCGAAGAGGAAAATGCCCTCCCGGTTTGCGGCGAGAATGAGAAAGCCTGAATCGGAGGGGAGTAGCAATGCGGAACAGGCCGCTGCCTCTTCGCAGCCAAACGATTCAAAACCTGCAAATACAGCGTACCCGCACAAGATCGATTTAAATTGTAGCGAATCGAAGCACATTCGAAAAGTCGCGCAACCTCTGTGCACAGACAGTTCTACGGCATATACGAAAGACAGCTGTGTGTCGGCCGTTGTGATTTGACAACTATTCAACTCCTAGTTGGAATCCGCGATCCCTGATTTTACCAAATATAAAGAAACGATCGATACAAATCCAAAATGGCAGGAAAAGGTGGAAGCTCTGCAGCAAATTGAGAACGCGATCAAATCGCGTCCCGATTCGTTTTCCACCATCCAAGAAGCCGTTATTCAATTCACACTTCTTGTTTCTAAAGATTACAAAGTTGCCAACATTAATCTTCTCAAAGCATCCTACTCCATCGCTCGCACTGTAATTCAACTCTGCGGCGCAGGTCCTCGCGCTTGCAAGCCCGTGATCGAGTTTTGCGTGAGCAAGCTGCATGACAAGAAAATCGGTTCCGATTTGAGCGAATTGCTGAGTTGCATCGCCGAACGAATCGGACCGAACTCTGTTTTTGATACCGTTGTTTGCAGTCAAACACTCGTTACACTTAGATTCGGTCCGTCATGGAATCCAGCAAGATTTCCCTCCAACAAAACGCCGTTTTGCTCTTTCTCGATTCCCTTCTAAACGAATTCGGCGCGCAAAACCTCGACGTCAAACCCATTCTCCACTACGCCCTCGGCCCTCTCGTTTCTCCTTTTCCCCGTTTCCACGCTTAGGGTCTGGGCAGCAGCAAGCCCGAGGTCAAAAACAGCGCCATCCAGCTGGTCTGCAGCTTTTCCCGCCACCTCGGCGCGGTCGTCCAATCAATCGTCGAGCAGAGCGAAATCAACGAGCTCCTCAAGAAAAAAGTCATCGAGGCGCTCCAAAGCGCGCCCTTCGACCCCTCCCTCGCCGCCAATTACCCCTCTCCCGCGGGGAAGCCCGTTTCCTCGGGAGAGCGAGGGAAAGAGGAGAGTCCCGCGGTGAATCTGAGCGATTTGGTGGAGGCGTTCGACGCTTCGAGCGAGGTGGACGAGAGAAAATGGGCTGAGTTGTAGCTGCAGCCGCTGCTGGCGTCGATGTCGGTGATGGAGGGAAAAGAGAGCTGGAAGGTGCGTCAGAGCGCGATCGAAGCGGTGACGACGCTGATGACGAAGCATCCGGTGGTGGTGGCGAATCGCGCGGTGGGATCGGCGATGACCATCTTGAAGGATCGGCTCTCCGAGTCGAACTTGAATCTTCGCGCGCGGGTTTTGGTCTGCATTGGCGCCATCGCGAAGTCGGTCGGCCGCGACGTGACGCAGTGGAACGCGTTATTGTTCCCGGAACTCATGAAATTGTGTTCCGAAACGAAGCAAAACGTGCTGGACGCTTTGTATCCTCGCTTCTCTCCTCGCTTCTCACCCTCAGATTCTCCACTTTATCGTTATGGGTCGACCATCCGCCCGCCACCGCGCAGATCTTCAACTCCATTCTCCCCTTTCTCCCGCAAGGCTTCAAAGCCGTCAAGGGCCGCCTCGCCCTGCTCCGCTGGCTCAACCAATACAAAGATTGCATCGAGGCCAAGCAGGCGTCCTGCCTCGTCCGCTCCGTCATGGACTGCCTCACTGATCGGGTTTCTACCGTTCGAATCGAGGCCACCAAGACCGTCGAAGTCCTCGCCAGGCTCTGTCCTCCCGACGATTTCGAGCGCGCCATGAAGGACCGGCCCTCTCCCGACGTCCAGACGCTCCGCGCCACGCTCGACGCCTTCCTCGGAACGCGTGCGCACCAATCCGCCGCCCCCGCCGCCGAAACGCCCCCCGCGGGGAAGCTGTCGGAGCTGGAGCAGCGGAAGAAGTCGCTGGCGCTGCGGCCCGGCGTGCGGCTGCTTTCGAAGCCGAAGGCGGGCGAAGGACTGAAAGCGCGGTACAGCAACGCGAAGTCGTCGATTCCGAAGCCGATGCCGCGGTTTTCGGCGCATCGGCGCAGCGTGGAATCGTCGTTTTTGAACCCGCCGTCGGAGCGATCGTCGATTTTGAGCCTGTCGAACGCGTCGATTTTCTTGTCGTATCCGGTAGTCCCGCGGGGATGGGTCGATCGTAGCACCAATCGAAGCTGGAGAGGGAGGAAACGCACGGGAAGTGGGACGTGAATCGGCTGGATTTGCGGCAATTGCGGGAAGAATGCAGCGATGTGATCGCGGTTTCGTGGGTAGGGAAAATGTACTCGGAGCTGGACGCGCCGACACAAGCGATTTTGCATGTGTTGGACGACTTGGTAATCACGGATATCCGCACAGTGATCGCGAATTTGGATATTGTGCTGAAAGAAGGATGCGTGACGCTGCTGCTGCACTCGAATCCGGACACGATCGAGCTGTTGCTGAAGTTTTTCGATGATTTGCTGACCGAGTTGATTAGTGATAAGTTGTGTTGCCTGTTTGTTTTGAGGGTAGTTACGTTCTCACCGATTTGGAGCTCTCGATTCTCCTCTCCACCTTCATCTCGAAGAGCGGAGACGCCAATTCGAAGATCCGAATCGCGGTGAAGGGCTTCTACCAATCGATCGTCGCCTGCGCCGATCGTTCCAAAGCACGCTATTCCTTACACTTTCATTACTTACTAGATGATGCAGGTCCTCCTGCTCTCTCTCAACGAGCCCAACGCGCTCATTCGACAAACCACCCTCATCTTCTTCCGCGAAATGATTCCTTACCAGGAAGTCAAGCAGGTTCTCCGCGAAAACATCACCGTGATCGTGCGAGAAGTCCACGATTTCCCGCGGAAATCACGCCTAGATGGACGATAGCGATAAGGAATGTGCGCAGCACGCGCGCCAGCTCTGCAAAGAAGCCTTGCAGGAAGGCGCTTTTTCGGCCAAAGATTTGCAGACACTTTCCAGCAGCATGTCTCCCGCTTCCCGCGATTATGTGAAGGAGATTACCCGCGGGGAGGATCGGTTTCTGTCGTCCCCTCTGATTTCTTCCGCTTCTCCTCCAGTTTCCACGGTTTCTCCGATTTCAGGAGGGATGGGCGTTTCGCGCGGGCTGCGAGGTTCGAGAACCGCGGGAATGGACGAAATGGGATCGAAATCGATGGCGGAAGCCGCGTCCTCGCTGCGGAACCCTCCGAATTCGAATGGAATTCCATCGGTGTTTCCCGTCGAAGTGGATGAGAGCGATTTGTTCCTTCCTTCGGATTCGGTTGCTTCGCTGTCGCCGCTGCAGTCGATTCATTTCGACGGCGATCCGTCGCTTTTCAGCGTGGTGGAGCCGATTCTGACGCTTCTTCGCCTGCTGGAGCAGTTCGAAAACGATTCCATTCTCTCCGATTGGTTCGACGAGGAGTTACGCGACGTCCTCAAGGCGTTTCATCAATTGGTGCTGCTCTTCGACGCCGTTGATTCCCCTCTCTTTCTTGAATTCCAGAAAAACCCCGAATTTTCGTCCCTGTTATCGAGCTTCGATGGAATTCTCTCGCTGCTTCTGCGCATTTTGGAGCAGGAGCTGCGTCGCATCGAGCAATCCGAGCCTTCCAATGACGCTCTCTTCTCCTCCCTCATCCAGCTGCTGCTCTTCTTCTTCTACTCCACGGAGGACCATCCCGGGATTCTGCAGTGCACCGCCGTGTCGCAGCTCGCGCTCTCGCAGTTCCTCGATCTTCTGATTCTCGCGGTGAAAGTCGATTCGCAGCCGGAGCGCAGCCAGCGCTATCAGCAGCTTCTGAGCTGGTTTTTGGCTTTTTGGAGGAGGTGTAAGGAATAGTGTTTGCGAGGCGCCGAGTATGACGCAGCTGCTGGAGATTTGTGTTCTGAAGATTCGCGAGCTCGGAACTGAGAGTCGGGATGACATCGCGGCGTCGTTAATCGCGGGGATGCTGCGGAAAATGTCGAAGAATGTGACGCAGGGGATCGCGACCGGCGATTTGGCGCGGTGTAGGAGAGAAGGGAGGATGGGATGTAGTGAATGAACTGTTGCAGAGTTTGTCGTCGCCGTATCCTGTTCTGGCGATCGAAATTGTGGAATTACGGAAATGTGTGGCCGAAATGATTGAGAGCATCACAAATCGACGTGTGAGTGTGGCACAGCCGACATCCCTACAGAAATTAGATGAAGAAGTGATGGTAAAGGGAATGAATAAGGAATAGACGAGCCAAAACGAGCTGCAACTGCAATTAAAGAGAAAGGGAGTTTTTGATAATCTGCGAAGACTGGAAGCCGAAGGAAAGTTAAAGCGAACTCAGGAAAGGAAAGAACGGACCGAGAAAAGCATGGAGGAAATAGAGCGAAGAATGAAGAAGATTCAGGAGCTGCGTTCTAAACCGGGCTCGACATAAAATTCCTTTTTGTTTTAAACGGGATGATGAGAAATCAATTTGAAAAAACTGAGACAAAGGAAATTATGCCAAATTATTGCAATTCCAGATTTGTGTCAAATTTTCGTTGAATTGGTTTGAACTAATTCTTGACTGTACAATGCAAAGGACATTGCAACAATTGGCTGGAGCCGCGCTAGACTCTCTTGGTTTAAGTAAAATAGAGGATGCGCAGCTTTTGGCTCATCTCCACACTCTCGATTCTATGGAAGTATCTCTCAGGTGATTCGTGCTGTTTCGGAGATCAGGTCTAGAGATATTGAAAAGGTATCTAGCGAAGTGTTCTCTGCTTTTGAAAGCATGCAGACTTCCATGTCAAACGTCATTTCCTCGTCCACAGAGCTGGTGAACGCCTATGACAAGGATCCAACGATGAAGTCGACGCTATCTTGCTACAAGAATATGTACATGTTCAGCACATCGAAATTAGAGAAGGAACTCGTAGCATCTGCCGTAATGGATCTAATCTCAAGAGATCCCGAATCGAGGAGAACATCTTCGCGAAAGTGGAAATCCGGCGCGAAGTCCTGTCCTCCATCCGCAAGCGGATCGAGGACTGCAATCAGCTCAACGCGCACTACACCAACGTCTCTCACAACCTCGACTCGATCCGTTCCGACCCTGCGAACCTCGAACAACTCACCCCCACCGAGCTCTCCGACGTAGTTTCCACGTTTCCCCATTCATCGCAGCTCGAATCGGAGTGCGCCCAGCTGCAGTCGCAAGTGCTCGAGCAGAAGGAGCAGCTGGCGAACGACATCTCGAGCTACGTGACCAACACGCGGCAGTTTCTCTGCGAATGTTATCACTACGTTTTTTGGAATTCCATTTTTCTGACCTGCAGCTCGGATCGCTCGATTCGCTTCTCCTCACCAGTTTCCACACCTCGCTCACCGAGAACCGCGGGGATGACGCCTTCCCGCCGATCCCCGAAACGGCCGCCACGCAGGTGGTTCCATTGCAGATAACCGCGGGATTGTCGACGATTCATTACTTCAATATGAAGGTATTCCCGCGGGGATGGGTTGAGGGTAGAGCGGAGCGCGCGTGTGGTGGGAAATAACCGTGGAAGGCGGGGAAATTGGATTCGGTGTGCTGTTCAAACGGCTCGAAAAACGCCCCAAAACCTCCATAGATGAAACGCTCCGACCCGAAGTGGAGGCCGAGGTGGAAGCCGAAGAGGAAGCCGAGGTGGAAGTGAAGACAGAGAAAGCAACGGAGTCGAAGGAAGAAGCAGCGGAGACACATGATGCACATGATGCACATGATGTGAAGGAGTCCACGGAATCGAAGGAATCGAAGGAATCGAGCGAAGCTACGGAAATAAGGGTGAAGGAGGGCGAGCCATCGCGGGTGGTGGAGAAGCCGGTGATCGAGACGGTGGTTGCGATTCGGCGCGTGGACCCTTCGAAGGAAGATATTCGGGGGTATTTTGAGTGCAAGGAGGAGGGATGCTTGGAGTTCGGATTTGATAACAGTTTTTCGTATTTTCGGACCAAAATCGTCGAGTTGAATCTTTCTGTGATGGATGTGTAAAAGCCATGTTTTTTGGAATTCCGATGTTTGTCGCAACAATGCAAATCGAACAAAATGAGTTCTGCTGGAGAAGGGAGCGAGCGGGGAGGAGAGAAAACGCCGAACCCGATCGATTATGAACAGGAAGTGAGAAACTTCCGACAGGAACAGGGGTTGGCCAGGGAGGTGCAGGAGAAGTACAAACGAGAGGCTTTGCGGAAATGTAACGATCTGCATCGAGTTCTGTTGGATTGCTACGAGAAGAAGTATTTTTGCGGAAAAGAGGAGAAAGAGTTTTGGGATTGTTACCGTCGGGAACGGGTTTGCAATCTACTCGGTTTGTAATGCATAGGGATTTAAAAAGTCAAAGGTTTCGCAAATGGCGTACAAGTTCTATCACAAGGTTTCTTCTCAGAGCGATTTCACTGACGAGGTGAAAGTGGAGCCTCAGGAGAAGGAAAGAGAGGAGTAACGTTTTTCTTTTAGCTTCTGTGTTTGGCTCAAACAACGATATGATACAACTATTTCTTGCTATTTTCAATGATCTACCCATCAGCAATGTCCCCAGCCAATCACTCACCTCTCGCGTCAATTTCAGATAGAACTCTGGATCGGATCCATAATCACTGTATCCCTCCTTCTGCACCGCCTTCTCAATCTGCGTTCCTTCGTGCCATTCATTGAAAGACGTGATCGACACAATCTCCGGCTGCAGTTGCAGCGCATCTGCCCACATCTGCCGATAATAGTTCCCTCCCAACCGATCCTTCGTGTTTCGGAAGTTCCACGGCCGCACCACCGTGTCGTCGTACCCCGGGCCCACCGACGGAATGAAGAATCGCAGGCGGGGATTTTGTTTTGCCGCGTTTTTCATTTCCCTCCAATTCCGCGACGTGCTGCCATAAACGAAGTTCTGGGCGGCGAAGTAGGTGTAAAAACCATCGAAGTAGCCGCTGGACAGCTTGGAATTGTCCCCTCTCTCTACATAGAGGCCGATGGCGATCACATCGAGAGGCGTGTTGCGAATTGTGATTTTCCCGTCGGGAGCCAATAATTCCCGCCATTCGCTGCTCGGAACATTGTACGAATCGTAAATGTACACCAATGGTTTCCCTTCGTAGCGATAAAATGCGGGATGAGATCCATATCTGGGAATAAGCGAAAAAGAAGGCGAGAATTACTTTGTAATTAGATACTCGATATCATTTCGAACCGATGCCGCGCTTCGATTGGGATAGGGCTCTAGATGGAAGCAGATCTTCTCCTGGAATTCGTTTGCGATGTCCAAAATGAGGGGGATAAAGTCATCGACGAACAAGATCGCATTGTCGTCCTTTGTGTTTGGCGGATACCAAGAAACCGAGAGCGTCCCAATCCCAGCAGATATGCACTGTTTCATGTGATCACGAATGACGGAAGGATCGTTCGACGCATAGGGGCCTAAACTGGGATAGTACTTGGCAGCGATATCCTCTGGGGGCTTGTGCTGCTTCTGAGGATACTGCTTGTTGATTGAGGGAGTCCAATGAGGAATTGTCTTGTGGTTCCAGTGACTCCACTCCCCGTTGAAGCTTTCTGAGGCGTACCACGGGTAATAGAACGCATGAACCTCGTAGGATACAAAACTCTTCACCGCTTGTTCCTAGTGCTTGAAACTGAACAGAGAAGCATACGATTGGCTGTGCTACAGTTTTTTCTTCTCGCAGATGCGGTTTGCTTCTCTTGCTCATAGTATTGTTTAAAAGTGTTCTAGCCACGATTACAGAGTGTTCCTCTTCACTATAGACAGGCGGGCTTCGGCTGATATGAGCATTACTCCCATTTCGTATGGCACTCCGGATCACTGACATTGAGTACGATATGAAGACTATGCCTATCACCGCCACTGCTAGGAATAGATACCTTTGAAGAGGTAAGACCATTTGTGTGAAAACAAACAACAAGACTATCAAGAAGAATATTACGTAATAATAATATACAATATTTATAGTACATATACACTCTCAATCCTGAGAGAACGCTCAACGCAAAAGGAAATGTCTCAAAGCGAGCTAAGCGGAATTGGCAACCGCTAAAAGCTGCAAATCAGAAAATGAAAGACATATGATAGAATGCCTGTCTCTTCTTCTTCTTCTTCTAGGCTTAATCACTACAAAACGTAAGAATCATTCACAAGTATAGGAAACTCAATAGGGCTCAGAGTGAGCTAGGCAATCCTCATAAACATCAGATATAGGGAAGCCAAATTCTTCATCGCCACTATGAATTTTGTGCAATCAGAGTTGCTCTAAAGTAGTTTTCCTCAAAGAGGGTCAGAACAGGTCTGTGTTATTTCATCAGATTGCCAAAACCATAAAACCAGATTTCCTTCATACCTTCATTGTCTCCCTAGCACAATGATTCCAAGCACAATTCAATAAAGCACTGGATCGATAGAAACAAAAAATGAGGTTTTGTAGAAACCCTCGCATGAGGATGCTCACAAGAGGGTGCATGGCTCCTTAGTTCCTTATTACGATTTTCTGCAACAGAAAATTTTTGAGAGCATGAACCCACTGATTCAGAAATCGATTCCAACCTCAAATTTGTAATTTTACAAAAGAGCTCCTTTTTTTGGATCATCATGAAACAAAAAAAATCGTCTAATTTTGTCAATAGACATTATCAAAAAGCCGAGAAATTGAATGGAAGAAGCGAAAGAGAAGTGCGGCATTATGAGCGAAGAGTTCAAGCAACTCTTGAAAGAGTCGAAAACGGTACCGCTTGGGAATCGCTTTCTGAGTTTTAGTTATGTGGTTCGATACCTACACTTGGAGACTACAGCTATTTTACTGCCTTCCCAGAGTTTACTACGATGTGCAACATGATAAAAACTACGTGTATTCAGTCTTATCAAGAGCTTTTTGATCTCGTATTCGGTCTCCTATCTCTCTCAATGTAGTACGAACCGAATAATGGTTTAAGTCTTTTGGAAATTCCCGCTCTTGAAAGTGGTGACGAATTTGAAGTGATTCGCCAGTTAGAAGACTATATGTTTGCATTAACAGATGCATGCCTAAATAAAGCCGATTCTACTCCAGCGAGTAGTTCAGACGTAGATGTATTTCTGCTGCATTTGGTTGACGATAGAACCTTATAAAGGACGTGCAGGAGGCAATCCAGACACCGCTCATCAACTACACCATTACGGAGAAACCCCAAGACCGTTTCGGCGACCGTGTCGATGCTCTGGATCTGAACTTTGCCCCCAAACTTCGTGAGAAACACAATGCCCGCAAGGAATGGGTCTACGAAGGTACTGTTTTTTTGTTGTCTGCTTTTCGCTAGACATCTCTCGAATTCCGGGGATCTTCTTCCAAGACGACTATCAACGCGAGCTAGGCATCGACCCGCGCACTCAGCTGATCTCCATCTACCGGAACCCCTACTCCTACGAGATCCACAGTCCTCCTTTTTTTCTCTTCTTGCTGACGCCCAGATTTGGAGTTCCCCGACTGGGAAGTGCGCGGCGATCTGGGCGTGCCGCCTTCGTGCAGCCTGGACGACACGGTCGTGGAGTTCATCGACACGGAAGAGAAGATCATGGATCTGATCGCGAGGCTGAAATCCTTCCGCTGCATCAGCGTGAGCGTGATCCAGCACAGCTATCGCTCCTATCTTGGCTATTGCAGCATGATCATGGTGGGCCGTCGATCCAATCCGATCCATCCTTCTAGATCAGCTCGGGCGAAATCGACTACGCGATCGACGCCATCGCGACGCACAACAGCTGCTGGAAGCTCAACGACCTCTTCACGAACCCCTCCATCGTGAAGGTCATGTTCAACGCCGGCGACCAACTGCTCTGGCTCCAGCGCGACTTCGGCGTCTTCATGGTCAACCTCTTCGACGTCCAAATGGCGCTCAAGCTCCTCGACGAGAAGCAGACCAGCTTCAGCGACGTCCTCATGAACCGTATGAACGAGTACATCAACATGCGATTCCGGAGAGCTGATTGGCGGACACGGCCGCTCACCGCGGGAATGCTGCGCTTCGCGCGGCAGACGGCGCACTCGACGCTGTATCTGAGCTCGATGGTGATCGAGCAGCTGCAGAACGAGTCGGAGAAGCACATCAACCGAGTGGGAGATGGGCGTGTGGGTGACGGGCAGATCGTGGAGACGCTGGCGGCGTGCAATGAGCTGTGCTTGGAGACGTACCACAAGCCGGTGCAGACGTACGAGACGGGGGAGTCGACGATCGCGGAGCTGGGCCAGATCTTCCAGCCGGTGCAGAAGATGCTGTTTTTGTCGCTGTACTATTGGAGAGACGTGGTGGCGCGCGAGTAGGCCAGCGAGGCTGGGGTCATGGGAAGGCTGGACGAGAGCGTGCAGTATGTGCTGCCGCTGCTGCCGCTGCTGAAGGTGGCGCACGCGGTGCCGAAGACGAAGGAGGAGCTGCGGAGACTGCTGAGCCCGCTGTCGGCGACGGCGGAGCAGCGGCTGGACCGACTGTTCAGCATCGTGGAGAGCTGCCGGTCCGAGAAACTGGTCGAAAAGAACGCGTAGGGATCTGAGCGATGGGTGAATGAGTGATTGAGTGATCGGGGTTTGAATGAATGAATTGAATGAGTGATCGGGGTTTGAATAAATGAATCATTGATTGAATGAATGAATGAATGAATGAATGAATGAATCATTGAATGAATGAATTTGGATTGAATCTTGTTCTGGTTTTTTGATTCTTTGATTCCTTCCTCGTTGGTTTCCCCGTTTCCCCGTTTGATTGGATAGGATGAGACTTTGTTCCGAGAGCGATGCGATGAATCCTAATCTTCTCTCTGATCCAATCCTTTTTTTTTGAATTCTATTCGAACTCCATTGAAATTCCATTCGAATTCCATCGGAATTCCATCGAATTCTGTTCCTCACCCTTCTCTAGATTCTCCGCCATCGTCCAGCAGGCCTGCGCCTCGGGCTCGGTTTCCCCGTTTCCCCCTTCTCACGGGTAGCCCAAACTGCAGCTGATCCTAGCGAACGACCGCTGTCTGTTCAACGGCATCACGGTGGAGGAGGTGTCCATCCCGCACCCGAAGGCGCCGCTCTCCGAGCTGCTGCACATCGAGACGCTGGAGCACCCCACCAACGCGCAGCAGCTCAGCGTGCTGCTGGACCGCGGGACCTTCCGCCGCCTGTCCTCCTCGGACAACCCCGCCGACCGGTTCCTCGTCTACACCCCCAAGACGCTGCCGTACAACCCCTCCGCCCCGCTGCGGAACACGGTGCCCTACATCCCGCTGCGCTTCTCCGCGGCGGGCGTGGAGATCGACCCGGTGCTGCCCCCGGAGTTCGTGAACCCCAGCGTGAGCAAGTTCGTGCGGACCTTCAACCAGAAGCTCTCGCCGGCGCAGAAGGCGGAGCTGCGCGCGGAGCAGCAGCTGATCCGCGAGCAGCTGGGGCTGGAGCGCATCCAGGCGGAGCTGAGCCACATCGGGAGCGTGGTGGAGGACGACTGTCTGTCGCTGTCGTCGGACGCGGAGGACATGATGCAGGCCTTCGCGCGCGACTTCGACATCGCGGTGCCGCCGGGCATGCCGCCGCGGTCGCTGAAGGAGATCCACCAGCTGCCGCACAAGGGGAAGAACTACCGCGAGGGAGAGGAGGAGGCGAGGGAGGAGCGCGCGGAGGGCGCCGGCGGAGAGGAGAAGGCGTTCAGTATCTGCGAGCTGCTGCAGACGAAGCCGACGATGGAGCTGAGCGACGAGGAGTTCATGCAGCAGATCGGGTGGAGCGAGGAGGCGGCGAGCCAGGCGGAGAACGCGAGCAAGGAGATCTTGTTTCCTTATATAAAGTAAAGCAGCAATGTGATAAAAGAAAAAGAGAAAAAGAGAAAAAGAGAAAAACAGTTTGGGAAGGGAGTGTTTGAGAACAAACAGACGAATTCTTACACAACTCGATTGCTTGGTCGAGCAGAAGGAAGACCAGGAAGGAGGAGAGCGAGAGCAGGGATAGCCGGGTGGGATCTACAGACCACTTCACGGCATGCAGGTTGCGGAGCTTCACGGCGATGAGGTGCGTGGTGATAAAGGACATTGAAAACAGGGACGAGAGGAGAATGCTTCGGGAGGAAATGATCAGCCAAAACCAAAGACATTGAACCAGACAGGCGGTAAACACGTCCCATAACCGATTTTTGTAAGAAATCTGGATTGTGCGGAACTAGGGAGTGACGAGAAAATGGAAAGCATGCAATGTAAAAAAGAATGGTAAACAGAAACGAGTAGTAAGCCACATTTCGAAGCAAACGAGTCACAAAATAGCCTCTCACACGGCCTTTCTACGAATAAGACACACCAGGAAACAATTACCTTCACACCTCGCTTAGTGTAGTCCACATCTCTATGTATTAAGAAAACGCAAGAAATGCTAGTTTACGAGTAAAGGGACTTTTCTTGCAAGGACAAGGACTGGATACTTTTCCAAAACTCGGGTTGATCTACACTACATGTTATGCACATCTCCAAATCGAACTAGTCGCTCCCGATGCGCTGTTTTCGTTGGAAGGTGGTAGAAGTTGTTTGATTTGCATCCTCTGAGGACGACGACATGATTTCTGTATTTAAAATACAGAGTGGTAGCAAAAGGATTATTTTTGTTAGGAAGTCTTCGATTGTGTTCGATTCAGTGCATTTCATTCGTTCTTCCGAGGAACATGCACTTCAGTATTACCTCCGTTTTCGTTATTTCAGCAGACACTTTAGATAAAAACCTTCACTTCGAGGATGATATTGGATTCTACATTTTTTCTGAAAGGTTTTATTTATTTCTTGTATGAGATATCGATTTTTAAACCGACTTTTAGGGATGCCTTTTGTCTTGCCACCCTTTTAGCAGCAGTCCTCGTTTTTACCTTGCGGAGGTTCTACTTTGACTCGAAAAAGCGCGTAGTGTACATTGATGGAAAAGTAGGGACGGTGCTGCGTCCTGTTGGAATAGAGGGCGAAAACGGTCGGTTTCTTCCACCCCTACGCGAACAGCTGTGGAGGAGGAGAGAAAGTACTGTGGTGCGCTGTTCAAGCTCTCCAAGAGATTGCTGAGTAGTTTTTGCGTGGGTACCCCTACCGACAAGATTCCAGCCCATTCATTGCGTGATTTACACCGGAGATACATGTTCCTCCGAAGAGATTTTGGAAACGACCAAGGTACTTGGCTGGATGTTCCCAATTCATAATCGCAGAGAATCCTGCACATCGACATCAAGCCTTCCTTCCATCTCGAATTCGTGCGTCTCTCCAAGCGAACCTGGCTGGAGGCCTTCCACTATCCCCATTTCACGATGCTTTTCCAGTCCCTGGCATCCATGCTGGTCATGCTGGAAAGTCTCAGCCAGTTCATTCCCGACCTTCTCGTCGACACAACCGGCCTGGCATTCACGTATCCCGTCGTCAAGCTCTTCACCTCCTCTCGCATTCTCTCCTACACGCACTATCCCACCATCAGCACCGACATGCTGCATCGCGTCATCCATCGCGAGACCCAATTCAACAACGACGCGTTTATTACTTCCCACCCCATTCTTTCTCTTCTCAAGCAATTGTACACACATCTTAATCATCCATCTAATCATCAGCTACTACCGCGTCTTCGCCGTCTTCTACGGCCTCGCGGGCCGCTGCGCCGATCTCGTCCTCGCAAACGGCTCCTGGACGTACAACCACCTCGTCTCGCTCTGGCGGCAGCCACACAGTGAAAATTGTGGGATCCCATCATTTCGAGCTCTGCGTCGTTTATCCGCCCTGCGACACCACCGAGCATCGAATGCTCGCATCCCAAAACTCGTCAAACACGACGCTAAACGGCAATAATAATAATAATAACACAAATAATAATGCAAACAACACCAATGCAGCTGCATCATCATTAATGATCCCGTTGCGGCAGCGGGTGATTTTAAGCATCGGGCAGTTCCGTCCGGAGAAAAACCACGTGCAGCAGCTGTACATTATCCGCAGACTCATCGATCTCGGTATTCCCGCGGGAATTGCTTCCATCTAGACGAGCGATTCGCGGATGTGCGGTTAGTGATGGTGGGAGGCTGCCGCAACGCGGAGGACGCTGCGCGCGTGCAGGAATTGAAGAAGATCGCGGAGGATATTGATCTGACGCGATCGGTGATGTTTTTGGTGAATGTTGGAATGGCGTCGTTTTTCGCATTGTAGGCTCCGTACGAGACGGTGCAGCAATATCTCGCGTCCTCGTCGGTCGGATTGCACACGATGCGGGATGAACATTTCGGCATCAGCGTCGTGGAGTTTCTGGTGCGAATCGCTTTGGATTGTGACGTAGGCTGCGGGATTGATCGCGGTAGCGAATGACAGCGCGGGACCGAAGCAGGACATCGTGGTGCCTGCATTCCCGCGGGGAGGGAAGAAGTATCGAATGGAGGCGGAAGGAGCGGAGAAAGCGACGGGATTTTTGGCAGGAACGATCGACGAGTACGTGGAAGCACTGCAGTTCATTTTTTCGCATGAGGAGCAGTTGGAAGGAATTCGGGCGAATGGACGGGAGAGGAGTAAAATGTTTAGTACCGAGAAGTTTGTGAAGACTTTTAAGGAGAAATTGATTGCAATGTTGAATTGGGGTGTTTGTTGAAAATGAAAATCATGGGGGGAGACACAGAGAGAGAGGGTGGGTAGTGCATAAGAAGCATAGCTGTATGAGTTTTAAAAAAAGGTGTAGGAATTGGAGTGATTACCGCATTGCAGGACTCAGATTGAATCGCTTATGCCACCTGTATTTACAGTTTACAACAAACAAGACTAATATCCAAGAAGACGCGCTGCAGCAGCCACACCCGAAGATGTCTCTTTTTTCTCTGCATCCACGCTTTCCACAACTATATCCGCGCTTTTAACGCTTTCTTTCTCCTTCTTTTCCTCCTTTTCTTTCTTTTCTTTCTTCTCCTTCTTCTCCTTCTTCTTTTCACTCTTCGTCGCATTCTTCTCTCGCTTCAGCTTCAGTCGCAGTCTTCCCATGCATCGCTTCATCTCCTTCAGCCTCGATTCGCCGAGATCATTCATCACCGTCGGCGCATTCTCCGCCTTCAGCCCCTTCTACCCATCACAAATCGATTTGGACGCTACCAAACCTTCCCTCCAAACCTGACGATCTTTTCCCTCCATCTGATCCACCAGAAATCCGATCATTTTTCTGCCGATCGAGCAGCTCAAATGCACGCGGACCAGCGTCTCCACAGACCACTTCAAGAAAGGAAGGCAGAACGAAGCTCCCAGCGGCGGAGAGAGCTGCATCAACTCGAAGATGAAGCTTGCCCGCGACTCGTCCAACTTCACCTATGAATCAACTGTGCAATCAAAGCACAGTACGTGGCCGCCCTCCTTTTGGATGTTCAACGCCTTGTTCACGATTTCAGAATTGAAGTCATCCCCGCGGTTCTCGATCTGCAATGTATGCTGGAAAATGTCGAGCAGCTTTGCAGCGCACATTTCTTCGCGTGTCTTGCAGCGACGACATGCATTTAGGAGTTGCAGCAGAATGCCCGTCTTGTGGTTATTGAAGAGAATCTCGAGGCGATCTGCGAGAATATCGAACGCTTGGTCCACCTGCATGGAAACCAGGCCGCGAGCCTACTAATGATGGATCGGTGACTCGCGAGAAGAACATTTGCACGACGAAATTGGAGCGTAGTCCCTCGCAGTACTCCACCAAGCTGCCTAAAAGAATTGTTCTGTGCGCATGAAGGAATCTCGTTGGCGGGGCTCATTCCCAGGATATAAAAAACGAGTTCACGACGTCGTCGGCCGCCGAACGCACCAGTCCCTCCAGCGAGCGACTTCCGTTGACATCGACGATGAGCTCCTTGACGAGCTTCTGCGCGGCGTCTGGGTCCTCGACATCCAAGAGAATGTGCGCGAGCTTGGTCCTCTGCTCGGCGGGGAGGTTGTTCATGAGCATCTGCACGATGAAGCAGCCGTGCTGGTTCTTCATCAGCCATTCCCGCTCGCTCGCGCCCAGCTCCGCCAGCGCGAACAGCACCGCGCTGCGCGCCTCGTCGAACGCCTCCACCATCGCCGCGTTGCTCTGCGTCTCAGCGCCTTTCTCTCCTAGCATCAGCCCTACCTTCTTCATTAACGCGCCCTTCACGATGTGCTTCTTCACCGCCGCGCTCGCGTTGGGGCAGCCCAGCAGCACGCACAGCAGGCTGCGCAGCACGTGCGAGCCGTTCACGTCGCAGCAGACCTCCACGATGCGCGGCAGCACGTTCTCCACGAACAGATTCACCAGGTCCAGCAGCGGCTCCAGCGGCTCGCCGTCCAGACGCTGCGCCAGCGCGGAGGACGGCTCGTCGAGGCGATCGCTGAGGAACGTGTTGGCCAGCTCCAGCGCGGTCTGCATGCAGTGCGAGGCGTAGGTCTGGGTGAACATGTGGACAGCGAAGTCTAGGAGAGAGGGCGATGGAGGATGTACCTTTGGAGTAGGAGAGAAAGAGACGCAGTTTGTCGCGGTTGCCGTTCTGAAGAATGGATTGAATCACATAGCTTGTTTTCTTGTTTGAGGCCAAACTCACTTCCGAACCTCGCAGTTCCTCGTTGATGTTGTTGATTAGAATGTGCTTCTCGTTTTCGTCCGTCGTGTTGCTCAGCACGCCCTGAATTTGAAGCAAGTAGCGAACTTCCTCTTCCGTCGCATGACGCGGACGCCGGGTCGCACTACGAGTCAAGGAGAGCGTTTTTGCGACGTACAGCTTGCCTTGGTCCATTTTTGAGAAAAAGTCTGATTTCCAAACAAACAAACAAACAAAACACACTCTGATTCGTATGAACCATTCATTACTTTAACGAAGCCAGCGACGTGTGCAGCATCTGCGCAGACGCTTGGATGCCCGAGTTCTCGCCCTACACCATCATCCCACGTTTGCGCGGCTACAAGGATCAAATTCTCAAGATACGGCAGCAGCGCGTCTCCGTAGCCCGACTTCTGCGGATACACAGCCTTCATCCGCTGCAAGAAATTCAGCGCATTGCGCACATGCAGCACCTCCTTGGCCTGCAGATCGGAAACGATAATCACCGAAATGAGCTTCATCCAGTGATCATAGACCTACCCTCGACGCCCTCGCTCTGCCCTACCTTCCTGAACAAATCGTAGCTGAACGTTCCGTTTTCGGGCTGCTGAATCGACTTCAAAAAGCACGGATTGCCCTCGCTCCACTCCTTATACACCGAATCGCTGTCGTTCATGCGCGATAAATCGCCGAACAGCTCCAAAAAGAACACGGCCAGATTTAATGATTCGCATTCGGAGGTTGCGCGCAGCAGCGGCATCAGCACATACAGCGAGCGTCGTACGAACGTAATAAAGTCGAAATTGGGCGTATGCCACTGCACGAGTTTCCGCACGAACCGCGCCGCGAAGAGCGCGTCCATCGGCGAAGCCAAAAGACGCGGCAAAACGCAGAACTGAATGAACACCGGGATCGCATCAGAGCTTCGAAACAACGACTTCATGACGCTCTGCACGGCCTTCTAAGCGTCATCCGCTCTCTCCGCGCTCACCTCGACGGCTTCGATGTGCGTTTCGATCCGCTTCTCGTCGCCCTGCAGCAACTCGCGCTGCTGCCTCAGCCGCGCGATCTGCTTCCCGATCGACCGATCGCTGCGCGCCGCGCTCCGCTCCTTCTCCTTCTTCTCGATCGACGCGTCCAGCTGGCTCCGATACGCCGCGTAGCACGGCGCGGGCAGCTCCAAATCCGCGTAGCGCAGCATCCAGAACCCCACGAACCCGCCAAAATCCAGCGTCTCCCACAGAGAGGGCGGGTAGAACCGCTTCAACGCCGCGGCGAAGGACTCCGTGGAGACGTCGCAGAACGCGGGGAGCGGCGCGGAGCGAAGGAAGAAGGCCTCGCTGTCGCAGACGGCGCGGAGCAGAGCGAAGCCGTGCGCGATGCTGAGGTGGAAATCGGCGAAGAGAGCCTCGGGAGTGCCGACGAGGCGAGAGAATTGCTCGATGAAGGCGGGCTGCTGGTCGAGAAGCAGCAGCAAGTGGTAGAAAATGTCGGTGTGGCGGTCGAACTGCGCGCTGAGCGCGTTGAGGTCGCTGCAGTCCAGCTCGAACGGCAGCTCGTCGATCTTCCGCGCGTAGAGCAGGAGGAAGCACTGCAGAATCTCGGGGCGCAGCAGCTCGTTGAGGAGGAAGGTTCCGTCGGGGTCGGGGCTGCGCTCCTCGGAAAAGCCGATCATTTGAGCGAGGATTCGCGAGGTGGCGAAGGAGTAAACGATGTCCATCGACACGGCGGGGCTGATCGCGTCGCGTGGCGAGGGAATCTACACGGAAAGGAAGAAAGCAACGCGGACGCTGCAGAGAGACGCGATGAAGTTGCTGACGATGAGCATGGGGTTGGCTTCGCCGTCGAGCAGCTTCTTCTGGATGCAATCCATGAGCACGGTGAGATCGACCTGCGCGCGGAAGAGCTTCACGAACGTCACGATGAACTGCGTGAGGAATAAGAAGCCCTGGTTCGGCAGCGCGTCCGGACCGAGCGAAATCTGGCGGCTCTGCAGGTCCTCGACGATGCAGAAGAGCCCGCAATCGACGCCGAGCGGAGAGATGAAGGGGAGATTGGGGAGCAAAAAGCCGGTGAAGTTGTCGAAGGTGGTGCATTTGGAGAGAACCATGCGGAAGAAGTAGAGAGGACAGGCGTAGGAGTAGAACGTGAGCTCTTCGGACATCGCTTTGACGGTCTCCGAGGCGATGCGACGCAGATAGAAGTCGATGGCGAGGTAGTGTCGCTTCATCCAGAAGAACAAATCGACGTCCTCGGTGAGCTCCTTGCCCTGCCAGAACGAGTACAGCGCGAATCGGTCGGGCTGAGGCAGGCGCTGCAGGCCGTTCCAGACCTCCACGTTCATCAGACTGCAGGGCTGGCCGAAGGAGAGCGCGGGCAGCAGGCAGAACTGATAGATGGAGAGGACGGATGTGCGGCAGGACGAGGCGAGCGAGGGCTGCAATGGAAGCGAGAGAGGGAAGAGAAACCTCGGAGAGAACGAAGGAGAGCAGTCTGCAGAGAACGCTGAAGAAAACGGGCTCCTCGGCGAGGTGGCCCCCGATCCAACGCAGCGGTTCTTCGAGGACAGAGAGCAGAACGACGGGGTCGGAAATGCGATCCGCGTCGTCCAGATCGCGACACTTCCATCTAGATAAGAATAAAAAGACGAGCTCTTACCCGAATGGAGAGAAAGAAGTGGATGAATTGGCGGGATTGGATTCATTGAATTCATTGGATTCATTGGATTCATTCAATCTGAAGAGCAGGGAGAAAGCGGATGGGATCTTCCTGTACACACAACTCGACATATCCACCAGCAGCTTGCAAATCGCTTTCACGAATGCCATCCACCAGCAAGGATTCACTCCACTCTCTCGCACATGCTTCCAGATTCGCATTACCGCGGGGAACGACAACACCGAACAACCCTCAATGAGAAAGTTCACCAGATTGAGTGTGGCAGGACTGGGAACCACGGCGTGGGGAGACGAAGGCAGATCACCGCTCAGTTTCTTCATGGTCGAAATGGCCTCGTAAAGCTGATTTGTCTACAGAGAAACAAACTATCCAGAAACTACGCGCGACTGAGCGAATTCACGCAGCTTTACTTCCTCGCTGGCGAAGCTGGACAAGATAGAATCGAGGGAAACGAATCCATCGCGACAAAGCTGGGCGGAGAGAAGCAGAAGCGAAGAAGGCACCACACCGTCCTACATCTCATTCCATCGCTTTTCAATCACGTTGTGTGTCTGATAAAACACAAACTTGAAGCGCAAAATCCGGGAAATCTCCTCTGTTTTGAACTCGCTGAACAGATTTCGAATCAGCACATATTTCGATGGCTCGAACTCACAAGCGTCTAGAAGCATGTCAAACACACGATTTGGATCGAGCGAGAAGAGTCCGATCGTACTCGAGATTACGGAGAGAAGAGTCGATTCGGTGAGTTTGGACTGATGAAGAAACGTTAACAACTTCGAGTAACCCTCGTTCTCTTCACGAATCAGATTGAACTTGTGTTGAGTGTAGTAACGCTGCGTGTTGATTCGCTTAATTCGTTTTGTAAAATCGTCTTGCTGCGTTAGTCGGAAAAGGTTCAATTTGTCCAGCTCCAGACAAAGCTTCAGATCTTCGATCGATACAAGGCGTTCTCTCAACAGAATATTGATAATAGAACCCAATCGAGTAATCAAATCTGGATTCGAACAACCCAGTTTGGGATCGACTTCCTCACCTACTCATAACTCAGCCAATTCAAAAGTACAGACTAACCACAGCACATTGCACAAACTCGAAGCGAATGATTCTTTGACAAACTAGAAAATGAACAAACCTTGCATCTATTACCTTTTGAATCGTTGAAAGCTGAACCATAAGAATTGTTTCTTCCAAATTTGAATCCAAATATCTCCAAAACAGCTCATAGATCAACTCCGTGACAGCATCCGAATCTAGTAAAATTATGATAGAAATGAATAGTTCCATACTATTTCTGTCTTGATTTTCATTCAAGAACGATAATATATGTGAGTTTCTAATTACAACCTAACAAGAGCTCCATACATATTTGAATCAAGCGTTCCTTCTTGGTTATCAAATAAGCTATCTGTAAGCAAAAAATAAACCATGGAGGAAAATGCTTTGAGGTAGAAAAACGATTTAAAAGAGAAGCATTATTAGGAAATGTGAATATTTATAATATATCATGGTTGGAATGACAATGCAATAGTTTATGACACAATTGAACAAGGAATATGAGGAGTTAGAAATGAAGCGAAAAATCAATCAGATTATAGCCGTGGAATGCTAGAAAGCATAGAATTATGGAATAAATATTATAAAAAATTGCATAATGGGGTAAGTAACAACGAACAGTCAGTAGTACTAGAAATATATATATATAAATCTTACTTGAATCATGTGTAACATCCTAATGGTAGGAATATGTTGATTGATCAATTGATTGTGATGGGATGTTGAAATAACACTGAATAGTCAGAATTTTAGACTAAACATATGGAATATAAAATACCCATTACACAAGTAAAGAACTAAGGAGAAACAATAATGGCACGAATGTTAAATTGTTTTAATCGAGACAAGCCTTGAAGAAAATGGAATTCGTTTTATCTAGAAGCATAAATAATAGCTGATTTATCGACAAAATAAACAGAAAAATAACAAAGAATAATAAACGGAACAACCTTATTCACCAGATTATTTATGTAATTATGTCAGAGCTCGTGATAGAACTATTCTTTCTAGCTCGAGAACAGAAGAAAAAGTATATAATACAGAAAACTACAACGCTGGAAGATTTGAGACAGACTATCACAGTTAGGCAAATATAAATGATTAATGATATAGAGGGACTTCCGCTCAGAGTTTGATGACTTGTACTTTATAAAAGACCACATGATTATTAACAAGTCGAAATCTTTGGACTCTCAATGTGATGAAGGAGATCTTATCTTAATCAGTCAAATCTGTGAATATAAAACGACGTGGAAAGGCATTCGAAAGAATTTGTCTTACTTCAGTAACACTTATTGGAGAAATTTGTATGTTTTTATTTTGAACGAGTATGCTATTTCGCTAACCGATATCAATAAATATAAATTGAAAGCAAAAGGTCAGTTCATCTCTCTGGAAGCTTTAATCCCATTTGACGGTTTTTCTGATGTAATTGAGGTTATTGAGATACAAGGTAGATG